AACTCCTTGTAGCTGCTGATCTGTTTTAGAGGGTTTGTTAAATAAAAAAAATAAACCCTATATCATTTTTTGTAAAAAAGCTGATGGGATCAGCTGCCCAGATTTGCCAGCTGCCTTGAAGGAGGAAACCACATGTTTAATAACTTGTTCTAATGCAGCCAGGCATCCCACACTGATTGGAGCTTTAGGGCAACAAGCAATGATAACCCTTGTAGCCAGCACGAATTGCTGTGCTCTCAGCTTGTCAGCTCACAGCAGTTGCCTTCGCATCTAGATCCTTCGGCATTTTGAACAGAGAAGCTTCTGTGCCCGCATTCTACAATAGCTGCAAATGCTCTCATTAAAATATCCTAGTGTTATTTCACCATGTACCAGAGCCCTCTCCTCTTGCTTTCCTTGTGCGTAAGATGCTGTAATTAAAGAATCCTTGTAACTTGTAATTTCTGATCTTCCAATAAAAAATGGGAGAGAAAGTTATTTATAGGACCACAAATGATAAACAAGACTAGAAAGATTTTAGGCATGGCCTCTTTTGAACATCTGCCTTCTTCCAGATGCGCACAAGATCACATCCTGTTGAAAGATGCAACAGCCCCATATTTTTTCAGTTCCATTAAGCTCTGTTCTTTATCAGCACTGCAGGCAATTTCATTCTCACATGACATCTTAATGCCCAGCTAGCTACCTCAACTTGCAGGCTACCTCAACTTCCTCAAGGGGGCAGCAGCTCTCTCCAAAATAAGGCTGTGTACTGTATATGTTGCCAGCATAAAATGCAGGAAGGCCATTCTTTTTCTCAATTTGGATGGAAGCTAATGGGGGGGACACACACACCAAAATGGAATATTTATTAAGAAACAACAGGATAGATATGGATTCTGGCTTATGCCATGTGTACAGTGGTACCTCGGGTTAAGAACTTAATTCATTCCGGAGGTCCATTCTTAACCTGAAACTGTTCTTAACCTGAGGTACCACTTTAGCTAATGGGGCCTCCCGCTGCCGCTAGTGTGCGATTTCTGTTCTCATCCTGAGGTAAAGTTCTTAACCTGAGGTACTATTTCTGGGTTAGCGGAGTCTGTAACCTGAAGCGTCTGTAACCCAAGGTAACACTGTACACTGCTTCCCAGACAAGTGGTGGGAACACACTGGATGCAGAGTAAATGTGACTGTGTAAACAGCTGGGGTACTTGGTAAGGCTAAATCAAGATGGGAATTGCTATTTTGGGGGAATGACTCAAGTGCATACCGGAATTTTAGGTTTGCAAAGTTAAAGTGGGCGAAACACTCTTATCACCTTAGTGTTTTAAAAATTTACTTTAAAAATGCACTTTCTGTGCTTAGGGAAGTGACAGTTGTGAACTGAAAAGTGTGTTATGCAAGCAAATCAGGATGAATGCTCAATAAGATTATGTTGTTGTATAACCTCCCTACAAACAAATCAGAATGATTGCTCAATAAAGATGAAATATAATCTAACCTTTGCATAAGCTTTGGGCAAGCAAATCAGGTTGAGCACTGAATAAACAGGTAATCTAGAGGAGCCCTTTGATAATTTATAAAAGACAGCGAGTTGGGAGAAGTGATATTTCCTTAACGGTAGGGACATAAGGTAAAGAGGCATAATCAGCTTGTAGTTCTGTTTGAATGGCCACAACTGCAGGGTGGAGTATCAGTCGGCGCATCACAAAACTGCTGCCACCTTTTTGCTCTTGATGGTTTGCAGAAGGAACAGCTCCCTCCACTGTCTTATTCCTTCCTGCATGAAAGATCACAAGAAGCCATGTGGGGAATAGCCCTCTGCTATTTAGGAGATTAACCTAGTGTGCTGCCCCTCCAAAACCAGAGAATACCTCGCATGCTCCCCTCTTGCAATCTGGCTCCTTTTGCTATAATGTGAGTAGCACTGGCTATGGGAATCTGGGTCAAAAACAAATGCCGTGACATGATCATTCATGACTATGTTCCACTTCCACTGTTGGGGGAATCAGAAGTGCTGCTGAACTGTGGTCCAGCTTGTAGGCTTCCCACAGCCCTGGTCCCCAAAATTATGCTTTTTTTAAAAAAGGGAAAGAAAGAAATGTAATCAAACTGTAAAATGCTCAGTGCCTTTTGTTGAACTCCTTATTCAGGGGCAGAAAGCAATTTCCCTAGTAATGCAAAATCAAGAGAGACCTTGTGTAATGGAAGTTAACACATACTCCTGGTCAAACTATACATGTGGAAACACACATGTAAACACGTGCTATTAATGGAAGTGTGTTTCCTAAGCTCTCATGCAGCCACACCATTCCACAAAGAACTTGCTTTATGCACTTATACCAGTGGGAAATCAGCAGCAGGCAAAACAGAGAGTGGTTGATAAGTATTCATAGTATGCACAAAAATAGACATGGAGGCTATACAGATCCAATGTGACAACTCACTTGATTAGTTTTGTAGAGAAGGAAGTCAGGCAGAGAAACAGACAGAGGCAACGGGAGGGGATTGTTGTTGCCAAATAAGAAGATGGGAGCATGCTAAGGATGTGGTAAGTTCTAAGGGAGGCCTAGATCCCATGAGGCAAACTTGGAAGGTAAACGACATGAGGTTTCAACCATGTGCAGGGTAAGACAGAATGTCAAAAGGAGCATCTTGTGGTTTCCAGCAACTGGTATTCAGACCTCTTCCAACAATGAAGCTAGAAGATAGTTATCATGGCAAGCTGCCACTGATATTCTTACACTCCACAAATGTGTCCAATCCTCTTTTAAAGTCATCTCAGTTGGTGTCCACCCTTACCTCTTGTGGTAAGAGGTAAATTTCCATAGTTTTAACTACGTGCTATGTGAAGAAGTACTTTCTTTTGTCTGTGCAAGGCAGCATAACTGGCACACAGTCCCCTAATTTTTGCAGAGAACAGGAAGAAGAGTGCGCAACTGTGCATGGTGTCTTGAGGACTGTATCACACCCTCATTATGCTTTCTTCAGGCTGTTTGTTTGGAAAACTGACACGAGGAGGGGGTGGTTAAAGCAGTACTGCTGAGAAGTATCACAAAAGGAGACAGTCACTGGAATCGCTGAGGCAAAGTTACTGCTTCTTAAAGGAGCATTGTAAGCCTTAATCACAGAGTAATTTATGAATCACCACATTCGGCAGGGAACATTGTGGCTAGCGATAATTGTCTTGCTCGGTGTGCCATACCTACTGCGTCCAAAACCGTGAACCCTTAAGTAACCTTGTAATAATCTCAAATAATTTACTAGCAAGAACTTTCTGTTATTATTAGCTGCTTTGTTTCATTACTCAGGACATCATGACTTGGGAGCATTTAATCATAGCAAAAATAGCCAAACTGAAGAAAGTGCAAAAGCTGTTCCTCAACCGTAGTAGTATTTGATAGAATTTAAAATGTTTAAACCCCCACCGTTACACTTTACATACAGCTCTGATCACAAAGTTTTCTGTACCACACTTTAAAATTGGTGAAGACATAAATGTGTGTATTCATTGCTGAAACACTTGTATTTCATTAGCAGCACAGTTTGGTCTTGCCAGTGAAGTGAAGAGGGCACAAAAAATAAAAATTTTGCAAAACCAAGGCTTTTCATACGTTTTGGGTTTGATCTTTTGAAGGAACCACTACGGACCACTTGAAAACTGCTGAGGATCTTGGCTTAATTATTTTTTCCTGGCTTTTGCCACTACAGTGGTACCTCAGGTTAAGTACTTAATTCGTTCCGGAGGTCCGTTCTTAACCTGAAACTATTCTTAACCTGAAGCACCACTTTACCTAATGGGGCCTCCTGCTGCTGCCATGCCGCCGGAGCCCGATTTCTGTTCTTATCCTGAAGCAAAGTTCTTAACCTGAAGCACTATTTCTGGGTTAGCGGAGTGTGTAACCTGAAGCGTATGTAACCTGAGGTACCACTGTATTGTAATGCACTGTGTTAGATGTGGCATGATTTTTAATTGTATTTTATTTCTTCGTTTCTTTTAATGCACAACAATTTTAATTCCACAGAATTCAAACTGCAATACAATATAATAAATAAAAAAGACACAATAAAAAAATTAAAATCAATATGAATATTTAATGTGCTGGATGTGACATCTCCCATCTTCAACCACAAACACACAGAGAGGATCATCTGAATGTAGTTCACAACTCCCAGTTTGGGAACTGTGCCACAGGAAATCTGTGCTCCTACTACTTCTCCTGCCACCATTTCTCAATATCCTACAGGAAGATTAGTCAGACTAATCTTTTGGGACAACCTGAAGCACATTTATTCAGAGGTTAGTCCCACGGCGATACAAATTTAAAGTTTGGACTGAAAATTTCAGTTATCCCTGTGATTGTTCCCCCTTCCCTGATACACTTTATCATTCTGCTCATTGCCCTACTCTGATATTAAAGCTCATGATTTCAAAATCTATCCAAGTGGTTGTATCTCATTATTCAGCCTCCCTTTTATATCACACCCAGTTGTGAGGATGAGATGAGGAAAGAGAAGCATCCTGCCCAGCAGACATTCTTTCAGAATGTTCCAGAAACTCTACGCAAACAGTGCCCAAGTAACCGAGGCTTGGCATCATGTGGCTACACGGAGCTGCTTCTTCACTAATAGCTGTTACAGGCAGGTAACGCTCTTTATTTACGGCATGTTTCTGGTACGTATCACCGCCACATGCGGCCTCTAGGTGGTGCTGACTCGTGGTCCAAGCTGGAAAGAATTAATTCCCAAGAAGCAGCCTAAGTCATAAGGAGAAGGTTCTGCAGGCACCAGCTTTTAACTTGGCAACTTATAGATGATTTGTCCACATAGGGGAAAAGTAGGGTGTCAAATAATTTGTGGCAGGGGTGGGGAACATCCACCCTGTGGGTCTGAGGTAGCCTGCAGGGCCTACACCTCCAGCATGCGGCCTGCTCTCCTCACCTGACCAGCCCACTCCGTACATGGCAGTTAGGTTCAAAGCAGCCTTCCATTACAGACCAAGGAAAGTCTGTTTTCAAACCTAATTGCCATGTGAGGTGGCACTGGGCTTTTGTTTTGAGGTGGAGGGGGGGATCCTAGTGACCATAATATAAGGAGAGGAGTCTGTACCACCTCGTTTTAATTTCTAAATAAAGAATAGGGTGTATTGGTGCCAAATGGTCATTATTATCCAACACAGCAGTTTCAGAACGGGCATGGCAAAGAAGGCAACATTTGTCTCTACAAATCACTTTAGCCTCTTTAGGTACACTTCAGGAATTTTCTTTTGTTGAAAGCATAGTCTTTGCCACTGCCCTCTCAAACATAGATTTTTTAAAAAAAACTGAAGTGACAGAAGTCAGTTTTGGACATACAAAACTGACTTCTGTCACTTCAGTTTAAAAAGATGGAACAATCCCCCTTTCCTCTTCCCATGCACTGTCTAGGAGTTTTCCTGATACCCCCCAATTTTGGGGGGGGTCATGGGGAGGTGAAGGAGGGGGTGATAGCCCTGTATCAGGAGCCGGAGTCAGGGGACGGTCAGCAATAAAGCACCTGGTGTCAGTGAAGTCAACTCTTTATTCAAATAAGCCAAAACAGTGCAGGCCTAGTGGTCACAGCAACCCTTCCCTGTAGATCTTGCCCCTCTGAGGCAGTTGCAAGGACTGAAGGTTCCCACCTTCCCACTTCTATCTAAGGCTCTTCCCCCAGTTCCTTCCTTGTATCTTGTCTCTTTGTTCTGAACTCTTCATTTATCTTGGTGTTCTGGGAGACCAGCTGGGAGGGGATCTGGTTACATCAGGAGGGGGAGATTCCCTGGCTTCTTCTGCAGCCTGCCTCCACTCTTCCTCTTGACCCCCTCTGCTGCTGCCTCTGAGCCTAGACTGCTCTCTGCCACAGCCTCTTCCTGCTCACTAAACCCTGTGGCCTCTTCAGCTTCCAACACCTCCTCCTTCCAGTCTGCTCCCTCTTCTCCCTCTGACTATGCATCATTGTCCCACCACCAGTCTCCTGGCTCTGAGCCTTCACCGGGGATTCATTTGGGGGTTCCCCATCTGGTGCCTCCCACCACTTCTCAGCATCCCACCAGTCCAGGACACCCTGTTGCACAAGTGGAAGTCTTTGCTTGGGGCTTCCGCTGACAGGACTCATTAGGTGAATCCCATCCAAAGTTTTTTAACTTATGGAGGCAGGTTCCAAAATATTAGATAAAACATACTGGTTATAAAAAGGCAGCCCCTGCAAAAGGTCAACAAACCTTTTCTGCAGAAATTTGGCTGGTGTGCATGTGCAGCAATGAGAAAAGCTGAACTGCTGCCAATTATGCATCTATTGATCAGTACAAGAGAGCTATGGGGGAATAAAGGCAAAAATTATCAGAACGAAAAAGGTCAAAAGTCAGAGACCTTTTATGTTCAATATCCAACAAGGTATAATAAATGACTTGGCACAGATTCCCCCCCCCCCTTGAATGTATAAGTTCTTCCATTTCTGTTGCTTCCCTAAGTATACTGCTTTTCCTCCTCACATAGCATAGAAAATGTCAGAAAATTGATATTTTCTTCACATTTTAGTAATAGCCTCTGCATAGAAGATGACATCATTTTAGGAACAAGATCTTTATAGCAATAGATAGCAAACTAAACGCTGTTCTCAGCTGAAATCTGTATCTCTTACTAGAGTGCCTTCATGTTTACACTAAATGGGGAATATTTTATCTTCATCTGTTTGCCACTAGAAGCTGAATTAAAGATTAACAAATGCTATTTCTGATGAGGCCTGGGAGACTTCATAGCTAGCAACAACCTTCCCCAGCTTGGCCACACCTCTGAGTCAGCTCTCCAGGAGTTGGCTTCCTGGGTCATATTACAATGAAATCATATTACAATTTCCTTTGTCTTGCTTATAATGTAACTCAAGTTCCAATTACCGTACTTTTCCGTGTATAAGACTAGGTTTTTTTTTACTGAAAAATTATGTTTGAAATAGACGATTGTCTTATACGTACATGGGTAGCGCCTAGCGGGGATGTGGGATTGGTTGATGCCGCGAGCCAGAGATGGTCTGCAGCGTGTTATTGGTGTCTGCGGCAAGGGGTGGTGTTGATTGGGTGTTGTTGTGGCAATTGGGCGGGCAATAGGCTGCTTCTGTCGGCGATGGGACAGACGTTAGGAGGTTGTTGCGACGTGTGTGTGTGTGTGTGTGTGTGTGTTAGCATCAGCCAGGTGGGTGAGTCATTTTCGGCAACCCCCCTCTAAAAAAACCTCAACAACTCTGGGCATTCCCCCCCCCATTTTCTTAATTTATAGCTCCCCAAATAGTGGGCATTTTATACACGAGGGCATGTTATACACAGAAAAGGATGGTAATTATCCTGCCTCTCACCTGTTTCCACATCAGACCTCAAAAGGGCTGACTCTACCATTAGGCAGAATGAGGCAATGGACTCAGGAAGCAGATGCTGGGAATAGCAGTGAAAGACCTGCCCATCCGCCTGCTGGCAGCCATTCCCCTCAGAGTCTATTTGGCATATCCATCTGGAGGAGGGCAGAGCAGTGTGTGACCTCCACACATCATGCATCCTCTAAACTAGCCCTGCTGCCCTCAGGTAAAGTGGATGATGGTATCCCATTGCGATAAGCGATCAATAGGTACTAGCCATGATGACTACATTCTATTTCCAATGTTGGGGGAATCAGAAGTGCTGTTGAATTCTGGTCCAGCTTGTGGGCTTCTTCCCACAGCCCTTGTCCCCAAAATTATACTTTAAAAAGAAGGAAAGAAAGAAAGGCAACCAAATTGTAAAATGCTCAGTGCATTTCCTAGTAAGGCAATATCCTAGTAAGGCAATTTCCTAGTAAGGCAATATCAAGAGAGCCTTTACAGAGCAGGATGCATTCCATTCATCTGAACAGAAGAACTACCCACTAACATCCTGGATTGAGCTCCAGTGTTGGCTCTTATTCATCCATTGCTTAGGCTAGGTACAATTGCAACAGATCCACTGCTACTCCTGCAGTGGGGAACCCTGGGGTCTCAAATTTCAGCGCTCTGTGCAATGCCAAAAATTGTTGCCCCCTGCTTCTTGTGCTCCATTGTAAATCTGAGTTGTGGCACCCCCAAGACTCCATGCCCAGTGCAATTCCAAGCCGGTTGTGCTCCCCTGAATCCACCTCTGTACTCCTGCTTGATCTGTAGAAAAGTAGAGTTGTGTGTCATCAGTAGCCTGATGGCAACACAAGTTGAATAAACTCCCTCATGTGGTGATTCGGGTTGTGTGTTCAATTGGCCTTGCCTTATTCTAATTGAAGGATGAATCAAATTCCTTTGTCTTCAAGGACAAAAGAACATTCCTGTTTGACAATCACATTCCCTTAAGACATATGAGAATAATACACATTCGTCAAAAGGATGATGGGAGAGCAAGCATCTCTATTATGTTTACAGAGAAATTGGACTATCTGGGAAGAGATTAGTTTACCTGGAGATACTGCTTCTTCTTCTTCTTCCTTCAGCACTGTTATTTTTCTAGGAGAAGAGGTGCCAGAACTCACCACGAATGCCTCCCTTGTTCTCTTAGAATGGCACTGGTGCCCACCTGAGAGGTGCCGGAACTAAGTTCTAGCGAGTTCAGGCTGAAAAAAAGCCCTGTCCTTCAGTCACATGATCCTGCAATTATCTCTCAACTATCAGTTCATCATGCTAGGCTTGCTCCTTGGTTCAAGAGACATAGCAATCCAGAACCTCTTATAGACTGTGCCATGCAGTTGTCATTCACTTTCCTTAGACTCTAAAGTAACTGATACCTTTAACCTAGGCCACTTACACTGCGGGTGCTTTCACAAGTGCTGCTAAGAAATTGTTTTACAGTGGTACCTCGGGTTAAGTACTTAATTCGTTCCAGAGGTCTGTTCTTAACCTGAAACTGTTCTTAACCTGAAGCACCACTTTAGCTAATGGGGCCTCCCGCTGCCGCCACGCTGCTGGAGCACGATTTCTGTTCTTATCCTGAAGCAAAGTTCTTAACCCAAGGTAATATTTCTGGGTTAGCGGCGTCTGTTACCTGAAGCGTATGTAACCTGAAGCGTATGTAACCCGAGGTACCACTGTAATGTAAATAATGTAAAGTAAATGAATTTTTGTGAGAGTATTTAACATGGGGTAGGAAGCAAGACAGAGAAGTTTTAAACCAAATGCACATTTGAGCCAACAAAGGTTTTGCATTTGAACTGGAGATGTGGAAAAGCAAAAAACAAATTTCAGCCTCTTTTGTGAAAACAACCGCAATCTTCAGCTGAAGAATGGCATGTCCTGGCCTTGTTCTTCTAGTGTGTCACAGCTCTGCCCAGCCGGCTCACTTAATATGATTGCATAATCTGCTGTCCCTGAGAATCTTGCCCCTGGCTGGACAATAACAAACATGAGTCATAAACATGAACCAAGATTTGTCACCAGGGGCAGGAGGAGAAAAGGGAGGGAGAAGGAGGAGAGGAGAAGGAGTTGTGCAGAATTGCTGGGCCATGTGAGAGATTAAGCAGCCTCCTCTGAGGCAGAAAGAGGGAAGAGGGAAAAGAAAACTATGAATGGCACATATCTCAGGATCTGAGTTAGACCTTGTAGCCCTTTCATTCAGCGGAACCAGTATTGCTTCAGAAACAGGGCCCTTGGAGAAAAACTTGAGATTCTTTTTTTAATAAAAAGAAAACATGATGGGGGAACAAATGAGCAGTAATGCACTCTGAACCATCATTGGTATGAACTTTGGTAATATGAATATCCTAATAACATACAGTATTGGTTGAATGGCTTACTTGAGTTTAAAAAGAAAGCCTGGTGTGCCCTCCCCCGCCCAAGTCTCATGTCTTAAGCAAAATGCACCAATTCCTTGCTTAGGCAGAAAGCAACGTTGTTTATGGGCAGAATTTGTTCAGCAGGGAAGGGGTTTAAAGGCAGATTTGTGCGCCTGAACTCATTCCAATCAGTCCTATCTTCAGTTTCATAAAAAAACCAAAACAACTGGGAATGGTGGTGGCAAGAGAATAGAAGGTTTCTGGAGGCAGCAAATATGCTTTGAGAACAAATGAGTAATTTATAATGGTTAATGCATAGTGTTGCTTAACTCACTGTTGTGTAGGATAATGATGAGCTGTTGCAAGTTATACCTAATGAGATGATTTCCAACTCCATATTTAATAAATGAAATGGTGTAGCCAGGATTGTATCATGCCCACTGCATGACCCACATCCCTAGCATGCTGTGAGAACGTTGTGTACTGAAGTGCACTAATTACTTAGTGAAACCTCCTTGCACCACAGTAATTGAGAGTATTACATGATTTACGGCTATTCCCCAGTACACTCACATACCTACAGTCCTGTGTAGGATTGTGGAGTGCTCAGTGTGTAACGTTGGGGTTGCTTGTGGACACAAAATTCTCCCCAGGACTCTCTTTTTAGGTCATAAAACACTGAAAATCACCACCACCACTTGTTACAGGGTTACTTCTTTTTTAACAGAAGAAACTCTTCCATGGGACCTCTAAATACTTGTTGGGACGCGGGTGGCGCTGTGGGTTAAACCACAGAGCCTAGGACTTGCCGATCAGAAGGTCGGCGGTTCGAATCCCCGTGATGGGGTGAGCTCCAGTTGCTCGGTCCCTGCTCCTGCCAACCTAGCTGTTTGAAAGCACATCAAAGTGCAAGTAGATAAATAGGTACCGCTCCGGCGGGAAGGTAAACAGTGTTTCCTTGCACTGCTCTAGTTCACCAGAAGCGGCTTAGTCATACTGGCCACATGACCCAGAAGCTGTACACCGGCTCCCTTGCAACCCCAGAGTCGGTCACGACTGGACCTAATGGTCAGGGGTCCCTTTACCTTTATCCCCACACACAACAGGGAACACTTTGTTAACTAAGGAGGATTCAAAAATGCTGAGTAGGGGCCAAGTGGCAGAGTGAGTGGTTAGAACTTGAGTGTAAAATTAACCCCAAAGGTCAGGGGTCCCCAACTTTTTTGGGCCCAGGAGCACGTTTGGAAACCTAGGGGGACTGTCACTGATGCCACAAAATACCAATTTCACAGAAGAAAAGCTGACAATGCTCAGAACCTCTCTCCAAAACACTCTTCCCAAACAGCCAAACAACAAACTCAGGAAAATGCCCCAATCTGAGCAAAAGAAAAAGCAGGCAAAACTTATGGGCGTTGTAGTGCAACAAGACCTGGTCTGCAACATAAAAATATAAGTAGGTTTGTCAGGGAAGGCAAGAGTTTGCACACTTTCAAAGATAGGGAAAGAACAATAAAACAGAAAGGTTCAAAAAGCCACAGCCAACTTCACACACACACTTAGCTTGATGATCTAGCTGTCGAGTATGGAGTCTGATTTCAGATTATATGAATTCAATCCTAGGCTATCTTTAGAAGAAAAACTGCTGCTGGCACAATGGTCTCTGGCCCTGGTAACTTCAGCAAACAAAGGAGAAATCAGGGTGAGGAGGGAGGGGTTTCTCTCCTTCCCATAAGCATATTTAAGTATTCTTCCCAGAGGCAATGTTCTGAGCTTTCTCCTCTCCAGGGAAGGAACTCACTGGGCAATTTCACCCCAATTATAGTGAAACCAGAACCGGAGAAGGAAAGAAAATATGATTATTTTGGAGCAAAATGTTTCAGGCTATCACTTCTTGTGGTTACAGGGTGACACATTAGCTGGGCAATCAAGGGGAAGGATAAAACTATCTTACCGTACTTAACTCAGGGGAGATTTGGAAAGGTGTCAGCTAAGTGGCAGACAGCTAATTTATGTGACAGAGAAACATGAGTAAGTGAGGTGTCAGGCTTCAAACAGCAATAAGGAAGAAAGGGTCGTCATAAGTCATGACCAAAGTTTGGTTCTTCTAGCTAACCTCTCACCCCCTGTAATGCTGTCCACAAAATTCAATTTGTGAAATGTTCCTCAGTGAATTGGTGTGTGGCATTATATGCCGTGCCATAAGGCCAGTCATAGAATAAAGTTTTGCCACAGTATATTATTTTTAAACAGGGATGCATGCAATCCTTCCTGGGCAATGTTTGCCAATGCTGTGTGTATAAAGGGAAGCCAAGCTTATGTCATTGCTATGTGGGATGGAAAACATCCACAAATAGCAGCAATTGACCCAAAGCTTTACCTGACAATTAGTGGCTTCGGAAGAGCCAAAATAGGCTCTGAAATGTCATGCCACCTAGTTGAAATGTATTCAAGTTTTTTCAAAAGCTGCTCTCCCACAGATCATAGCAGTGGCACCGATATGTGGATGTTTTCTCGCTGGACACATTAGGCCAGATATCTTTTAAGTAAGAACACAGTTTCACAGCCTAAAAATCAGGGATAGACAAAATGGCTCCCTCCAGATGTTTTGGATTGCAACTCTTCTTATCATCCTTGGCCATTGGCCATGCTGCTTGAAGCTGATGGGAGTTGGTGTTCAACAACATTAAGAAGGCCATGGGTTTCCCCCATCCCTGGAATGTGGGACTGAAACCTAAGCTGGTTTCAAACTGTTTCTGGCATATAGGACAGAAAAGAGGTAATTCCCTTAGCTGCAGCAACCATCACCATACCAACAACAACAATAATATCCATCTAACATATTAGTATGAAGTAAGACTAGACAGGGCAGACTGAAAAAAATATATAAAATGAGCAGAGTTTCCCTCCCCCCCCCCCCACCAAACAAATAGCTACAATCTCTTTAGAACAGGAGAGAAATCTGATACAAGATCCAATTTCAAGATGTAAAGTAAATCCTTTGAGTAAGAAAACACGTGCATTCAAGGGGTTTTATGAGAGTTTCTAAATCCTGGTTTAAGACTCCTTAGAGATCAGCCTTATCCCTTATTCAAAAAGCCAACATGTTGCACAATCTGTTCCAAGTGGCACATCTGATCAGATAGAGGAGCAGAAATTATGCATTGCTCATTCCTCCCTTCCACTGTTTTATTAAAACACAAGCAATGGTAGAACTATTCCCACTGATTTTCTTCTTACTGTTCCTATAATCTTCTCTAAACTGCTTGTCTTTATTACATTCATTGAGTTCATGTAGTGCTGGATTAGCTATCATACAAATATATAATGTCAACATCATACTGTATAGCTATTGGGAAAGCAATCTCAAGCACACCCAGTAAAAGGACCTATTAAGATTCTTTGCTGCTTAGTACAAGGAGTGTGGTGACCATGTTCTCAATGTGTGGGTGCAGGAAATTTAAAGTACTGGTAGCTTGCCTAACAGAAGAAGCAGATGGACCATGTTATTTATAATGTGGCAGATTTCACGTGCAAGATCAGTAGCACATTCACCCTCAGTGAACCCTCCTTAATATGCGAACTGAGATATTTCAGAGGCTCCATAGAATCTTCATATACTGTGCAAAGTGAAAAGGATAGCCCTGTTTGGACAAAGTGCCCCTTATGGATCTTGCTACCTCTAGCACCTGCCCTGCCGTTGGGTCTGCCTCTGTGAACGGTTGTATGGCAAAAGCAGAGTAGAGTACTGCTTGAATGTTTCACAATTTATGATCTCATGGCCAGTGACAATGAAAAGGCGTCTTACTAATCTACCATGGATTTTAATAACCAATCAAAGAAACACAACCAAGTAAGTGCAGGTGAACGGGAGCAGATAGCTAAAATTCAGGCAACTCAGTTGGCATTTGAAAAGTTCAGTTATCTTTCCAGAGCTAAGAGATGCAAACAACATGTTTACAGTTTCATTTGGTGGGTGTGGTCTAGGGGGTGATCCTGCTCTTCCCCTTCTAACAGCAGCCTCATATGCAGAAATTCAACAGGTAAAGCTTTTCTTAGCATGCAGCTAAATAGTTGGGAAAGTACCTATCTACCATCAAAGTAACCAAGAATCCAGTTTTATTGTAGCATACAAATTTTCATGCACTAGAGTCCACTTCAGCAGCAAAAAGTTTTGGATACTCCACAATTATTGGGGTCTCATTTGGGATTTAAAAAAAAAATAAAATCCCAAAAGTTTGTCATTAAAAAATATGTTCATCTTTAAGACTCCATAAGACTCTTCCTTCTTTTTGCTGCAAAGACTAACATAGCTACCTGATCAGAGGCCAGACAACTGAAGCCATGGCACAAGGCAGAAAAGGAGAAACCAGGAGGAACAATCGATTGCAGAGAAAGCCAGAACTGGAGAGCAAGTCAGGGCTAGAGGAGAAAGCAAGATGCATAGTCAAATAACAGGTCAGACCCAAAAAACAAAACTGAGAAGCAGGGCAGAACGAGTCAAGACCAGAGAACAAACCAGGTCTAGAGGGGCACACCAATTCTAATGATCACAACACTGGTGTGTAAGCAGTCGTGTAAGCGTGGGAATGCACTGCCAATCCTCCCAGCATGTCATCTTTATTTTTGCTTTCTTAAACCGATGCTCAAACGTTTTACCAGCTTTGTTTCCCCACCCAAATGCCTCCTGTTTAGGAAAAAAATATTTTTGGTATGATATATGCATTTCTAGAAGCTGTAATTGTTGTCATCCCCCACCCAGCCACCCCAAAATTGAATTTACATAAAATATTTGATTTGGTTGACTTTTTATCTTTCTTTTCCAAATTAGGCACCATGAGTAGAGGAGACTCCCTGCTGCAAACTGCAGTGTGGTGGTTCACCACACGGGGGAGCTGCATGCATCTCCTGTGGCTCCTGACACTATCCCTCTAGTCTAGTTACTTGCCATAAAAAAAAAAATATTAGGAGCTGCTTGTCACACTACAAAATTCTAACACAGAAACATATATTATAAGTAGGTATTTATAAAATCAGTTCTCCCCAAACTTTTCGCCCTCAAGGGGCTCCCCAAGGCACCTGACAACATCAGTTTCTGAATAAACGTGGCTAATAAAGCTCCATGGTGGGTTGCAACTCTAGGCGTGTTTGCTAAGGACTGAGTCCCATTAATATCAGTGGGTCTAACTTCCTTTTTTGAGTGTTATCATTGCCTGCCACTTATTACAAACTTGCCCTATTCTGCAGGGCTGGCTAGGGCAGTACCACACTGTGCTCCCCCAACAGTGATGTCAATGCTGCTTTCTGGGATGGAGTGGAGCTGCGAGTTCCAATCCTGTTGGTGCTCCTGCACAGCCCTGACCTCACTTCTACTCTGCTCTATCCTGTCCTGGTAATTTGCAGTAATGTCGCTGTTGGGAGGCCTGCTGTCTGGCACTGCCACATCACTGCCTTCACAGGTGTCCTTTGGACACTTAGCTCTCAGCCATACCTGGCCATGCTGCAAGGATAGGTAAGGACATAATGTTATAGGTTGTGCTTGGCACAAGGTGGGAAAGGAATCTGGAGCCAAACCCAGTGAAGCATTAGGTTGCTCTTTCTGTCCCATGGCTGATTCTGCGCAAAGGTTTCACCTCTTCCATGGCTGTGCCGCTGCCATGCCAACAGAGGCCAGGCCATCAGAGGGTGGGAGATTTTGCAGGTAGTGGGGTCTCTGTGGGAGCCCCCACATTGCTCAAAGGGCCTCAGGGCCATTCACCTCAGTGGGACTTGCCTCCCATTTTAACTGTGCAAGGGATCAAGCAGGGAGAGCCCCCCTTTTGCCCTTAAACAGCTTCCAGGCAGGCAGAAATCCAGAACCGAAACTTAAGGTCTGCAAATAATAATACCCTGAAGATCTGATTCTTTTCTTTCTGTATAAGAACAAGCATTAAAGAAGCATTAAAGAGGTAACAGTTGGCCCTGGAGAATATTAACCACTCTCAGTTTTACCCGTGGACTGCCATCTGTCCAAATTTTAATTTGCTCTGAACTAATTTTAAGATGTATTTTAATTAACTGATTGCCTGTTTTTACGTTCTTATGTTCTTTGTAGACAGTGTTAGTTTTATGATGTTAGCTGCCCTGAGCCTGGCTCTGGCTGGGGAGGGTGGGGTACAAATAAAAATTATTATTATTATTTTCTCACCACTGCATCTCCATGCCAGGGAAATACTCCACCTGGAAGTTAAAGATCCCGAAAAAAGGAGACCAGCCCTATCCACCCAAGTGTTTGTAGGACATGATCACTACCGTTCTCACGTGGCCAAATAAGAAACGCTGGTGCTTGTTACCGTGGGCAGACGTTTCTTACTGGGCAAAGTCGGTGCCTGTCAATGGAGGCAACACCTAAGAAAGGGAAAGCGCAGGTGGAAGCAATTCCCATTGCTTGACCGTGAAGTTTGGCCCTTGGATTCCTGTTCCCGGCAAAAAAAATAATTTTATTAGCTTAGGAGGACCCGCCCCGCGCCCCTACATAGCGCTTGCTGTTGCTTAGACTCTTAACTCGGAGGAGGTGTAGGACTCGGGTGTCCCGGGACGAAAGAGAAGGGGTGGGGCTTGTTACGGATTAATTCCCACGGGGCTGAGTTTTGAGCAAGCACGTGCTTAGACCGGTTCCTTGAGGTTCCCGAGCCGCAGCTCGGAGGGGCAAGTTCTTGGGGGGGGGGGGGATGTCCTCGCTTAGCAACTTTCTTTGATTACTGCGCGTTTGGAGCTTTTATGAATGAACTTGAAGTTGGTGTCGTTCCGCAGAATCGCCGCCGGGTGGCAGCAGAGAGCAGCGCGCCCGTGCGCCCGTGTGGAAGCCAGCCCTCCGCCGCTCCTTGATAAGCCAGGCAGCGAAGGGTTGCAACGCCCGGGCTCCCGGAGCAGCAGCAGCAGCAGCGCCCTCCGCACGCGCCGGGTCGTCCCCTCTCCATGAGGCTGCGGCGATGGAGCGCGGCTTGTCGGACTCCGGGGAGACCTTGCGCAGCAGCAGCGGCGGGCCTTCCCGCGAAGTTGTGCTCTCGGGGATCTTCTCGCTGGCCCCGGCGGCGGCGCCCAAGTCGAGCTGCGCCCTGAGCCTCACCAGCAGCGCCGAGCTGCTGCTCCGCCGGCTGGACACGTCCGAGCCCAGCGGCTCCATCACGGCGCTCAGCCTCTCGGACTGCATCGGCTGCTACGCTTTCCAGAGGAAAGGCGCTCCGGAGCCGGCGGCCGCCTACTTCACCGTCTTCTGCTACCCCTTCAAGAAGGGCTGGTGGGTGTCCGGGGAGTCCCGCCACAGGGTGGCCAAGACTTTCCGCGTCTTGGAGTCCCAGGAAGCCGAAGAGAACCGAAGCATCGCCGAGACCTGGGCTCGGAAGATCATGGAGCTCTCCACGCCGTCCACCCTCAGCCTACAAGGTGAGCGAGTGCCCCGCCCGGAAAGTAGAGGCGTCTCTATCGCGGGATGGGGGGGGGGGGACCGAGCTGGCAAACGCGGGCTCCGGTTTCACCTGCGCTCCAGGAGGTGTATGTTTACTCGGAAGCAAGCCCCACTTAGACCTTGGTGGTTCAATCCCACCCTGGCAAGGCAGTGGGCAGGATTCCTGCATTGTAGGGGATCGGACTAGATGACCCTTGTGGTCCCTTCCTGCTCTATGACCCCGAGGAGGAACCCCTCCCCCGCCTGGTCCTCAGTTTTCAGTCTGGTGAAATGGGCACAGCAGGGGCTTGCCTTTTCCCTATGTTGTAAATCGCTTTCCAGATTTATCAGTTGACTATAAAATGGTTAAAAATAAAAACCCCAAACTCTCCTTTACCTTTACCATGTGAGCCACAAATGCCTGAAACAGGCATAGTTCCCCCTGAGAGGGGCATTTCATTTTTGTGAAGCTCCTACTCAGAAAGTAATTACTTGCGGGAAAGTGTTTATTTGTAGAAATTAACCAGTGCAGTTGCTATTCCGGTTGTCTTGTGTAACAATCGCTCCAATGTGCATTTAGTGGTGGGTGGGTGCACATGCACTTTGGGAAACAGTTGCCAATTTATGCCAGCATATTGTACATGCATCAAAATGAACACAGGTCTGCAAGTCAGTTTGCGAGAGTAGACTTACACATTGTAGATTCATTCCTGTGCATAACTTAAATGCCTTTCATACAGGAAATTTGTAACATGTGAAGTGTGGGCTGTGTAGCATGGCTTTTTACTTGCTTACTCAGAAGCAAAAAGCTCATGGAATTAAATGGGACTCGAGCTGCAAACCTTAACACAATTACTGGGGAGTAAACCACTGAATTCAGTGGGGCTTTTCTGTAAACCTGCCTAGGATTGCATGTCTACTCAGGTACATTGTTAGGTGCATGGGTGCCGGCCTATCACTCAAATCTATATTAAGTTTGCATATGTTAATTTATGCGTATAGATGCCTCTGAGATATAATGACAGTGGTGCTTGACTAGTTCTCACCAGCACTGCACTTCACAGTTGAACTTAGAGTAGGGTTACACCAGGGAAGAACCACCTGTGGTCCTTCTTATGTTGCTGAACTACAACTCCCATCATCCTGACCATTGACCATGCTGGCTGATGGGGGTTGGAGTCCGGCAGCGTCTGGAGGGCAACAGGTTAGCCATTCCTATGTTAGAGTTAGATGGGTTAGAAATAAATGCAAATTAATGTTGGTCTCATTGTAAGGCTCTTTAAAATTCTCTCACACACAAATGCTCAGAGGACATACACAGCTTCCTCCTCCAGCTTGTCTGAGCAGATCAGCTGAGGAGGGAGTTATTGTGGCTCCTCACTCACTGATTGATTGATTGATCAATCAATCAATCGGATGGGTATAAGAGGGTGATTTGCATCCCCATTAGCAGGTTGAGCTCTGTTGAGCAGAGGGGATTACCTTCCAGGGGTGTGTCTACTAAATAATAATTTTAAAAGTAAAAAAATTGGCCTCCACCGCCAAAATTAATAGGATCTTGTGGGCCAGAAATATTTGCTTGTTGGGTCTGTGTGATCAAACCCCTGAAATGGGGGTTAGTCACCCCTGCTTTAGAAACTTAACTCTCAAACCTGCAAACCACAGAGGCTTTACCTCTGCCATAGTCCTGCTGAACTGACCTGACCTCCAGAGGTAGCACAAAAGGGGTGGGAGTGAGGAGCACTCTCTGACCAGTAGCTTGTCCCCTTCACCATTGCTGGGTCCTTGAGGCTACTTGATTATAATTTAATAATCAACTGCAAATTGAAATAGCACTGATTAAAATTACAATTATCTGAAAGTTCATTCCATTAAAAACAAGTTCAGGTAACTGACAACTTACACCAATTTAACTTGTGCTCATTCAGCTTTATGCACTTGGCAAAAAGTATAAATAAATAAAAGGGGGTGGGATTTGACTATATGCGATTTTGGCTTTATGCACGATCTGCAGAACGTAACTCCCACATAAGTGGAAAGTTGTCTATACACTATTCTTGCTCTTTCAGAAAACAAACTTGTGGAGCAAAGCTCAGTTCCTCCAGCCTTCCCCACAAGAGTTTTTCTTATACAGCCACTGTGGAAGCAGTCTAGTATTGCTCTGAAACAAATTGTGTATGGGCTGCAGTTGCAGAAGGTGATAACAAAAAGGAAATTTTCTTGTGCTTTTTAAAGAACATAAGTGAATTGCTGGATCGGCCTTAAGGCTATCTGTCTGGTCTCTGGTTCCCAAGAGCAGCCAGGTACATTTTTGAAGTTTCAGCATCTTCCATGGCATTTCCTATTTCTTCTTGCACAATATTTGCACCTGTGTTCCAAATCTAGTTGCACAGATCATTATGGAAAACCATCTGGTTATGTCACCCTGATATTTTTTATCAGCAAAGTTGTCACCTCAGCAAAGTTTATCAGCAAAGTTGTCAACTTAAATTCTCCATATAGCAAAAATTGTGATAAAAGATGTTCAGCTTTGTTTCTAGGCCTCATGAGGGAAAGGCAGTTGCATGTAGAACCCAAATTAAAGCCCCGTATTTCAAAAGCAAAGTCACATAGGGATGTTTACCTTCCTGCTAGAAGATACAGAACCTTACAGAAACATGTTGAAAGAGCTGGTGTCAAACACTTCACAGCGTGGGAAAGGAGATGGAAATCTCCTAGCTCATCTTGCTAAATATTTGGTGAAAACCACAAGGCCAAGTGTGCTGCTGAGTCTCTGTGAAAATGAATGAACTGTGGATGAAAGCTGGAGGACTAAGTCTTTATCAGAGAGAGGAAAGGGACATATGTGCTATGCATCTTAGCAGAAGTGTCCCTGGTACCACTGAGCAAATAGCTAGATGGTCTGCAGCACAGGACTGTGTGCTGCAATCAATGTTTCAGAGAGGCGTGTTTCTCAACAGTCAACACTAAACTCCCAAATCCTCTTAGTTTCTGCCTGTGCAATAGGTTGTGCTGACTCCCGGCTGCAAACCAGTTTGACAAGGCAAGCCTGAGTATCCCGTGTGCATGTTAACCAGGTGATGGGTGCCTCTCCCAAAGTTGTTGTGCCACGCTCTCAAGTGACAATTCATTTCCATGCACACCCTAAGTGATTATTTTTTAAAATCCACGTGAACACCAAGAGCTGGTTGTGGCTAGATACAGGAATGTTCAGTTGTGTGCAAACCAACTTCATATTGGTTTATTTAAGAGCATCACACTGGGTCTCTGCAAGGGTCAGAGGTTTTGCAGGTTTTTATATTGTTTTGGAAACCTCCTTGACCAGGGGAAACAGTGGGATAAGACTATGGTGCCCCATGGGAAGCCAGGCTCTCTTGAGAACTATTGTTATCGTTTCATCCCTAGGTTACTCACACTGATTTGCTCTTTGCTATTTTTCTGCATCGTTGTCCAGCCTGTTGAATAATAAAAGTGGAACTTGTTTGGTGATCTGAGTCATCTCAGAAGCCGGTTGAAACATACTTTCCCAGAAATCAGTTGAATTTATTTCCCAAGACCATTATTGCTCTTAAGGTTGTAACAATGGCTATTTTTTGTTGTCAGCTGTCTTGGCAAATCCATTTCTTGTAGTATATTCATTACAGCTCGCAGTACATTCAGTACAATAAAGGAGCTCGTATTCAGTCTAATGCTAGCTCCTTTATTTCCCCCTTTGAAAACTCTGGCTTAGAAAAAAGAACTGGAATGCTACACATCACAAAGTTGGCCAAAGTTAGCCAGGAGGCAGTTAAAAGCACAGAGCTACCCTGGGCTATTTCCCTGACTACAACAACTCCATAAACATGTCATTGCTGCTACTCAGTTACGAGACTATTCCAGGGATTGCCAACTTCTCCACAGCTTGACCAGACCTCACCATGTGTCGGTACTTGAATGATGGTGTGGGGCAGGAAAGAGAGAAGCATTCTTGGAGAAATCCACAAGACCAGTCCCAGAACCCCTTCCCAGTCATGCCTCCCAGTAGCTGTCTAAAACCAGTATTTTTGGGGTGGAGGGCAGCACAAAAGGTAAATAAATGCCTGTGCCTTCCCTGCCTCTTCCCCCAATAAAGTGAACCGGCTTAGTCAGTTCTGGCAAGGTGTGGGCTAGGCCCATGTAAAACTATGCTCTGATGCCCCCATACAAGCCCCCAACCCCCTGCTCTATCTATAGCCCCCACCCCATGAGCCAGGCTTGAGACCTGATACCAGAGTAAAACAGGCTTGAGTTTATCTAGCAGGCTGTATACAACACTTGATCGTTTAGGGGCTATGTGTGGCAGCAGTCAGGATGGAAGATGGGTGTATCTCGGAATGCTGGTTCTGTTGGCGTTTCTGACAGTTTCTTAGTGAACTTCCATGCTAAGCGAGGTTTTGAACCAAGGTCTCACCAGTCCTTGTCCAATACCCTAACCACTCTAAGCCACGTTAGTTCTCAAATGATCCCTTCCAGTGTGGTGCCTTCTAAAATCTTTATCTCAGTTAGATTATCTCTGTCTTAGATTTGAGTTGGTTTTCTGTACCTGATGTTGTTTTAAACTGCTTTTAATCTCTCTCTCTCTCTCTCTCTCACACACACACACACACACACACACACACAGAGAGAGAGAGAGAGAGAGAGAGAGATTTTGTATATGCAGTTCTTTTAACTATTTTAACATACACCACTATTTTTGTATGTTACATTCTAAGTTGCTTCTGCATACCTCATGGGAAGCAATTCACAAATGAAAATATTAACCTCAAAGAGCCAGTGTGGTGTAGTGGTTAAGAGCAGTGGACTTGTAATCTGGTGAACCGGGTTCGATTCCCCGCTCCTCCACATGCAGCTGCTGGGTGACCTTGGGCCAGTCACACTTCTTTGAAGTCTCTCAGCCCCACTCACCTCACAGAGTGTTTGTTGTGGGGGAGGAAGGGAAAGGAGAATGTTAGCCACTTTGAGACTCCTTCAGGTAGTGATAAAGCGGGATATCAAATCCAAACTCTTCTTCTTCTTCAATAGTAATAATAATGATAATCTCATAGCCAGAACCCACATGATCAGAGGTTGGGTCCAGGCCTATGAGGTTGGGTCATTTGACCATCTTCCTAGCTGCATGGAATCTGCTCCTGTAAAAAGCAGCTGCCATTTGGCTAGGGTAACATTTAGCAGGCCCCTTGTTGGCTGTTTCAGAAGAATATAAATGGACTCTTTGTCTGGGAGCAGGAGGGTGCTGTGATAAGATAATCATTCTGTGTAATGTGACTCACAAGCAGGAACATATAATCTTCTGATCACACACCGTTCTGAAAAAATTCACGTGATTGTGTGGACCAGCTCAGTCTTTTTCTTAGGCATGCACTTGCAAAGGTGGGAAAAGTTACACGGCTTATTTAAGAAAACACCTGTTTCACAATCAGTAAGGGAGCACTACTTTAGTAAATTGAAAGGTTTTAATCCTGATTGACTAACACATTGCGGATCTAGTGGAGACCAGACCCCCGCACTGCAAGCCCAATATACTACCCTGTGTGTATGTATGCACATAAAGCCATACATACTTTTTTTAAAGGTCTAATTGTAGGAAATGTTGACTGTCCCCTCTCTTGAAGCCAAATTAATTCAGTGCCTTTTGAATTCTCGGGATCGAGTCTTTCACTCTAGTTAAATCCTGTGTTGAAAATGTTAGTCAGAGATGAATGTTAGCCAGAGCTCCTATTCATCAGCACAGCTAGTCATCCATGGATCTCCCATGTGACATCAGTGCATGCTGCAGAGCTGGGCCGGAGGAATTTGGAAACCACGTGACCGCTTTGAGCAGCACGTCTGGCTGGGTCTTCCATGTGGTGACTCAGCACCCCCTCCCCACCCCATCATTAGTGCTAAATGCACAGGCGGTGGGAGCAGCAACACAGTTGGCCTTGGAGAGTGAAAAGGATTCCTCCTATACAATTTCTGTTCTCCCTCTGCGTCCTAGGCAGGAGGGAAAGTAGAGCAATTATACCACACAGCTCCTCTCTCTGTGAGAGATCTCCTGGTGGGGGATGCTAAGAGAGAGTGACACGGGGAGTGATGGCAGCTGACTCTGTGGCCAGAATGTTGCTTTGTAATCCAGTTCGTGAACTGACAGATGAGGAGAAGTGGCGGGGAGAGATAGCCAGAAGACGCTTCTTCTTGGTTTGGTCATTTTGCCTAGAGAGAAATGGAGACTTGGCCTATAAGGAGCTTCCGCCCCAACCCCCCGCTGTTTAGCAGCTTGTCTATCTAAGGCCTCCAGAAACCTTCCTGTCCCAGGCAGATTTAATCTTATCGGTAGGAGCATATGTTCTCCCCTGCCCCACCTGCTCCTCCAAAAGTGATTTGCACTTTCTCCTCTGTCCCAACTTCTCTGCATTTTAGTCTGAAACCCTTCTGGGTGCTTCTCAAAAACAGGCGAGTGGCTGTGCCAGAATTAACCAGGCCAACAGTCCCCATAGGTTTGCATTTGTGTAAATGGAATTGGTGTGGAGAGAGTCATCTAGGAGCAGGCAGAGTGTCCCCACTCCCTACTTTAGACATAGCCAGGATTTTTAAAAGATCGATGGACATCCTAGAACTCTCTAGCCCTATGCAGAACAGAATTCCCTTCTTCTGAAGCCTTCCACTCTCTGAAATCTGTAGGTCAGGCACAAAACATGAAGAGCGTCCCTGTGTTTTGTAATTTGCTACACCATCTCTTGCTCTTGGGATGGGATCACAGAGTGCACTTCAATAAAACAGCCACTGGTACCATTTAGCATGGTGGTCACACCCATGTCAACAAATGTGATGGCTGAACAAGTGTCTGGTTTTACTTCTCCAACATCCATTGGCATACTTTGCTCTAGGTATTTTACAGAACTCCCAACTGAGGTCAGACATGCCTTTCGCTACTGAACTTTCAGCACCTACTCAAGGCACTTATTTTAATTCCAGCAGCATTTTAATTGATGTTTGCTTTTATTAGTTTCAACTGATTTTTTTTTTTTTTTGGTCTTAAACTGCTTAGAGACTATTGTAGGCCAGCGGTATATAATTTTTTAAAAAAAGTAAAACAACGTATTTATTTATTTATCCTACATTTATATCTCAACTTTCCTGTCATAGCACCTAGGGCAGGATGCACATTGTTCCCAGATCTATTAGCCCTCAGGATGGTGGTGGCCTCATGTGCCCTCAGACCAGACCCTGGAACATGTACAAGAAAGTGTGATCAGAGCCGATTCGGTGGCGAATGCAGATGGACTGTGTAAACTTTCTATGCCTGACAGCTTGTCGTTATCTAAATGCACTGACTGTATGTCCTACTCTGTGGTGTAGCCAAGCAAGGCAAAGTCCAGCTGGGGTAGGCATGGTTTAGGCAGGATACAAGGCAAGGCTCAGGCAGCGCTCTGGGGGACAGAGAGATCTGATGTTGCTACAAGATGCTGTTTTATCCAGGTTGCCCTGGGTCTCTTGCAGTGGAGTTCTCTGAGTCAGAGGATGGCAGTGCCACTTCCTTTTTGGGGTGGGGGTTGAGACCAGCCCTGCAGGTTCATCCGATAGCAGGGTGGCCCTGGGTCCCCTTCCTGCTTCCTGCTCAGATTCTTCACTTGCATCATCACCCAATGAAGAGGCATCTGACTCCTGGTCCCTGAGAGTGCCTTACAGAACATAGCTCCTGAAAAGTGCAGACACATTGCATCTTACCTTCTCGCACCCTTCATTATTACTGCATCCACCCCCACCCTTACTGAAAAGCTCTACCAACCTTCTTGTGAAAACTTTGGAACAGAAGTGTTCCATCATGTGTCTTCCTGGCCCTGGGCCCAGCTCTCTAATCTTCCAAGATGTTCTTAAAATTGCTTCGAAGTGAAGAACAAAAGATGAAAGGAAATCAGGCAGTTCTACAGAAGTTGGTGTTACTGGCAAGCTGGGCAGTGGCGACAGGGGAAGGCAGGCCACCCTAACCTCAGAGCACAAAGAACAGGTCAACGCATACCGTTTCTGTTCATCGTAGATCAGATGGTGTGAGGTTATTTAGCACGAGAACACAGATTTGGATACTTGTAGATGTGTGGCAGCCATGGCAGCCAGCCTATAGTAGCTTGACAGAATGCAGTGCCATCATTCAAAGAAATTTGCATGGGGCCAAAGCCACCGGAACTCTTCATGGTGTCCTCACAGGTCACTTCTAGTTTATTCCTAGACCTGGCCAAAGGTAGAATGGGTGACAAACAGGTCATGGTTATTTCCTGCAAGCCTTAAAGTATGTATGTCTTGGCTTATCGGCTTGGTTTTATGAGTTGTGCCACTTGTAAGCCAACATGATTGTGCCAAATGGATTTTAATTCAAACTGGGTAGCTTGCAAAGGCACATGTTTGTTTACACTTTAATTCTATATTCTCTTCTTTCAGAGCTATATCCAATATGGCTTTGGCTTACTTCGTATATCTCTGAACTGCTAATTTAAGATTCAGTGAGATGTGCCAGTTATTAATTTATGCTTGGTTGCAGTGATTAAAAATAAAATAAAAAGGCTAACATTACTGCCTCTGAAGAGGCACTGTCAGCACCCACTTGGCCTTGTGCTGGGGTATGTGTTGTGTAAAACTGATTCCTGAAGCTAAAAGTCAAGTGTTCACTTCCTTAAAAGCCCTCCTCCCAGTTACAGCCAAATATTGCCACTGGTAAGCATCTCCTTTTACTGAATTTCAAATACCGTATTTTTTGCTCTATAAGACGCACCAGACCATAAGACACACCTAGTTTTTGGAGGAGGAAAACAAGAAAAAAAATATTCTGAATCTCAGAAGCCAGAACAACAAGAGGGATCGCTGCGCAGTGAAAGCAGCAGTCCCTCTTGCTGTTCTGCCTTTGGGATAGCTGCGCAGCCTGCATTCGCTCCATAAGACGCACACACATTTCCCCTTACTTTTTAGGAGGGAAAAAGTGAGACTTATAGAGCAAAAAATACGGTATTTTTCTCTTTGTTGTCTTCCTGATGAACCCCTCCCAATTTATTTAGCAATGTCCCCCAGAACTTGATGCTTTCATTCAAATGTGGACCAGGTTTAGCTGGTCCCTTAGGTTAAAAAACAAACAAAAAACCCCAAGTCATCAGAGGGTGATACCTTAATTAGGACCAACTAAAATGTCACAAAGTAGCGAGCAAGTTTTCCAGTTCTTAAATTTGACTGTATGTTAACCAGCACAGCATCTAGCAGCTGTAAAAGAGTACTGTAGGTATTATGCCAGCTTGATTATTATTATTTATTGAATTTTTATGTCATCCTTCTTCCGAGGAACACAGGGTGGTTCACAATATGAAAACACAAAAATGCATAACATAGAAAAACAAACAAAAACAATACTCCCCCAACAGTTTAAAAGGCCACAAATTGTTTAATTAGCCAAAGGCCTGGGAGATGAGGAACAGTTTTGCCTGGCAAAACAGACATGAGGAACAGTTGAAGGAGTTGGGAGACTGAGAGGGGATATAATAGCCACCTTCAAATATCTAAAGGGTTGTCACATGAAGGATGGAGCAAGTTTGTTTTCTCCTTCTCTGGAGGTTAGGATCTGAACCAATGGATTCAAATTACAAGAAAGGAGATTTCGACTAATCATTGGGAAGAACTTTCTGACAGTAACATCTGTTTGACAGTAGAGCAGATTCCCATGAGAGGTGGTGGACTCTCTCCTTCCTTGAAGGCTTTTTTAGCAGAGGTTGAATGGCCATCTGGCATGGATGATCTAATTGAGATTCCTGCATTGCAAGGGGTTGGACTGTATGGCCCCTGGGGTCTCTTCCAACTCTATGATTCTATGATCTGGTCTACAACCACCCGTTAAAGAACCTTGCCCAAGAAGGGCAGCTGGCCAGTAATTAGATTTTCTGAATCCAGGACGTGCTTCTAAAGGAGTGGTCTTATCACTCCCTCCTTCAAGCAGGCAGGGACCACCCCTTCTCGTAAAGAGGCATCAGTCACCTCCCTGGCCTAGCCTGCCATCTCTTCCTTGCTAGTTTTTATCAGCCAAGAGGGGCAAGGGTCCAGAACACAAGCGGACATTAGACTTTTCCTCTGTGATCATCAGGCAAACTACAGTGTAGAAACTGGTTAGATAGGAGTACTTTGGTTGAAGTTCAATGTCATGTCCGTTGGACTATGTCCAAAAATTCCTGTTTCACTGATTAGGGCATTAGGCCTTTCATCAACTGCAACAGCCCCAATAAGCTGTAAAACTAGAATTTGGGACCCAAATATTATCTGCTTGTAAGGCATGTGGGGAACTGCTTTGCAGTTTGTGTATTGTGGTGCACAACAGTGCTTGCATTTCTACTAAGCTACATGTGCTGGCTCACATGAGCTAAAGGGAAGCTGTGCATGTGTGCTTATTGCACTCCAGGTATTTTGAGCAGGAAATGGTCTCTAGAAAACTAGGAAGTTAATGCCACTCTGCACATTAGTGCATAGCCAGTGGTGAGTTGGAAGATGGCACTGCCCTTCCCACCGTGTCATTGCTGCAGCTTACCTGGATGGGCTCGGCAGGGCAGCATTGCGGTGAGGCTAGGGCTGTGCAGGTGCGCCAGGGGGAAGAAGGCATGTTGACTCTCAGCTTATGATTCCCAGTACCTTTCACACCGATAGGCAGAAGATCAGGAAGATATACAGTAAACAGAGTTTACTCAAGATCCATGCCAAAGCACTTTGTGAATGATCAAAGTCCTTCACTTCCAGTGTGGGAATTTTTTTTAGCACCAATCTTGCTTAGGGGTGTTTTGTACGAATGAACATCCTTATAAGATTGCTTCCGTGTTACAGATAGGGAATATGTAGAAAAGATGGAAAGAAAACAGTTCAGAATTATAAAGAAGCAAGGGTCTGAAGGAGTTTTTCACATAATGTTTCCCTTTCTTTCTTTCTCTCTCTCTCTCTCCCTCTCTCTCTCTCTCTCTCTCTCTCTCTCGTATGCATGTTATAATTCAGTGCGATGCCCTTTGCATAGACAAGTAGTATATATATATCAGGAGTTTACACTTGTGGTGTGTTCAGAGAGATAAGAACAGTGTCATAGGATCGCTGCAAGCATACAGTTTCTTTCAAAAATAGAACCAAAGTTTATTCCATAATTCCATAATTAAAGACGGCACACTAGGCCCATGGGAAGTATCCCTTTAAAGACTGGCACCCAAGGCCATCAGACTAGTGCTATTTCAATAGCATAAGCAACATCTGTTGAATGAGCTTCCTAATGGTAATGCTACTACAGATAAGCACCAGTCTTGCTCTATACAGAAGTGTCTTCAGGTATAGGTATCAGAATAACTTATGGACCGAGTGACCATGGATACAGCAGCTCCCATAAACACAGCATTGCTTTATCTAGTTGCTTGATTGAGTGAGTCTTTGCTATTATTAAGCAGCCACAGTTGCTTGATTCATACTGTATATCGTCTCTTAGCATGCTTTCACATGGATAATTAAGACAGCTTGCATGTAGAAGGAGACGTTTTGAGTAAACTGGGGCGAGGCTTCAAGAGATACTAAGAGCATGCCCAGACAGGATCTTTCCATGCTCCTAGCAGTGCAGGGCTGCCTGGCCCTACCATTAGGTAGAGTATGGAGGCTGCCTCAGGTGGCAGATTCTAGGGGGCTGGGATCAAGCTGAGGTAGTGGAGGGCAGAGCTCTGTGTGCATGGCACACTGTTTATCCCATGTCCCCTAAACTAGCCTGTAGTGGAAACTAGCCTGTAGTGATGTAGTGGAAGACCACTCAGTCTTCCAGGCTTTTATACATGGAAAGGAGTTAGGGTGACATCCTATTCTTTGCCATAGGCAGCAAAATGTCTTGTGCTAGCCCTGTAGAGTGGGGCTGTGGAACATAATGGTGAAGAAAGTGAAACACTGCAGAGAGAATACTTGGGTTGTTCCCTCTGATACTATTGTTCCTGAGATACTTGCCACGTAGACAGTATAGTCCAAGATCTGTACAACCTACGGCTATGCTGCTATAAAAGCCATCATGACTTGCAATAATCACCAGCTTCCTCTTCTGGGGTAATGGGAAGGGTGAAATGTGAAAAGATGACACAGCAAGAATGCCGGCCTCTCACGAGTTGGCAAGTCTCTTGCATCACTCCATGCTGATTCACAGCTGTCTGGCCATAGCACAAACATCTGGCAAAAAAATTGCAGCGTGGCTCATTTTCTAGATGGGGCTCTGTGGTTTTAAAAATATGCAAGCTTCACCTTCTGAATGTATCCAGACAATTGATTGGGCACCTGGGTGCCTGGATCCAAGTCTTCAGAGGATTCATAAAAACCTAAAGGTTTATCCCAAGGTTACAAAATGAATCCATGGCTCAGTGTGAAGCTGCTAGTTTTAGAAAATCCTATTTATTATAGATCATGAGTGCATTGCTCTGTTTTATTTAGGGATGTTATAAATAAAAGTGCCAAGGCACTCTGGTTTTGGGGCTAGGTATGCTGTTTGGGTGCCTGGGTAAGGGGAATTGCTCAGGGATTTGGGACCAGGAGCTTGAAAATTCTGACCTGGTTCAGATATTCATATTCTGATCCTTTAAAACTTTCTTTTGGGGGATTAGGAATGTGGTGCAGGCTCCTCCTATCTCTCCTGCAAATGTCACCTCTCCTCCCCCTTCCCTGTTTTCTCTAACTTTAGTTTATCATGCTATGCAAATTGGATGAATCATGGTCAGTACTAATCAGGATTGCCTTCAGCCTATGGTCTGGAAGGAATGTGCTAACCATAGTTTTAATAATGGTCAGAGGAAACCAGGAAAGGGAAGAGCAAATCAACAGGCAAGTGTGGAAGGAGGGTCCACCACACGATCCCAGTCCATTTTTTTGAATAATGGAAAGTGACATTTGAAACAAGCCTGTCTCTAAGTTATTGGCCGCGTGGCAGTTTGCCAGCTCATATCCAGTCTTCCTCTGAAGGGCCCACATCTTTGTATACTTTTTCTCTGTGGTACATCCCTTGCTCAATAATTGGCAGAAAATGCTAAAGGGCATCAGCAGGCATTCTGTGGCACTGTCCCCACCATATTCACATGGCCCTTTTCTCCTAAAGTTGATGTGAGAGTGGAAGAAGAATTGGCATGCCTCTTAATCATTCATTTTTCTTCTATTGACTGTTGGAGGGTAGGTGGGGAAGGAATCACAGTCTGTGATGGATAATGTGTCAACAGAAGTCAATAAATATATTGGGAGACATAAGTGTGTGTGTGTGTGTGTGTGTGTGTGTGTTGCTCTTCTGAAATGGGGAGAGGAACATGGCTGTGCTTTGTGAAACCTTCCCTGCTGAATTAAAGGCTTGTTAAGCAAAATCTCTCTTTAGATTTCCCATGCATCTGATAAGACCTGATTCAGCAGGTGAGCCACCGCTGTGGAACAATCAGAAGAACTTGGAGCCAAGGGAATTAATTGGTGCACAATATGATCAAAATACAGGTCAGGCAAAAGTGTGGATGAGCCCGCAGTGAAATTTATTGATAAAGGAGTGGATTTAGGCTTAGTCATCTTGCAGTGGATCTATTTGAACCAATGGGATTTAAGATGGTCAAGACTAACAATGGGTTACTCCAGGGATAGCTAACCCATGGCTTTCCAGATATAGTCAGACTCCAACTCTCATCAGCCAGTATGGGTATTGGTCAGGAAAGATGGGAACTGGAATCCATGAGTGAAGATGAGGGGGGAATCATTCTCCAACAGAATGTAATGGGCAGGCACTGTGTTTTGAACTGAATAAACTCTTCAGTGAACTAAACAAAGTGAATGGAGAATGTTTTATCCTCTTGCATGATGAGAGGATGACTGCTATAAAAGGATTGTGCAGCAAGCTTACAGTGAACACAAGAAAGCAGTTGTAACACAGCACGAAGCTGAACTGTGTGGATTTCGTGTTCACTCACAGTACCAGTATCAGAGTTCAAAAAATGACTGCTCACTCGGTAGAGCGTGAGACTCTTAATCTTAGGGTCGTGGGTTTCAGCCCCATGTTGGGCAGAAAGACTTCTGCATTGCAGGCGGTTGGACTAGATGACGCTCATCGTCCTTTCCAACTCTAAATTCTATGATTCTATAAAAAGCTCTTAAAAGATACACATTTCATTGAAGAGAGATGTTCTAGTAAGCAACTGGCTCTGTTCTTAAAGTGAACATCTATGATATCTCACTGAATTCTTTAATAGATGCTGTTTTATCAGATATGTATTTGTGGAATAAGGGCAATATGTGCTATGCACAATATTCATGGGCACAAAGTACAACCCCATGCCCATTGGCTGGTAGCAGGTGCATGCTAACCAGTCTGTAGCACAAAAATGTAGTTTTTTTCTCAGTGTGGAATCATTGTGCTTGTTTGTCCTCAGAATGCTGCTTTCGATCTAGATGGATTCTAGATCCTGCTGTCCGCAAAGATGGGTGTGTTTACTGGATGCACGTTTGAAAACCCTTCCCTTGGTGAGCTTAGATGCACCTTTTCCTCCCTGCCCATGCCCCAGGTGAATGAAGGAGGAAGTGGTGATTGTGAATGTATCCGCACCCACCCACCATGCCATTGTGCAAGTGCGGATAGACACACACCCCATCGCCAGGACTGCCTACATCCATTTTCACCTATTTCCAAATGAACACACTGTGAGGTTATGAAACTACAATGAGCTTTAATTTTCAGAATGAAACCAGTTTCTCAAGAAGCACTTGTCAGAAGCAAAAAAGATATGCAGTAGTTCTAGACTGTGATGTGGACTTAGTAGAAAAACAAGTACAGTACTCAGTCTCCAGTGATTCCAGAATAAAATGTTAGGTGTATACAACCATTCTGATTACAACAACCAGGCTTCTGTAGTCAGAACAATATTGTGTTTGTTTGGATGGGGGGGGGGGGACATAAAATTGAAACACTGAGTAAAGGAGAAGCTTTAATTCTGTCTTGTCTCTTCTGGCTAGTGTGGATGTGAATCTTTCGTTTTTTTATTTCTCTCCGTTTCTCAGTTTCCCAATCTTAATTTCAGTTCTCCACGTTTGTGTGTTCTTTTTTTAAAAAAATCCTCATGGAAGATTCAGCAGCATTTTAGCGTAAAGTTCTTATATTATACAGATTTTTGCAAGCCATTTCCCCCTAATGTAAAGCGCTTTTGTATGTTATTTTCATCAAAGTATTCATTTTTATGCACGCTTACCCCCAAATACCTGTTTTTCTACACTCTGTTTGACTGGAAAACTGCATCACAAAGTTTGGTTCAGTGCAAACTTCAAAGGATAGCTGTGTTTTGGTTTGCATATTGCTTTGAAAAGTGCAAATTAGGTAATTCTTCCTTCAAATGCACACAAAACCAAATTTATCCCTTGTCTTGGAACTATCTAACTATCTAGCCTTTGCCTGCTCTTCCTTCCCAGTAGCGTATAATCCTTAGGGACAGGCTGTTGTCATTTCAGAGCTTTCTGAGCTGCAGAACATGGTTTGCTTTCATGATGATGTCTGTGTGCTGCCCCATCCTCCTCTCAGACATGACCAAGCAAATATTTCTGGCAGCATCAGCATTTTCTCCAGCTCTGTGCTAGAGTCAGCAAAATCTTAACTTGACTGAGGGAGCTGGAAAGACCTAAAACTGTATTACCAACTTTCTGGAAAGCACTTTTCTGAAAGATGCAAAGGAAATAAGAACAGAGAGGATCTGACAGTCTAGACATGTGAGGGGTCAGTCATCACTGGGTCATTCCCTCTACCTCTAACAAGATTTATCCAAGGCAATGTACCAAAAGCGAGCCATGTGGGTTGGGGCAGATCTTGAAGGGCATCTAGGCACTGCAAGATCTGCCACAGGGAATGTAACTTCAGCATCCCTCAGAGATGACTGTCCAGCCTCTGCTTAAGTGCCTCCAGAGAAAGAGGACCCATCACCTCCAGAGGCAGTCTGCCCCATTGTCAACTAGCTTTTCCTGTTAGGAACAGTCTGCTAAAGTTATCCTGAAATTCTGTTCTATTCTATTCCTGCCATCTGGAGCAACAGAGAACAAATCAGCCCCATCTTCTGTATGACCTCTCTTCAGATGGACCTATTGTTCTAACTTTCATGCAGAAATAGGCAATCTCTGAAGCTTCATTTCCTGACTGGCATAGCCAACAGATATCTAGGTGGGACTGCTTTCATTCATTCGTTCCATTCTGCTTTGAACTCTGTTATATCACTTGATGTTGCAGACTCTGCCAGTTTCCCATGGGGTTGTGGTAGTGCTCTCTTCTTTCCTCACTACAATTGCCTCTTTATTTACCCTCCCCTTTGCCTTGAATGTGTGCCTTTGACTCCTGGCAGATGTACAACAAGGGATTGTGTGTGCTTGGTGTTAAAACTAAAATTCTGTTCCCAGACATTCTAAATTCTGAAGCCTGTAAATCACACCAATTTGCATCTTCTGTGACTTAATTTAAAAAATAATAATATTCCAGTTATGAAACTCCACCCCAACTACTTGAAATCATACTCTCCTTCCAACACTTCAGCAGGCATTGCCTGCTTACATTCAGGTATATCTTTGTGTCCACAAGGGCTGGAACTACCCTCCTCAAAATGACAGATTCTCAGGAAGCGCAATGCAACGGATGCCCCATTCTGTGCTTTTCCGGCGGCTGTGCGCGTGTTGCAATGCTCTGGGAACCCAAAAAAAGCCAGAATGTGGCACTCGGTGCAAAATTCGGCTTCCTGAGAATTACAGCTTTCATTGCGAAAAAGGAAGTTTCTTTTTTAAGAACTGGCTGAGAGCAGACGCAGGTGGAATTGGCTTCGGTTTGTCAGGTGGTGAGTGTGAGTGCTTAATGAGTTTCCGGTTTTTGCTGCTGCTTTTTATCTGCTTTACACACCTCTGCTTGTTGGCTCCTGCTGGTGCCTGAGTTAATAGAAGTGTATGTGGGACCTGTGCTGATGGTTGTGCACCACTGGTAGTATTTTGGGCAGGGCAGGGCAGGGCACAGGGAGAGAGTGATGGTGGGTCTCTGATGAGCTTGTTAAGGGGAAGGGAAATTAGGCAGCTTACTACTATCTTCCCTTTCAGTTCATCCTCCAGTCTGAGAGATCCTGGTTGGCATGCCAGCAACCTGCCAGGTCCGTTGGTAGTGTTTGTGAATGTCAGAACCTGTGGCCAGGAAAACAAATGTCTGCCATCCAGGATTTGATTTGGGAGGAACACCCTGACCTGGCTGGTATGACTGAGACCTGCTCGGATTAACCCAACTGTGGTTTGTTGATGAAGCAACAGCAACACTGGCTCAGCAAGCAGGTGGAATTGAAGTAATCTCTTGTGGTGTCATCCCTCTTTGTTGCTCAGCCGTCTTCCCGTTTTGAGTGTCTAGTGGGTTATCAGGAGAGGCAAGGAGTTCTGCTGGTAGGGTTCCATTCATGCCACTATCTAAGAGTCTCTCTGCTGAGCTGCTGGTCTCAAGGGTGACCCGGATATATTTTATGGGGGATTCCAATGTACATCTCCGATGGTGAGGAAAACTCATTTCTTTGCCACCAAGCATATCTACACAGTGTCACCCAGCAGAGGTCCTCAAGAAGCAGGAGGCCTTCAACAATCTGGGCTGCAAAAAGGGTTGGTGGAACCTGTGGTAGGCCAGTGTAACTATTTGCCAAACACATCACCGATGAATTCACCCTGATATGAGACCGAATTGGTCTTGGTTTCCCTAGTGGATGAGGGGCTTGTGAGTCTGTTGGCCCTTTTGGTTATCAGTGGTGTTCAGCACCATCAATTATGGCAGGCATAGGCAAACTCAGCCTTCCAGATATTTTGGGACTACAACTCCCATTATCCCTAGCTGACAGGACCAGTGGTCAGGGTTGATGGGAATTGTAGTCTCAAAACATCTGGAGGGTCGAGTTTGCCTATGCCTGAATTATGGCATCCTTTTGGGACTCCTTGGTGGACTTGAGGCATTGGACCATCTGTCTCCCAGCAGGTTAAATACATAGCGATACGAAATATCACATCAATGGGGTTAATCTACAGAACCCTGCAGCATGTTACCCAAAGTGTGTGTTTCTCCTCCAGCTCCCACCTTCTGGCATCATACTGTTGGAAAGGAGCAAAACCGGTCAGCCCCTGCACCTCAGCCAGATGTTCCAGAGAGTGTGATAAGACTTAAGAGTGTTGGGGGTGGGGGTGGAGAGGGAAGCATTCCCCCTCTCTGTCCGTAGACAAAGATTGATTCTGCCAGCTAAATCCATCTCCTTTCCATAATCAGGGCCAGAAGCCAGATTGAAAAGGATCAAGGAAAGAGCTGATATCGTACTTCCCACCCCCTCTTCCTCACTTTTAAGAGAACAGTAGAGACTCTCCCAGCCTCTAACATAGCTTTTTAAAAATGCTTTGGATTTATGGAATGGATGCGGTCATCACACCAAACCCAGGAACAAGGGAAATAATTGCAGTGTGAACAAAGTTCCTATGGCATTCCAACAAACACAGGTGTTTCCTGGCTCTCCTTGCCCATGTCTGTGACCCCAGGAATGCCTGCATGCTTCTAAATTCATCACTGCAAGATTATTGTTCATCTAGGCTAAATGCAAAACCTGAAGGCCCTTGACGGACGGCGCAGCCACCTTCTTGCTGCGCTCCAGGCAGTGTTCTCATTTTGCCGCAGAAACGATTGCTCACATCCCAGCACTCCCTGAGCATATTCTGCCAGTCTGAGTTACTTTTCATTTTGTTATTGCCCTAAACACTCCTCAGTTTGTCAGCTACCTATTACCTGCACTGCACGGCCATCAACAGCCGCCTCCTTGACCTTGGTAATCTGTGGGCCCTAGGAGATAAATATGTCCCGGCATTGTGAACTATGATCCTTGTGGTAGTTGGGGAGGGGCCGGGCTGAACTCTCCCTCCCCAGTTCTGCACAGGAGGAAAAGGATTGAGGAAAATGGAGTGCATGGTTTTCTTCTTGAGGTGTTAGCAAGATTTCACGCTCTTGAAAATGCAGCTTGAAAAACGTGATGATAGGCAGTGGAAACTTAATCCTGGGGCTAGTCGCACAGTTTCACGGAGAGGTTTGTGACTGGCTGTTATACAAAGCTTATACTTATTTAGCTGAAGAAGAACTGGGTCAAAAGCAGTGTTCTGGCTTGGCTTCCCACCTGCCTGCTGAAGTAAATGCATTCATCACCAAGGGCAGGGGGTCCTGAAATCAAAGATGCTGGCTACTTTAATGGAAGCTACTGGCACCAGCAGAATCTCTGCACTAGCTTTTAAAAATCATTGTTTCTAGTCCTCCCTGTTAAACTACTTCTGGAGAAAAACAGGTTTGGGGACATGGGAGAGGAGAGGGAAGGACCATGACTTAGCACTGCTTTGGACCCAACCCATCCTGTTTCCTTTGCACTGAAGGGAACAAGGTGGAACAAAGTAACCACAATGTAATTGGGGAAATTACAACAAGTTATGTAATTTTGCCTAAGTAGGCAGCGTGACGAATAAGTTCATTTTTGGTGGAAGATGGACTGCAGCAGCATTGAAACAGTGCTGTGTGTGACACATAGTGGGTTGGAATGGAAAATGATGTCTTCTTCCATCCTGGTGAGGCCTATTGCCTCAACAGTGAAGGTAGAACAAGAGCCATTAGGTAGCTACTGATAACCGTATCGTCCATCTCTTTGTCTAGTTGTCTTTTAAAGCCATCCAAGCTGTTGGCTATCACTATGCCTTTTACTACATCCTTTTAACTAAGAAGCAAAACCTCCCAAACTGAATAAAGACCCAGTCAGGAAAACGAGTAAACTTTATCTTTTTTTGCCAGTTTCATCTGTGGTTTGGCTCCCTCATGGGACATGATAGCAGCTTCATTCGTAACAATCTGTATCAGGAAGATAAATGGGATGGACTCTTAAGCTTTTGGTGTGGGGTAGGCAGGCAGGAAGAAAGAAAGGATGCGAAGCCACAAGCATCAGTCTTCCACTTCTGAATCATTCATGTAGCTCAGTTTCTCAGCATCGCATACTGTAGTCCTATTAAAATAACAGAAGCGGAGCCTGGGATGGCCCCGTTTTGCAGGGTAGCAGTCAAAAAGATCTAGCTAGCAGCCAACATGTTGGAAACTAATTGGCACGCATGGTTAATTGGGTCTGATGATACTTTCTGAAAGCAACTGTAGCTACCCCTTAGCGTAGTTTCTGTGCCTGCTGCAGATGGGGGAAGGTAGTGATACTGCCTTTCTTTTGGGAAATGATATAATTAACTGCACTGTAGATGATGAACAGGTAGTGAGGTTGGCTCCTGGTTCTTGTTGAAGAACAATGCCACACCTGCCTGACATTAAACCAGGCTGTGCATTCAGCCTTGGTTGGTAGTTTTATTAGCTGTGCCAAAGATGTTATCTGAAATGAAGCATGAGAGTTCAAAGCACTGATGGCACATTTTAAAGCACAGCTTTTATTTCCTTACGTTGGTGTTGTCCCTACGAAACCTTTGACATGGTTTCCGAGAGTCCCTCTGCTCTCCTTCTCCACGTGTTCAGTACCTAAGCTGTGTACACATCATCGGCTTTAAACAGAGCTAGGTCATTCATTTTCTCTTTCAAAGCTGGCGTGGGTGAAAGGACATCAAAACATAGTGTTTCCTAAGAAACAACAAGTTACAGGATAAATGTGGATTGTGGCCAATGTTGTGTGTACACTGCTTCTCAAACCAGCAGCAAGAACTCGCTGGATGCAGAGTAAACAACAGTCTATCCTATTTGGGGTCTCATCTACCCAAGAGATGTTTTGCAATGTGCTACTTCAAAGGCATTTGAATTGGGGGTTACTTCCACCAGCCCCATCCGCCTCTTTTAATTTGTTCCAGAGAACTTCGTAACTAACACCATCTCTCATCGCAGCCCATTCCAACACCCAGCAAAAATATTTTAATTTTCCTACTTCCTTCCTTTCCTGGTTGCCAATCATGCATCATGTAAGACCCACGATATGCAACAGGAAGGGGGAAGAGAGAATAGGGTGTGTTTGTGCAGGAATTTTTTTTGCATCATTTGTGCTGAGTTATCTGCCGGCTCTGATTGCTGAGCCAGTCTACAGAACAGTGAGACTGGAAAGTTGATAACTGGGTGGACTACATTGTGAGAAATCCTCTTTATGCCAGAGCATACAGAGGGGAAGAGGAAGGCAAGATGCTCTTGGTTCATTGGAGGCATAAGGTGAATGGTGAACTTGAAGAGCATGGCAAGTGGCTTACTGCAAGAAGTGATGAACGTTGAAGGTATTTCCTCACATTGAGGAGAAACACATTACCTTTTTCTTTTTTTCTTTTAATTGCCCTACCATTCTGCATAAAAAGTCTTCAGGTCAGCTCAGAACAATGTAAACAATTAAACAGCAAAAAACAACACCACCCCATCAAAATAACTAAGAGCAGCCGAAAATCTGCTGGAGAGATTTATGGCTCAGGTCCAGTATTCTTTTTTTAAAAAAAGTTTTAAGTATTTTCCAATATGTACAATTGTGTTACAGCCTTTATTCCTTTTTTTAAAATAAAGCAAAATCCTAACAAGTCTTTTCCCACCTGGGAATAGGTAGTTAGAAATTCTATTTCTAAGCTGGGGAGCCAAGAGATTGATTTACCGCCCAGTGGGACTCTCACCCTGCCCTAGCCATCTGTTTTGGTGGGTGAGTGGGAGGTGATTTGCACCAGTTGCAAGGGGTTACAGACCTGATACTTAAGATGAAAATTTGTAAAAGTCAAGGTAAAGGGACTCCTGACAATTAAGTCCAGTCACGAACAACTCTGGGGTTGCCGTGTTCATCTCGCTTTAAAGGCTGAGGGAGCCGCCGTTTGTCTGCTTCCACAGAAAGTTTTTCTGGGTCATGTGGCCAGCATGACCCGCTTCTGGCAAAATCAGCAGTGCACAGACTGCTTACCTTCCCGCCGGAGTGGTACCTATTTATCTACTTGCACTCTGTGCTTTTGAACTGCTGTGTTGGCAGGAGCAGGGACCAAACAACGGGAACTCACCCCGTCACGGGGATTCGAACCGCCAGCCTTTTGATCGGCAAGCCCAAGCGGCACAGTGGTTTAACCCACAGCACCACCCGCGTCTCTTTGTAGACCAGTGCAAATAATAATTTAAAAATAGTTTATTTAACATCTGTAATACTCTCCCCTCCCTTGGTTGGCAACAACACCCACCTGACTGCTCTAGGCAATAGGCATTGGTCGGAAGGAAAAGGGACCGAGGAGTTTCTTCACCCCTCTCTCAGAACTCTGTCTAATAACAGGCTGCATGCACACCATAAATTTAAAGCACATTCCCCCTTCCAGAACAAAGAATCCCAGGAACTGTAGTTTAGTAAGGGTGCAGGGAACAGTTTCCAGGATCCTTTAGGGGGTGCTTAAAATGTATGTTTTGTAGACATGCATACCTGCATCTTTCAGTCTTCATCTATTTACTAGGATTTGCTGGTGTTGCATGCTGCTGAGTGACTGTTCCTTTCATAGGAAAATTGGTTGCTGGATGCAAAGCGCTGTTGCACTAATGTACAGCTTGCAGGCTTCCCAAATGCATCTGGTTGGCCACTGTCAGCATAGGATGCTGGACTAGACGGGCCATTGGCCTGATTCAACAGGCTCGTCTTAGGTTATTTTGGTCTTGCGACCTCTCCTTAATGGGAGTTAACTGAACACACCACCCAAACTTTGAGAAATTGATTCCCACCTCCACCCTCAAAGGAAGAGGCCTGATGTATGGCAGGGCAGGTGGTGGGCAGAATCTATTGGTCAGTCTTCCTTTGCAAACCATCCATAGGTTGCTGTCTCTCAGTTGCTGAAATAAAGTTGACAGGGAACCCAGTAGTGTATTTCTTCTGCGAAAGGGTTGTGAGCGCCATTTTGGTGCAGACCACAATTCCCAATTATGTCAGGAAAGGAGGTCTGTTGTATTTTCTCCCCCAAAGGAAACCAAAGCTGAGCCTTGCTATCCTTGAAACATCTTTGCACATGGAAAGGTTGGGAGTGTGCAACAGGGAGAAGAGTTTTGCCTCCATTCCTGATGGTTGCATCTGCTTCTCCATTTAATTTCATTTATTCATTGTTTAAACTCTGGAACTCGGCTTGAGTGGTCAAGCAAATGAAAATATTTGGTTTGTTTTTTTTAATGTATGAGGCCAGAATAAGAAAAGTAGAGGTAGAAGCCTTAGTCCATGATGCTACACCCTTGTGCAAATTAATTGAAACAATGTAGTTTCATTTTTTTTATTGTATAAAACTCACATATAAATGTACAAAACTCACATATACGTACATTAGTAACCGATATGACCGCTGCTATTTTTAAGCAGCATTTGAATACGGTTTGGCATGGAGTCCACTATTTTCGAACAGTCACTGTTGATTTTCGGATCCCTGTACCACACTTGAATCAGCGCCTGAATGAGCTTCTCCATAGTCATACAGTCTACAGCACGGAAGCGACTTTTGCATATAGACCACAAATTCTCCAATGGGATTTACGTCCAGGGAAATCCCTGGCCAATCAAGTACCTCTATTTGCTGCTCTGTCATGAATTTCTTCACCACTTTTGATGTGTGACAGGGGGCTAGGTCCTGCTTCAGTATCCCAGTACCATTAGGATACTTCTTTCCCAGCTCTGGAATAACTCTCTTGTAGAACCTCAATATATTGTGGTGAGCGCATCATTCCTTCTATTGGCTGCAGGCTTCCAACACCATAATGATTAACTCACTTTTCGTGTTTGTTTTGAGTACAGGATTATGAGTAAGATAGAAAACATGCTTTGTTTCAATTAATTTGCACAAGGGTGTAATTCCCGATCTCCCCACCTCTGTTGTCTCTGTGCAGAAGCCACCTTTGGGCTACTCTCCCGGCCCTGCCAGGTGATGGTGTTGCTGAATCCACGCAGCGGGTCAGGCCGGGCCCTGCAGCTATTCAAGTCCCAAGTGCAGCCGATGCTGACGGAAGCCAACATAGGATTCAGCATGTTTATAACTGGTAAGTTTTGTGCCTGAACAAGGCCACAGTGAAAACTGCAGTCCCTCTCTGGAATGACAGGCCAATGCATGTCCCAAGATGGCTGGAGCCCCACAAAAGTGGTTGTGCTCAAACCTTTATGTACAGCTCTGCTCTGACCCACCCACACCTGTGATATTGCTGGCACTGCCAAACTGGAGGACACTCCTTTGATCAACCATCCGGGTAGCTAATATTCTAAGGCAGCCTCCCCCAATCTGGTTGGACTCCCAACTTTTGCCATCCCCTGCCAGCCTGGCTGATGGTCGGGATCTGGAGAGCACCAGGTTGGGGAAAGCTGATCTAGGAGGATCACGGCCTGCCCCGTTTAATTACAGTGCCACCTATGTGTGAGCAGAAGAGTTAAAAATGCAGGTATAGGCTTGACAAGGCTCTAATCTTGCATTTTTTGCCGGGAAAGGAAACCCAAATAACTCTTCCCTCCAGCCCAACTCAGGTTGACCCTTTTCTGCAGAGTGCTGCTTTGTGAGCGTGGCTGTGATTTCACTGATTTCAAAGTGCAGCAAACTTTGCTGTAAATGTCTGGCTGATCCTGTTCATCCCATTCCAAGAAGAGATGGGAGGAGAGAACAACTCCTTGTTACACACATTTTTTGAGATGCCCGTCCCCTTCAGTTCATAACCTAATTCGATGAAACATTGCTTCAAACCAGCTTGCCATTCCATCAAATAGGATTGGCACAGGTAGCATTCCATTTGACATCAAATGATGGCCAGGGAGAACATATTTTGCCACTGCTTGGAGACAGGATTGTCCTGCCTCACCTGTAGTGTGAAGTATGTCAACTTCTGTCAACTATCTCTTCCTGCCCCCCCATCAAATTTGTTTTGCTGGGACATAACATACAAGTCATACATGCTCATTGTCTTTGTTGCTAGAGAAGAACAACCACGCTTGGGATCTGGTGAGGAAGACGGACTTATCCATGTACAGCGCCTTGGTCATTATGGCTGGAGACGGCTTGCTATATGAGGTAAGCGGGGCAACTGGGATCCGGCTAACTATGGGCTCCCTTGCCTGTTGTGTCATAGCACCACAGTGCGCCTCCCATCACCAAAGACCGGATGCTGCCCAAGGTGGGCCCATGTTTAATGGTTGTAAAGGATTTTGCTACTTATTCCGATGAGACCTTCCGGCCCACTGCAGTGCAAAGTGTCTGGGAAGGCGACTGTACTTTGGAGGCGGGTGGGAACTGGCAAGGGTTGCAAATCCAGTCTTGGACAGTGAAAGTCTGCAGGTCACAGTTCTCCCACTGTCTTGCAGTTATTGAAATGTCCTCCTCCTGCTGCACAGTGGGAAACTGGTACGAGAACCCAATTCCATATTCAGTCTGGTAAGTGTATGGCAGCACTGGCCAGAAAGGATTTAAATTGGAAGGAGGTTGTCAGGATAAACGAGGGAAGGCCTCCAATGTATGTTTGTAAATTTCATATGGGTAGCTTTTAAAATGTGGAAACTAATGCCTAACATTGACTTCAATTCATATTAAATATTTGCGTGTTTCCCCTCCCCTGCCAAAGTTTGCACCTTTGATTCATGTTGCGTGGCAGCAATCAAATGATAAAACCATAGTAAACTTGCAACCCTTTCCTTAAAGGGAGTCGTGGAAAATTTCTGTATGGTTGCAGGTTGTGCTGCACAAGGCAAAATCTAGAAGTTTCTGCTTCAGAAACTGATAGAATACCCACTCCCCTTCCTTTTTCTTAAAGGGTCTTCCCAGTCTTGATGGCTATGGAAAGATATTTGAGAACAATAAGCAGCCTGCTAATGGCGAAGCGATCCAAAAGTTGCAATGTTCAATAGAAGTGCAGCTTAAATGCAGGTTCTGATGCAGAACTCTAAGATGCTTCTGTGTTCCTGTTTTGTGAATGCGGAGTGTATATGGTTTCCATTGGCGGGTTCAATCCATGCATTTGACTGCAGGGTCATTCCATATCAAGAGATCCAACTTCTTTACTTCATGTCATCCAATTTTCTTAATATTTTATATGCACACTTGTTGAATGATCAAAACTAAGTTGAAATACATAAAATTTTGTTACATATGTATTTTGTTGCAATGTTCATGAAATGAAGTACTAACAATAATTCTTTCAAAGCATGCGTTCTATAACGCAACAACAAGCTATCACTCCGTTTTAAAATACATTTTTAAAAGAAAAGCCTGGCTAGCTTTTCAGATACCTTTTAATTACATAACTTTCTAAAGAAATGCCTGAATTAACTGATATTATAGTTTGAAGTCTTGTTTCTTCTGTTATATTTTACACCAAGAAGACCCATTTATCCTAAATAGAAGGCAGACATGTATGTACAAAATATTTTCCCCCAGTGTGATCCCATGATGAAATATTGCAGGTAGATCTTAGAAATATGAAATAAGCAATAATTTTTTTGAAAATCTATAATCCTATTAAATTTTTATCACTTTTAAAAATTTTGTAACCTAAATTTTAAATTTAAGTTACAAGTCCATCTTGTGACATATCATATTAAAGCCCATGAAGTTCTGAAGAGATTGGTGTTCTTGGTTTTGATGTATCTTAATGCTGGGCTCAGCTTTTAAAGTTTTTGTGTAGTCTGACAAGGCCAAAATTGTCAATTTTTTGAAATTTCAGGCCCTTATAACTCAAAAATGGGATGAGATAAAAAGCTTAATTTTTAGATTTAAATTTAGTTTTGATCATTCAACAAGAGTACAAAACATTCAGAAAAATGGATGACATGAGGTAACAAAGTTGGATCACTTGATATGGAATAACCCTACAGTGAATTGAAAGCTTGACTATTTGAACTGGTAGTAGTTAGGTATGACCAGCCTTCCAATGACAGAATGCTCTGACAAGAGTTTGGGGATAGCTTGACTGCACTCTCACCTGTAGCATATTCTTTATTACTGTCCTCTCATTTCAAATAATGTAACTGAGGTGTGTCTGGAACACACACTCCTCTAATAACACAATCCTGTGCACGTCCAAGCAGAATCAAGTCCCATTGAATTCAGTGAGATGTACTCTTAGAAAGGTGTGTATAAACCAGCAGGTTTTGCATGCAGATTTTCAGAGTTTGAATTGCAGTACCTCTGTGTACATAACCTAAGGCCTGACCCCAAAGACTGGTTTTAAATGGACTGGCCACTTCTGTGCTAAGCCAAGTCAGAGGTGAAAAAACCACCTTGCTCCCGTGTCCTTTCCTTTCCAGTAATCCCTTTTGCTACCATGTGTACTTTTTTGTAGGTGATAAATGGACTGATGGAGCGACCCGACTGGGAATCTGCTATCCAGAAGCCTCTTGCCATCCTCCCAGGAGGTTCTGGGAATGCCCTGGCTGCTTCTCTCAATCACTACACGAGGTAAGGCATCACCGGTGGTTGGACCCGTGCCAGCTCTGCATGTGTGTTTCCAGGGCTGGCCCTACCATGAGGCAGGGGGAGGTGGCTGTCTCAAGTGAATGCTGTAGGTCAAGGAGCAGCAGTGGCAAGGTGCTGGAGGAGGACAGGGTCAAGTGTGCCACACAGCTTGCCCTACACCTGCTCAACTAACCTAGTGTTCTCAGGTGGAAGATTCCATTTCCTCTCCAATGCTGGGGGCAGATTCACCCGTCAGCTTTGCTAGCTTTGGCGCTAACAAATTGTGGAGTTTGGCTGTGTGCACTATCCAGCTTCAGGCAGCAAAATGTATTGGGCTGGCCATGTACCCATAATTGCATGTGTGAAGTTTGGGTCCTGGGGCTTCTCCAGCCTAGGAAACTCAGGCCTTGGGGTAAGTGAGGGTGTGTGAAACTACTTCCCGCCCATTCGGCTTATGGCACATGCCGAACTGGTGGTGCGCAGGTGCCACTAGCAACAGAATCCTGTTTGCGCACACCTGGCTTTACAGTTGGCTAAAAGCATGAATTTTTTGTGTGTGTGTGTGTGTGTGTGTAGTGGCAGCAGCACATGGCTGATTTCTAGCAGCCACCACAGTTATGTTGAGCTCCAAGCAATGTTGGGAGTTTCCAGAACAACCCCTCCATGCTGAATTATCTATCTTTTGTCAATCTAAAATTTATGGTGTTTAAAAAGATGCAGGAGCCCCAATACAGTTCCCACATTGGAGGAAAGCATGAAAAGTGAGTCATGGGGCAGCATGATTTCAAAGGCTACATAGGGTGAGAGTGAGCAAAGGGCATCTCCCACTCTCATCCAAAAAGCCAGCCCACATTCCACACTGAGTGCTCAGGTCTGTATATGAGCACTGAGTGGTTAAATAAAAACAGATCCTGCATGAAGGCTAAGTTGTGTGGTGCAATGGTAAGCTGCAAAGTCACAGATATCCTTTTGCAGGCTTCTGTTCTGCAAGGAATAGAAGAAGGGCAAGGAGACATTCAGAAAACCGAAACTCTATGGGAACCCCCAGTCTTTTGCTCATTCTGACGTTCTACCAGGCTTACAGTTGGACCAAGATTGGTACCTGCTCCTGCCCTGTTTATTGCACATCTTTCTGCTTAGTGGGGCTGGCAAGGCAGCTGCACTTGACAGACTTCCCTTGACAACCAATGGTGTCTTGTAATCTCCTACCACTGCTGTCAAAGAGGAAGGGCATCAGGGGGACAATGTGCATTCACAAAAGAAGCTTAATTACAAGTCCTCAGCTCAGGTTTCGATCCGCTCCCTGCAATCACAACCAACATCCCCCAGCCCTGGCCTCTGCCCCTTCCACAGCTGGCCACCTTTCCCATCTGCTCTGTGACTAATCCTCATTTCTTAGTGGGCTTCATCTTGAGGAGGGAGGGGAGAGGCAATGAGGTGGGTTGAGGGTGTCGCTAATGGGCGTTTCTCTCCCTGTCCTGCTGGCTCAGCCACCTGGCTCCTGCACCCCAACTAATGCTGCTGTGTAATTCTCAGGGAAATAAGGCTTTGAGAGCATATCTGGGCCCAGTCCGAGAGAGCAAAGCGAGTCATGCTTAGGCCTTGCTCAGACACTGGGGTAGCCAAGCTGGTGCCTTCCAGATGTTGCAAAAAACACTTCAGGCCCACCATCTTGCTTGCTCTTCTTAAAAGTTAAATAGTGTGGCTTTGCTCACCCTTCATATCTTATTGTAGGGGAATCTACAGCCCCTTTGGGGATGAAGGATTTTGTACAGTAACAACACTAAATGGCAGCAGGGGGAATTACAGGGTGTATAGCTCATCTGTAAAGCATGTGATTCTCATAGTAAATGCTCTATGTTCAATTCCTGACCTCTCCAGGCAAGACTGGGGAAGGCTCCTACCTTGAAACCTTGCAGACAGTCTATTGTCAATGCAGAAAATAGTGAGCTAAATAGACCAAACCTCTGATATCCTCTGTATGGAAGCCTAGTTTTCTCCTGCCACAAAAGCGGCAACACTGACCTCTCCCTCCCTACTACTGATTTTCAGTAGATGTCGTGATTCAGATGCCTGGAAGATGTTTAAGCACTTGATAATGGATATAAACATTCAGTTATAAAACCTAGCACTGTAGAAACTCTTCTTTGGGGCATTCTTTTTTTACCCTGATCTTCCACCAATGTGGTTCCCAGAGCCACATTCATGAAATTGTCCTTTTATAGTGCAAGCCTGCTGGTAGGGGCTAAGGGGAAAACCAGCAAACTCAGGCAGTAGTTCTGTAGTCTGTATAATGAACGGCTTGAATGGAAATGCTTCAGGGTCAAGAACAGGTCAAGTGGAGCTAGTTTCTCCGCAGAGCCGATGCCCTTGGCCCTGCTTCCCATCTCTCCCACTGCTGCCTCTAGGTGTGTTTTTGCCCCAAAGGCGCATCAGCTAAGAAGCCATAATGGGACACCCACAAATCCCTACTTGGGTGGGGGCACTTTTGATGATTCATGTTGGTGGGGAGAGTCCAGTGCCCTCTGGTCACTCTAGCTAGTCTCAGCTGATGAAACCTGACAGCTGCAATATGGCGCTGCTCCCTTGTCCATCTGCTGCTGCATCTCAGCCCCATCTTTTTTCACGCGGCTACAAGGGGCTGTTGGGACAACGGGCTGCCTATAGAATGCTTATCATGAACACCTTGAGAGAACAGAACCCCGATACTGTGCTTGCTGTGTGATGACCTAGCTAAAGTGAAACCGGCACTGTATGGTTGACTCCCACACCAGAGGTCACCTCCTCAGGTCATTCCAGCACGGGAGGCGGTGGTGGCTCAGGGATGGCATTGGGCTTACCTGTATGATTGTACTGGCAACATGCAAGGACACCAAAGCAGCAGTCCAAAAACTGTTTTGTCCCAGCCCCCACCCTGTGGAAGAGGAAGGTAAATTGGACCTTTGACTTTCAGGAGAGGAGACCTTTTGTGCAACCCACTACCGTTTCCGCACTACCCTTGGGCTGGCCCCTTCCATGCCACTGTTTTCACGCGCTCCCTTTCTTTCTCCTGCTGCAGCAAGGGCCACTTCAACAAGGAGGAGCTGCTCATGAACTGCACTTACTTCCTCTGCAAAGGCCTGCACGCCCCCATGGATCTCATGTCCCTCCACACGGCTTCAGGCAAGCGACTCTTCTCCTTTCTGAGCTTCGGCTGGGGCTTCATCTCCGACGTGGACATTGCCAGCGAGAGGTACCGCAAGCTGGGAGGCGCCCGCTTCACCGTGGGCACGTTCCAGCTCCTGACAACGCTCCAGGTCTACAAGGGCCGCCTCTCCTACCTGCCCTGCGGCGACCAGAGCCCCAGCCCTGGCTCTTCACCCTCTGCGGTGGGACACGGCTCCCCATCGGCACTACACTCCGAACAGTTCTCCTTCAGCAGCAAGAAGTCCCTATACAGCTTCTTCCCGTCGGTCTCTTCGTGCGCCAGCAGCAAGAGCTGTTTGCTCGAGGACTCCTTGCTGGTACCCTTTGAGCAGCCCGTTCCTGAGCACTGGACTGTAGCCCCGGAGGAGGAGTTTGTCTCCATCATTTGCATCCAACACTCCCACCTGGGAGCAGACCTCCTGTTGGCTCCCCAAGCCAAGCTGTACGACGATGCCATCCACCTCTTCTACGTCACGGCGGGGGTCTCCCGGCTTTCCATGGTCAAGTTTTTCATGGCCATGGATAAAGGGACGCACCTGGCTCTCAACAGCCCCTATCTCCACTATGTGCCTGTCAAAGCTTTTCGGCTCGAGCCCCTGGTGCGCAAGGGCTCCATGACTGTGGATGGAGAGTTGCTGCCCTGCGAACCTGTGCAAGGTCAAATGCACAGGCGGCTTGCCCGCGTCATCAGTAGCACAGGGAGTTGAAGGGGTGGGGTGGGAGGACCCCCGATAATGCACATCATCAACACTATCTCCGACAGGGATAATTCTCAGGGGAAACTTGGCTTGCAGAGCCATTTTTTGAAACTACAACACGAGTAATGGTGGAGCCTGTCCTCCGGTGGGCATAAGACTCTCACTCTTCCCTGCAGTTTCAATGTCTTCCTGCTCTGCACTGCCCAGAGGAAGAGATGAAGCAGGTCTCCAAGACCATAGCTCTGTTTTGCCTCTCCATCCAATATCAAACCTTCTATGCACACCAACTGCGGCTGAAGCAGAGAACCTGCTGTCATCCCAATGCAGTGGCTACGTGAATAAAAATGCCTCAGTCCAATGCCACTTTGGGGACCACTTTTAATCCTCCTGTAATTTTTTTAAAAATAAACTCACTCTCTCACACACACCCAAAGTTGTACGTAGCAGCCGATTATATTCTTAAGGAGAGATGGAATAAAGATTTACCCTTTTTCCAAAAGAAAAAAAGCACTATCTTGAAAAATTAAGGTTAAAATGATGCCAGCAGTAATCTTGATGCTAAGTTTTAGGTTGTTCCCTTGGAAAGGGAAGCATATCTTAACAAATCCTTTAGTCTTGCCTGCAAATGACAGGTGGGTGGGCAACACTGAACTAATGAGACAGCTGCTAACTTTCTCCCATAGTGGGTACACCAACAAACTGACATGATTGCCACTTTCCTACCCTACTATGACAAAACTAGCACCTTAATTTGGACTAAACTGGCACCTCTGCTTTTCTCAAGGTATCCAGTATATCACCTTGCAGACGATGGTAAAAAGATAAGAAATTTATTGCCAAAAATGGCTGAAATGATTCCTGTCCATATTTTCATAGTTATTCATTAGGTAAATGCAGACAAAATTGGAGTGGTCCATGAAGAGTCCTAACAGAAAAGGGTGATTTTTGTCAGAGGTACCCACACATGAAGGTGGACTAACATTACTGTACTTGCACACCAACCTAATGGTGAAAAATTCAGATAATGTACAAGGATTCTTTGTTTTAGAAAGTTAAGATTAATAGCACAACTGCTTTTAAAGCTGGTGTTCTCTCCAACACACACACACACACACACACACACACACACACACTCCTACCAAAAAAAAGTAGACAGGAGGATTTATTGTTAGCTTTTGACTTGTGGTCCTAGTGCTAGCTGAGGCAGATGGGAGTTACGAGTGCAACATCAGCTGGTGGGCCACAGGTTAACTGCTAAAAAGCAAGCAGCAATACAGATCTCATGATGCAGCAGTCATACCTTAGGTAAAGAAATAAGAGGAGTAAGTAGTCGGATGGGCAGTGATCCTGATTTCATAACTCTCAGAGCAGCTGCGAGAACCATCCCTTAAATATTTAGTATCAAATTGGTGGAATTGACACAAAAACAGTTACCAATGTTTTGCTACCGACTTCTGGGCACTGCAGTTTTAAGACTCAGATTGAACAAACTGGAACATGTCCAGTGGAGGGGGCAACTAAGGAGCTGAGAGCTCAGGAGACCAAGTCCTTATACAAAAAAGGTTGGTGGCATTGAATAGGGTTAGAGAAGAGAAAAATAAAGGACTACAATAGCCATCTTTAAATATGGCTGCAGGGCTGTCACATAAGATGATGGAACAAGTTTGTTTTCTGTAGTTGCAGAAGGTAGGACCGAAACCACATGCCCTGAATTTCAAGAAAGTGGCTTTGGACTAAACATTAGAGAACTGCCTGATTGTATAAGCTACCTGACAGTGGAACAGACACTGTCTTAGAAGGTGGTAGATTCTCTTGCATTATAAGTTTATGGGCAGAGACTGGATGGTCACCTGTCAGGGATGCTGTAGTACCAAGAAGTTGGCCCACACAGCCTTGAGATCCCTTCGAGCTCTATGATGCTATGAAATCACATTTGAGTTTATGCAGAATATGTTTAAATTAGTACATTACCATATTTATTGTTTTTATCCTACAATTAGCTTTGATTGTACAGTGGTACCTTGGTTTACGAACTTAATCCATTCCGGAAGTCTGCTCTTAAACCAAAGCGTTCTTAAACCAATGTGTGCTTTCTCATAGCAGTGGGGGACTCAATTTACAAATGGAACACACTCAACAGGAAGCGAAACATGTTCTGCTTCCAAGGCAGCGTTCTTAATCCAAGTTGTTCATAAACTAAGCTGTTCTTAAACCAAGGTACCACTGTGATAAAGAGACATTAAGCCAAGATTTTATAGATAAAGCTGTATGCTGTAGCGCATACACTAGCTCTTAAAAGGTTCGTTATAGTTGAAGCCAGTGTATGGTCCTTGGGACAAGAGCCACAAATGGACCTCAATATTTTAACAAACCAGTCTGAATGCCTGGATTTTTCAGCAAAGGCAATGGCTTAGTCTCCCACCCTGCCTTATATTAAAACTGTTGGAGATTCTGCCCTTATGGTGATGAGGCCCGGGGTCTGGAGGCCTCTGCAACATATACTGGATATACATTGCTTTGAAGCCAGGCTTGTGCACATGATAGCACAGAATCCCAGGGGACACGGAGCATAAAAGGTTATGCAGAGGCCAGATGTATAGCGGTATGAGCAGTCTCCACTCATACATTCTGCCTCTACAAAGAAAAAAAGGGTGATCAGATTGCAGAGCATACATGGGGGGTGGGTGGGTTGGGGTTTGCAGTCTTATCACACCAGGCAACAGCGGAACTAATCTTCAGTAGACTGAAGGATGGTGATTGTGATGAAACATATTGAAAGGTGGGGAAGAAGAGACACTCTTTCTTACCCATATCTCTTCTATAAAAACCCTTGAAAAACCATAGTCAAACTGGCATTTTTTTGTTTAAAAAACCCCAATCAGTTAAGACTGCAGCAGTTCTTATTTGAAAGCAATGAATGATGACTAGCTAGTTCAATTTACATGGAAAAAAGTAAACATGATGCACAGCACAGTGCTGAGTGGCATGTTTACTGGAGCAAAGGAACTGGCTTATATATTTTTTCTGGAACGTCTAGTTCTTTCACCCCAGATAACAAATTCATATGTTTGTGTCTGACCTGTATAACCACAGGAGTCATGTGGTTTGAATGCTCCTCTATACCTTGATTGCACTGTCTGCCTCCTGACTCGTATTCCTGGAAGAGAACAGAAACTAGATGATGAGAAAATGTGTAAAGAAAGAAAGAAAACCTTTCCAGATATTAGTTTCACATGGTCATAAATCACTCCTGCTAGTGTCAGCGAGTACCACCACAGAATTTTAGTCAACTAATATTTAATAATGTTGTTTACATTTGATGACCTTCCCAAATAACATTTTACTTTCTGCTCCAGTGTGGGCCAGGGAGGCTGAGCAAGGACACAACATGGAATACTGAGAGTTGGATATTAGGATTTACATGTGTACAGGACTTGCTGTGTCCTGACATTCCTCTCACCAACTGGGCAGATTCCAGTTGCTATGGTTGAAGAGCTGAGTGTGTGCCTGGGTTTTCAGAAAGGAGACCTAGGAGAAGGTCAGACTAAGTCATTGTCACCATTCTTAAATGTACGTACACACAGATGTTGAGAATGATTTTCATGTTTTCTTTGGTAAAGCCCACCGCTGAGGGTTGCTGTTAGAACACACTTCCAGCTATGTGAGTACACAGGTGGATGTGTCATTAGTGTGCAAAGTAACACCGAAACTCACAGAATACAGTGAGTAGTCACTGCCTGAGTCACTACACATGATTTTGAGGGCTTCCTCAAAAATAAGCAAGTAATGTAACACTGAAACACATACCTCAATAGGACAAGCAAGAATCGGACACCAGATATGCTTAAAAGGTCTCAAATGGAAGGATTCCAGGGAAACTTTGCCAGTGGGAGACACATGTAGAGAGTGACTCACAAGCTATAGGACTGGTTCCCCCTTCCCTAGATGACATATAATAGATGGACTGGCAAAGAAGCTTCCTCCTTTCCCAGCCTTTTCAGGAATGCCTACATCCCTCTTAGTTGCGAATGAGAATTTGAGTTATATACAAATCTCGCCAGATGGACAGAGACACAGCAAGCACAACCAAACCTATTCACAGCGGCAGAACGTAATGGCAAGCCACTTTCTCTCCTTTATTACTACATCTTAGTTAGCCAAACAAAGTTTGCAAGTAAAAAAAGATTAATCACACAATACTTTATACATATATTGTAAGCAACCAAGCATTCACAGCTGCAAAAGTAACACACCTCTAAGCATTGCCCCAATATGACAGCTCCATCAGTTTTAAATACTGTACAGAAAGGCTAGAAATTTTTTTTCTTTTTCTTTGTAATATTTCTTTCCCCTCCCTCCCCAGCACTTAAACAGATAAGATTTTAAATTTATACATCACAATCATGTAGCCCATCTCAAGACTAACAATGTGCCTCATGCTTTGGCTTCTTGAGGTGTTTTAAGCATTTGCCTCTTGGAAATTTCTCTTCACTCTTTTATTACGTACATACACCAAAAAGAGGTTATAGCTGCACGGTGTGTGCTCACCAGCAACTGCATAACCTAGAGCTTCACATTATTCAAAAGCTTATAGAAAAAGAAAGTGTAAACTTCTGTGCATGCCTCTGGTGGGGCCCGATAGCAAGGATAAGGGACAGTGCTTGATGGATGCAAAAGATGGCAGCAGATCCCGAGGAGGAAAGAGTAAGCAAGATCTTCCCAAGATACAGCTCTCAGTTGCACTCTGGAAAAAGGGAGTCCCCTTGAAGCTCAGCTCTCTGCAGTCCATAGCACCATTTGCCTCCTCTTCTGTGGCTCCTCCCACCTTGCTCCCCTACTCAAAATGGAAGAGTAGCCACTTCTCAAAACAGGGTGGGCAGCTAGGTGATTGGGGGATTGGGAAAGCTTGCTTGTTTTCGTTAGTGTGTCATCATAATAAAATACGTGGCCCATTCCTCTGTCTCTTGGGGAGAAGAGGCGCCGCGACCACATCTGCATGAGGAATGTGATGACACATAGAAACACAGACAGAACCCCCCCCCCACTGTCTGCCCTTTCACACAATTAACAGAGTGTCTGGCAATGCAAGCAAAAAAGAAAAAAGGAGAAATCCTTTCTTGTCCCTGTCCTCAAAGGGTACTAATGTCAACTTAATTTCTTTTGCTGCTCTTTTACCAGCATGGCCACAAAAGATCGCATCCTGCAGCCTCCCAACTGGAGAACCGCTACCTCTCAAATCTTAATCTGCAACACTAGAACAACTAACTAATATCCGAGTAAACACAAGATTCGTGTCACCCTGTTCAGAACTAGATTATTCAAGTGGGAGGGTGAAAGAGGGGCACCCAGGTCATGATCAGAGGAAGGGAAATACAAGGGTGACTGTGATGCCGTGCAAAGATGTGGGTACGCTGAACAAGGAACAGAATGTAACCTCATCTAGGATGCAAAAATATGAATGTATCGCCAGTCATGATCTGTACCACAGCCGGCAGGGAGGTGGCGGTGGTGGTTGCACACAGCCTAGGATCAGGGGATAGGAAATAACAGTGACTCACAATAAAGGCTGCAATTGTAACTTAAGGATGCTGGACTATGGAAACCCATTGTCTATATTAGCATGGAGGCTTGTTGCTATAAGGTTGGTGTAAGTCCATGGAGATACAATGTCGGGCAGAGCTGCCACTTTGCAAACACCTAAGTGAAAGGCGAAATCGGAAAATGTGGGCTGCACCATGCAGTTGTTCCAGCGCCATCCTGAGGTACCTCGGTGTACAGAGTTGAGTTGGTAGCAGAGTGTAGCATGTATCCAGGAGAGTAGCAGGCTACGCTATATGCACTATTCCCCTCTCAAGGCAAAGTGGAAAGAGATATGCTGTTCAGAAGAAATTGTACATTTTAAATAAGACAGCAGGTAATCCTCAGAAAGCCAGAGAGGTGGTGCTGAGTGTGGACCACATCAAGGACAGCTCACCTAGCACTTCTGTCTCAAAGTGGCCCATACAGTCAAGCAAAAACAAACGCCTTATATTCACCACTTTGTGGCTCTCTTGCAGCAAAAGTCCAAGCCTACACCAATTTCCGGGGTATTTATCTCCTCAGCTCACAGCAGCGAACCAAATCACGAAAGCGCTCAGGACTGGCACAGAGCTGAAAATGTGGGCTATTCAGGGCTTTCTAACTGACCGGCTTTAGTGACATTATGTCCTAAGGTAGAGAGGAGCACTGCATCTTCCTCACAAGATATAAAACCACAGCACTGCATCTTCCTCACAAGATATAAAAACAAGGCTCTCCCCAGGCTTAAATCAAAAGCCTTCTCGACCATCAAGATCACCCATAGCACCCAAGAGGATCACCCAGGGAAGAGGGAGTGCCTTTGCACCAGTAGGAGTTGAGAAGATCCAACGCCAGCTTCGCACAAGATCCGGCATGGAAAGGTCACAGCTCCTATTCTCTCAGGATCAACCTGGAAACAGGAGCATGGTGTGGGTGTGTGCATGTGTGTGTCGCTGTGCAGAGTTGCTCAACCATCCTGGGCACCTGGAATGTGGGAGGGGGGAAAGAGAGAGAGCCTAAAATGAGTTATGGAAGCTTCTGCTTTCTCTATAACAAACCAAGCCGAGGAGGAATGAGTGCACTGAGAGTCTATTTATTGTTAACAACGGTTGCTAGCTGCTTCCTCCTGGCTTCCCCTCCTTTTCTGTGCGTCTGTCTGCCCCTAACCTGATGTTTCATTTGTCTTCTGTCCACTCTGGGATGTTGGCCTCTACTAAGGCAGCCCGGTACTGCTGCAAGACTCCGCGGATGCTCTTTATGAACCCCTTGGACAGTGGGAAGAGGGGGAAGCCGATGTCGGGGTAGCCGCTCCTCTCCGGAAGAAAGCTCCTGTAGCTCTTTCTCCTTTTCTTTGGTTTCACACTAGGCTGAGCAGCAGAGTCTTGGGCAGCTTTACCCTCCTCCGTTGGGTCTCTGGCAAAGTGCGTTGCCCTGGCCTGGCCCATGCTCTCCGAGTCCGAATATTGATGGGCGTCGCTGGCAGCAAGCGTCGACATCGCGCAACCAGAGTCTTCCAGCTCCTCCTTGCCGTCAGGCAACTGGCTAACTGCGGCGGCGGCAGCAGCAGCCCCTAACTCTAGCTCTCCCAGAGGCCCCATGCCATCTAGAGGGCTCTCTGCCAAAACACCGCAGGCTGAATGCACAAAGGAAGGCTCTCCCAGGCTGATGTGGTCATGACTCCTTTCCACCAGCTCGTTGGTCTCCACCCAGGACTCGATGCGGTGGACCAGGCGCCAACCGTTGCAGCAGAAGTGCTCGAAGATCTCCTGCTCAAAGACTTCCACCGGCTTGCGCAGCAGCTGCATCATCGACTGAACGACCCGGATCAGAGCCATCTCGTTGTAGCAGCGGCTGTTTTCGTAGCCCTCTTGCAAACCGCGGTCACTGTCAAAGCCAGCCTCATTGTAATAAGGCTCGTTGACTAGGATAAGCCCTGATGTGAGAAAATGGAAGGGGAGGAAGAAGAGGGAGCAGGGAGAAAAAAGAATTTAGAAGGTTGCAATGATGTGGGAAATGCACACGGCTGCCTTAGAGCAAACTATGGGACACGGCTGGAAAAGGGAAAAAAGGCAAGGAATTAAATGTACCAGGAAGATGAAAGCACTATTTAGAAGTTAAGGGAGGGGTGGAAGTAACCTCAGTTTTGAAAAAACCAAACTAAAACCCTATTTATTCAGGCTCTGAAGCCCAACAATTACTCCAAATTTAAGGTGGTTTTAACACTCATTTCAGAATTCTAACCCAGAATTACTAGGCTCATTATGTAATGAAGCTGAAACCTCCACTATGCAAAGTTTTGATGAAAATTAAAGCACAATTCCACAGGGTGCCAGCACTTTTGGAAAGTTTTCTTTTAAGAAAAAAATACCTCTATGGGTTTTGGATGCCTTAATTACTGCCAGTAGATGAACTGTTCTAACTGAAAGTCTTCCTAGCTTCTTGAGAAAATGGTTATAGACCAGGCACACCAATTACGTTAAATTATATTAGGGGACAAATCACCCAACAATTTCTCATGAGAAGAATGCACTTCTTAATGTCTTCTACCTGTGTGAGGCCCATTGTCCCCTGAAGTGTGCATCCTACACACAAAGCTACTCGTGTAGGCGCTCCAACCTGCCTCTGGACATGCCAGGTTGGGTGCTGAATCATATGCAACTGTGGCCCTTCCCTTGGAGCAAGTAGACTGTGGAATGCCCACCTGTAGAGAGCAACAGTGATGCAAAATCCACCTATGCAATAATAAAGACTGCGTGGGCTGGCTTGGTTGCTTATTGGCTTTTAACGGGCAGCCAAGCTCAAGGAGTTACTTGCAGCTCCTTCTGTGAGCTGGCAGCTGTCTAGGTGGTGGTTGTGGTTTTTCTTTCAGGACATGAAATAGAAAGTAAATGCGTACGGGCGTCCACAATTATAGGGTAATGAAATTAGCCTACAAAGTCAGCTAGTTGCGGAAGAAGTAGGTTATTCTACCTATTTTCTCATATTCCCTTGCTGAAGGATACTCTTGGGCCCCACGTTTCTCCCCTGCTCCAACACTGGAATTTACCTTGGATTGAGATGAGTACTTGTAGAAGGCTGGATTTACTGGTCCACCTCTCTGTGCCCTGGAATAGACAAACAAAAAAGTAAGCCAATGTATTTAATGTTATTTATTTTAAAGCTTTACATGAGAACAATGAGTTTAATATCATGTGGATGGGGTGGGCATTCTATGTAATTATGGGTGTAACATCTGCATTATGTTAGAGGCAGCTTCCAAGACCTGTGCTGATGCTCAGCACTGTGGTGACGCCACACATGGCAGAGCATCACCTTCTAAGTTATGTGGTAAGGGCTGCCCGTAGCATTGCTGGGTCCTGGTGGCCGGAGACTACACTGCTCCACTAGCCCAAAGATCACTGCACTGAAGAACAGGGCTGCTACGTGAGCTGCACGTTGCAAGCCAAATGAAGGCCAATGCAGCTGCAGAACTGGACACAGCCAAGAGACGGCGCTGTTGCGACAACGCACCGTATTTTTTCGCTCTATAAGATGCCCCAGACCGTAAGACGCACCTAGTTTTTGGAGGAGGAAAATAAGAAAAAAAATATTCTGAATCCTAGAAGCCAGAACAGCAAAAGGGATCGCTGCGCAGCGAAAGCAGCGTTCCCTCTTGCTGTTCCTGGCTTCTGGGATAGCTGCGCAGCCTGCATTCGCTCCATAAGACACACACACATTTCCCCTTACTTTTTAGGAGGGGAAAAGTGAGTCTTATAGAGCAAAAAATACGGTATATAAGATCTGGTGGAATGATTGTGTTTTGAGCCACAACAGATTTCAGTAGTGAGATTCCACTTATATATCATGTCAGCTTTTAATAGTGAGGTCAGCTCTAAAGTGTGTCGTGAAGAAAGGAAGTATTTTCTGACAAAAGCTTCTTGTATCATTTTGCTATGTGTTGTTCTGCTTCCTTCATAAACTTAGGAGCACTTCTCTGAGCTGTGGCTGTGACCGGCTGGGAGAATGGAAGCCCTTCCAGCAGAAAGCTATGGAGCCCATTAACTAAACCAATGGTTTAACACTCGCAAGCTACAGTTAAGGGGTGCATATATACTTCTGAGATATGTGCATGGGCAGCAAACTGTAGTTTAGAGTAGTATCTTCAGACTGCTAGCACAGCACCCTAACCTTGTCTTTTGAGAGGAAAAGATGAAGGAGATTTAGAGGAAGAAGAAGAAGAAGAAGAAGAAGAAGAAGGGCAATCTGAGGCAATTTATACAATGGTACTTGGAGGAGCCAATGGAAATAGTTTGAAGTTGTATTACCTTGCCTATCCAGGTCCCCAAAAGGCTTACGCAGACTTTTCCATTGTCATACAAGTTGGGGTTTAGCCTCCCACTACACTGGGAGAGGTAACGGAAAAGAGGGGGGACAGCCGGGTAGATGTTGGGAAGCTGGATGTCAAATAAAAAGAGGCCATCCTCATATGGTGTGCGTGTAGGTCCTTTGACGAGTGCCGAAAAGAGATCCTGTGAAGAGATCACAAGCCAAAGCATAATTCCATGAAGAAAAATCAACTTCAACTTCCGGGGAGCCTCTGCAGTGTTAACTAGGAAAATAGCAACATTACATTACATGGGCTGCATGCCAGATAACAGCACTGTGTTGGTAAAGCTATTGAACTTCAACCCCTGCTCCCCCACTTGTTCCATTTATGAAAATATCAGAACAAAAGTACTTAACTTAACCCAGCTCCTAGAATTTAGTTCCTGTCGAGTTAGCAAAAGAGTTACTTTACTTGCTGGTGTAACAGAATGCAACATTGAAAGCATTTATTTGCCATTGCCATGGCCAAAGAGAATGCCAGATTTCTTTTGGTGTGATAGATAACCCCTCTCGTTATTTACGGTGGCTATTTCAGTCAATTTTGTGGGTGCTTAAGGAAGTTTTCTGGAATATATTGCCATTTTTCTGCTCTTTATTCTTTTTTTGTAGCATTCAGTTATGTTTGAATGAATGCAAAATTTCTACACTGTACTCTATGCAAAAGTGCAAGATGAACACACAGGACACAATAATGGGATTATTCACAACTGCTGTATAAGCTGAGCAAGTCAGAAGCAGAGATGCTAGTGACTGATGGCTGCAGGAGGAAAATGAAACCCTTTTCTATCTGCCTGAAGGCTGGCCAAGGTCTTCACAAATGAACGATATGGTTCCTTCAACTAGGATGCATCTTAGACGATGGAGTCGTTGTTTGGATCCTGGCTTGTGTTTCAATGGTGACAGCTCTAACAAGGATGAGGAGTACCAAAACACTCTTGGTTGTGTGAACTTACCATTCTGTCTTCAAAGGTTTTGACCATGATACCATCTGGCAACGAGGTTGCTAGCAGGGCCATTTCTTTCCTCACTGTGCTGAAAAACTTCTTGGCTTCTGGAGGCTGGAATTCCATTTTCTTAAAGGCATGGCTATCTAATGGGACAATGAAAAAACCAAGACAGTGGGTTAAAAGAACCTCCCACCCCACACAACCATGCAATTATCCTTAAGGAGATTATGTTGCTTTTGCCTAATACTGGTCAGAAATTGCTTAAAATATTATGCTAGTTGGAGAAGGAGAAAGATATGGCTCTTATATTCTACCCTTCTATTCGTGGTCAAAAAAGCTAGCAGGTGTTTCTATCACATCTTTCCTCCCAGGCCAAATAAAAAGCTCAGCCATGAAAACACCTCTCAGAGACAAAGAAGAATAATCCATGGCCAGTTATCACACCAATATACTATGTAAAAAGTCAGGACTACCTGACTTTTACTAAACTAAATTTTACTCAATATGTAATTATTCATGAAAAACAGCAATGATAAAATACAATACATATTTGTAAAATGCAGGTAATTGCAGTGTAACAGTCTACAAATTGTAATAGTCTACAAACACCTACAGCGCCAAGGGCCTTCTGGCGGTTCCCTCACTGCAAGAAGCAAGGTTACAAGGAACCAGACAGAGGGCCTTCTCGGTAGTGGTGCCAGCCCTGTGGAATGCCCTCCCATCAGATGTCAAGGAAATAAACAACTACCTGACTTTTAGAAGACACCTGAAGGCAACCATGTTTAGGTCTGATGTTTTATCGTGTTTTCCATATTCTGTTGGGAGCCCCCCAGAGTGGCTGGGGAAACCCAGCCAGATGGGCGGGGTATAAATAAATAAATTGTTGTTGTTGTTGTAGCTGCCAAACAATGGGTTAAAATGGCTTCTAAGTACAGTAACAAAATGCAATGTGTTTTGAAAGTGTTGTTTATTTGCAGCAGGCCATTAAGTGCAAGAGACTGAATGCAAGTTGAGGCAAATGCTGAAGTACAGACACAAATTCTGCAAAGTTTACCTTTATCCCACCTTTAAATACAGGCTTCTACGAATGAAAGAGGGATGCTGCCGCTTTATTGTCCAGCACTGCCTTCCCTGAAAGGCGGTTGCCTGCCACTCACCTGGGGCACACTCCAGTACAGAGAAGACTTCCCCCTTGGCACTGGTGAATGTAACGCCAGGCTTGCCTCCATTCTGCTGGCAAAGCACAGGAGTCTCGCTAGGCCACTCTGATGTCACTGGGGTCTGCGTCTGCGCCTCTCTCTCTTCCTTCTTTTCTGCCTCTGCCATGGCCTCCATCTTTTCTTCTTCCACAATCGCTACGTTGTCCAGGGTCTTCTTCAGATTCTCCTGCAGCTTCTTGATATCATCCAGGAACTTCTTCTCGCGGGTGGGCTTCTCGGGTTCGACCGTCGGAGAAGTCGGGTAGCCTGTCAACAGCTGCTCAACGGTCATGTTCTTCAGGCTCTCCAAGATCTTGATGGCCTCCTTCAACTCTCGGAAGCTCTTTGGGGTCCCTTCCTTGCCTGATTTATCAGCTGCCAAGTCGGCCACTGCCATTGCCACAGCACCTTGAACTTGCTCCTCCACCTTTTTCACCTCTTCCACAGGTGGCTCCTCGGGCTCAGCTTCCTCTGCTTTGGAGTGGTCATCTTCCATGAGGCCGTTGTCCGTCTCCCAGCTGTCACTCTCATCTTCCCACTCATCTGAGGAGGCGCCACTCGTGCTGCCATCTATGGAATCAAGGTCTGTTTCTTCATCCATCTCGGATTCTATGTTATACAAATGCTAGAAGCCAGAGAGAGAGAGAGAGAGAGAGAGAGATCCATTAATTAAGAAAAGGTTTGTCATCCCACCAGTAAAAGGGGATGAGCTACAAAAGCATTTCTTCACGCTAAGGACACATCGGAAGCAGACACTGGGGGAGAAATTAGTTTGGTTTGCATTTTAATGCAAGTCTACCTGATGGTCACTTCCTAAAATAACACACGAACCAAAACACAGCTATCCTGCTCTTTCTGAATGGTGTGATGCACTTCTCCAACCAAAAATAAATAAATAAAAAGAGGACAAAGTATATATGAGGGAAAGTGTGTGCAAAATACTTATATTAGTGAAAGTCATGTACAAAAATGCTTTCTATTGTAAGGGAAAGCTACACCCCAAAACACAGCACCAGATTCAACTAACCGGAAGCAAGACCAAGGACTTCTGCCACTGCAATGGGGCTTCCCCCTCCCACAATTCAGCTCTATGGGGAAGTTGGGAGAATCCCCAGAGAAGCGCTAAGGGGGAGGAGAGGGGAAATTGATGGAACAATCTGTTTAGTGCTCTGTGGAAACCTCCCTCATATATTAAGCAAAAACATGTACAATTTTCATGCGGACTTCAAAAAAATTGCACACATACTGATGTGGAAATGAGGAGAAATGAATTTGAGATTGAAAGAATGAGTAGCTAAGAAAAAACAAAATGGACAGATTTGCCCATCGCTAGGCAAACTCCCACTGGACTGACTTTCAGGTGGATCCTACATGCCTCGACTGCAGATCTTATGCAATACCCGTCTACAGGATTCTGAATCAGCACTTTACCCTCAAAAAGTAGGGCACCCTGGGTTAACTGGAGCAGTTTATAAAAAGACTACAGTGAGCTTGAAGATCTGCAGCAGACTAGAGCAGCATGCATTAACTCTGCTAGACGGAAGATCCCAGGATACTGAACTCCTCTTAACAAGTCTATTTACTCCATGCTGCCATTTATCACATTTCTCCCTTGCCGTTTTTGATAAGCTGCTTGATGTTTTTGTCGGAACAGGACTGAAGCCTCCACTTTCAAAGTGACAACCTGTGAACTACACGGAAATGCCTATCGCTTTCCTCCTACACGGAGCTGTTCTTATGATCCGAATAATCCTCAGGCTGCTGCACTCCACAGCGCTCTTGTTTCCACGGTGTGCCCCTTCTGATCTCTGTTGTGTATATTAGGGATGTGACTTTTCAGAATACGGCCCTCTTGTCCTCCACCACCCAGCCCAATTTTCTTTCTGCTCAAACTGCAGGGGGATTTAACAAAGATGTCTGGGAGGTTGCATGAGATGTACAGATACCCTTCTGCATATGGGCTTTGGTACACCTTTTCACAGATCCCTGCCATGATGGAGGGAAAAATATATATATATAGAAGCATCGGTAGCTGCAGAAGTAGTTTCCTCGGGAACCTCTGTTTGCTGTACACCTTAATCTACAACCATAAATCAAATTAACAGGGGTTTTTTAAAACGGTACGGTATAAACTTTTATTATAGGTTGGGTGCAGACTTGTACGGAGACAGTTGTCCTTTGTGGAAGTGTACGCCAGACCTGTGATCTGATCACATGTGACAGGAGTGGGAAGGGAGACAGCAGAGGGCTTTGTATCCCACTTCCATAGCTCAGGCACTGGACCATTCTGCTGCAATTAAAGGAGAACTGCTGGTTCAGAAAAAGAAAGCCTCGAATGCCAAGCATTTATGCACATGAACAGGCTTCTGAGGCAAAAGCAAACCACTGCGGGTGCTGGCTATAGCAGAGACGCAGCAGCTATCTGGAAATGAAGAGACCAGGCGTGAGCTAAAAAGCTTTCAGTACTGCGGTCTCCTCTAACATTGCTTTGGGACAAATTTAGCTATAATGCCTCTCCCAGCGGATCTTTTTCACCTAGAAACACCAGCTTATGCAAGGATGCTACACACACTCTGATCATCAGTGTTCTAGAAGCAGGAAAACTGGAAATGGGGGCAGGGAGCATGGCTGCTGCACTGCAGGTGTTCGAGCTAGTGAAACCCTTGGGGTAGTCAACAGTTTGCCCTCCAGATAAATGTTGGACTCAAACTCCCATAATCCTGGGCCACTGGTCATGCTGGCTGAGGCTGATGGGAGATGGGGTCTAACAGCACCTGAAAGTTGCCATGTTGCCTGCCCTGCCCCATAAGCTTATTCCCAAACCATTCTATTTCATCTGCTCCTCCTCCCTTTCTCTAATTCAACTAAGGGTATTATTTTACAATCGTTCATGCATGTGGAGACATGCTAGGGCAGTGCTTTTCCATGAACCCCGGGCTTCCTTGAAAGCTCTGTTCTGTCAATGAGATCCACTGTGTACCAGTGTTTATAACACAGCTATCGGAAAAGCGTTGAGGGCATGAACTGAATGCACCCTGCAATGTGTGACAACGTAGGCCAACAGTCCTAACCAGGACCCTGCTTCAACTGTGTGCATACCCTAGCACCTCCTTACAAAGAATCTTCTGCAATATGTAGAGGTTCCTTGACATGCAAGTAAATATGAAAAATTAGAAAGCTGTTGAACTAGAGCAATGGGTTTCTCCTTTGGGGTTTATTTTGGAGAAATGTGCCTACCTGCACTTGCTCTCTATGCAAGCGTTGAGAGGGCTACATGCTACACCTACTTTAACTCAAAAATTACCTTCATGGGAATCAGTGGCACAAGTGCCATAGCTGAGGTTTTATTTTATACCTTCCATCCCATCAAGGTGGCTCCACAGAGCCCTCAAAGCAGCTAATCATGGGAGAAAATGAAAAGGATGGCTTGGATCCAAATAGCCCTTTGCGCACCATCCAAACAGGTCCTGCAAAGCTGCAGCAGATGCTTCTGGAAGGACACAAAAGGGTCTGCACGCCCAGGAAGGTGAGAGCGGGGAAGCCCTACGGCATGAGTGGAACTCTGCTCGCAATTCCTTGGATCCACTTAAAATTGGGAGTGGGAGCATCTCCAGATGTTGGTGAACTCCAAATCCCATCAGGCGCAGCCAGCATGGCCACTCATCGTCAGGGGCAATGGGAGCTGTGGTCCATCACTATTTGGATGGCCACACGCTCCTCTTCCCTGACTTAAGTTAAAAGCCAGCAGAGAGAGTACAAGTCAGCAGCATCAGAAAACCCAAAACTCCATTTAGCAGTTCCCGCTGCTGCAACCTAAAGTTCCAAATAACTTGTTAATCTGTAGGCCTCAACATGCAAAGGCCCACTGAAACAAAAGAAGTCTTCATTGACCTTCTGAAAACGTGTGAGGTGTATGTCAGAAAAGCTAGAAAAGGATGGGCTAAGGACAAAGGGGGAACTGCAGATTGCAGGCAGGAGCTACTAGGAAAACTCCTTGCGTAAAAAAAATTCCCTGCAAAGGCATTCAAAGGATCCTAGCCTTTGCAAAGAACGAAAACGGAAGCAGCAAGTTTAGACTGCAGAATAAAGCAGCAGCTGCAGAATAAAGTAGTGCCACAAGTGGGTTTCATCAGCAGCTTGCATCCAGAGCAGCAGTTGCCAACCTTTTAGGACCAGGGGGCACATTTTTAATTCTCTGAGTGTGCAGAGGGCTCCAGTCACAAAATAGCTGCTTTTGGGGTGGGTGGGGGTGGCATAACACAAAATGGCTGCCACAAGCCGCATGGCTTAACCCAAAATTAGAGAGAAAGCCACTCCTGACAAGCTTACGTTTAATATGAGAATTCAGCTATGTCCTGCTCGTCCTGATTGTGAGATCACACAATATTGATTTTACACACACACACACACACACACACACACACACACACAGATGCTGCCACTGTCTAATAGCAACAAGAAATGTTCCTCAGTACCAGGTCAAATATACAAAGTGGCCACACCATACTCTCTCTCATGTCACAGGAATTGTTTAGAAGGTTTTGCCCCATAGCTTTCTTTCCAGGCAGGCTACAAACTAGTCTTTTTTTTTTTTAATGAAACCTCAGAGTCTTGGGCATCAGCCCAGGAGCACAAGTAAAAATGTTCATGGGCACCATGGTGCCCACAGTCACTGACCTGGTGACCCCTGACTTAGAGCAATCCATTTCCAAGGTTCAACAAATTCAAAGCAAATCTAGGAGCTGATGAAAGAGAAGAAACAAGCATTCCCAGTTTCAGACAAAATGCCCCCTCCTTGCTATAAAGGCATGGGACCCAATGAACAACAGCTCCATCAAGTAGAGGCAGCTTACCTGTGGCAGAACGATTGTCCTGGAGTTATCAGCCCACACAACTTCCACTTTGCTGCTGAAATCCACACGGGCCACCTGACCCACAGAGGGCTATGGAAACAAAACAGAACAAGCCTTAGAGCCAGCTGAACTCTACCTTCTAGAATACCAGCAGTTAGCAACTACTTTCTTCAAGCAAGTGGGATGCATAAGCAAGAGGAGGATAGAGTAAGCCAAGAGAAATTGTAATGATTCTTGCTGCTGCAATTTTACGGAGGGGGATGTCCCGTGCAGGATATTTCCAAAACAAATCCACCTCAAAGACAGTGAACTGTACATTAAAACGACCTCAGCGCTACTCATCTCCAGTCTCTCTGAAGAATCCATTTTTAAAGTATTTGACAGGGCTGCCATCTTGCGGTGGATTGAGGAACTGGCGTTTGAGCCTTTCAAACCTTTTCCCCCTCGGCAGATGGCGTCTTTATGTGGTTTCCTCACAGAGATGATCCACGCTGAACCTGGCCTTGTATATATGCTGAACATGTTCACAATAGGCTGTCTCTGTCACTTGCTCAGCAATGTTCAATACGATGCCAGAGACGAGAATTTAAAAAGCCCAATTCAAATTGTACCCGAAGCCGAGTGATATGTTGGTGTTCATAAGCTGTTTAGAAGTTTCAGGTCTGCAGATTTCTCTGCACAGCTTCATTACTGAAGAAGGCAATTAGGAAGAGGCACGATGGCCTTTTAGGCTATTAATTCATGCATGTATCATCTCTCCACTCAAATTATGTAAGCTTTACGCTTCTGCGGCCGATAGATTCCGCTGACCTCATTGTTACGTTCCGGTTAGCTATTGCATCTGCTACAAGGGGAGGACCTCAGTTCTATGTATGTGCCGAAAGAGAAGAGCCTCCCTTCTTCTAGAAAGTGTGCAAGGATGCATGTCTATTAGGAACACTAAGCAGGACAAGACGGCCTATTCCTTTTCAGCCCAAACCAAGGCACAGAGGAATCTGGCAACTGCATTTCCCCCTCCCACAGTATTAGGCCCCAAGGACATGCAAGACCTACCTCATTTTCACCAACTGAAGCACCATCCTCCGCATTGCCAATGCGGATCACAAAATCAGTCGTGCGGAAGCGGAAGTCTGGGTGATCAGCGATGTCATACACACTGACATCCTCCTCCTCCCCAATCAGCTGGCAAAGAACACACCATGTTTAAGACCAATCCTTGTTCCTAAATGCTTCCAAGAACAACATCCTGAAACTCAAGACATTCTGCTCCATGCTGCTGCGTTGAGATATCTGGTACAAGGTCTCGTGCATGTATAATCTTTAAAAGAGCTCTGAAGAGTTGACTAAAAGAGGTCGGCACTTAAAGTGGTAGAGTCCCGTGAAAGGAGGACTGTACAGTCCTGTCCATCTGCACCAAGCTCTAACCTTCTACAATACACTCATTCGGGGCTCCTGTTCTTCCCCACATGGCACCAAAACAGAGGATGAGAATAAATCAATCCGCCCAGGTTAACATTTAACATAAAGGAGGATCCAGTAAGAGGATCTGAGAGTATGAAAAACACACACATTCTCCTTTTTACTTAAGTTCTGACACCTAACCTTGATCTGGCATTGAAAAAAGATAAAATCCGCATTAGGGTTTATTGGGGAAAAGACTGGAAAGGAAAAAAGTCAGCGCTGTATCTATCACTTTTAAATACAGCTTTTCCAGGATACTGAAGTGTACAATGAATAAAAGTCCACATAAACATAATAAGGGCACACAAGACAAGGACCTTTACTTCTTACCTCAACATCATCTCCACTAGGCCTCAACTTGAACCATTTCACCACACAGGTGCGGCCAACATGGTCACCTGACTGCACCACTCCATACATCCCAGGATCCTGAGAACCCTGTGCTATTTAGGATTGAAGAAAGAAGACTCCAATAAGAGAGAGCAGCATACTGAAGCGTCAAATCCTCTTTTTCTAGAGGCTTAGGCAAACAACAGTGGGAAAAGGACTAATATTCCACAAGGATTAGAATCATAGGATTGCAGAATTGGAAGGCACCCCAAGGGTCATCCAGTCCAACCGCCTGCAACACAAGAATCTCAACTAGATCAGGCACGTCCAAAAGGTAGTTCACTGGTAGATCACTGGCTCCCCCCAAAGAAGCTCAATAACTTTGGCTCCCCTAAAGAAGTGCAACATTTTAGCCCTGCACCCCCCGCTAAAAAAGGTCAACAACTATGACCTGTATCCCTAAAAAAACCTCAACAACTTTGACCCGAACCCCAAAAAAGGGAGTACAGTGGTGCCTCGCAAGATGAATGCCTCGCAAGACGAAAAACGCGCAAGACGAAAGAGTTTTCCGTTTTTTGAGTCGTTCCGCAAGACGAATTTCCCTATGGGCTTGCTTCGCAAGACGAAACGTCTTGCGAGTTCTTGCGAGTTTGTTTCCTTTTTCTTAAAGCCGCTAAGCCGTTAATAGCCGCTAAGCCGCTAAGCTGCTAATAGCCGTGCTTCGCAAGACGAAAAAACCGCAAGACGAAGAGACTCGCGGAATGGATTAATTTCGTCTTGCGAGGCACCACTGTAGATCGGTGCCAGTTTTTAACTCTGTGAGTAGATTGCAGTCTCTTGGGAGTTGGCCACCCCTGAACTAGATCATCCTTAACAGATGTCCATCCAACCTCTGCTTAAAAGCCTCCAAAGGAAGGAGAGTCCACCACCTCTCGTGGGAGTCTGTTATGGACTGGAAGTCTCTTAATAGATAAGTAGAAAGAATATTCAAACACTTGCGCTCCTCGGGTCATATTCAAGATAGAATTAAGTGGATTGTTTCCCTCTCCTCCCCCTGTGCACCCACTAAATCTGGTCTGAGGGTTCCCCCAACTCTCTGGAGCAGATTTAGGGATAGCATGGGGCACACATAGGGGAGGAGAATAGGGAAATCACACTGCGCTAGTGCTAATCCTATTTAAATGAATACAGCCCCTTTTCCTTTCATCTACGGTCCACTAATGAAAATACTGTATGGAGACAGATTTTAGACACAAACTGAGGAGTGGCTTATTCTCTTTGGAGAAATTCTATCTGCCAAATATAACAGGCACAGTTGCCATATTGTATCTGAGGTACTTGGTATCTCAAGAGGAGGACTACCTGTATGTTTTTTTAAAGCACCAGGATAAATTAATTTACAATAGGGTGAATAGGCAAAAAGACCTTTCACTAATGCTCGAATACAAAGGGGTGCCACATTATCCAATTTATTACTTTAACAATTGTGAGGGTCAAAGTTCATCAACAAGACGAGATTTTCAGGGAAAATGCTAAAAGTGGACGATGCCAGTGTTATTACATTCAACGTTATCGGCAGTCTAAAGAGCCAGACTCAAAACACAATTGTAAAGGTGAAAACAATGCACATCACACCAATTACCTCTTTTGTCCACCACAAAATCCCCAGGGCAAAACTCGTTGTTGTCCAAGTGATGGACAGGAAACAGCTCATTGGAACGAATGGTTTTCTCCACTGTGCCATCCTGCCACATCACATCAGCTGAAGTCATCGTGGTCACCACTTCCACAGCAACCCTGTGACCAAAAAAGGCAGCGAATTACAGAAGACGCCTCCTACAGCAAGTGGAGTCAGACAAAATGGGGCCTTCTGATCGCACCAATAGCAATCACATCAGATGAAACTAGCTCCTTTCAACTATGTGCTTCAGCAGCTTCTGTTCTCATCAAGCACCAACCATTGTTCTATCTAACTGGGAAGAACAAGTGGCCCAAAACGTCTCAAGAATGATCTCGGCCAGCTGCTGCAGAAAACATTCTGGGTACCATTTGATTTCTAAAAAAGCTTTTATATCTATTTTTAGGCTTGTAGGACATGATTCAAGATGAACTTGCAATTTTATCTAATTGGCTGGAAGCAATGGGTAGTGACTAACAGATAACCTAGTTGTCAGTACTGTATGCAGTTGATTTTAAACCACCTTATAGTCACTGTAAACTTAAAATGGTGACACATGCCTATTGCCTTGCAGCTTAATTTCCCCCTCTTTTTAATGGTGGTAAAAGAGGTTGGACTGACATCTTACAGCTGAATGGGCATGATACTGCAGCTCATATACAGTACTTCTTAAAGCAGGAGTGGAGAACCCTAGGCCCATGGTTTAAACGTAGTCCCCCAAGCCTCTCTATTTGCCCTTCCTTGGGACTCTTCACAGGCCTCTCTATCTCCCTTCCCCAACCACATCCAGTACCGGCCCTTGACTGTGTTTGCCTAGATGGAATGTGCCAACCAATGGGGATAATGCTTTTTCCTTCCCTTGATGGAGGATACATAGGAGCGTGGAGTGTATTTGTAGAGACTAGGTAAAGGTAAAGGGACCCCTGACCATTAGGTCCAGTTGTGGCCGACTCTGGGGTTGCGGCGCTCATATCACTTTATTGGCCGAGGGAGCCGGCGTACAGCTTCCGGGTCATGTGGCAAACATGACTAAGTTGCTTCTGGCGAACCAGAGCAGCCACGGAAATGCTGTTTACCTTCCCGCTGGAGCGATACCTATTTATCTACTTGCACTAGTGTGCTTTCGAACTGCTAGGTTGGCAGGAGCAGGGACTGAGCAACGGGAGCTCACTCCGTCGCGGGGATTCAAACCGCTGACCTTCTGATCGGCAAGTCCTGGGCTCAGTGGTTTAACCCACAGCGCCACCCGCGTCCCTGTTTGTGGAGACTAGTATCCTGTATAAAGAATAAGTGCTACCTTTCTTCATTGCTCTGCCCTCCTTGACTCCATTTCTGAGGTGCAGGGATCTGGAGCAGAGTCCCCTCACCCCACCCCCACATCTGTTCCTCCACCCCTGCCAGCTGCCTCCGCTTCATGCCTTCCATTGGCAGCGGCCTGGACGCTGAGACTGAGGCAGATCTCCGAGTCACCGGCTGCAAGCTCATTCAGGCCCCTGGGATCCTCCTGAGCCCCCCTTAGCATATTTATTGTGGCCTCTTTCTCTCTCCTGCCTGATGGACTCAACTACCCACCCACTTGCTCCCCTCACTGGCCACCTTTGCCACCATGTTGGCAAAGGTGTGGATGAAGAAGCTGGAGGAGCTGGTGGTGGACGGGACGTGGCACTGCTGGACTTCCCAGTTGGCCTCTGCACCGAGCACAGCAGGAACAGTTAAAATTGGATAAAATTCTACTCTTTCCTAAAGTGTTTTTTAAATCCCGGAAGGCAGATGTTTATAAGGCTGCAGTAGAAACTGGGGTTTTGGGTTACTTGGTCCCAGAGAATGGGAAAAGGCAGTCAGACTGGTGCCTTTACCTGGGTTAATTTTATTCATTCTACAGAGATCTGTGAGGCCTGAATTCACACACTCGCCTCATATTGGGCATCCATGGAGTCATTGCAGTTTGCTCTTTGCATTTCTCTTGAAACATGACCAAGGTGAACGTTCTACACAGGCCGTCGAACTAAAAACCCATCCTGATGATGTTGCACAAATCCTTGCGCCATGGGCATTTTAAACACGCACTCACATTTGACTGAAAACTCAGAACTGGCAGGATTTAATGGCATGTTTAAGGGCAGCCTTACCTGTCGCCTGGCTTAAACTCGCGGGAAACCTTGGTTTTCTTCTTCTTATGCTTCCTCTTGAGGTTTTTGATGGAGAGTGGGATACTCTTCTTGCGCCCTGTGCCACTGCCGCTTTGGGAAGAGGCTGTGGAGCTGGCAGAAGAGGTCACAGAGCTGGTGTCGTCTGTGTCATCTGCTGCTTCGTCGTCAGCATCCTGTTCTATTGACTGGAGCTTGTAGTCTGAGGAGCCATCATTCCGTTTCAGAACAAATGGTGGTTGCAACTGCAGCCCAGCTGCTTCGCAAGGGACGCCTTTTCCCGTTCCATCAAGGTGCTCTTCCTTTACTTCTTGTAAGCTTACAGCATCATGGGCAGAGTCCTCTAGTTCACATTTTAAGCCGGCTTTAGGTTCTTCAGATGGTTGGTCACCTGCTGCAGCAGATTCTGCTTCAGGGAGGTCAAGGGCAGCCTGCGAGTCTGGGGATATCGACATGATCTTCACTATCTGCTTCTTCAACAATCTCCTCACCTACAGAAAATAAAGGATGGTCAACAGATGCAGCCCAAGATGTAGGAAGAGTTTTAGCCAGAGCTAATCATGCTGCTGAGTTGAGCAGATGAACGGTTTTGTATTCTACGCAATCCTTGGACTCTATTTTCCTTTAGCATTTTGGCCCTTGAGTTAAGACTGCTTTCACTGGAAGACTGAAGGGCAAGTCTTCCTTGCTAGCCCAGAGTTCTCTACAGGAGTAGTGACCACTCTATTGAGAAGCAACAAGCAACTGGGTTGCATCCAGCAATCTTGTCCCATTAGCACAAGGACTTCTGCCTGTACAATTGGCTCATTTCAAAGAACACAGGGGAGAGGAGGGGGAGAGGAAGTCCTTTTGCATAGGTAGAGTGGTCCTTGTACCAACATTACTAAAACCCACAGTGGTTATGACTGGCTGACCCAGGAAACACCCCCGGCAGGCCATTTCTAGGTTTCTCCATCAGAATGACTCAGTTCTGGATGTTGCAAAGCAGGTCCAGCCCACTAAGAAGAGCAATGAAGACAAACCGGCAAGACAACATCATGTCACTTTCAGGTATCCAAGGTGATGCGGATAAAAGCACAAGTAGCCAAAGGCCACAGAGGCCTTAAGAGGCCAGCATGGGGCCAGGAAAATACAGTAAGAGGAGAGTGTGGAGGAAGAGACTTTAAAAGTTCATTAGCTGTAAATGCACTGGCAAGGTGAAACACAATAGTTCTTGAGACATTCTTAAGAAGGCCTTATTAATATACTATGTTGCCCAACTGGGACTCAGTTGCCTAGCCTTTACAATGCACCTCTCTCACCAAGTTTTTTTTTTAATAGCACCATTACTATGGTTTTCTGTTCAAACTTATTTCTTAAGTACGTTTACTGGCATTTAGCAGAAATTGCACTGCAAAAAGTGGCAGGAACAAGTCTCCGAAGTAGTGAAGCTATCCTTGCTTTCCAGGAGGAAGATTAACTTTTTCTAGGAGGACTTCATATCCCCAACATTACATTTAGCTTCATAGCAATAAATCTAAAGCCATTATACCTTAATGTTAAGTCATGGAGGGAATACAAAGAATCAGCTATGATTAAATATAAAACTAAAACCTTATTCATTATTCAAAGCCAGCAGAGCACCGTCCCCGACAACGGTACTCCCCACTAGATTCTGTTCTCTTTCCACCCAAGAGCCACACACCCCGACAGAAAGTTTAGTAATCAATTTATACATTTAACCCCCCCCCCCAAACTCCTGTCACTCTAGTTTAGGGACTGAGAACCTCCAGCCTGTGGGCAATTTCCCCCAAATTGCACTCACTTGCCCCACACCTGACATTATATGCGCAATCAGGTGTGTGGCAGGTATAGACATGGCTGGATTGGAAGAGCAACCGACTTTCCCAATGGGGAACTGCAGCTGATCCCTGCAGAAAGCAGGATTGAAGTCACTGCCCATCAGCTAGTTTGTGGTGGCAAGTATCAATATAAAAACCTAAGTTCTTGGGCTCATTACAGTCTATAATGTGTCATAACTGACACAAGGCAATTCAGAGTATTGTCATGTCAACACATACCAACACAGAGAAAAGTGAGGTTCCCAACTGTGTTTCCCTCATATTGCAAATACAAAAGGTGGGGGGAAAGAGAAGAGGATGTGTGGGGGAGAATCAGAAAGCAGAATACTTTAAACATTATTTTTCTGCACCGTCAGTTCTCCCCTGTAAATGCGCAACCCAGATGTTAGTAACTGGTTCCCACATATATCCTGCCAAGTTTCAAAACCAGGAGTAAGTCCTGATGCGGAGAAAATTCCCTAGGAGGTACTTGCACAAGAGAACTTCCAGGTCTGGGAGGCATTTATGCTCTCCTCCCTCCCTAGGTGTCCTCATGCCTACAATCCTCTCACTACAGCAAAGAAGAGCTTAGAAACCTGGATGGTAATATTTAGTTGCACTAACTGGAGTGGATACCATTTAGGTTGCCCCCACTGAGTTCTGTAACAAAGGAAATAAGCAGCATCTAAGGCAGCCATGAGAGGAGAAAACATGTCAGTTATTCCAGACACTGCCATCATCAAGGGCAGGCCATGCTCCTGTCTCCAGGTGATAAGATATTATCTACTTCTATAGCAAAATGCAAAGCACTGTTGTCAGGGGAGCAAGACCTGCCAACACCCCTTCTGCCTGGTGACCTCAACCAGCAGGGGCCTCCTCTGTCAGGATGGGGAGATAAGTGTTGCCGTGAATATTATACAGATTTCTGTTAAAACATGCACTTTCCTCCTGGCATATCTCTATCACGCGGACGGACATGAACCTTATTATTACTAATTTAGAAGATTATCAAAATTATACAAAATGAAGTTAGAATTGGCTAAGCTGTTCTTAAAAAGGTTAAGATAACCTTTCCCTGGAGGAGGAATTATGGCACTTAAAAAGAATGACACCTACAAATAGACTCTTCTTAAGCAATGTGGGTTTATCTAGAAAGAGATCAACAAATGTCAAAATCTGCTGATGAGTTTACATGGAAAAATAAGCTATTTAGAATATTAACAGTCTTTTTGGAGGAAGGTGGCATTTGAATGCTGAAATTGGAGACACTTAGCTACCGTACAGGAGGAAGTTCAAGGCTTTTAAAAAACAGATATAGAATAAGTGTTTAGTACAGTACCTTTTCAGGCTTTACGTTGGATACGAAACAAGGACAGGCCATCTGCAATATTAAACACCACAGTTTTGGTATTATTCATGAAAGCATGGGAATATTTAAAGAGGAAAATTAAGTCCAAAGAAATGATTCACAGTTTGATTGCATCTTATTCATATTTTAACCCAAAGGGGAGATTTAGAAAATTTTGGTTCCATTTTCTTAGAAGTAAATTCTGATTTTGTAGGAAAAAAATACCACTATAGTGACACATGAAACTACTTAACGCAGGCTGCTAAACTAGTGAGCTAAGCAGACAGACAACCATGTTTCGTGGCCTGTCAGACGCTTAACAACCTCCCTCAAAAAGATCACAAAAACAGGGGGTTAATTGAGCCTATGGTAAACCACTATTAATGCCTGTAGACTGCACTTGGTTGGATCTGCAAGCAGGATTAAGGAATGTAGTCCCCAAAATTCTCATTAAAGAAATACTGTAATGAGAGACACAGACCTACCTGTTACTAACAGAGCTAAGCAAATTGCACTATGAACAGCTAGAGTAAATTGTCCATAAACTAAAACTACAAGGGCAGAAATGAAACGTAGCACGTTATTACAACAAGACACTGGAAGATGCTAATAAGCTGTCCTATCCAAGTTAAATAAGAGCATTCTTTAGAAATATGTGAATTTCCATATTTTGTTCATTATTAACAAATATGTTAAACTCTTTTTCACTGTCAAAAGTAGCTGCTAGAATGGTATACATCTGATAATGGAAAGATACCAAAACCCTCAATATATTTGAATGACTATTAAAGTGAAGATATTTAGCAATTGTAAGTATTAAGAAGCTACATCCACAGGCTAGGCAGGAAAAAAAATAAATTCACTGAAACATAAGTAGAGCAGAAAGGTCCAAAAGTACTTCAAAAAGGAAGGAGGCAGCTATATCTAGCACAGTACACCTTAGCTGTATTATTTTAATTGTGTAGTTTCCTTTCTACACTTGGTAGAAGCAATATAAACATGCATGGGAGAGGGACAGAAACCATGACAAATGCATATTCATACTTGACCTAAGAAGAAGAAGAAGAAGAAGAAGAAGAGTTTGGATTTGATATCCCGTCTTTCACTCCCTTTAAGGAGTCTCAAAGCGGCTAACATTCTCCTTTCCCTTCCTCCCCCACAACAAACACTCTGTGAGGTGAGTGAGGCTGAGAGACTTCAAAGATGTGTGACTAGCCCAAGATCACCCAGCAGCTGCATGTGGAGGAGCGGGGAATCGAACCCGGTTCCCCAGATTACGAGACTACCGCTCTTAACCACTACACCACACTGGCTCTCAGGTGCTTGTTAAATTCAATCGATACACACAATTCTGAGCTAGTTACTTTCCCCCTCACTGTGCATTGAAATGAATGAATAATCTCGGGGGGGGGGGGAATCCCATGTAGGTAATAAGCAACGTGAATTGCAGAGAGCCACTGACCTGGGTTGAATCTAGAAACATACAAAAAATGCTGTGAAAGTGCTTTTTTAAAAGCATTTTGAAAAATATATTGAATTTGCCATAAGCTTGCCACTGCCATCTAGTGTCACATTTGTATAATGCACTTACAACACACGTAAAACATTCTGTTTGCAGCTGTATAGCTGAGTCCCTGCTACACACATAACACCAAGCCAAACCATGCCTTAGTGGGAATGTGCAGACTCTCGGAGAGGCAATTGTGGGTGCTTTTCAAATTCTCTGCTCCTGCTGCGCTGTTCTGAGCCAAGCAATGGTTTGGCTCCATCTTTTTGTCTACACCCAGGGCTGGTGGTTTGTTTTGCTCTAGACAATCATGAGCCCCGGTTTGGACAACACACTAAGCCAATGTCATTGGTTTAGCTCAGAACAGTAGCAAACAGGGCCAGAAGAGGAGCAAAGCAGCTGGGACTTCTCCAGGAAGGAGCCTGTGCGTTCATGCTAAGTCATGGTTTGGATAAATATTACATGAGAACAGAGCCACTGTCTCAGAACGGTGGAATGAATATGTTGGATGGTCAAAGCTAAAAAAAAGAGAGAATTTTTTTTCTACTCGAAATCTCTGAAAGAATTTAAACAACCACCTGCAATGTGGATTCTAAACAAATCTCCATCTCGCATTTAGGATCACTGAAGGGGCCAATCAACAGAGATTTACTCTAAAGACAGAGACCATCAGTGGAATGCATCAAAATCGGGTGGACATTCATATGCCCGTTAACATATTTTTCACATAAATTGATCATAGGAGGTTACAAATCGCTTCTCAATCAGTTCTTATCTAATGAATGCAACAGTTGCCAAATGAAGGCAAACTCATCCCATAACAACTCTCTGTCTATAGACCATTCAGCTCAACAAGTTCACATTTTCTCTGATCATCAAGTATCATATCTTTTGTGCCACAGTGCTACTGGCAATTTGCTTTCTTAACTGTGGGATCACACAGTTTCACTGAGCCACTGCCTCCTTCCTGACATATATTTTAGGGAAACATGAACACCAGACATGGATTATGGTTAAGGCTAAGCAGGTACTTCACTTAATTGGTATTCTTCTGGCACCTGAAGATGGTTAAGAATATTGGTTAAGCAGGGCACCAACTCAAGCTCTAATTGCAATCAACACTGGTGCAAGTATTTCTCTTACGTGTGGGTAAGGGAAAATGTGCTCTCAATACAGAGGAGGCTGCAGAAGGAGTACAAGGGTGCATAGTTCCCGAAAGCTCACTACCATTATCTTAATCACATCAGCGGATTATCATCTTAACAAGACTGTCAAAACAGTCTAGAGAAATTCTGAATAAAAGAACTTTCCAAAGAAGTTTGATGTTCTGTGAAGCAGTTTGATATTATCAGCCAAACGATGCCAGCATACGTACCTTTTTGGCAACAGATCCTTCTCCCAGAACACAGTTTCTCTCTGGGCACTCACATGTGATTTTTGCCGGCTCCACCTTCTCAGGAAACACATAGAGACACCTTTCTCCAAGTTGCCGCTCAGCATGGTCAAAGCACCCCAGGCGCTTTACCCTGTCAAAAACAAGGTGACCGTGATACCACCTTACTGCTGGCTGATACAGTTTCCCCCAAGGTCCTAGGACTGCCTGACACCTCTACAGGGGCTTTCATATACTTACAAGATGATAACTTTTTTGGGGGGGGGGGGACTGTTTAGGAGACAATGACAGTACTTCCTCATTTTACATGGGTTTAGGCTTAATTCAACAGTGCAAAAGTATTTGTTAATGCAGGACAAAGGGGAATGTTCTCTTATATGAAGCATACTATGAAGTTTGAATGTGCAGGAGGAAAATAAGCAGATTGTTAAAGTCCTTTGCTCTGTTACAGCACACAAACAGCTGTACACATGCCATTTCAGATTATTAGATCATTCACCATCCCACCTCAAATGTTTGCACTAAATACTATAGCAATAACTTTGTTTTCATCCAAGTAAACTATTGCTTTTCTGGTAGCAGCCTTCTGGCAGAAAGTAATTTAATTGGGGAGTGCTTTTAGGGTATTAATATGAAGAACTCCTTACCTAGACAAGTTCTCTTGGGTGATTAAAGACGGTGGGGGACTTATACTATCTGTTCCTCCAGGACAGAAACTTTTAGTGATCCAAGTCACTTTCAACTCCACCACCTGCACCTAAGGAAAACAAGGCAGAGGAGAGAAGACAATGGTTTTAGAAAATTTCACGAGATTAAATATCAAGTAGCATTTTGTTACTGAAGTTGTTAAGACATACTTTGGTATCTTTTGTCCAACTCACAGAATGCCTTTAGTTTGTCTAGGACTATTATCTCGGTTTTGGTGCTGCATAACCGTATCAGACCTAAGTAGCTATAGCATGAAGAAGCAGTTATTTGCTTTTTGGAAACAATTCAAACAAACCTGCTTTTTATCAAGCTGGCATCACTTAGATTGTTCCATTCATATACCAACATTGATACAATCTAAAATGAAGGCTATTTTCTTTTTTTTCTTTCTTTTTTTAATAATTTTTTTTTATTAATTTACAACAAAACAAAACATACATAAAATTTTTCACATCCAATTTTCACAAATTGCTTCTTTTCTGGACTTCCTTCAGCTTCTCCATAAATCATCCATAGTCATTATTTTAAATGCGCATTTCGTAATTTATATTGTCATTATTTATACCCTTAATTTCCTTTCTCTTTAAACAATACTTCTTCGTTTTTCACAGTGCTTTTTTAAACCCCTCTAGAGTTATCTGTCCCTCACTTATACTTTCCAGATATTCCACAAATTTCCCCCAGTCCTCGATGAACTTTTGGTCTCTTAGGTATCTAATTTTCCCAGTCAATTTATCCAACTCAGCATAGTCTAACAGCTTCATTCTCCATTCTTCTACTGTCGGTATTTCCTGTTGTTTCCATTTCTGAGCCAGTAACACTCTTGCTGCAGTCACTGCATATTGGAAAAATTTACAGTCCTTTCTCTTTATCTCATTTCCTAGTATTCCTAACAGAAAGGCTTTGGGTTTCTTTGTAAATGTATCTTTTAGAATCTTCTTCAATTCATTATATATCCTTTCCCAGAGGCCTTTCACTTTCTTACATTCCCACCACATATGATAAAAAGAGCCTTCTTTATCTTTACATTTCCAACACTTATTACATGTCTTATACATTTTTGCTAATTTCACCGGTGTTATATACCATCTATAAAACATTTTCATAACATTCTCTTTTAACGTCATACATGCTGTAAATTTTAGATTTTCTTTCCATAGTTTTTCCCAATCCTCAAATTGTATATTATATCCAACATCTCTGGCCCAGTGTATCATTACTGACTTAACTTCCTCATCTTTTAAATTCCATTCTAACAACAGCTTGTACATTTTGGATTGAATTTCGTAATCATTATTTATTATTTCAGTCTGAAATTTTGAATCTTTATCAGCATAACCACCATCTTTGATATCTTTCCTAAACATTTCATTTATTTGAAAATGATGCAACCAATCATATACATGTTCTTTAACTTGTTCGTATGGTTTCATTTTCCATTTACCCCTTTCTTTAAATAGCAGTTGACCATATGTGATGCAATTGCCTCTCATATTAATTTTCTTTACACTCATGACTTCTAACGGAGATAACCAGTGTGGTACTTTAGGTTCTAATAGGTTTTTATACCTATCCCATACTTCAATCAAAGGACCTTTGAAGATGTGGCTCTCAAAACCTTTATGGATTTTCTTTTTCTCATACCATAAATACGCGTGCCACCCAAATCTGTTATCAAACCCCTCTAAATCTAACAGTTCCTTGTTTTCTAGTTTTATCCAGTCTTTCAACCAGCAAAGGCAAGATGCCTCATAATATAATTTCAAGTCCGGCAGGGCAAAGCCTCCTCTTTCTTGCGCATCTGTTAATAACTTAAACTGAATTCTCGGCTTTTTGCCCTGCCAAATATATCTTGAAATTGCTCTTTGCCATTCTTTGAAAATCTTGTTTCCCTTAATTATATGGATAGTCTGGAATAAAAATAACATCTTTGGGAGCACGTTCATCTTAATTGTAGATATCCTACCCCAAAATGACAACTTCATTCTTCCCCAGACCTCTAGGTCCTTTCTTATTCCATTCCACACTGGTTTGTAATTGTTCTTGTATAAATCTATATTTTTGGGGGTTACCCATATTCCTAAATATTTCACCTTTCTGACCACCTCTATCTCTGTTTGTTGTTGCATTACTTCAATTACACTTTGCCATATTCTTCGCAATCATTTTCGTTTTCTTCTTATTTAATCTAAAACCTGCCACTCTTCCAAATTGTTCAATTTCTTCCAATACTTCTTTTGCTGTGTTCATTGGTTCTTCTATCGTTATTACCAAATCATCTGCAAATGCTTTAACTTTATATTCATTTTGGCCAATTGTTACTCCTTTTATTTTCCTATTTTGTCTTATCGAATGCAAAAGAACTTCTAACACCATTATAAATAATAATGGGGAAAGTGGACATCCTTGTCTTGTTCCTTTTGCTATCTTTATTTCTTCTGTGACTACATTATTTATAATCAATTTTGCTTTTTGTTCTGTATAAATTGCCTTTATTCCATTAAAGAATGAAATGAAGGCTATTTTCATCCTACAGATTTTTCATGGCTGGGCTTGAGTGGGGACTCAAATCAAAGAACCAATCAGGGAGTGGAAGTGAAAATGGGGTCATTTCTAGTTTAACCAAAGTACAAATGATAGATGAGGTCCTCACTCACAAGTTGTACATAATTTAAAAACAATTATTGATCCTAAACTTTTGTAGAATATTTTTTCATCGCGTTTGGTTCAAAGGACACAACAAAGCTTGTTTTGCGGAAAACTCCAGGCAAGGCAGTGATCCCTTAACACAGTCAAGTTCACTGAGCCATACCTCTTCCACCACCACTCTGAACTTGCTCTTTGTGCTAAGAACAGGTTTCACTCCTGAAAGCCACTGCACATTCGAGAAGACTTTTGATGGGCCAATGAGAACTTGCCCGGGGTAAAAGCCATATGAATCATCGAAGAAGAGGCCCTGAAAAGAAGAAGCAATACAAGAAAGAAGTGCAAGTCAGAGCCAGGTATGATTAAGACCACATTTTGTCCCTGTGGAATGAGATTCCTGCATTCCGGTCCAATGCTAGTCACTAACAAAATTCTTAAGTGAACAGAACTTGTTCTAGGATTCCTTGGTCCTGAAGTGCTCTTTCTCTGCTACAGTCAACCACAACAGCAGTTTCTAAGGCAACTAGGGAAATCTTAGGTACGAAGGATAATGAATAGTGGAGGAAACATCGTAAGGTACTAGAAACAAACAGCTCCTAGTTTCATTTGAATTACTTCCGTACCAAGTAGCAGCATTTCAAAGCTGGAAAAGCTACCATGAAAATATGATTGAATTATCTTCAGTGACTTCTGGAGTTCTTGCATTCAATGGCTCTATTTCCCTAGTTATAAAGGTGGAAACAATTGTTCCAAACATATGAAATTTCAAACAGGCAAGGTGGACATCTGAACATTGTGAGAGCTGTATATTTTTTGACACCCGTAATAACAACAATGTGATAATAATAATTTATTATTTATACGCTGCTCATTTGAGTGGGTTGCCCCAGCCACTCTGGGAGGCTTCCAACAAATTAAAAACATTAAGCACAGTAAAGCATCAAACATTAAAAACTTCCCTATACAGAGCTGCATTCAGATGTCTTCTAAAAGTCAGATAGTTGTTTATTTCCTTGACATTTGATGGGAGGCCGTTCCACTGGGGAGGGGGGTGCCACTACTGGGAAGGCCCTCTGCTTGGCTCACTTCTCATAATGAGGGAACCGCCACAAGGTGCTCAGAGCACTTACTGACATTTTCTACTGATATCCAACCCATCTTTGCAAATTGCTAAATTCTTTGCTATAACGTTTTCCTTTTGGTAAGGCGTTTCACAGTTCAGTAATCCTCAAATTAAATACAGACTTTGTTTTGGAGGCACTGTGACTCAGCCTCCACATTTTAGGCTGATTTGGAGGTTCTAAGTGTGGGCTTTTTCTTTTATACTTTTCCCTTCCCATATATATCTCAAAAGTACTCAAAAGTACCCATCTCCTGCAACTTTTTCCATTCTCCTTTCACACATGCTACAGTGTGGTTAGGGGGCTGGGCTGTGGAGGCTGTGGTCCTAAGGCCCACTGGTGGGTCCTGGTCCACCATTTGAGAGTAAGCTGATCTGTTGATTAATGATGTGTTCTGTGTTTGTGCTCTATATGGGGCTACAACTAATCCAGAATGTGGCTGCCAGAATGGTGACTTGGAGCAGCCACCGGAACCATATTACAGTACACTAGTCCTGAAAGACCCACATTGAATTGTGCTCCGAAATGTACTTGGAGCCAAAGTATTGGTGCTGACCTTTAAAGCCCTAAACAGCCTCTGCACTGTATACCTAAAGTAGTGTCCAACCCCATCGTTCAGCTCACACAATGAGATCCAGCACCAAGGGCCTTCTGGCGATTCCCTCACTGCGAGAAGTGAGGTTAAGGGAACCAGGCAAGAGGGCCTTCTCAGCAGTGGCACCCACTCTGTGGAATGCCATCCCATCAGATGTCAAAGAGATAAGTAACTATATAATCTTTAGAAGACATCTGAAGGAAGCTCTGAATCGGGAAGTTGTTTATGAATAATGTTTCATTGTATTTTTATATATTCTGTTGGAAGCCACCCAGAGTGGCTGGGGCAACCCAGTCAGATGCGCAGAGTATAAGTAAATAAGTAAGTAAGTAAGTAGTAATAATAATGATGATGCTGCTGCTGGTGTATAGAAATATTCTTATATGAAAACATGTACTTTCTCCCATATAAATGGAAGGCTGTCAATCACTGTGTGGGGAAGAGGCACTTTACTATTGTTGTGGTAGCAACAAAGCCTGCTCCTTACCTCCAAATTTCAAACACTGGATAATCCATCAGATAGATGTGAACCCCACAAGTGGGGCCCATATAATAAAAGGTATCTCTACAGAGAACTATTCTAACAAAGAGGGGGAACTTACTGAGTCGCTGACATGTGGACAGACATCATAGAGCTTTGCTGCATCCTCTGTGCTCATAGAACACCTAAGGAAAAGCAATAATTGTTAAAAACACACACAGAGATTTTGCAAGAGTCAGCACTACTTTTTTAATGGCAAATATGTGTTAGCATGCTCTTATATCTAGATTTAACAACACTAAGCCATGCAGATGGAAGATATTGGATATCATTCCATTTAAAAAGTACTATTCAATGTGTTTAATCTGGAATAGGTATGGGGATGCTTTGAGAAGTATTACAGGTCAGGGACAAACTATCATATTATCTATCATATCATATTATCTATCATATCATATCAAACTATCATATGGGGATTATCTAATTGATTTTTAAATTTTATTGTCATTCATGTTTTTATACTGTATTTTATGCTGTTTTTATAATTAAGTGTTTTAAAGTGTTTTAAATTTGTTGTTAGCCGCCCTGAGCCTGGTTTTTGAACCAGGAAGGGCAGGGTATAAATAAATTATTATTATTATTATTATCCCCTACGACAATTTTGTAGGATTTGCACAGGCAGCCTATATTAGGGGTGAGGAAGCTGCAGTCTGCAAGGCCTAATTAGGCCCACCAGTCCCTTTTGCCCAAGCCTCACTTATCTGCCCTTTGCCTGATGTAATATATGACATCAGGTGTAGGACCAGTAAAACTGTAGCTGGATCAAAAGGGGGCTCGGCTGATTGGCGGCACCTGCAAAGTCCTGTGTCACGTACTTTGACACCCCCCATTATCAGCTGATTGTCTGTGCTTGAAGAAAGCCCTGCATTACCAAAGCTTCAACAATCAACTAGAATTGGCTGTGGAAGGGAGGTCCCCCCCCTTTGGAATCTCTCTAGTGCTGTCGAGGGGACTGCAGGAAGCAGCTTAGATTCAAAGTGATTCCTGCAATGCTTTGAATGCAAACTGCTTTCTCTGGAAAGAAAGAAAAAATCAGTTTAAAACCGGAGCTTTTTTTCTTTCTAGAGAAGGCAGTTTGTCTTCAAACCAATGGAGGAAGCATTTTGAAGGTGAACTGCTTTCTCCACAGAAGGCAAGATGCTCAATTTTTAGGAACATTTTGCCCCCCTGCAGAGACTCCAAAGGGGCTTCCTGTCACCAACGATCAGCTGATAGACAGTCACAGCAACCTGCTTTGAGTTTTGTCTGGTGTCAATCACCTGTTGCCATTGTGACATCAGATGATTCACTGGTGGGTGGTTCTGCCTAGCTGTCGAAGTTGGGCTACACATGTGAAGAAGGAGGAGATACTGATCAGGTTCACTGACCAAATCAAGGTCTGGCCTATATCTTACCGGGTCAAATTCAAGGTGCTAAGATTAAAGGCTTTATGTGTTAAAGATGTGGGACCTGGGTATTTGTTGCAGCATCTCTCCTCATACCAAACTACCTGAGTCCAGAGACCCAGTCTCTTTTGGTGGGGGGGGCCTCAGATGCTTGTCTGCATGGCTGAGCACACAAGCATAGGAAGATCTTTAGCAATATAACTGCCCGGCCCTGTGAGTGTTTACGCAGACGTTCTATGAAGTTTAATGGGACTTATCCCATGAAGACAATGTGCACAGGATGATAGCTGAAATCTGCCACCCTTCCCCAACCCGGCGCCCCCTCCAGTTGTTTTGGATGACAACTCCCATCAGCTCAAGCCGGTATAGCCGAAGAGAGTTGAAATAATAATTAAAAAAACATATGGGAAGGCTGACTTACATTTACTCAACCAAGAAATTAAAGGCATGCTCTGTAACAGAAGCAACAGACATACCTGGCACCATTGGAGAGCTTCAGGATGATTTGGTTCTTTAAATCATACACTTTTCCAAGCCACCAGTCATAGGCAATGCAGTCACCGTACATGAAAGGCTGAGGGGTAGAAGAAAGTTATGATGTCTGCTTCCTTGGTTCATTTAATCACAACTAGAGAACATTGTTCAGCTCAAGGAATAAAATGAACTGACGTTCAGGATTAGGGTACATCCGGCATATAAAAGAATTTAACACTTGTACATTTCCCAGATTACTGAAATAGGTTTTTCCGCCACCCCACCATACTACAAGATTGGGGAGATGGAAAAGTGTGTTACTGACAAATTTCATGGGAAAGATGAACAGTAACATATCAAGTATACTGGGTAAACTCCAGGGTAATCTCGCAATCACAGTTAAGTGATTGAGGAAGCGCAACTGCCCTTCTTTCTTACAATCAATTTGGAGTTGTATCTCTCTGCCTTGTTAAGAATACCAGCAGAAATATTTATCTTCGTTTTGGAAGGTTTCGGACTATAGCCAAAACCATTTTGTAGACCCATTCCCTGCCCCCTTTGACAAAAACAGTAAAAAATGAAATAAAGGTAGGAAATATCTAGAATGAACAAACGAACTCAGAAGTTACAGGCAGCCAGTTCCTGTACATTTTTTATGTACATACTTTGTTTCTTTAAAGATTTTACTAACACCATGTTTTAACTGTACTGCAGCTCAGGATCACGCTGTTGCCGTGGGATTGCCTTGATCAAGTGATCATCCTAGCTAATCACTATGCAGAAGCTTCTCACCCCATTTGTTATAGTCTAAGCCTTTGCTCAGTCTGACAGAAGCTAGCAACATATTCAGAAAAGAACTAGTGTGGCCGTAATGCAAGTATTGCATTATTTACTTCAAATATTTACTTCAATATTAAAAGTTCCAGGGTAGCAGTTTACAGAGATTAACAATTAAAAACAATTAGAAAATATGACAGCAGATAAGGAACTCCTTAAAATTAAGTCAGAGTAGAGAACTAAGCCAGTTACAAACTGGGATTAGTTTTTAAGGGCTTTTACTTTGTCTTTATAGTACCAGACAAATTAGGTTTGCTTGGCCCCAGGAAAGGCATCCCAGAGTCAGGATACTACAACCAAAAAGGTCATAATCCATATAAGAGAACCCAGGGAAGTGCCTTACAACTTACATCTTAATGTGCAGACAAGTTTATGTGGTAGTAAGCAGTCCTTCAGGTCTCTGAATTGCATCTCATGTAGGGCTTAGAAGCATTACTCTCTTCAGAGAAGACTCTAGTCTTGTTAAAAGAAACCACTCACATCAGGGGATGTAACATCATCCCTGCCTGTTCCTGATTAAATCTGTTAAGTTGTTAGCTTTCCTGTTGTGTGAGGATAAGTAGTATTAAACACACTCACCCAGATATTCTGAAGATCTTTGCTGTTGACCGGATAAAGGATACAGTTGGTCCCCACCAGTTTTACGGCACACTCTATATTCACATCAATTACTGTTCCACACTGGCTGTCCTGGAAAGGTGAACGAAAGGTTTTTCAACTGCAGGACACACAAGTTGTGCAGAAACAGACAGCCCTGAAAGTTTCACCTGCTATTTCTCAGTAGAACACGAATTCAAGACCCAAGAAAAAAAGCAAAAAAGAGTCCCTTTTATGCCTTCTTTCTTGAGAGAATTATTGAGTCCGCATTCTTTGCCTGCTTGACCTCCTGCCAACCTTCTTTGGAACCCAGTTTATATAGGTTCCTTTCCCTGCAAGTTGGGGGCCCCTGTACATCATTAGAAAGTTTGCTTGCTAATCTAGATGGTAACTGCCTAATAAGTAAGCTGTCAGGCCAAGACTGGTCTCTTCATTTTACCCACAAGCCGAACGAAAGTAATGTGGTAATTTCTGTAGAAAGTCTGCATTCTCTCAACCTCACTATATTGCAATATGGGGATAAGACTAATGTAACAATATTCAGGTATCATGCTCTTTCAAACACTTGAAATATGCTACAGAAATGTCAGATATTTTGCCCGCTATCCGCAGAACAAATATCAGAGCAAAGTATTAATTAATAAATAAGCCTTGTTTATTGTGTCGCTTTGAGACTGTAAAGGAAAGCTCAATTGTGCCTGCATACTGTTTGGCTTGCTGAGGAAGAGGATATGAACCCAGATGCATCATTAACTCATAACTCAACTAATTCTTAGTCAACTGGCAGCTGCTGTAATAACCTATTTTTATTTATTAATGAGCATAGTCCATTACAAAATGCAGCTGATGGCTGGGTTCTGTAGCTGTTCCCAAACATCAGGGTCTATTAATGGAAACACACATAGACACACACATTTCGGAGGGATAGTGCTTTATAATATATGAATTAGCTCACTAACCATATGATGATGCTTTTCTCCCTTCCTCCACCTACTGCTGAAACACATTTTAAAAATTGCTCTCGTTGCTAAATAGGTGTCTTTGTTCATCCAGAAGGAGGACTCCAAAGGGAAAGAGTAAAACCTTTATGAACTAGTGTGGCCCAGAAAGTCTTTGGACGTTACATGCACGTGGGGTGGGGTGGGGTGTGGAATGCTCTGAGTTTCTGGGAAATGAGTAGACTCCCAATGCTGGGCTTTTAACTTGTACAGTGGTACCTCTGGATGCGAACGGGATCCATTCCGGAGCCCCATTCGCATCCTGAAGCGAACGCAACCCGCTTCTCCGGGTTGCGATTCGCTGCTTCCACGCATGCGTGTGACGTTATTTCGAGCTTCTGCACATGCGCGAGCAGCGAAACCCGGAAGTAACACGCTCCGTTACTTCCGGGTCGCCGCGGAGCGTAACCTGAAAACGCTCAACCTGAAGCACATTTAACCAGAGGTATGACTGTAATACAGGTCAACTGACATATTAACCTGCATTAACTTGTAATACAAGTCAGGACTGTGATTCAGAGAAGTACAAGCTATTTTGTTATATGTACGCCACTCTTCTCCTTCTCCCATTCTTCAAGTGTCTTGCTCTCTCCTTTTAAAAATGACTACGGCCAGCTCATGGTCTGAGGTGGCAAGGTACATTTGGATGATGCTACCAACATAATGCTTTGTATTTTGTTTCTTAAAAAGGTAATATACTTGTCGTTGCCTGTATAGAATATCTTGCAGCCGCTGAGAACACAATCAATACACACAAAAGTGCTAACTGCAACATAACCATGAATTGGGGGGCTTTAAATCAGTTGGGGTTCAGAAATTCTCATGATCACCAAAAGCAGTTGAATGAAACATCAAAAAGGGTTCCAGGAAGAGCGTTTCCAACGTTAGCTACTACACGTCACTTGTTTTTGGCAAGTACAGGCATTCCCAAGCATCCTAGCACATGTATTGTTCTCTTCTTCATCTGAACACTGTGTTGCATGTCTTTAAAAAAATTATGATGGAAGGCAAGAATATTTAACTTCATACATCTGAACTGGGGTGACAAAATAAGGCTGAGAGTGTTGAATTCCTCTTCAACAGTTCACAAAGCATCTCCACCATGAGAATAACAAACACTGGTTAGTGTTTGGTACCCTCAGTGTTCATGCAAGGCAACTGAATGTGAAACTGAACTGTGCAAATTAGCTGCAAGGTGTATTGTGTCCCTTGGTGTCACCCCTAATTGCCCTCACCCAATCCAGATGCATTTTCAATATTGAGTTTGATATTGAGTTAAGAATCCATCAAACCCCCGACTCAGGATTTCACACTTACATCTTGCCATGGAAAAGAGAACAAGAGTGTTTACTAAATCCTGAATAAGGCTACTGATCGGACACAAACTGAAAGAGTACCATTAAATCTACCTTTTCATTTTATAGCTACATTTGTTCCAGGACTCTGAGTAATGGTGCAAACTGCTCTCTGCAGAAATCAACATCTGAGCCACAGCGTCATTTGGAAAGGCTTACAGCAATGCACCTCCAATGCTGACACTGCTATTCTGGCCAAAAGGTTCAACGCACAAGATGCATATTAATATGGCTGGCTTTGGCTGCAGCTTTTGCTGTAATGTGTTAAGACACTGCGTTTGATTCTATAGTGTGCCATGCCTGAAACACAGCAAATGAATTTTACAATACAGTCCGGTCACATTCAAAGCCAAGTATTTCCTATGTTGCAGATTCAGACTATGCAAAATTTACTACTGAAACACTGGGCTTTGGTTTCTCGCGTCTATACACAAAACAGCAGCACTTACCCGTGAGCCCATGTGTCTGACAACATCCCGAGGTACCACTGACCGGTCTTCAAGCTTCAGCTGAGAGGGAGGTGGTGGGGAAAAGACAAAAGAGAGAAAATATAATTAAGATGGATCCTCACCATACCTTCATATGTGCAACCTGATTTCCAATCAAGTGGGCTACCAGGTAGGTATTTTTAAAATTTTTACACATATAATATGTGTGCGCGCGCACACACACACACATTTTGTACCAATATAAGCTGTAGCTGCACAATGAAGTAATTATCTGTACATTCATACAATGCTGCTGGTGTTCATAATTCCACTTTAGTGATGGACATGGCAACAAAACAAGACTATATGGGGTTTTATTTTGTTATCCCATCATTTAATTTTGTTTACTTGTATCCCACCTTTCTTCCAAGAAACTCAGACTTACATAAATAGGTTCTCTGAACTTCTCCCATCCAGGTATTAGTATTGTTAGCATCAAAAATGGAACTTCGGTCTGCTCTTTGTATCTGGAATGAGTGTCACTACATAGCATTTACTACTAGAAATGTAGTAGAAATCTTGCTCTCTATCAGATTCCTTAGAAAAAAAAACTACACTGGCCATTCTGATTAGCAGAGAGAAATATGTTTTACCTCTGCCCAGAGCAGAGACATTTCAAAGCACAGAGGAATGTGGCTCACACAACAAGTAGTAATTGACAGTGCTAGTTTGGAGTGTGTGGGTTAAGAGGAAGATTCTAGGACTACTGCATATACAGTGGTACCTCTGGTTACATACTTAATTCGTTCTGGAGGTCCGTTCTTAACCTGAAACTGTTCTTAACCTGAAGCACCACTTTAGCTAATGGGGCCTCCCGCTGCCGCCGCAGCATGCTTTCTGTTCTCATCCTGAAGCGAAGTTCTTAACCCAAGGTACTATTTCTGGGTTAGTGGAGTCTGTAACCTGAAGCGTATCTAACCCGAGGTACGACTGTAAAATGGTATGCATGCTTGCTTGATCAGATGTGCCTCTATCTCCAGATTGTTTTTGGAGCAAAGCCATTTCCACAACATATTGTGCCAAATTTAAAGTAATAATAATAATAATAATAATGCCGCCGCCAAGGCACTACGGACATGCATGCACAAAAAGTAAGAGATGGGTGTTTTATTCAAAATATGCTGTGCAATTCAAATATTATTGATCTGTCAAAATGAACAAGCAGATCAAAGCAAAGGGTACTTGCTTGTGGCCAAGTCATTCTGTCTAAGAAAAGGCTATCAGTTGTGATGGCAATAAAGAGCATTTTCAAACCACTCGTCCTCCCACTGAGCTGGAACTCAATGACAATCAACACTACGATACAGCATCTGCATTATGAACACCTGCGGAAATGTGAAATAGCAGCTCTACAGATAAATGCTCACCTCACTAAACTTGATCATGCCCGCCACACAACCCTTTCTTTACAACAGACTCATGCTTCTGCCCTAGTCAGCACATTCGGTTGCCTCCCTTCCAACACCGTCTTATGTATCCTCCTTTTCAGCTCACTAAAAATCTATAGCTAGAAGGGCTCCATTCTCACCTTGGCAGCGCAATGCTTGTCTGCAATATTTTCTTAGTTTGTCTAACAACCATAACAACAACAACAGCAGGGTATTATTTAGCATGAGGGAAACACAAGCTCTCATTGCATTCAACAGCATTCTCAAGTCTTGGCAGTTTAGAGATAATCAGCTGGCTGGTTTTGAGAAACACACAGGTGTCACTGCAAGCTTTATGCATCTTGGAAAGCACCAGGATTAACTGTATACTGCAAAGCTATGCTGATAGTGAATCTCTAGCTGTGCAGTCAGCAGAATAATAAGGTTCACCAGCAGCACAGCAGATAATTGGATTGGGTCCTCTCAGCCTCTACCCAAGTCTCCCTAAAAATCTATGTCTTTAATGAAATGGTGGGGTGAAAATAAAGGGGTCATTTAGGCCTCCTTGAGATATTGAAGAGACCTTGCCCCATTAAGCTTATCCACTCCATTTCAGCCAGCAGGAAAATCTGGAGCAGGATCTCCAATACAGATTGGAGAGTATGGGATAGAACTGTCCAAGTTACAATCTATTTATAACTTTAAAAGCAATAACCATAACCTTGAATTGTGCCCACATATAAATAGTTTGTAGATGAAGATCACAAAGAAGCAGAGTAATATATTTCAGTTAGCCAAGGATCTGAACCTGTGTCTCCAGGTCCAATGCTCCTATAACTACAAAACACTGTCTCATGGGATAGATCTTTTTGTGAGGTTTCCTTAATGTACCATCATGTACACTTGCACAACATACCAAGCAAAGATATCCACAAGATTGGACTCAGTTCAACGTGCACAGCATTGCACACTGAGGTTGTGCTGGTCTGCTAAATATTTCAAGGCAGCAATAGTTATTTGGTTAGATGATGAAATCAAAATCACACTTGACTCTTAGGCATGCAAGAAATAATCTAAGTTTCACTAAGTCTTCACATCAAGAATTGAAGATGACACTTCCATGAAATCCAGTTGCATTGTGTGTACCCAAGACCTGCATTTAATTTCCCTGATAAACAGAAGAGCCACTCCCGTCGCTCACAATGCAGAAGGAGTGTGTGAAAGCTACCGGGACAATGCAGCACAATTGCATCACTGCCGGAAAACTCGGCTGCAATTTCTATTCACTGAAACAGTTTTAACCCCCTCTCCTTTGCAGCAATGCATGAGCTGTGGTGGAGGGACGGGGTTAGGAAGAGACATTTTCGAAGATATGCATAAGCCAAGCTGAGCTGTACACAGCACACCTGCCGCACTGAATACCTCAGCAGCCACATTGCTCTGCATTCTAGAGATGCAATTCTCCACAAGGAAACTGGCTGAGGATAGATGAGAACGTTTTGCAATCAAAATGGCTCGCACGCCTTTGTGCAGGAAAGCTGCATTTACTTTCAGTGTCAAGACAAGAGTCAAGTACAATATAAATAATGAAATATCAGAGAATGGAACAATAAAGGGACTGAAAGCTGTAAAAACTGCTTATTGTACAATTCCGATTCCAGGCAAAATTCCCAGGACTCCCAAACAAAACTGAATTGCCTGAGGTGAGATATAGCTGAAATTTCATGTTTCTAGTGCTTTTTCCATTTTTAGTACTTTTTTGGCGAGACCACAGGCGCAGCTATCTGCAATAGCTTCAGATCAAGATGCCAGCTCTATATCCATATACCAATATCTTCCTTTAAAATCACCATCATTCTCTCTCTCTCTCTCTCTCTCTCTCACACACACACACACACACACACACCGTTTCTAGCCCACTTAAAGCTGTCAAGGCATATTGTTCTATGCTTAAAGATTACACACATAACAAAACTGGTTCAAGAGGCCTCGGTGCTGGGAGATTATTTTTAATTCCTGGAAGGGCTACAAATACTGTATGTTCTTCTGTAGAAGATGTGCTAGTGGAAATAAGAGAAGTAAAAACTCTTGGAAAAGTAAACAGATGGAAATTCATATAGGAAATAGTCCCCCCCCCCATATTTACAGAACTATATGGCAACCTCTAGCCTTGCTTTCCTACTACAGTCAAAAGTGTCTGTAGAAATATGATATGGGCCAGAATTCAGCATCATCATCTCAGCATTTTTCTTTAAATCAAGTTTCTAGTCCTTATGGTTATCTAGCCTACCTTAAAAGTTCATTGGTAACACAGCAGGTGAGGTCACAGGGCAAGATTATCAGCTCCACACTTCTTTTCCCTCTTTCCTGGATTGCAAAACTATTTTAAAATATTTTGCAAATATTTTAAAAACACTTAAATCTATATGTATGTGTAAAGGAATGGGACTTTACTGCCCTGAACTGCCTGTGTATTATATAGAATGCATATTTTTGCTTGTTTATACTATGGGAATATATGTTTTGCTTGCATGCAAGTGGGATTATAGGGGTAACTTGGAGTCCTAGCAAGTTCCCCCACGCCTTTTAACATCAAGACAAAGGTATCCACCACTGCTGATGCACAGAACTGCACATCTCTTGCTCCTGCCTATAGACATTAGGGAGACTCCTTTGTTGCACTTGTTCAGATGCCTGCCAAAAACCTGAGTTAAATGTTTGTTGATTTTAATGTAGCTGTTTTATGTATACCACTCAGAGATTAAATTTTTTTTTTTAAAGCAAGTTATAATTAAATTTTATTTTAAGAAATTATAAGTAATAGTTTGAAGTCAAAATGATGCTGCAAATTTTATTTACCAAGGTACCAAACCCATCCCTGCCTTGCACATCTGAATTATATTGCTCCCGCCTGTCCATGGATGCAGTCTGAGAAACTAATCAATAGCCACTCTATAAAATGCATTTTGATCTAGATGATAGGCCAGTTACCACTGAGGGGAAAGCCCTTTGCTTCTTACAAATCAGTAATGTGCTGGGAAATTTCTCCTCAATTAGGAAACAAGGTGGAGCTATGTGGTTTCACTCTGCAATCCAGATTTCTGTGACTGGAAGATCCAAAATGCACCACATTTCAGATTGGCTATTCTTTACCATTAGGTCACTGATGTGCCATAGACTGTGTAATTAACATAAAAGGTTATTCTGGAATCTGTCGGACCTAACATCCTGTAAAAGTCTAGTGCAACTTTGACTGGGTTCCAAATACAATTCACCAGCATCTCTACCTCTAATGTTGATGACAGAAGTAGTATTGAGACAGCCAGTGTCCCTTCTGAATGACATAGTACTTAATAGTAGAGAAATCTGATTTATGAAGCATCTGTCAACTACAAATATTATACGATTCTGTACCAAAACAGTAAAGATTACTCATATAAAGGCAAGGAAAAAAGCAGTCCTGGCAATCTGAGCCATATCCATGTAATTTTCTTTGGTATTATATTTGTACTCTCCTATTAGGTCCTGGAATAAACGGAAAGCTAATTTATGAGCATTAGACACTCTACAACACCATATGGCCTAAGAATAGTGTGTGAGAAATGGTTACGATTGAAGTTTTACTTGTTTATTTACAACAATTACATGCTGCCCCCAAAAAGTGCTCTTTGGATAACTTACAGTTATCAATCTTTTTTTTTAAAAAAAGGAGGGGGGGGGGACCAACAATGAAACATTAACACAAGGTTAACTCAATTCTGAAAAGATTAGTAAGTTAGAAGAGATCTTTAAAAACCTTAAGATGCCTGGAAGTGGGTGGAGACCTTTATCTGGTGCTGAAATTAGGAGGAACTAGGTGAGCCTCCCTAGGAAGACTATTCCATAGCCATAGCACCATCACTGAAATAGCTTTCCATATAGTGGGCACCTATCATGCTTCACTTTGCAGTGCCACTTTGAGATCATCATCTGACACCATTCTCTAAGACTGGATAAGGGAAAATGGGAGGAGATGACTTTTCCAGTACCCTAGTCCCAAGCTGTTATGGACTTTCAAAGTCGAAACCAACACTTTGAACTGGCCTTAGAAATGGTCTGGAAGCCAGCACAAATGATGAAGCACTGACATAATACGTTCAGTTGTCCAGTGCAGGTTAACCATCAAGCTGCCTCTTCCCAGGCTGACTGATTCTGGACTGTTTCAAAGGAAACTCCATGTAACACACTGCGGTGATCCAAACAGGCAGGTAACGGAAGGCAGGCAGGGCTGCAATTCGCTTATCAGCCTAAGCTATTAAAATGCATTCCAAGCCACAGAGGCCTCTTGATCAAAGCTGGATCAATGAACAGTGCACCAACAGTGCACCTGATCATTTTAAGAGGAGTGCCACCACCTCCAGAACAGGATGACTACCACTCAACTAAGCAGTACCTCTATATTGTCTGGAATGGGGCTCATAGATAATTGGCCATCATCTGCTGAGAAGTTCAAGAAAACAATCTCTCTCAGAGCACAGAATGATTGGGACCCAAAAGTCTTTTTGAGCTTCATACGCTATTATTTTGCTTTTTTAGTAAATTTTCCCAGCATTGTATTGTACTGGATAGCAGCACCAGATTTCCTTTTCTATCTTGAGAAAAATGTCTTTACCACTCTCACATCACCACAATGCCTCTTTCTACAGCAGAGAATAGGGTCAGAGAATAGCCACGTATTTTAACTAAAATTCCTAAGCATACACGCTCATATACAACCACCTCCACTAGTCCAATAATTTAAATATTCTTCTAAAGCATCTGCCAGGAAGTATTATTTGACTACTGCATTTATGTTAATGAATTCTTCAGAGTCATTCAAAGCAAAGCACATTCCCTCTTCGAAGCAATTCCACCCCCTTCTCCCTTGTCATTTGCCAATGCATATTCATTTCTCATTACCCAAGAGCTATGCACGTTTGAGCTGCAGACAGACATATATGCTATGTCAGGTTTATCCTGTTAGGTACTTAATGGTGTCACACTTCACTGACTTTTTTCCCCCACTTCCAGTTACTCTTGAAGGGTGGAAATGCACAAGAGGAAAGAGGCAGCAACACAGAACAGAGAATGCTTACAGTGCTAAGCTCCTAAACATCATTTATAGCAATGTGAAAGCCTGGGAATAAACCAGAAAAATGGGGGAGTCCCCTCATTTTTGTGTCCCTCCCAATTTGTTTCAGAAAAATTATGGCTGCCTCTTCTGCTTGCTATTGCATGCTCTTAAAGGCTAGAAGAAACCACAAATGAGACTACTCTGGCTACCAATCCTGGCTTTGAAGAACTAATGCAGGCACCTGAGGCATCTTTGCATCAAGTGGTGAAAAGTGGAATAAGGCACCCTTCCCCAACCTGGTGCTCCCCCATATGTTTTGGACTACAACCCCCATTCTCCCCAGCCAGTGGGGATGCTCACAGAAGATGCTTCCACTGGTTCAATGCCACTAGGAAACCAATTGCATATCTACCATTGCTTTTAAATATATTATGCAAAAAATAAAATGAAATGAAAGTATATTGTTCTCAACTGTCAGTCATCATAGGTATGGCATATATTGTGGTGATGAAAACATAGAAAACCCAAAGCCTTTAAAAAAAGAAAAAAGAAAAAAGAAAAAAGAAAACCTTTCCTTATACAGTGGAACCTTGATTTTCGAATGTAATCCATTCTGGAATACCGTTTGACTTCCAAAACATTCAAAAACCAAAAACTGAAAGCAGAAGCCTCAATACAATAGGGAACTCAAAACAGAAGCCGCATGGCACGTTTGGCTTCCAAAATTGTTCGAAAACTGAAGCAGTTACTTCTGGATTTTTGGTGTTTGAAAGCCGAAACATTCAACTTCCGAGGCGCTCAAAAATCGAGGTTCCACTGTACTTAGGCTAAGAAATATTGTATATTGACAAACACACAAAATTTCTGTTTTCTATTGAAGGTGAGACTATCCAAGTGTACTTTTTTTAAGCCGTTGAAACAATGTCTTCATGTAAATCTAATTTAGTAGACTGGATCACTGAGGTGGTGAATTTTCATAGCCAGCATGACTATTAGGAAATAACTGCCTCCTGTTTTAAAGTGCAGCATGTAGCCTACTGTGGGCAATTGTAACAGTGCTTTCCTTACTCTGCGGGCAGTGCATCTACCCAACTGACTCTAAGTATCAGGTTGCTAGTGGGGTGCACTACACTGTGCAAAGCTTCACATACTTAAACAACAGGACCGTGAGAAAGTCAACCGGAAAGTACAGCAGACACTTCAGCAGCACTGCATACTTTCTCCTTTCTGTATGCTACCCTTTGTTGTCAAAGCCCGGTATAGGGGAAAAAAAGGGTGGAAAACTTAAGAGGAATCTTATGAGATGCTTACTTTTTTAAAGTGGAGCGAATTTATGTTCACTGCATTACAGATTTGGTAGCCAAACAATGAGCTTGCTAATTTTCCAACCCCACACTACAGCTCCTTTCCTTCCTCATTCAGGTGAATTCATTTCAACTATAGCAAATTATGGTCTGTTTGCCCAAACTGAGGGGAATTGGCATATGAGGGGAAAGGGTGAACATGAACAGGCAGAAAGCTTTGACCATATAGTTAAACCATGGTTTCTGCATGACACCTGAATCAGTCTACTCCTGGCCTGTCCAACCGGTCGATCATGATATACTGGTCGATTGCAGGATGTCCCTGGTTGATCGTGGTATCCTGACCCCCCTCCCAAAAAAGGGGGGGAGCAGCTCTGGTCAATCTAATGGGTAGATCACTGCCAGTTGTTTTTTTTTATAGTGGGAGTAGATCGCAGTTTCTTGGAAGTTGGACGTGCCTGGTCTACTCTAACATGTTCATAACTGCAATAGATTCAACACACACATGCTATCAGGAGATCAATCAAACCATATCCTTTATCACCTGAGGATAAGAGAGCAACAATAGCTTACTATTTGAATAGCTTTTCTATCATTCAAACGTGTAATTATCTCTAATGTATTAATACCTCCATGTCAAAGGACAGCCATCTCCTGCTCTCAGCTTTTTTTGCCAAACCAAATATATCTCCCATCTTGAGGTTTTAGAGCTGTGTGTGTGTGTGTGTGTTTAAAGTGCTTTTGTTGCAGCTTTTCCGTTACCTTCCTTGAATAGGAAAGATAAATTGCATGTTTTATTCCAGGTCAGTCCCACCAACGCCTTAATATTTACTTAGCACCTATTATTAGAAGGCCTTACTTGCTACAAACCTGCGTCCTTTGTAGCTGCATCATTTTTTTGTCATTTGGTCATTGTGCAATCCCCTAGGTCGCCTCCCATCCCTCCCTGGGCAATTCTGCTGCTAGCTGATGAGCCCACAGGAGACGGCAGAAGTGCTTATTACTAGTCCCCAACTACATGACCTTACACTCTGCACTATCAAATTTCATCCAATTTGTGTTTCTCTATTCTGAGGTCATGCATTACTTTCCTAATCCTTATTTGTATTGACTATGCCTATTGATTGCCAGCCATCAGCAAAATTTGGCAAACAGTTATCATAACTCTTAAGCCATTAGAAACAATGAAACTGCATTTAGGCTAGACTGTTGCAATTGTTTCACTTTTAAAAACTTGAGTTTAGTCAATCAGTTCTACTTCGCTTCCTTTTTTTGTACTGTTTCAAACTCAGGCTCATAAAACAAATCTTTTTTTATTATCAATTAGTTTCATTTAAATACAAAAGCAATGTCTATTCTGCTTTATCTGTCCCCAATAACTTTTGAAAGTTACAAAATGTAAGTATGTAACAAAACTAAGCTTCTCTTGTTCTTAGCTTTTCATAAATATAAAGAATTTAATGAGATCTATTAATGTGACTGAAATATACATTTTTAAAACCCATAATTTTAATCTCTTTGCACATTTCAAGTCAAGTTCAAAACACACAATATTAACATCACCCAGGCCTCAATCACAGGGCCAAACTGGAGAAGAGGTTAGCAGATTCAAGGCTTCCCTTATTTTTAGAAGATAAACTTAGCTAGGAAAACTGGATGAGAGAAAGAGAGGGGGGTTAATTTTTCCCCTTGAACTGTTTCCTTAGTGTTAACCTCCCATGGTGTGGAGGGACACATGCATATTTTCTTGCTGTGGAGCAAAGAATTGCTGCTGAGAAAGCGATTTTAAAAGTGGGAAATGGCACCGGCATAAAGGGTTAAACCCTGTTCCCTCAGGAATGCAGCCTTGATTTGATCTCCTTGGCTGCATTCTTTCTTTCCAGTTGACTCACTCTACCAACATTTCCCCTAGTTTGGCTCTCACTGAGATGGGAAAGTCATGCCTGCACTGCACCAATTCAACAGGGAACATCGGAAGAGCCACTGGCCCATCTAGACCAGCATCCTGTTCTTGTGGAGGCCAACCAGATGCCTGTGGGAAACCTGCAAGCACTCGCCCCTCCTGTGGTTTCCAGTAACTGGTATTCAGAAGCACAACTGCTTCCAACAGTGGAGGTAGAGCACAGCCATTGTGGTTGGTAGCCATTGATAGCCTCCTCCTTCATTAATCTGTCTAATCCTCTTCTAAAGCCATCTAGGTTGGTGGCCACCAAAGTACCTTTCTGTTCCTGAATTCAGCTTCATTGCATCTCCATGAGTTCTGGCATTATGTGAGGGGGAATCCTTTCTCTCTGTCATACATAATTTTATAAACTTCTATGGTTGCCTCTTATTCACCTTTTCACCAAGCTAAAAAGTCCCAAACATTGCAACCTTTCATCACAGGGAAGACGCTCCAACCCCTTGATCATTTTGGTTGCCCTTTTCTGAACTTTTCTCAACTCTACAATATCCTTTTTGAGGTGAATTGACCAGAACAGTATTCCAAATGTGGTTGCACCACAGATTTGTGTAATATCACTGTGATATTGGCAATTTTATTTTCAATTCCCTAGCATGGAATTTGCGTTTTTCACAGCCGCCACACACTAGGTCAACATCTTCAGTAAGCTATCTCCTATGACCCCAAGGTCTCAATTCCTGGTCCATCACCACCAGTTCACATCCCATATGTGTATATGTGAAATAAAGATATTTTGCCCCGACATGCACCATTTTACATTATCTACTATGACCCAAAGGTGTCGTTCCTGGTTCATCACTTCACTTCTCCTTCATGCTCCACCACTGGGCAAAGAGCTAGAGCCCGGCTTGCTCCTCGTGAGAGGGTTAGCACACAGTTAACTTAGAGGGGAGGCAATCTTCGGGCAACTATAAATTAGTACAAGCTTCGCCTCTCCACATTTCTTTTGTTTGTCTGAAGGATCTGCCAACTAACGGGCAGCAACCCTGTGTCAGAAAAGGTAGCCAGGATTCACAATTGCAAAGGATCACTTTAAGAATAGTTATAGACAAGACTAGTTTCTTCTTTGTAGTTTGTGCAATCCCACAAAGCCTCTTTGGAGGGAGGGCAGGAAAAGCATGCCAGGAACACACTGAACAGGATGGGCTGCAGCTCAGGGGTAGAACATATGCAGGCCAAAGGGCCCCGGTTCAGTCTTGGAAAAATTCATGTCCATAGTCCTAGGGAGTAGCTGCTGAAACAACACTAAACTACAGTGGTACTTCGGGTTAAGAACTTAAATCGTTCTGGAGGTCCCTTCTTAACCTGAAACTGTTCTTAACCTGAGGCACCACTTTAGCTAATGGAGCCTCCCGCTGCTGCCGCACGATTTCTGTTCTCATCCTGAAGCAAAGTTCTTAACCCGAGGTACTATTTCTGGGTTAGTGGAGCCTGTAACCGGAAGTGTCTGTAACCCGAGGTACCACTGTACATGGACCAATGAGCTGATTTAGTCTAAGGCATCTTCTCAGATCAGGCTTACACTTTGCCTCCAAACACCACTTTCTAGGCATTAGTGTTTTGCATGTGTGCTCATTTTTTGAAGACAGCAGCAGCAGCAACATATTGGAAGGCATCCTTAGATTTCTAGGAAACAAGTTACACTTGTATGGCAAACCCAGCCACCTGTGTAGACTTTAAATGAAGTGTCTGCAACTTGCCTAATCAAGCTACTTTAATATTCCACTTCCAATTCTACTGTAAATTCTACTGTAATCATGCATTCACAGAAACACTAGCTTAAAAAGTGAGGTCTAAAATAGCAACAGGAAACTGTTCTCCAAAGGCTTTCCCAGGACAATGAAATGACAGAGGTACAGAGAACTTTTCCCTTGTGCCAACACTTGGTTCAGACATGGTACAAACCACTTTATAAGAAAATTCATTTGTACACTTACTATAGTAAGAGCAGTAGACAACAATCCAGTGCCCCAATATAATGCTAGAAACAATGGACAAAATTAATTGACAACTTTAAAAATGGGACAGAGAATTTAAGTATGGTACAAATGATGTAACACATCTTATCCCATTATAGATAGGAATTTCTAGATGCCCAACCTAAGAAATCTTAGAAGAATGGGCTTCATGCTTTTCATGTATGCATTCAGCTGAACACAGTTCATTAATGTAAAAACAGCAAGACTAATCCATATCCTTTTGCATGAAGTGGGAAAGCTTTAGAAATCATTTTCCCAGCAAGGTCTTCCTCACCTGGCTTCTAAAGAGATCAGGTAGCACAGTGAAGGAAGGCACCACCAGGAGAAAGTGCCTCACATCGTTACACCAAAATAATACTTTTCTTATCAACAGCAAACAGTTTCTATTCATCATCCACACCCACCCAGACTCCAGCAAGCTGTAATGACTGAAGTGATGGATAGGACACCAGACCCCTCAGAAGAGAAGGAGGGAAGAGAGAAAGGTTAGAATCTGTAGTTGTGTGTCTTCATTTGTAACGAAGCCTGCTCAAATGCAGTTCCAGGGCACTTTTCTGCCCTGTATTATTGCCACATAACCTTGGAAGCTGGGCAAAGAGTAATTGCTTCTAAAAGGATAAATAGTAGGTACACACTGAAAATGCAAGGGAGATATGAGTGAGAAGAAGTTTGTGACCAATAAGGAGAGGCCTCCTATTAGAATAGGAAAATATACTACTACTACTACTACTACTACTACTACTACTGCTACCAATAATTTTATTATTTATACCCCACCCATCTGGCTGAGTTTCCCCAGCTACTCTGAGCAGCTTACAGCATATATAAAACATAGAAAAACATCAAACATTAAAAACTTTCTGATACAGGGCTGACTTCAGATGTCTTCTAAAAGTTATGTAGTTCTCTGTCTCCTTGACATCTGAAGGGAAGGTGTTCCACACCTACTCAAACTTTTAAAAATTGCATAGAAAATATTGGGAGGGGATCAGTTCTACTGCTTATTTAGATTATGCTCTGTGCTCAAAATTATTTACCAACAGCAAAATGGCATATAATATTTTGAACATTCACATCTGATTCATGTCATAGTTCAAATGAAGACTTGAAGGTCATAACGTGAAAATGTGCAATAATGGTGTGCTTAATCTCTGATGCACTATTAGCCTCTGCATAAAAATGATGCAGTATAAAATGGCAGGTACAGTGGTGCCTCGCAAGACGAAATTAATTCGTTCCGCGAGTTTTTTCGTCTTGCGGTTTTTTTCGTCTTGCGAAGCACGGTGTCGGAAAAGTTTTGGAAAAGCTTCAAAAATCACCAAAGTCTTCAAAAACCTCAAAAAAGGCTACCACACCGCGTTCTATGAGTTGCTCCTCTAAGTCAAGTTGCAACTGTATTAACGGTTTTAAGAAAAAGGAAACAAACTTGCAAGACGTTTCCGTTTTGCGAAGCAAGCCCATAGGGAAAATCGTCTTGCGAAGCAACTCAAAAAACGAAAAACCCTTTCGTTTTGTGAGTTTTCCGTCTTGCGAGGCATTCGTCTTGTGAGGTACCACTGTACAATTCTGAAAAATTACAGGTCTGCAGGCAGTACTATAGGGCTGTACTATAGATGCACCAAGTGCTATTCTTCTAGAAAAAGGAGTGCTGGAACTCCCCATGAACACCTCCCCTGTTCTCTTATAATGGCAATGGCGCCCACCTGAGAGGTGCCAAAACTGAGTTCTGGAAAGTTCCAGCTGAAAAAAAGCCCTGGATATACCAACTAGAGCCCACCCTGGGACCTTGCAATGAAGGATACTAGTAAGTAAGAAATCTAAGAAAGAATTAAATATGTACCTATATCACATTTACATGGTATTTCTACTGGCGTCTTTAGTTCAACTGCCAAGAGTATGCTGTACCACATTCTTCTTCCCAGAAATATACAGGATGTTGAGGATGGAATTTAGGTGGGGGAGTGAAGCAAAATGTGGCACAAACACATGGTCTAATATATACCCGAGTCCTGAAAAGGCTATGTCTACAACTCTCTCATCAGGCATCTTTTAAACTGAAACTGCCAACTTTTACAGGCTGCCACTGCATCTCTGCCTGTTAACAACCAGTTCTTTGGGTGACATTAGCAGGGGATTACGTTGGTTCCTATACCCTCCAATCACCCTGGTTGATTTCTGCATATTGTATGGTTGTGAAAGGTACAGGAGAAGGCCCAGCTGAAGGTTTTCAGATCAACTGGCAATTATCCTTTAAATAGGGAATTCAGCAGCTAAACCAAGCATAGCCGCCCTAAAATCTCCCGCCTACCTTTCTTCCGTGAAGTCTCTGCTGTGCCTACAAAAACTGCCTGCCAGAAATCCAGCTGCGGTGCACATCAGAAATATTTCCTGCTCTCCCACACACTGCTCAAAACTATTTTTACTTATACCCTGTGATTTTTTCCGCTCATCTCCTTTAACACCTAACTTTTAACATCTTGGCCTACCTGAACTGTAAACTCTTCAAGGCCTGGTCTCTGAGAATCTTGGTTATCAATATCAAGTTTTAGAGGGTAACATTAGATAGAAACCATTGCATAGACAGAAATCATTGCACAGCAGAATAATCAAGTCTGTTGACCAACACTGGCCAAAAAATGCCCTTTTCAAATTATTTAACTGAATTTTGGTGAAGTTTCTTGCTTGGACCAGTGCTATTTTTCTAGAAAAATAAGTTATAGTAGCAATGTTGCCCACCAGAGAGGTGCCGGAACTCAGTTCTGGTGAGTTCTGGCTGAAAAGAGCTAAAACAAAAGCAGAATGAAAGAAGAAAAATGCCTTTTTATTAAAAACTACAACCATGTTACAACACTCAGAGGTAAAAAGTGCATTCTAGATGTCACCCACCCTTTACCTAAAACAACTCATTTTATAAAGCCTGCAGTAGAAACAAAAGTCTCTCCAGAAAAATCAGCACAGCGAAGTCTATGGGAGGAAAGCTTGCAATATCAGTCAAGATGCCAGAGTCCCTCATCAAATACTTATCTCATTCAAAACAAGCAATTTCTTATAATTTCTACCCTGAATTTTGCAAAGATCACACAAACACTTTTCCTACACTGCCGAGTTTCCAAACAAACTGCTGAGCCATTTTGAACAATAAGCTATAGAATCTACTGCCCTTAGCCCCATTTCTCATTGTGCCACTCAACCTTAACACAGGGCTATGATTGTGGCCTGAAGTACTGTAAGTTAATAATATTCATAATAAATCAAAACAGAGGCATTTAATTTTTCTGCTCCTGTACCTTCCCCCACTACTACATTTTTTTAAATAAAATATATTATAGGAGCTGAATTTCAATTTCAAATGGACACAGTTTTGTACAATGCATCTACAGCAAGAAGAAATCATAGATGCTAAGGTAATAGAAGGTGGACAAGGTCACTTCACAAATCCAGACTACTGAATTTTCCCACTTCTGCTCTACATCTAAACATACACTGCGCTAAGTTTTCTCCCTCATCTTCCTTTTCACATGTACAATTTAGTTGCATTTGCTGAAAGTAGAGATGTCAGTACACAAGCTCTCAAGGTTCGATTTTAGGCATGATTATGATTTGCTGAATGTTTCCTATTAAAAATGTATAGGTATACAACTGGTCAACGTGGTAGTAGAGAACTGGATTCAAGACCTCATTTATTACTCAGTAATGCAGTATAGATCAGCCCCATTCCACTTCTCCTATTACTACAATTACTAAAGTATTCCTGGTTATTAAAAAAATAGCATTTGGGAAGTAAAAGAATTATCAAATCAAAAACAGGACTATTTCTGAACTGCACAGAACGAAGTAGAATCAGCCCTTTAGCTTGGAAGTGAAAAGGGGCAGCTGACAAATTAGCTTGCTTATCTAGATGGCTCCACAGATGTTCTGTAATACAGGTAGCCATTGTGCCAACATAAAAGCAATCCATTATGGCTGCATTCATTATAATCCTCTCAAAAGGTCTTTGTTCTAAACATACCCATATTCTAATACTAGAAAGGTCTTTGAGGGCTAAGGAGTGGGCCAACACCACCTTGCTCAAGCCACAATTTCTATAATGCATAATGCACTTTTAAACAGACATCCTGACAGCTTATTAAGTATGAAACTTAGCCTGTATACTGGCTGCAAACAAGTGATTTTTTTTGGTTTTTTTTAAAAATGCTGCTAGTTATCAAATTGCTTTGGCAATTGCTCAGCTACAGCTCCAAGTTTCTACAGACTCCAGGTAATTGTTAGTGGCTAGCTAAGCTCTTTCTTAGTTGTTAGCCCTTCTCATGAATGCGCCCCAAACCATAGCAAAATGTAGCATAGGCCCACTGGGGATGCAAAGGACCAGGACAACAACTTAGATGGCTTCATCACTACTTCTTACTCTGGGATTGCCACCCTTTCTTCACCCATTTTTAAAATGGGGAATCCAGACTCTGTTGTTGGGAATCCAGGGGTTTGACTTATCTTGTTTTTTCGGACTTCATTTGCAGTAGGGGTAGTTTGTTTGTTTGTTTGTTTACAAAACAAATCAATTGCATTACCAGTCGCCCCGTGTGAAGAGGCAAGGAACTCTTGTGCAATTGGGACTGCTATATTTTTAGGGAAATACATCCACAGCTTTCTTCTTTCCTTCCCCCTTCCTTTTTATCATACTTTGTGGTGAATGAGCAGATTAGTGATATCAATTGCCTTAGTGTCAGTATCTGCTCAGCTCATAATGAGGGTACAGTATAATCATTTCCTCTAATATTTTATAGCAACAAAATAGTACTATTTTGCTATTAAAAAGCAAAAAGAGAAAATAATGTAGTATGATTAGTAATTAAATCTTTCTCCTCAGGGGACAAACAGAGACTGACACGAGGGCAATATGCCCGGGGGACGACGGGACTTTTTTTTCTGGCCACAATCAAAAGGAAGGAAATATGGACAGACTCTGAAAACAGGAAACTTTTCATTAACACTGGAAATAACTTTTGAGTGGCACTTATAAGTAAACATTGTAGATGGATCTTGGCTAAGGAATGGAGCACAGTGCTATACTAAGTGTAGTGTGGAATCTCAGTTTTAACAACATTTACAGTGGTACCTCGGGTTACATACGCTTCAGGTTACATACGCTTCAGGTTACATACGCTTCAGGTTACAGACTCCACTCACCCAGAAATAGTACCTCAGGTTAAGAACTTTGCTTCAGGATGAGAACAGTAATCGTGCGGCGGCAGCGTGTCAGCAGCGGGAGGCCCCATTAGCTAAAGTGGTACCTCAGGTTAAGAGCAGTTTCAGGTTAAGAACGGACCTCCGGAACGAATTAAGTACTTAACTCGAGGTACCACTGTATAGCTAACTACAAAAGAACAATGCTGCACTAAAGTATGGAACTACCCTAAAAAAAGCAGGCACTGCAATTCTCTTTTTCAGATAAATGGTGTTACCCTTCAGAATAGCAAGGGCACATGCTTCAAAGAGACTAATTCCTGCTCTTCCAGTAGCTGTTTTCTTAGATACAAAAATTCTTATTGCATTATGGTGACTAAAATACTGCTTTGCTCTTTATCTTCTGCCTACTCCAAACAGTGCCCTGGGAAAACAACTGGAAGACCCAAAACTCTTAACTGAGCAATTATTCAATGATCACATACTTTTATCTTACTGAAAGAATTTTATCTTTTCACCAGATTTAACATCAGCAGCTACTTTTAGAATTATTTACAAATACTATTATGAAAGCTGAAGAAGTGATACTGTTTCACAGCATAAAACAGTAACTGCTAAAACCACATTGTTTCCAATAAACTCAAAATAGGAATCCAAGGCAGAACATTAAAAAACAATAAAAAACTTGTTTGCAGGTGTCCTCTGAAGTAAACGCTACAGAAAAAAGCATGCATAAGTTGCCCTTCATTCCAAACACCTTCCTTTAAGCGCATGTTTTTTAAAGATATCCAATACTTTTGCACATTTTACAATATGGTAAGTTGCAGTTTAGATTACAAGACCAATAAGAAAAAAAATGATTAGACAGCCACATCATTTACAGCTGCTCAGTCTTAAAGCACAATATCTCAACCAGGTCATTCACCTGTACAACAGATTAAGAATGATTACTTCTGATCTGACACTATATGATAGTAGGACTAGAACCCTATTAAAATACATTTTATTTCACAGAAACACATGCAATTAAGTGCTTGCTTCTGGCCTTGGAAAAACCAAACATGTAAGGCACTTTAATCATTTAATAATCATCTATTATCACAACTTTTGGTTATACAGCAAAATCCAATGTTAGTCAGAGTAAACCCATTGAAATCAATGGACTTTAGCTCACACCCATTAATTTCAATTGGTTTTAAATTTTATATGTTATACTAAGGTGTAGTTTAATGCTAGACTTTTGAAAACATACACATTTGGGTTTTAAACATTATGATGATACATTCATTCCTGGTTTTTGTCTCTTAAGCCTAATCTCTGCCCCTAACAAGGAACCACACATTCGTTCTTGTCTGTATGGCTTATTCTGAATGCAGTGTGTTGTTGTTGTTTTTTAAGTGTTTGTGGTACAAAATACATACCCCAGTGAAGAATTGTACCTGGAGATGAAGATATTCTGTTAGAGGAAGATGGACAATGCAAAAAATCTCCTCATGCTAATAATTCTGAATTCAAAGCATTTAAATGGAAAAAGAGGGAAAGCTATTCCAGATACAGTAACAGCTGCCATCCAAATTGCTTAACTTACTTGCTGTATACACATCTGTGCTTCAATTCTGATTCACAAAACAACCAAAACAAACTGAAATAATGACTTGAGTTAAAAGAATTCAACAACAGAGAGGTCAAGGACTGAGATAAGATTTTCCCAACCTGGGTGCTGTCAGACTTAAGAGCCTGCAAAATCCCTCACATAAATATCCAAAACTATTTATGTCAAAACTCAAGAGGGGGAAGAAGCTTTTCTCTATGCACTCATCATTTACTACCTCAGTTTCTTACATTCACAGATATGAGGTAATACTTTGCAGAAAAACACATTCAAAATAATGTGTTTACTTTAGTTATAACAAAAACATTTTTAAAAGAGGGACACAAGAACAAAGGTAAAATATTTACTCTTGACAACTGATCAAAATAGTTTGCTATGAAGGCAAAATGCATATTTTCAAGAGGAGATGAAAATTAAGTGCCGCTATCTTAGTAGTGCTTTGTACAAATAACTTGTGCATTTTGGAGCAGTGAGGAAGCTCATTTACATCCTAAGTATTTTGAATACTTGTGTAGCTACTGCTTAACTTCCCATTATAGTTTAAACGTGTCTTTTTGTTTTCTTATTTTATCATCAGGTTATTGCTTTTTTAAAAATAATGTGCAATTAAATCTCTTGAGCAGCACTTCTTTGAAAAATTATGGGATTAAAATATATATGTAATGATCATCTTATCTCTCCTGCAACACTGCAGCAGATTAGTTGATGCAGTTTGTGTTACAACTGCCTGCAGACAGAACAGAGACAATGACTCCTCATCCTAAAGACATCTGGAGAGCAAGAAATACATACATTTGCTACTTAGAAGGTAAAAGACTTCCCGCAGCAAATATCAGTATACTTGGTGTTTTCACTACTTTCTGTATATTTTAAGACATTTCAATTTTAAGAATTCTATGCTTAAAAAAATAAGATCCCCAAAAATCATTAGTCTAACCATCCTTCCTGTTGCCCAAATGAATTATACATATTATAACAAATGCAGCCATAACCAACTTTGTTTGCAGTTTGCATAGAAGTCACATGTATCACATAACTTCCTGGGAACTGTTTAGGTAATGACTTAATCACTTGTCCTTTTATTGGTGTAGAAAATATTTCTGTTTCATTACTTCATTTTGAACAGGGTATTAAAGAGGTCTGTTACTCGTTATGTATCTGTGAAACCCTTACATAGAATGATCCAGAACTATAAGGTGAATAGTATTTGGTATGCTAATGAGACTCAGCTCTGTTTTCTACTTTTCATCAGACCCAGGTCTGACAGTGAAATTACCTGACAGGTTGATTAGAGGGTGTCAACAACTATTTTAGGGCAGTGGGCATATTTGGGAATGTAATAAACTTTGGGGGCACCAAACACACATGCTCTGCAACTATGCACACATCTTACACACTCACCCCCCCCCAAACACTTAGGCTCAAAAGTACAGTGGTACCTCGGGTTAAGAACTTTATTCATTCCAGAGGTCCGTTCTTAACCTGAAGCACAAATGGGGCCTCCCGCTGCCCGATTTCTGTTCTCATCCTGAAGCAAAGTTCTTAACCCGAGGTACCATTTCTGGGTTAGCGGAGTCTGTAACCTGAAGTGTCTATAACCCGAGGTATCACTGTAGTCTTCTGTTGACTACATTTTTCCTTGCAATTTTTCCTTTTTGCAATTAAGCTCAAAAACTAAATCCAATAGACTCTTTCAAATCTAATTGAGGAGTAAACTTCCAGGAGAGTGCAATCAAGGAAAGGGTTAACTTTGTGCATTAAATCACCTTCTGTTGGAACCAAATTTCAAGCCTAATTGCTGAGCGTAAGAGGTGATGTAGTCAATAGACGGTTTATTCCAAGCCTAGCAGCAGCTTCACAAACACAATTTCATCAGGTTGGTCACAGCTGGGGCAGGGACGATTTATATTTTCATCCCCAGTGGTGACCCCTCCCAAATGCCCCCACACTGCAATTAGCCTTCAAAAAATTGAAGACCTAATATTAAGGAAGGGGAGGAAGTCATTGTGGGGGCCAGGAAGTTCCTGACAGGAACACATACACCCACAAGCGCTATGTTGGTAGTTCCAAGGGTTAGGCTGAGGAGGAACAAAGCCAGATATGATGACATGGAGACTTGGGGCTGCCTCCCTTCATTCTCACAACAACCCTGTGAAGCATAGCTGTCAATGTTTTCCTTTTTTTTTAAGGGAAATTCCCTTATTCCGAATAGATTCCTCGCAAGAAAAAAGTTGACAGCTATGCTATGAAGTGAGCTTGTCAGAGCATGAACGATTTACTCAAAGTCACCCAGTGAGCTTCATAAATGAACTGGGAGTTGAACTCCGATCTTGCTGGCCTGAGTCAAAATTCTAACTACTACAATAAATTCTGGCATTACTAAATTTGGAATACTTAGCTCTCACCTGTGGCTCCTGGAAGCTGTCAGCATGTGACAGTGGCCACACCCGGGGAATGGCTTTGACTGGCCAGCTAAACCAGGTGAGGGTAGCCGATGTGTCTCAAACCCTCAGTGAGTTTGGGAATTCCCCTGCGAGACTCCAGCAGATTGAGCGGACGAGACCAATAGTGGGTTCAATGGTTAAGAAGGCGGTTTCTACATGTGCTGTAGAGGGAAGTGAGGGCAAATGGGGCTCGTCAATTTGGGAAGGCAGACTATTTGGGAAGGAAGACTCTGATCCTAAACCTTCACTGTCTTGTGGGAAAAGGCTAAGGAGTAAATCCTACATAGTGGAGTCCCCAAGATGGTTTTATGCCTCCTTCCAGCAGCTCCTGCAGCCAAGCTGGTGCCAAATGTATTGATCTGCTTTCCTTTGGACCACATTAGTGAGGTCGGGGGTTGGTCTTGATGTCTGGGCAGCCTAGGACCTCCATACACACTGCCAGGCTTGCACCCCAGGGAGGTCACTTCGGAGCTGCTAACAGAGCGGTTTGACTTCACACTCAGAGGTGCACTCCACTGTCTCTTGAGACGGATGGATGCTAACAGCACATACTAACATTAGCTAACAAAATCCACACTAGCTAATGAATCTTGGGTGTAAGGACTATCCAGAAAGATAAGATTCCCATCACTGCTCTGAGACAGGCTGCTGGAATTGTTATTCAAGGAGACAAAAATAAAGATTTCAAAAGCACAAGCCCCAAGTTTATATACTGAAATAAAATTAATCACAGACTTTAACCTGCAGAGCGAACTAAGGAAAGTAAATGGCGAGTAACCTCGCAATAAATACAACAGTAATGGAGCAGGCTATTCATTCAATTCTACAGACCTACAGCAATTCCAGTAAGCCTTTTGTTTTCCTTCAGTCTCAAACCACTGTGAATGCCAGGTGGTTCCTAAGTAATCCCCCAAGAGAGTAAAATAAATGTCAGAAGCAAGAGGTTTGCTAGATGTGGTTTCTTAGGTGGGTAACATAGAATAATGCTTCAGAACATTAAAAACCTAAGCTAATGCATCAGAACTCCCAATTCTTCAAACCAATCAGCATTTATTCTTACCCCGTCAACAATATTTAATGCGAGGGCTGTTTATCTTTCTGATATCCTCTACATACTGACAGATTTGAAATATATATTGACAATTATGACTCACATTAATGTTTGTAATGAATAAATGCTGATTGCCCTGAGAAAAGTTGAGAGTTCGGGATGCTATTTTAGCTGAAAAGCACAACAAAATCAAAGGGGGAAAATAATACCAGCTTTTGTTTTGCTACAGCAGCATTTATTTTATTTTGTTGTACACCACCCTTCAACCCAAGAGTCACAGGGCGGTGAGCAATAAAATACAAGAAAACACATGAGACTTCCCCAAGTCATTTCCTGAACTGCAAGGGTATCATAAAGGGCTCAGGATTACTCTAACTGCCACAAACTTATAAACAATCAGGACAGGGTTCAGGGACAAGAAAGAGTTCAATGTTCTTGGTGTAAAAGGAATGAATTAAGAAACACTCATAAACGTGGGTGGCGCTGTGGTCTAAACCACTGAGCCTAGGGCTTTCCGATCGGAAGGTTGGCGGTTCAAATCCCCGCGATGGGGTGAGCTCCTGTCACTTGGTCCCAGTCCCTGCCAACTTAGCAGTTCAAAAGCAAGTCAAAGTGCAAGTAGATAAATAGGTACCGCTGCAGCGGAAGGTAAACGGTGTTTCCGTGCGCTACTCTGGTTTGCTAGAAGCGGCTTAGTCATGCTGGCCACATGACCTGGAAAAACTGTCTGCAGACAAACGTCGGCTCCCTCGGCCAGTAAAGCGAGATGAGCGCCGCAACCCCAGAGTCATTCGCGACTGGACTTAACGGTCAGGGGTCCTTTACCTGTTTCTAGAAACAGAGAACACATCCACAGGTCTCTATGCACCTCTCCACCGGTCTACATATTTGAACTGTTAGTAATCAAACTCATCACCTACCTCTCCAACTATGAGGCTTCCCCAAACCACCATTTTCCTGCATTTTCTGCATGATATGCTTATACAATTTTGTTAAAACATAAGTTAGACCAAAGCTAGGGGCAGAGGCAGGTGGAAGGGTGACAGCATTTTATACAGTTTCATCCAAAGCCCATGAAATTGTATAGTTTGAGTCTTTTGGATTTATTAGAATATATTTTAATACTTAAGAAGACGGTCTGTATAACCTAAGGCTTTAACCTCCTGGTTAAAGACATCTTAGTCAATAGAGTATGAGTTTTAATCAATTCACTTTGCATGTATGTACATAAATCCCACAGAATTACTCTCCGGAAAGTGGTGCATGAACGAATCACAGAAAGTAGATGGAGAAGGTGTGTGTGTATGTGTGAAATAAACAGTTTCAACATCATTTCTTTAAATAAACTAGTACAGTGGTACCTCGGGTTACATACGCTTCAGGTTGCATATGCTTCAGGTTACAGACTCCACTAACCCAGAAATAGTACCTCGGGTTAAGAACTTTGCTTCAGGATGAGAACAGAAATCATGCTCCGGCGGCGCGGCAACAGCAGCAGGCCCCATTAGCTAAAGTTGTGCTTCAGGTTAAGAACAGTTTCAGGTTAAGAACGGACCTCCAGAACGAATTAAGTACGTAACCAGAGGTACCACTGTATTTGAAAAATTGAAGTGTGTACAATATTAAACACGAAACAGAACGTTAAGAATACAAGTGGTGGAATTCAACATCAAGCCGTGCATTGTAGCTTGCCAGATGGAATGATTCCCCCTTTCCCTCCTTGTGCACTGCTCTAAGGGCTCTTTTGACACACCTACCCAAGCCAATTTCAAAGAGACACAAAGCAAGAGAAGGGGGGAAACCCTTATAGGGCTCCTTAGGCAAATCCTGCCCAAGGTTTGCAGGCTTTAGTATTGTGCATCTTTTACAGCAGGGGTGACTAACTTATATTCATCCTTGGCCAATCCAGGGGTGGGGTGGGGCACATGCCAACAGGGATGCAACAAAAATGAGTCTCACACAAAATACAAACCTTCCTCCTCAGCTGATATGTCCAGATTATCTGGGAAGGGGGCACTGACTTGATGAATGGGGAGGTGGCAATTTGTATCTCCATCAGCTAGCTGGGTTCTGTGGATGCGAATTACCCCCTTCCCAGCTCATCATATCAGTCACCTGATGAATGTAAGTCACCGGACCCAGCTCATCACATGTTGAACCTGATATCTGGAGGGGGCAATTTCCATTACCACCAGAGTGCTGAGCTGGGAAGAAAATACTGCATCTCCTTTGTTTTTTGTTTTCTTTTTGCTTCCTCCAGCACCAAAATCAGTTGGGCCTTGAGTGTCAGATCAGGCCCCCAGGTTGGGAGTTAGCCACTTCTGTTTTACAGTATCATTCTTTAAGCAACAGTACATCTACTACTAGGTAAATACCATGTCAAGCGGAGGATACATCTCCAAAGCAAATTCTGGACAATTGGCATTTGTACATTACCATGAGCAGGATTTACTTGCAAAATAAATAAAAGGGGCACAAAATATTTCAAAATTAAAGAGGAACACTGTTTTTATTTATCATACTTGTCAACTGAACACATGTTGCAACTCTAGTATAACGGAGAAACCAACCGACAAGGCAAGTTAGATAGCAACTAACCAACTTATGACACGGGATGCGGGTGGCGCTGTGGGTAAAACCTCAGCGCCTAGGGCTTGCCGATCGCATGGTCGGCGGTTCGAATCCCTGCGGCGGGGTGAGCTCCTGTCTTTCGGTCCCAGCTCCTGCCCACCTAGCAGTTCGAAAGCACCCCTAAGTGCAAGTAGATAAATAGGTACCGCTTTATAGCGGGAAGGTAAATGGCGTTTCCGTGTGCTGCGCTAGTGCTGGCTCGCCAGAGCAGCTTCGTCACGCTGGCCACGTGACCCGGAAGTGTCTCCAGACAGCGCTGGCCCCCGGACTCTTAAGTGAGATGGGTGCACAACCCTAGAGTCGGACACGACTGGCCCGTACGGGCAGGGGTACCTTTTAACCAACTTATGACCTATTCTTACATGCACTTACACATGGGTAGGCAAACTAATGCCCGGGGCCGGATCAGGCCCAATCGCCTTCTAAATCTGGCCACGGATGGTCCGGGAATCAGCGTGTTTTTACATGAGTAGAATGTGTCCTTTTATTTAAAATGCATCTCTGGGTTATTTGTGGGGCATAGGAATTCGTTCATTTTTTTTTTGGAAAATATAGTCTGGCCCTCCACAAGGTCTGAGGGACAGTGGACCGGCCCCCTGCAGAAAAATTTTGTCGACCCCTGCACTTACACAACTATAGCTTAAAATAAGCCTACACTATGCGAAGCAAACCAAAGAAAAAGAACTCAGAACAGATTTTTCAGTAATCTCATTTATGAGTCAGCAGGCAAGGCTAAGAAATCAATGGAACAAACCATAGGGGGAGAAGGAATGTGAATGCAACTTCTGGTGGTAGATAGAAATTAATACCAATAACCCAGTAAGTCCTACAAACTGACATGAAATCAATAAAATTTTCATTTTAAGCAAATTTGAAAAATGAAATGGCTAAAGATATATTAATTCCAACTTACTGCAGTAATTGTGTCTAGTTCTCCAAAATGCTGAGGATTTGCAAGTTTTACACAAAGCCACCACTAACAGCCTATAAAGTATCGTTATTTTGCCAAGATACCTAACTGTTAATATGCAGAAACAAGTACCGTATTGGCCCGAATATAAGCCACTTGCCACCCCCCAATTCCGACCTTGAAAAGTTAAAATGCAGCTTATATTCGCAACCTTACGATATCACTGCTAAAACAGCTGCCCATGTCCGCTGCCCTGCCTTGCCTTCCAAGGCTGGAATGGAGAGTGCGCCCCCGTCCAGGATACCATCATGAGGGCCATCGGGGGTGCGGGACAACAGCGCCTCTCCCGACCACGGCTCCCAAGCCTCCCCCAACCACCAGAAAGAAGGGGAGGAGGTGGGGAGGCTGCCAGCAAAGCAGCACAGCTCCCCCCACCCCAGGAAGCAGCCCGGGAGCGCGGGGGAATAGTAGCCATAGGATTTTCTTCTACAGTTGCCATTTACGGGTGTGAATGCCTGTGGAATTTAAAGGGAGTGGCTTATATTCGGGTATTGTCTCCCCTCTCCCCCAAATTTTAAAGGTGTGGCTTATTTGCAGGTATGGCTTACATTTGGACCAAGACAGCACCACCTATTTTCTGTTTCTGCTAATGCAGCTGCTATTTTACAATATCTGTATTCCTCACCCTAACAGACTTGAAGCAAATGAAAATGAAATAATTGGGTTGGGCTCTTTGCATTATTTTAAGTGTTACGATTGGATTAATGAGAGATAATTTTACAAAATTGCTCAGCAGCACTTCACAACAAAGCAATGAACCACAACCTATGTTTTATGTCCATTATTTCAGATATGCCTTCCTAAACTGCGCCACCTAATTCCCAGAGGGGGAGGAAGAGGAGAAAAAGGTGTAATGGGAAATGATTGTTTATATAGTTACCTGGCTTGCATGAGGCAGTGCAAACCTGGTTGAAAGTATACACACAGATCTGGAAACATTTCCTGTGACACCTATTTATTGTGACAAAGGCAGGAAACTCCAAAAATTACTGGCTAGTTGGTATACATTGTGAGATATGCTGGTGAGTTTTGATCCACTCCACCTACTTAGATAGAAGTAAAAAATTCATGGCGGGTCTGAATCTGAGAAAGGGATTGGTCAAAGTTTTTAAGCCTCTTATCTATGGAAAAAACAGGATGCTCACTCATGCAATTGTAATCCTATGGATTTTAAGCTATCTGAAACCTAAAATAAAATGTAAATTAAATTCACTCATTTGACACTCAAAGAATATACATTTTGGCATAAATACTGAGTAGTGGATGACAGTGCTTATTTATTTATTACATTATATCCCACCCATCCTCTAAAAAACTCAAGGTGAAATTTATGGTTCTCATCCTCCCCTATTTTGTTCTAATCTATTGAAACAGGACAGTCACCATAACTTAGCTCAGGCCAGGAACACTCAGTGAAGTTCTTGGCTTTGTGGAGATTTGAACCAGAATCTCCCCAGTCAGCATCAGCATCTCGATCATTTTATTATTTATACCCCACCCATCTGACTGAGTTTCCCCAGCCACTCCGGGCGGCTTCCAACATATATAAAAACAAAACATTTAACAATTTGCCTATCACCACACCATACTTATGGGCTTTATAGGCCGCCAAGGCTGCTGGAATTCCATGTAAAGTTGAATTTCTAGTACTGTATCGTGTTGGGTGGGTGGGTCTGAATATATGGGAACTATATATAAATTTAGAAAGGCTCTGTAATGAAGTCTACACCTACTATTTTGCAAATTCCATGATTTCCAAGTTCTGTCTCACTGTGGAAATAAGGAAAACTAGATAAAATGCAAAATTCTGATGAAGAACCTAGAAATCACAAAGAAAAAACTTCCAAGCTTATTCCTGCAAAGGAGAAAGCTCATACTGCATTTGAGAAATGTGTCCATTTCTGTAGCAACAGAAGCCTTTCACTTTTAGGTTGTAGCTTTGAAGGTCTCCCCCGCCCCCAAGTGACGTTGTTATCTGCTCTGTATGAACTTAATGGACTGTGTTGCAGGGGTGGGGGTGGAGAGACTAAAAGTGACTTAAAACATGCCGATTTTAAAATTAATGCACCACTTCCTTTGAGAGGCGCACACAATTTCCATATCAAAGACACTGCTACTCAGAATTGCTTACAGTACTTCCACCCATCATAGCATGCAGTTCTTCTGTTACTATATCACAAGCTTTTCGATCCATGCAACATTCATTTATAAGTCCTCTTGGTATTACTTCAGTGTCCACCCCTTCCCGCTAATCTCGTGCCTCATATGTATCACCACTCAATGAAATTTGAGAAGTAGTTAGAGTTCACTAGACATTAGGCCCTTGTCAACATTCCAAATAACATGTAGTTACTAGCTTACAGATGCACTTGTGAGGGAAAATGTAGAGTCATGAACTCACTCAGGTCTGCACCCCATGGGCATACACAGAAGCCTTTTTATTTAGGCCTCAACTTTGCGCTCATTATGTAAGTTACACAGCACAAACACTTACCCATTTCCTATGTAAACAGGGGATTGGGGAGGTTGCAGGGGGTTTTGCCCCAATGAATTCCTAGCCTTCAACATCTCACACTTGAAACATTCCCTTTGCTTATGCCACAAAGCAATGTCTAGTACAGTGTAGCAAAAAACTGAAAACAACCATATTAGTATAAAATATTTGTTTAGAGTTTAACAACGGATTGTGGAGAACAATATTAATACCCTCATCATGTTTTAGCAAGTAGCATTACAGAAACCTAAATTAATCTAAATGATTGCTAATGAAATGCACATTAAGTCGTAATTATTCCCGGTAGCTTTCTGTACACCCTAAACAATATCCATCCCCACATATATTTGAAATCCTACAGCTTTACTGTATCCTCTGCTTAAAAAAAACAAACTGAATTTTATGCAGTTCCCCAGAACAAGAAACCCTCAGCACATATCACTGCAGGAAGTCAGAGAGGCCACAATTAAGCTCAAGAACGAAGATTTCCAATAGATCACCTGAATTCCCACCCAATACAGAACTGCAGGTAATAATAGATGCCCAGATTGGGAGCATGCAGAACTGAGATCGTATCTCCTGGGGAATATATTCACTATTGAATGTATTGCGGAATATAAACCCAGTATTTTCAGGAGCTATGAGCAAAGAGAGAAGAATGTGGTGCTCTCTTTCCTTTGTGGTGCAGAGAGCATAATGGGTGGGAGAGAGGAGGCCTAACGAATAGAAAACCCGTTTGGTCCAGAAGCTGCTGCGCATCCTTAACTGGTGCAAGGTGGGCCCCTGCAAGGCGTGATTGAGACACGAGGCCAGGAGCTGCCTTTCCGCAACCCCCGAGTCAGAGACCATGCCCAACTTTCCGGGGGTGGGGGGCACCCCAGATACTATACCCACCCACATGGCCTGGAGACATACACCCCACGGAGACCCTGCCATTCCTCCGGAGTCCTGCCAATGGAGCCCCCCTCCCCAGCTACTATCCCCCTCCCTCCCTCGCCGTATGCAGATGAGATGCAGATGAGATGCAAACGAGGCCCAGGGCGGCGGCGGCTTCTCCTCCTCCTCCTCGGTTACCTTGGTCTCCTTGACGTGCTGCTTAATGCCCTCCGGGTACCACTGGACGCGCACGTAGCCGCGGCGGAGGGGGCTCCCTCGGCTCTCCTCCCCGCCGCAGGGGCCCCCGGACTCGGAGCCCCCCGAGCTGCCCGCTCCGCCTCCCCCGGGGCCGCCGCCGCCGCCACTGCTCCCTCCGCCGCCGCCGCCGCCTCCTCCTGCTCCGGGGCCTCGCCCCCCGTCGTCGTCCTCAGAGTCGGAGTCCTCGCCGTGCATGACGCGGACGAGGCCGAAGCGCACCGAGCCCCGGTAGCGGCCGGACACCAGGTCGTGGGTGAAGAGCAGCCGCTGGGAGCCAGCGGCGGGGAGAGCGGCCGGGGCTGCCGGCGGGGCAGCGGGAGCAGGCGGCTCCGCCATGGTGGTGGCTGAGGCGGGGAGAAGGAAGGGAGGGGGAGAAGGAGGGAAGGAGGAGGAGGAGGAGAAGGAGAAAAAGAAACGAGGAGGAGGAGGGAAGAGGAGGAGGAAGAGGAAGGGATGGCGGCGGCGGCGGCAGCAGCAGCAGCAACGGCGGCCGCTTGGCCCACACAGCGCAGTCACCGTTCGGCGGGGGCGGGGCTACAACGGCTAGGCCCCGCCCCGCCCGCCAAATAGAGGCCGGAGAGGGGCGGGGCCGAGGCAGAGCGCGGAGTGCGCCGGTGGGAGGGGCACGTGCGTGAGGGAGCCAGGAGGAGAAAAACCGTGGGGGAGGGGGAGAGTGAGGGCAATAATCAGGGAAGGGGGATGGGAAGGGTTTGGAGGAGGGCAAGGCCGGTGGGGTGACTTGGGCATAGGGACATGAGGAAAGTGGGGGTGAAAGGGGAGGTGGGTGGGAAGCTGAGGGAGGGAGGAAATATGGGGGGGGGGGCCAGGACACTGTCTACTCCTCCACAAAGAAAGGGGCCTGAGTTGAAGACGGAGGGAGGGTCAACAGATAAAACGGAAATAGTGGGGGGTTGGGGGAGAGCATAGGAACCAATTCCTAGGGGCGGATGTCCCTTTCCCCCCCATAAAATATTTGAGAGGGCCAGCCGCCCCCTCCCCAATTAATGGACATTGCCATTTAAATAGGGTGCGTGTGCTACGTCATGTGATTATGCGCGGCGGGGCTCCCCCCCCCATATATTTTATTCACGTTGGCACCCCTGGGAGGATGAAGAAGACACCAAGGTGGGGAGGGAAGCCCGGCAGGACTGAGCTGCTCAGATTTAAGGATGATCCGACTTGCCACCTTTTGGTTTTTGTGTGCACTCTGCTCTTTTGCGCCTCCTGTCATCGTCGGGTAGACTCAGGGTGGCAAAAGTGAGGAGGCAGGAGGACCAGCGGGAACAAAGGGCGGTGGGGAGAGAGACCAGGAGAAGAAGATGGGGAAGAAAAAGAGGCTGGTGAAAAGAGAGAGACGGCCAAAAGGAGACAGGATGAGAGATTGTAGTCCACAAAGGTAGGGGGGGAATTGAAGAAGGGGAGAAAAATGGTTGAAGTGGATCAGACGCAGCAGGAGTTAGAGACGTGGAGGTAAGGACAGTGGCGTAGCGTGGGGGGTGCAGGGGGGCCCGGCCGCACCGGGCGCAACATCTGGGGGTTAGGGTTAGGGGGCGCAAATCCACGGGTTAGGGGGCGCAAATTACTTGCCTTGCCCCGGGTGCTGACAACCCACGCTACGCCACTGGGTAAGGAAGAGAGAAACTTGTTTCTTTACTCTTAATGACAGTGTTGTTTCTGCACTAGGGAAGGTCTTAAAGATCCTAGCAACAACTTGAGCATGGGAACATCTTGTACCCACATAACCTTTCCGGCCACAGATCGCTGCCAGTTTAGATGAAAACAAGTCAAGGGAGTCCATTGATGGCATGGAAGCTTAGAGGTAGGGATGTCAACAAGGGAGTTGCTGGAGTTAACACCTCTCACCAGCAGGAAACTAGCGCTAGTCCTCATGAGGGAGGTTGAGGATAAAAGCCAGATAATTGAACTGGTTGGAGCATAGTGGCAAATCTGGCCAGTGCAACTCTGTTGTTTGCAGAAACAGAGCTAATGGGGATTACTCACACTAATAAATGGGTGTTTGAGTGTTTTATCATTTATGTCTTCCTTTTAAAAAGCAAAGTCCACTTAGTATATAAAAGGCAGTAACAGCCATGCTTAAACTTAGTATTGCAGTATAGATGAGCGGATGGGGTACAAGACAATTTTTAAGACTCTTGGCAATCCATTTCTGAAGTTAGGAGGACAACCCATGTTTCCTACAGTATGGTACACAGGCAGTCTCTAGAGAAGATAGGAGTTTTTTGTTGCTAGGATACACACAGCTCAGGAAATTCCTAGGCTCTCAGCTTTGTGGTGTACATTCTATGTTTATAGCAGCATTCTACAATGTCCCATACTCTCATAAGATTGTACTCATGTTGAAAATCTTATACTCATGTTGATGGAATTTTGATGTACCTGTGTGGAATGTACCGGTAATTACCCTGGGCTGGATGAAGGGACTTGAGTTCCTTATACAGAAGAATACTTTACCTCTCCATCTTTATTCATAATGTATAGGTTCTCCTTTTGCCAACACTTATTAAACGGGGTGGGGGCATGCAGACACACATGAGATTTCTCATTCCTGTTTCTTCCTCCTGAAATCTCCTGCATACTCTTCTTATCCAATTAACTTGCCAAGTGCTTGATTTCAATTTCCCCACTGCTTGGATCACAGCCACAATGAGGGAGAGGCCACCATTGTCCAAGTTATTGGGCTTTCCTTTTTAAAAAGTACAAACAGCAGGATAATATTGAGGCTTAGTTGATGTGTTACCTGTGATAATTTGGAAGATTGGTCTAGATCACTGCTCTTCAACCTTTGGTCACCAGATGTTGTTGGACTACAACTTCCATCATTCCCAGCTTAGGCAGTTGCCAGGAATGATGGGCAGTGTGGTTCAACACCTGGGGACACATTGAAGAACAATGTCCCATCATTGGTGTGACTCAGCATAAGTCAGTTCCTTATTTATCCCTTATTTGTTACCCATATGAAGCTTTCCTGGGCAAGATCAATCTCACATTTTCATTGCACCCAGATCCTGCAATCTCATGGTGCCTAGGAGAGAATTACTGTAAATCAAGTTCAAATTGATAAATAACTCTCAAAACGTTTGAATCATGATTGTAGAGTTTTATGAGCGTTTTTTCCTCCTTTGAGACACTTCAGCCAAACAATCAGGAGGCGAAACAAGATGCTGGACAAAATTACTCTAAAACATTAAGCAAATATGTTACTAGCCAAAGCAGATTTGGAGTTCCTGAACCTCAGTTGCACCAAACTTGACCTGCCTGCCTACATTTCTGCTTATCTTATGAAAGACTCTTGCTCCATCTTGTGGACATTTTGTTATCCAACTGGAAGCACTTTATAAGGATTTCCACACCAGTGAGTGAGGGGAAATGATTCATGATGTTTACAGAAGGGAAAAAGTGACCAGGATTCTTATCTATATTCCCTTGGAGTAAACCTGGGAAATGCTCAGTCACTTACATTTTTGGTGGCATCCGAGGAATAGCACTCTACTGGACAAAGCTGCTGCCTCATGTTCCCATGTTGCATTCCTCTGTGCTGTTCAGACTCTAGAGGTGTCCTCAGGCCTATGATCCTGGATTTACTCTTTTTACAGCTTTAATGTAGTGTGAAAGCTCAAATATAATGCAGAACTTAACCATTAGGGAAGTCTCAAAAATGGAATAAACTGTGATGTGAATGCAGCCTGCTTCTCTCTCCCAGATGGACACTTGTGTGGCACTCATAGGTTTCTGAGATTTTGTGGTGAGGGAACAAACTCAGGCTTTGAGTGGGGGGGATTAGACCCACTAAGAGAAGATGGAATCTGGCCCTGGGGGAACTCAGGATAGCTCAGTCGGTAGAGCATGAGACGCTTAATATCAGGGTCATGGGTTCAAGCCCCACTTGGGGCAAACTATTCCTTCATTGCAGGAGTTTGGATTATATGACCCTTGTGGTCCCTTCTAGCTCTACAATTCTATGATTCTATGCCTTAGCATGTATGCGGGTTGATGTTGTTCTTGTCTGAGGTGAGGGTGGTCAGACTGCATTTGTAGTTATTCCTGTGCTAGGTGAGCAGTCAAGTGTATAATTTGGGAGTCAGGTATGTTGTTGCCATGATCAGTAGTGTACACAGGAGCAGGAAGTAGCAGGAAGCTGACAGGCCAGGTAACAGGAAGTAGGGTTAGACAGCATCAGTTTATCCTATTCCCGCTATTCTCTCCTAACTGGGATTTTTCTGGTTGTTGTGTCTACAGTCCCATCAGGCCTTGCTTGATGTAGTGCTGTTGACTGCCCAGTTAGCAAACAGGAAAACATACTCAGTACATGACTTTATGGCAGGTGTGGTGACTGGTACTTGAGATGCTGACATCAGGAAGCAGATTTCTCTTATCACCATCCTTTTATTTGCATGGCTCTCATCAAGATCACAGCCATAGCAGCTTACAGCATTTCAAATGAACAGTCATAACAATAAAAAGAAAGACACATAGGGTTGCATTCAATTAAGTTCTACTCAGGGCAGACCAGTTGGAATTAATGGGCTTGAGTCATCTTAAATCATTAATTTGAGTGGGTCTGTTTTGAGCAGATTAATGCAACCCGTAATAAGGACACTTACAAATAATGTGAGTAAGTAACTACATAATAATTAAAAAACAGTACCATCATAAACACAACAAGCAAAACAAATTTAGCAGCTTAAAACAAAGCTGGAGTGAGAATGAAGCCTAACGCAGAAATAAAAATAGTAAAGTATAAGGTCACAATGATCTCCGTTCCACAAAGGTTCTCCACTATTTACTTGCATTATTAGATGGCAGCCACACTCTTCACTTGTGGCAGCCTCCTCCCTGCTGTCGCCAGCATCTCTTCTCTCAGTTCTTTACTGGAGAGGTCAAGATGGCTCCTCCTTCAAGCCCCACATACACTTGCAGTTTTGATATTGCTTCCTCTGCTCCTCCTTCTAGACAGAATGCTTTGTGAAGCTGCAGGAGAGGTGGGGCAAAGCTCTGGAGGTGGAAAAAGATGACTCAGCAGGCTCTTCAATCCCAGACACAAACTCTAGACGCCTGAGTCCCACTAGCTTTTAAAGAATTCTAGGGAATGGGAAGCTCAGTGTGATCCACCCATATGCCTATGAATCCAATGTTCTGTAAACACATGCCACTCTGTTTTTCTCCTTGATGTGTTTTGAAAAGATTAATTTCCTTTCTGTTTCTTAAAATGTCAGTTTGGTGTATTTCATGTTTCCCAACAGATGGCGCTCTTTGACAATATAGCTTTGACTAGAGTAGATCGTAAGTACACAGTAAATTGTGCTAAACATTGCATTTTCACGTTTCTGATATAATGTCCAAACTAACGTTGCAATAAATATAGTGAGCCTCAATCCATGAAGTACAGAGACAGCTGCTTAAAACATCCTGCTGTTTCTTGAAATATGTTGTTGGCATTTTTCTGTCTCGAGAGACAGTGGAAGAGGGCACCATCAGGGATAAAGTCAAACCATTAGAGCGTTTCTGCACTTGCTGTGCCTGAAGAGTTCAATACGGGAGAGAGATGTTTTATTGCAGCTGGGGCAGACGAAGGTGTCCGGTTTTGCTGTTTTTGATGCACCATGGCATTTATTCTCTCTGTGCTCCTCCCTGCAGTCATTTATCCTCTGGTCACTGCTGTAGATACACAGCCTGTCTGTCTCCAGGCACTGTGGTCATCTGCACTGTGGTTGTTCCAGATTTGTACATTCAAAGGCCTAGATGTCTTTGCATACAGAGGATATGAAATGACCTAGATGATGCCTGCTCTATTGCAAGCCAAAAAAATCAGAAATGGAAGTGTTGCGTTTTTTCCGATTGTTTTGTCATGGCAAGCATTTCTGCTTGCCAAATGGAACAATTCCCACCCCTTGTCTCTGGTTTTGTCCATAGCACCCAAGGGAGTGTTTTACAATAAACACATTGAACTACAACAAAGCGCAATGCCATCAGCAAGCGCTGGAGCCGGGTTTCCCCCTTTTTTTAAAAGTTCCCTTTCCATCTTTTCTTATTTATTATTGAATAGTAGCCTCTTTAAAATGTTCTGCAGATGGCTGTGTTTCACTTCTTGCCACCTAATAGCAGAGGAAGAAATGCACAACAACATGAATTTGGGAAAGCAGTGCGACACTTGGCTCCCTAGGACTCCTGCAAACAGTAAATTATCCACACAATTGTGGCTGACACTCCAGAAGCTGCAGCTTTTCTGGTATCTGCAAAAACTTTATCCTATCTGGTTCTTATTTTCTGGAGATGCCCTTTTTGAATTTTGTTAATGTACCCCAGAGGGGATCATGGAAGTTACAGGCTGGCTGCTGGCTAGCTTGGGAATGCTGGTGGAAAGCATTATTAAAGGTAGAATGACGTCCTTTGTTAACCTAATCATACCAATATTTGGGCATTACATTTGGAAAAGAACTCTCCCCCTCCTTTTAAAAGCAACTCCACAATACAACCATTTGCTGATGTGGCAGCTCTGGAGAATTAAGCTATGGGACGCTGCAGCTCAAGGGCAAATCCAGGAGGGCAATTGCGTTTACAGTAATATTGGCGGAGCCTTATTCACATTCAAGGAAGATGCCACGGTAGAGTTTATTGATCCAGTAAAAGCATGCAATGTGTTTCTGCTTCACCTGTTTTCTGTCAGCACCCATCGCCTGACTATTCACCTGTGGCTTGTACAATGCCCTTTGTATCTAGCAATCAGCTAAAACACTTTATCCCTCAGCAGAAAACCATGCCAAGAAAATAAAGCCTGCGGGGATCCTTTTGTTGCCATGTCACCTCCAAGCCCTTTTGCAAGTGTCTGTCACATGAGGGTTTAGAAATGTCTTAAGAGGACCATCACGTGCTTTAGAAATAACAAATATATAAGCTGCAGTTCCCGAAATCTCTGCAGAATAAAAGCTGGAAGTGCACCAGGAGTCCCTACAGCCCACGCTATCTGCTCTCTTCTTTCTGGCAGCAAATCTGCAAGAACCTCAGTCTTCTCTCCAGAGAGGGCAACACATTGGAATCCTGAAAGAAAACTTAATGCATAGGTAAGAGCAGTTATTTCGGTTCTAACATCTGCGATGCTGACTGCCAAAGCTTTTATTTGCTTACTTTATTAAATTTATATACAGCCAAGGATTCAAAAAGGGAATGCACTTATTTTCTATAGCAGCAGAGGGTTTTTTTTGAATAGCTGTTACTTTAAATGATTACAAGAGGAAAAATATCACAGAGTAATTGGAGGGCACAGCCCCCTCCACAGTTCTGTGTGTTTCGTTTATTGCTAATCTGGAAACTGTGTCCCCACCCCAATTTTGGTTTGTATGTTTTAGCAAAATCACATTCAGCTAGGTAGTAACTAAATACAGGCACTAGTTAAATAGGGCTTACATGCGTGCAGCTTTGCATTAAATCATAACCATTTTCTTTTTACTGTTATTTGTTACTATCAGACACAGTCTTGTTCATGGTTCCGTGCAAATTTTATATACAATATAGACACACATTATGTATGGAACATAAGCTGAGTTAGCAGTGTCCAAGGCCGCAGCTTGTAATCCTAAACACTGCAGGTGGAATTCAGAGTTGCTCTCTTCCAAGCGTCCTGTCTGCACAAGGATTTCAGCTTGCCAGTTAGAATGACCTCGCTTTCCTCCGCCTTCTGTGCTGTTTCTGGGGTTCTCCCAAGCCAGTCTGGGGTGGAGGTTGGAGAGTGAGGACCCCATTGCGCAAGCAGAAGTCCTTGTGCAGGGTGTCTCTGATGGGGCTGGGTTAGGTGAATTCCACCCAGTAGGTGTAGGATTGAGGTTTTAATCTTGCTTTTAACTGATTGATTGTTGGAGTAACAGTTACCTAATATAAATATTACATAATGTCAAAACAAATTATAGGCAGGGATATTTGATGAAGGTTGCAGTTTAGGCAAATGATTTGTGGCCCTAATAATAATTGAGAAACACATTTTCTGATTCCTTTTCCCCCAAACAAAAATGCTACCAACACTGAAAACCTTTTGCAAGGGGGCACTTTTAATTGAAATCTGTATTTTTGGATCAGCCGCTAATCTGTTATTACATATTTATTAATGCTTTCAAGTCTGGGGAAAAGGAAACATGAAGGAATTCCCAGATCTCAACTTGTGGCTTGTAATCAGAAAGCATCCTCACATTTTCCAGTAGAACTACGGTAAATTAGTGACTCCAATGCAGATAGTTTGTGGTTAAATTTACTAGGCATGTCCATTCTGAGAGTGCATATGAGAGCCTATTCTGTGCACATAAATATGGATTGTACATCTCTATATCTAGAGATACATATAATCTTCTAGGGCATGATTATGAATGAGAGATGTCAATCTCCATGGTGCCACATATGGTGTTGGCTTGAAAGACCATTATAATTAAAGTCAGGGACAGTCTGTTCTTTCTGTTTGTGCCTTGGATAAAGGTCCGTGCTTCTGCTTGAATCACCTCCCCTTGTGTGAAAAGAGCATTTAGGCCCATTGGCTATGTTATTCTGGATTCACAAAGCCTGCCTTTTCTATCATTATATTCTTGTGCTCCATGAATGCTGTATGAAAAGATCAGCATCCAGTAGCACTTTCTGCACTTTTATAGATTGCAGCATCCAGTTAGCCCTGTAGGTTGCCTAAGAATTTCCCAGATCCTGTCCTATGGGGTCTTTCAGTACACAGCTGGGGAGAAATCCTAAGCCTTGCATGGAAGTTACTGCTAAAGTTAAATTCAAATTCAGTCACTCTGCATTTAAAAAACATAAAGCCTCAGAAATATTGTAGTTTGCTGGTGAAAATAAAATCCCTATTACAATTCGGCATCTGATGCTAGACAGAAAGGCTCCAGATTTTTGTCACCTAATCCATTACAATTTTTTTTTTTTTGCAAAAGTTCACGTGGGATAAATTATTATTATAGCTTGTGCTGCATGCATATGGGGCTGTATCAAGGACTTCCACCTATGCATCAGGACTTTCTTTCCCTGTGTATTTCCCACCCACCCCCCAAAATCTGCTCTGGAGGATTGGGGGGAACCCAGAAAAGGTTGGGAGGGTCACAGCGGTGTGTGCAGGGAGAAAAAGTCCTGTTGCACAGGCAGAAGTGCTTACGTTAATGGGGCAATTTAATTGGATGCAACCCATAGTATGCTGCTGAAATCAGTTTCATGCTGAAGACCCCAAACCTAGCAGCCTTTGCCATCAACAGATACCCTCAGCTGAGTTCACAGCTCAGAAGGTGGACAGGTTATGGAGTGTGCAATAAGCCTATATATTAAGGAAGACTTGAACCAGCCAAACTGGGCAGATGTGACCAAATCTGGAGTTACCCTTATCACTGCTGTCACTTCCTATTGGCTCTTATTTTGCCAACAACCACATACATTCCGTCCCTAGAAAGATAGTTGAGAGGGTTGCATAAGACGTCTGTGTCCCGATCACTTGTCACGACTATGCACTAAGCTCCAGGACCTGTCATAATGAATAGGCTAATCTCCTTCACCTGACCTGTCCCTCGGTTCCGTTTCACTCTGCAAAGCACATTGAGAAACGGCACACTGAGATGTCATACATTGAGCACAGGCACGTATATGGCATTCTCATTGTTCCCTAGGTGTTTGGGGGTCATCACCTCTGCAACGAAGCTGCGTCAAAAGCTCCCGCATGGGCACTCACAGGGCTGTAGGAGCACAAACCCTCACAATCCCAGGAAATGGCAGCACTCAAACAGCCCTGCCCACCCTTTTCAGTTCACCCACAGCTGCTAGTGCTGCAATTATTTTGTTTGGCTTTTACTTCAGATCCCATTAGCCACATTGCTAGCCTGCAATTAGATAGGAAAGTGAACACCCGTTAATTATCAGTAATGATAATGATGCAGCTATGCTTTTTCTCTTTGCATGGAAACTTGGGAACTACATATTCATATATGTAGACCCTTGGTCCATCTATCTCAGTATTCTCTACCCTGACTGACAGCAGTTCCCCAGGGTTTCAGACATCTTCTTCCTGAAGATGCCAGGGGCATTTGGCATGCAAAATAGATGCCCTGCCACTGAGCTGTAGCCATTCTCTGCAACAAATTGTGCTAGGCATATATCCCAAGTTGAGCAAAACTTCATGGAGAAAGCCTAACATGACATTTGGAGCCCAGGTTTGGTCTGACATCGTGAACACTTTCAGACCACAGGCCCCGAACCTGGCAGATTTAGCCCAAAATAGGCATCATGAATCATGCAAGCTCCTTGATGCCTCCAACTCAGTTCACAGCTTGGCAAGCGCTAGGTCTATAATGATTGCCCAAAATAGGCAATGTGAATAAATCGTAAGACGCACCAGCTTGGTTTGGCTGCTGCTTTCCTGTAGATATTATAGCTCATTAGACATCTGCCCAAACCCACACAGGCCATTTGGTGTAAAATGTATGAGAAATATGCTTCGGGGATATAGTTGTTGATTTCAAAGCTTGAAAGAATAAACAAGAGGTATCCTTGTACATAAAAAGTTAAAGTTGAGGAAGGACCCAGGCTTGCTAGATTGAAAAAAAATATGGTAGAAACGGGTGAATCTCTTGAATTACAGTGTCTGGAATAAAGGGTGCTCCATGTAGCTTTTGGAGCTGTCATAGTTGACCAGGGATGAGGAACCTGTGACTCTTCGGATGTAGCTGGGACCCCACTTCCATCATTCCTGACCATTGATCAAGCCGGTGAGGGATGATGGGAGCTGGAGACCAACAACAGGTGGAGGGTCACAGGTTCTGCATCCCTGCTGTAAAGTAATGGAAAAGGAAAAGACTTCTGTTCTCCAAGGATATTGGGTTGCATCCAATGGTGGTGCTCAGCTGATGGTAAGGCTTTGGTCAGAAATTCCCCCCTCCTTCCTAGATCTGCTCTGGAGCAGATTTAGTGGGTTGAGGGCTGCAAGGGAGAGGAGGAATTGCCCAAAATATGTCCCTCCCCCATTCCTCTGTAAGGGGCATTTAAGACACCAGCCCAAAATGAAGGCAATACTTGGTGTTTATAGAAGCATAGGACATTCACAACAGAACAGGGCAACCAGGCAGAGAGCATCATTTCCCAAACCGATTTGGAACGTTTTGCTGGCTCTCTTTGTCATTGGCTGGTGGGTTTAAGAAAGCTGATTTCTCGGTAAAGGGATTGTCTGCAGCAGCCTTTCCACAAGAGCACCTGATTAACTTGCCCTTTCAAAAGATTAAGGTTCCCACCCTGGCTATCTCTTAAGAGCACTCTGCTGTACCTTTATTTTCCTTTGAAAGAAGAAACCCTCGTTCCCACAATTGCTTTCTTCTTTCAAAGGGAAAATAACTCTGGTCTCACATCTTTTGATTTGGCTGGTTAATTAACAATCACAGGAAAGCTTTCCAGAAGGCGGAAGATTGGTTTGACAGCATTAAGAGTCTGATTCTGTGCAGAGACCCAGCATGCTCTTCCTGACTCTGAGCTCTGTCTTGTGCCCCTGCAATCTGAGGCACCCAGCACCTAGCAGGAAGCGATCTGTATCTGTCAGGATTAGGTCCTAAGAGCGCTTTTGAGTCATCCAATCCAGCTTCTTGGTGACCTCAGAATAACTATTCCTTCACAGCCCACGTCAGTATTAACCCTGACTATCTTGCCACTTAACCTTGCCAGCAAGCCTCCAAGCTATAAAAGCCACTTCTGATTCCGCCCCCCTGTCATTACCGCTCTAATGCACAGCATCTGGGCATTTGCTGGATTTCTGCTTTTGTGAGTCGGACATTAGCGAGGACCCACCTCTGCGACCTGACGGACCTTCCGTTTTCACAGCACTGGTGGTGATGATGAGGACTAAGGTGCCTGAAGTCTCAGCGGATGTGTGTGCCTATATAAAGAGACGCAAGCGACTTAACTTGACATGCATTTTGCAGGTATTTTCAGTTGCTGGCTGACTGCTCTGGAGGTGGTGGACTGAAATAGCAGCGCGGCTACTCCAAAAGCAGGCAGAGCATTTACGGAAGGCACAGGAATAAACTAGAGAAGATGTCTGTGATCAGCGCCCTGCCGTTTCTCAAGCCCATCCACCTCAAACCTCCGCGGAGCTCCCCTGGGCGCCAGCGCAGGCACACTCTGCCCGCCAGCGAGTTCCGGTGCCTCACCCCCGAGGATGCCATCAGCGTGTTTGAAATAGAGAGAGAAGGTAAGGCGCCAATTCCTTTGTCTCCTACGTTTTCTGAACCGCCCTCCACCTCATCCCCCAAATAAATAAAAGGCACTTCTGTACTTTAGAAGCACTGAGTTACTTGGAGTCCTTTATTGAGGGCAGAGTAGGAGAGGAAAGAAAAGGCAGGAGGTGGAAGGGAAAACATCCAAGCAAATAGGTTACACAAGTGGCAGCCAGCTTGCTTAATTTAACACCAAGCAATTTAACACCAAGACACAGCAAGAGAGGGGCTGGAATGTCAGCCTTCTTGTGCCTATCAGGCATGCGGCATTATGGGAATCACCCAGATATGGCTTACAGCCCCCAAGTGGTTAGAGTGTTCAGTGTAAGATTGAATGCAGGAAGAAAGTCAAAAATGGACGTGTACAGTGTGGGAAGAATCACATTCCTAAACTCTCAGGTGAAAGAGTAATGGAAGCATCGAGATCATTGATAAACTGGAGCATCAGTAGCACACTAAAGATCAGTCAGAAGCATTAGGGAAGTGGAGGCTGAGTGAATGTGCTCCTTACAGGCCACCTACTCAAAAGCCTGACAGATGGAAATTAATGTTTTCCACATCTGAATTTCAGTGGTAAGATCTGAACACTGGTGGTTAAATTCAGGTATCTTTATTCGTACTTGGGTGGCTAAACAAATCCTGTTATGGACATTTTGAGTTTTGCAGCCAAATTTGAATATTCTGGAACTGAGTTTAAAAACAAACAAACAAACAAAAAACAAAGGAAGACAAAGGAAATAAATGTATTTGAATATGATGGTGCACTAAGTGCTAGGTCAGACTGGCAGCTGCTGAGAGAGAAATACTTGTTAGCATCAAAGGTATCCTAATAAGACAATAGATTTATCCCACTGAGGTATGACTCCGCTCATCCTGCAATGGGAAGCTGAAGGTAGGCTACTGAAGTTTATAAAATATGCCCGGCCTAGCTTAGAATGGGCTTACCTTTCTCCTCTACCTGATGAAGAATTCTAATAAAAGATGCCACCAATAAATTTCACCACCAGTGGGAAGGGTTAACTATTCTGTCTTGCCCACCCCCAGGAACCTCAGCTTTCACTTATTGAACAGAAGCAAACAGAAGTCAATTAGGAATCAAATTACCCTGAAAACTGCAGTCCACTAGATTCAGGAATTCATTTCCAACCTTCCACCTAGTTCCATTTTTGAACTTTTGTTCTCAGGGCAGGTTTAACATGTCTCCAGCGACCAGGAAACTGCAGCCTGGATCTAGACAGCAGCATGACATTAACCCTTCAACTCCTCTCTCTGTTGTCCTCTACAGCATTCATTTCGGTGTCGGGAGACTGCCCCCTCCACCTGGATGAGATTCGCCACTTTCTGAACTTGTGTCCGGAGCTGTCGCTCGGCTGGTTTGAAGAAGGCCGGCTTGTTGCTTTCATTATTGGCTCTCTCTGGGATCAGGAACGACTCAGCCAGGTAGGAAATGGAAATCCTTTTAAATGCATCACTTTCCCATTACGTAACTGACGGAGAGAGAACATAGACAGGCTCCGGCGTAAAGACACATCACCTTCTTATACTGATGGAGAGTACAATGGTACCTTGGTTCTCAAACTTAATCCATCCTGGAAGTCTGTTCTAAAACCAAAGCGTTCCAAAACCATGGCATGCTTTCTCATAGAAAGTAGTGCAAAATGGATTAATCTGTTCCAGACTTTTAAAAACAACCCCTAAAACAGCAAATTAACATGAATTTTATTATCTAACAATACCATTTCTGGGTTAGGGCTAGGGTTAATTTTAGGATTGGGTTAGGGGAAGGATTAGAATTAGGGTTAGGGTCAGTGTTGTTTTATTTTTTGTGATTTTGATTCATTTGCGGTGGGTTTGTTTTTTTCAATTTGTTGTGTTGCTGCTTTTTCATGAGTTGCAAGTTTGTTGGCTTTGTGGTTTTCTGGATAGTTTCAGTTTTAATTTAAAATGCTCAGCTGTGGAACATGAAGCCTCTGCTTCCCAGAAGAGAGATCCCCAGCCCCGCTCCTGCTTGCACGCAAGTAGGAGTTGGATGGGGCTGCTCAGCTGGGGAGGTGCAGGCCCCGTCACACTTTCCATTGAGGGGTTCGCGGCTGTGGGCTCCTTTAAACTTCTCCGCTCAAGGGAGAAGTTTAAAGGAGCCCCCACGTCAGCATCGAAGCCCATGTACCACCTGAAGGCAGCCAAACAGAATAGTTGCTGGGGTGGTGAAGGTGGAGGCAGCCCAGCAGCTGCATCAGAGAACCCCTAAACCGCTGCTGAGGCAGCTGTTGGGCTGTCTCTGCATTGCCACCAATGCTCCTTTAAACTTCTTTATTGAGGTGAATGCAGCCACGCATCCCTCAATGGAAAAGTGTGACAGAGCCTACACCTCTCCAGGTGAGCAGCCCCATCCAGCTCCTACTCCCATGCAAGCAGGAGCTGGGGCACTCAGAACGGAAGTGTGGCACTGAAAAAGGAAGTGTAACACTCAAAACAGAACAGTTCGGATTCCAAAAAAAAGCTCGTAAACCGGAACATCTACTTCTGGGTTTGTGGCGTTCGAATTCCAAGTTGTTTGTGAACTAAGCTGTTTGAAAACCGAGGTACCACTGTAGTATAGGCTTCCTCAACCTCGGCCCTCCAGATGTTTTGAGACTACAATTCCCATCATCTCTGACCACTGGTCTTGCTAGCTAGGGATCATGGGAGTTGTAGGCCAACAACATCTGGAGGGCCGAGGTTGAGGAAGCCTGCTGTAGTACATATGGCTTGGGAACTCTTCTCTTACTTTTCACATGCTTTGGTGAATGGGCTAGTATCATGCTTACCCCACACTTTAACATCCCTTCACTCAGCTGCTGAAGTTCATTCAGTTTTCACAAGCCAGTATGCTGCCCCACTGTGGAACAAATGTAATGGCGCTCCAACAAAACAATTTTTCATTACCCAGCAGTGTCTGCTTTAAAAGCCATCGTTGTTGTTATATTTATACCCTGCCTTTTCCCTGATGGGACTCAAGAGGATTTGGGATTTTTGCAGGCATGAGCCAGTATGGTACCTGTACAAACACACAAATGCATTAATAAGAAACCACATTATTCTCCTTGAGAAGACTACTGATCAGGAGTCTTGCCCTGGAGCAGCTCTAAGGCAGATGCTGGATTCAGTGTGAAACGAACATTTCACTTTTTAACATTCTGAATACTGGAGAGGCTGCACAGCTCTCTTTAAATTGGGAGTGGGTGAACCTGTGGCCCTCCTGTAGTTGTTGGACTCCAACTCCCAGCAGCCCCAGCCAGCATGGCCATGGGTTAGAAATGATGAGGCTTGCAGTCAAAAATGCCATAGGTTCCTCACTCCTGCTCTAAATATTAGAGCATTTCAGCTCTTTCTCCCGCCGCATGAATCTCATCACATTAGCCTAAATCAGGTCAAGTACAATGTGATTTGGAACCAGTGGCTTTCCCAATGCATGCCAGTCAAGAAACTATTTGATTCTTCATCATCATCATCCTATAGAAGAAAGTTGTCCCTTGTCTACTATAAGTAGTAGAGACAGTCTGCGCTAGGGTGTTAACAGTGGGTGGACCACATCTCTTAACAACCATCTTCTCTCTTTCTCCTCCCTCGGTAGGATGCTCTGACCCTGCACAAGCCTCATGGATCCACAGTCCATATCCATGTTCTGGCAGTCCACCGCACCTTCCGCCAGCAAGGCAAGGGCTCCATCTTGATGTGGCGCTACCTGCAGTACCTGTGCTGCCTGCCGTACGTGCGTCGAGCCACACTGATGTGTGAGGATTTTCTCGTCCCCTTCTACTCCAAGTGTGGCTTCAAGGCATTGGGCCCCTGTGAGATCACGGTGGGCTCTCTGACCTTCATCGAGATGGACTATGCCGTTCGTGGCCATGCCTTCATGCGCAGAAACAGTGGTTGCTGAGGAGGTGCCTCCCATTTCCAGCCACATCTGGCTGGTGTTCTTGGAGGCAAAGAAGCCCAGTTTCCCAATGATTCCCACCAATGGGTCAGGGGAGTCCTATGGGTGGGTCACAAAGTTGCCAAGTTCTCTTCTCTGGGATAAGGAACTTCCACATCAGTGGTGAATTAGGCAAGTGAGCCTACACACACATATTAAAGTTACTGATGGGTCCCTTTTTAAGAAGTTTGAGAACCACTGCAATACGCAGATTGATATGTTAACCCAAGCAACTCCTATCATAGCCATTGCTGCAAAGGCAACACAGATTTTAATGCGTAGTAGCGTTTTAGTAGCCAGTAATAGGTGTCGTAGCATTGTAACCTCACAACTGCCTTTCAAACTGGTAGCTAAAATGCACCCCAGTTGTCTTCTCATTTGTGTCTTAGCTGAATTTGCGCCCTGCAGCAGTGACCATTGTATACATGGGGCAATGAAAGGCAGTAACTGCTCTTTCCTCAATTTAGCTATGAAGATGACAACAGCATGACATGGTGGTGAAGTTGTAGCCGCTAAGCATTATTCCCATCAACTAAGGGAGCAACTAAGTGACTGTTGTTGCCAGTACACTATAGGTCTGCAGGTTAGAATTCGGAAATTTTCAGAGTAACCGTTGACTGTCAACCAGGGCCCCAGCTGCCTTTCTGCCTTATGACATTGGTTACCATCACCCATCAAAATGGTTGTAAGAAGACAAATGCTGCATCTATAACTATGAAGCAAGTCACAATATTGGCATATACAAATGCTTTCAGAAATCAAGCTTTCTGTTCTCAAAAGTGTGGTTTCTGTTGCAGCAGACTGCTTGCTATTTTTGGAATAGAGCAATTAGGAAAAACATTACTTGAGAAGTAGAATCATTCAGTTACATCTGCCATTTTGTGGAATTACTGTTTGCCTTTGGAAAGGAGCAGCCGTCGCAGATGAAATTGTTGTCTCTTTGCTTGCAGTGGAGAAACTCCATGTCTTCTTGCACTGGCTGCTCTGTTGTTGTGAAATGCATGGAATCTGTGCTTGTATATTCTGTAAAAATATGTATATAAATGTGGTCTATGTGCTAAAACCAGAGCAGGCTTCTTTCTTAGCCGAGTTCCTGCCCAGATGAGTATTTGCCTGACAGATAAATCCAAGTCCCTGTTGACAAGGGGCAAGCCACATTTGCTTTAGGGTGTTCGCTTTCCCTTTCTGGCTTTGACAAGAGCTACCCACAGCACAGAGGTGCAGAACTTAATCCCTCCTCCTCCTCCTCCTGCTGCCCAGGTGCAACGAAGGTCTACAACTAGCAGGAGCAATGGATTTGTTAAATTTGAGGCTGTGCAGCGAGTACTTAACTCATTGCAGTTAATGTACATGCTTTGAAATGCAGTGACTTACTGCTGAAGCAAAAGCGCTCGGCGCATGCCCCAAGAATGAGTATGTCCCTATGCCCCTGGGAGGACTGTGTCGATATTAGCAGGTGCTCATATGTAAGAGCTGATGATCATTCATGGTGGTGGGAGAGGAGGGGATGCTCACGTGTACAATGCTCATCACACCCACAGAGATAAATAGCACATAGTGGGTGATGGGTGGGGTCCAGCTGCTAGCACCCAATATGCTTCCTGACCCTCCTCATCCTTTTGATGTTTGGCGAGTGGGTAGGCGTTTGCCATGTTTCCTGTCCCTTGAAAGGTAAATTGGCTCCTTCAGCATGAACTGGAGGTCTGCACATTGGGACATATCGAGTTTAAGGACAGAGTCCAACATGCATCTTCAGTAATTAATCTAGCCTGCACTGAATGTAAGGAAGGAATGTGCCCCCACCGTGAAACAAGGCAAGCCTAGGGAAATAATGTTTGGAAGTTGGCAAAAACCACCATGACACAGCTTTCATAGTTGCATGCGTTGTAGCTCCATGGCTACAACTAAAGTAGAAATGCTCTTTAAGTTTAGTTATGGTCCAGTGCAAACGTGGGCATTCTCTTGTGCTAGATTACCTACACATTACAGTTGCAGGGAAAGCAAAAACTGAGGAGGAGCAAGTTTTGGATCCCAAAGTGATCTACTTAAGATGGGTTTCTTATATGCCTTTCTCATGGCCAGAGCAGGTGCCTGTTTCTTAAAAGCTCTGGGGTTGGGGAAGGGTTTCACAAGTGAAATAAGTGTAATCTGTTTGAGGTTATACTAACTGTAAAATGGCTGGATTGAAATGTATGTTATTTTGGTGCCCAAGGCATGCGGGTTAGCCCTGGACGCTGATCAACACTTGTAGCTCCTTCCACTAAGCAAGAAAAAGCATTTGTTTTCTCCCCCTCCCACAACCCTTTGCATGCCATTTTTCACTTTGTTGAGTCAGCAAATAAATAACAGTGTGTTTTTTTTCCTAAGAGGGTCTTGCTTTTTATACACCCTTCCTTCACCACTCCCAATTATGTAATCAAATCAGGCAGTGATAAGATGGTGGAATGTAATTTTGTGCAGGCAATGGGGCAGGTTTAAGACCTGGATGGGAGGTGGAGAGAAAGGTTGCAAGAAGTTAAAAATACTTATATTGCGATCAGCTGAAGGTCCTGAGGGACATCCGAGTGGTATACAGAAGGCGGCTGGCAAGGGCACAGGGTAATGCAACTTGGGAAGTGGCTGGTTAGACAATGTGAGCAACATAAGAAGGCTAGGGCTCTTCCAGACATTAGCTGAATGACAGCTGTAGGTAGACCTAGATATACCTGCAATGGGGCCTTACCCCATGGACCTCCTGTGCTCTGATGGCAATCTCATGAAAACTTGCTAAATCTAGAGAACTGCAAGGAATTACACATTAAAGAAAAGGGAGGGTTTGGGGTTTCTTTAATACATTTTTTCTTCGTAAATGCGTTCTAAAAATAAAGTCAGTCACTGGAGCAACAACATTTTGCAGATTTACCAACGTCTATTACGTGGGGCCACTTACAAGACAAACTATTTCCATCCCTGGCTAAAAGGTTTACACAAGGCACTAAATAAATCACATTTTGAAAACACACACGCACATTTGCTTTTGATAAATTTAAATTTAATTTATTTAGACCAAAAATATCCTCCTCCACCCTCCACACAACAATCTCATCTGTCGCTACAGCGTGAGCCTGGCCTCTTTATCAGAGTGAAGTTATCCTTCAAGTTTGCTACAGAAATTTAAATTCACTCCGTATAAATACTGGACGAGGTACTAACACTTCTTCCAGATGGCACTAGGTTTCTTTAAAAGCATCAACGCTACTTGCCAGAAAGTGTTTGGTAGCAGAGATCGCAAATGTAAAGAAGGGGCAGGGGAGAAGAGAAATGCATATAAAATATCCCTTGGGCAAAAAAGACCAGGTTGTTTGTTTTCACAGTACAATTCACAGTACCACAAAAAGGCACTAAGGCAGGGAAGATTGCCACAAAGTCCAAGCACCATTTTGTGCCATAAGGCAATTAGGAAAAGGGCCCCCAAAACCAGGAGTTGCATAAAAGGAGGAACTTCAAGTAGGAAACCATAGACACAGGCAGACGGTAAATACGAGCAGTTCAACAGGATGTTGCCTCATCACTAAAGTGCTCTTTTGAAGTGACTGCCTCTCAGGCCTCTCCATCCCACAAAGGACCTAATCAGTCCTATGGATGAAGGATGGCATTGGATGCTTTGGCAGCTCATAGAAAGGAACTCGGCCTAAGAGGCAGAGCTTGTAGATTCTCTATTACATTCCAAATGGTTGGTGGTTATCGCAACATCGAAACTTCAGCAAAGATTGCCACCCGCTGCAGGCACTGTAGTGGAGAAGCCTCTCGTAAGAGACTCTGACCCAATTCGGACACCAAACAGGGTGATGTTGCTTCAAAGCTATACCTCTCAATGATGGCTGCTTGGTGCCCAGAACTGTCAGAGAGGAACATACAAGAGACAGGTTGGCTTATGACTTTATCCCTTGCACCTAGGAGTTTTGCAAAAGGTAACAGGTCTTCTGCTTCAGCACTTGGAGCGTGAATGTTTCACGAGTGGTACAGGGAAAGCTGGAGAAGTGCAGATGTTTTGCCTTTTTTGACTGCCAGTGTTGCCTCTGTCTATTCCACTGCTGCTCAACATCCGACAGGTATCCCAAGTTTAAAATCCTCTCCTGCAAGCCCCATTCCACAGCCTCCCAGCTCCATCAATGCAAGACCTGGTTCAGATCATACTTCTCGCAGAACCTGTCAGTGAAAGGCAGGCAAGTGAGGTGCTCAATCCAGTGCCAGTTAATAGGGTACACATAGAGCCAGATCACCAGAGATGCGAAGAGCCCGACGAAGACCAGCATCGAGACGATGATCATGACTCTCTTGCGGTACTTGTCCATCGTGCCAAAGGTGATGTAGGGCAGGAAGGCGAAAGAGAGCAGCAGGCCACTGAGGAAGCCAAAGATGTGTGCAATGTTGTCAATCCATGGCAGGAGGCCGCAGAGGAAGAGGAAGAGGACGATCCCAGAAAGGTTCAGGAAAGCCTTCATGGGCTTCTCGAGGACCTGCCAGCTCTGGAAAAGCTCCACAAAAAGGCAGGCTAACAAGCCGAACTGGGATCCTGCAGGGCCCACCTAGAAGAGGGAAGGAGGAAAAAGAAACTTAAAAATAAATCACGCAAGATGCAGTCCGCTCTTAGGCCAGCCAGGCTTTCTCATCTCTCCACAACAGAGAACCCTGGAAAAGCAAATGGGCAACAGAGTCCCAGAAGCTGTAAGTACAGTGATTTATTGTGCTGCATGGTAAACTTACCGTTATTCTCATTAAGCCTTAACGGTTGGTTTGTTGATCAAGGGGAATGAGTATCGGTTCCACTGCAAGAACTTTGAGGTTCAGATCTTGAACCTAGGTTCAGTTTCATCTCCTCTGGGTTGTGGTTTCAAATCCCTCAGATCACAGTGCCAAGAGCAAGTTTTGGCCGGTACCAGCAAATGTCTCAGGTGGGGCACATATTTGTACACACACAAAGCCCCACATTCAGTGGGGGGAGAGCTTAAGAACTTGATGTTGCCACTCAGGGTAGAGAACACTGAGCTAGAGCTCAGAGGACAAAACGGGATGAAAGCAACTCATCATCAGGGCAACAAGTCGGGAGGTTGGGGGTTGTAATAAGCTGTACTTATGACCCAACCCTTTGACCCCCAAAGGAGGGGTGGGGAAAATCTCTGGCTCTCCAGGGGTTGTTGGATTCCTAGCTGCCATCAACTCCAGTGGTCAGGGATGCTAAAAGTTGCAATCCAACATATGGAGGCCCACAGGTTTCCTTGCCCTGGAAGGTAACAGCTTTGTGTTGTGTCAATTCCAGATAGCACAAGCTTAAACATATGTATTCTATGAATTTAGTTAGATTCTCTCCCTATTACATGAGTTTAGGATGGAAGTCTTCAACCTGGTTTTGCAAAGGTTGCACTATAATCACTAAAGATCTTCAGATGAAGGGTGGTACAGTATATAAATTTAATAATAATAATAATAATGATGATGATGATATTATGTTTTTCATGGCAGGGCCCTTCTGTTCTGCCCTAAAAGATTTCTCAATATGTGCTAAAGAAACCCCTTTTTTGGGGGGGTGAGGAACCAAACATGTAAGTTCGGCACTTGGCATCAAAGGGCATGTTGGTCATTTTGCAAAATATTGCATGATTTATTCTCAATCTGATATTTGAGTTTTTGTAGGGTTTAAAAAATAATAATTAAAAACAGCATTTGGAATTCATGAGATACAGGTACGTAGCTAAACAGGTACGGCTGACAGTCCCTACCTGAACGCCAGGCCCTTTGCACAAACGTTTACAAAAATATCTTGCCCAACCATGAGAGCTAAACATTTCCTGTAGCCTAAAACAAAGGAAGTTTAGATCTCAAATCTGCATCACCTACTTTCTTTCACATGGGCTTTGACTTCTGCCATCATTCAGCAGCTAATCCCCACTGTGCAAGCCACCTTCCCTGTCCTCAAACAGAACTGGACAGAGTCACACTGAAACTTTCCTTCCATCAGAGCAACATTTAGAAACACCAATATTCAGAATTCAGCTCATAGGTCTTGAGCAGAGCACAGAACTGCCAAGTCAAAATAAAGCATACTTGGGGTTCATTGCTATGGTTTTACCTTGGTTTAGGCCCTAGAACTCATACAGCAAAAGAGAAAGGGCCGAGTCATATTAAAACAAGAGGGAAATTAAAGGTTATTCAAGGTTACAGTGTGTTTGTCTAAATCAAGGGACCATAAATTCACTAGATAATCGAGTCCTTGCCAGATATTTTGGCCTGCTGCTCCCATCAGCTCCAGCCAGCACAATGAAGTTGTCGTCCAAAACAACCAGAGGCCACTCAGTTGGCAAAGGATGGGCCAACCAGCCCCATGAAAGTCAGGCTATTGCGCTGGGATGCTAGAACTCAGCAAAGGGTGTGCAGCCCATCTTGGCTGACTGGAGCCCTTCAGAATGGCCGTAATTTCCTTGTGCCTTCCCCAAGTGCTGGATTAAAGGAGATGGGGGTCCCGCAGGAATGGAATATTCTATGCTTTCCTCTGCCTGCACTCAGGGATACAGACCAATCAATCATCCAACCACACGCAGAAGCAAGTTCTGTGGTTAGTATGCCCCATACATCCTAAGGGACATAGGCTAAGGCCAGGGCAATGTTTCTGCAATTTTTCTCAAGAGCAGTAGCACTGCTTCATTTGGCACCAAGCCCAGAATTCAGAAACCTGTGAATAACAGGATTTTGTAGTAGTAGCAGTAGCAATAAAACAACAACACTACGAGGTATAATGTCCCTGTTTCAGCTGGGCTGGTTGTTTTGCGAGCATGTGGTTTTCATTGTATCTGTTGTATTTTATAGAAGTTCTTAGCTGGCTTGAGGGTTCTAGTCAAAAAGAAGGATATATACTCCTCATGAAGATAGGCTCAAAACTAATAGGCAACATCTGGTGAGGACACAGAAGCTGGAGTAGAATGACAATGTCCAGTACAGCTCCTTGCCTAGAAGCAGAGGGAACTGAGTAAATTTCAATCATTGAGACCAGTGGCAGAATCCAGTTTTCCTAAGCACCAAGAGCGCACAGAGTACTGGTGAAGGTGTGTGTGTTTAGCAGTTTAAAAAGTTTCATGCCAGGGAACTAGAGTTGTGCAAAGTGATTAACAATAACCTCTTCATGTTAGAATGCAATTCTTTTTGACAACCAAATGAAGAGATAAGTTTAAGAAACTGAAGGTGAAAACACTGCATTTACCTATAAAATGGTACCACATACAAAGACTGTAAATAGTTTGCATAATAAAGTATTATTTAAAAAACCAAAAAATGAACACCACCCAAACAAGTAATGATACCTCTTCAATTATATGGTGCTTTCCAGTTGGCAGATCATTCCTTTTTTAAAATATGAACTTAACAACATAGGGCGGCCCCTAAAACCACCAAGGGCTGCCATCCTTGGTGCAACCACCAAGTCACACAGGTTGCATTAGCTCATCCCAGTTTCCAGGCAAATGCCCTATCAAGGTGGGCCCCCCCCAGGCTGGTGTGCCTAAGGATGGAATGAAGCTGCAATGCTTGAGAGTCATTTCAGAAGGGGAAGGCTCAGGAGCTTGCAGTGACTCAGCAGCCGGCTGCAGCCGCTGCCCCACAAGGCTGTAGGTGGAGAAGCTGCTGATGAGATCCAAGGGATTAGATGGGTGATCTCCTTTAGAGCCTGTCAGGACGTCAGATTAGCCACCTGCCTGTTCCATCAACTATAAAAGGGGGGGTGGGCACCCTCACGTGTGAACAAATAGGGCAGCCAGCATGTGCTGGTTCAGCACATGGAAACCAGACAGCTGCAATTGCTAAAGCATCACTTCGCTCCCACATCTGACTGAAGAGAATAAAACCAGGGAGGCTGTCCACAACAGCCACCCAAAAAGAGGCACTGACACCTCACTGTCAGCATCTACCTTGCTGTAAGCTTCTTAGTTTCTCATATAATGGCCTTCTGTTTTTTTGCCAAGAGAGCTGAATTGTGTACATACGTAGAATATCTATTTAAGTCTTTCTAATGAAATTACGTAAAAGACAATATTCTTTGTCACTTTGCAGGTGCAGAGGTTTCTGCCATCCCTCTTTCTTCCAAACAGGAAGTCTAAAGTTCTGGTCCAAAGCACATTTATCTTCAAGTCAAGGTCCACTGGGATTATTATTATTTTTTAAAAAACACAACCCCACAGTTGTAAGCTTCTTTCACCATCTTCTGGAGGATTAAAGTGCAATTAGTTCTCCAAAGGGTTGATAAGACACTAGACAGCTAAAGGCTAATTCACACTAATTTTTGAAGAGTCACCATCAGTGTTATTGCATAGATGACTCCCCCCACCCCACAACATCCATGCGAGTGTGTTGTGAAAAAGCTCTCATAGTAGTATAAACACACACATATATATCCTTCAGCAAAAAAGGGGTGGTGGAAAGATTGCTACACTTGCTCTCAAGGAAATTCTATGCCTCTAAATTGTGCACATCAGACAGAGCTTTTGTTTTGCCTTTAAGCAATGGAATTTCTTGGGGACACAAACTCAATAATCCTGGCCAGCAGCCCTCCACCTCTGGTGTTATCCCCCCACCTCTTAAGTTATTCTGGACTTCTGTAAACCTTGGGAGAGGGGTCTCCTAAGTCTGCTGATACCTTCCTTCTTGAGTATGGATAATGCCATTTGAATAGGCACTCAAATAATGAGTTTAGTCTTAGTATAGATAGCAGTGGCGGTGAATCTTTCCCATACCAAGGGTTACATTCCATAATGAACAACTTTCTGGGGGCCACATGCTGGGGTGGGTGGGGTCAGAGGCAAAACTAACTGGAGCCACAGATATGATGTACAGTAGAGTACATTCTAGCTACAAACAGAAGGTCAGGCCTACGCACATAAGCACCCCTCTATCAAGTGCGGGAGGCAGTGGAAGACAGGAGTGCCTGGTGTGCTCTGGTCCATGGGGTCACGAAGAGTCAAACACGTCTAAACGACTAAACAACAACAACATCCCATCCAGTCAAGCAGGGGGCATCACCACACATTCAAGTCAAAAGCACTCGTGGAGGGTTTGGAGCAGGGAAGTGGAAGGCTGTAGCCTGGAAGTTTCATGAGGGACACAACGAGGGGTCTTGAGGTTTACAAGCATCCCCTCTGGCCTGAGTTTTCCCAGCCTTGGTACACAGGAGCTGGTCACTGCCTGCAAGGGGAAGGCCCTTCCAGCTTGAACACCACACTGAGCCAGACCACCTTTGCTCCAGAGGAACATGACATTGGAGAGATGCTTTATTACCTGACATTGGTTTGAGAGACACTCTGAGAGCCCTTTGTGTTGAAGAGCATGCAAGAACACATACACACAAATCGTGTGGAAGGGAAATTTAAAGCTTGAGTAAAAGGATAGCTCCACCTTGTTGGCTGTAGCTGCTTATGACTCTCTGCAAAATCTCCTTTCTCATATCTTCAAGGAAACCAAAGCAGAGCTTCTTTTTGCTCTCACGTGCCTGGGCGATGTCAGGAGTCAGCTGGCAGCTGGCCAGCTGGCAGCTCACTCAGGGCCATGACATCACTCACCTGCAGTAACATCACCTTCACGTGGGCCGAGAGGAGCAGAGGAGGTGGGAGGATAAAGCTAAGGGAAAGCAGCTCCTGAAATAATCCCTCCAAGGCGAGGGAACACAACAGGAGGCCAATTTGCCAGATGCAGCTCACAGGTTTCCCTTTTAAAACCCCATTAGCCAGTTTGCTCCACAATAACATTGACAATGGGCCCAGATGTTTCCATGGCAGACGACAAAAGTCCACCTTCATTTCTAAGCAACAATTGTGGGGGCAGAGGGAGTGTGCAGGGTGTGTGCGCACTTTGTCCAATATGCCGGTCCTGCCATGCACCACCCTGATCTTCCTGCATCAAGGCAGAAGGCCTGAAGGGGGCATCTAAGCACGTTCAGATGAACACAACTTAAAAGTGTGCAGGATTTCCAACCACATAGAGGTTTCCAACAGGGGGTTTCCTAGATAGAAGCCCTCTTTAGACCTTCACAAATCGATGCACATGCTGGGGCAAGGCTTGCATGCACAACCCCACCACTTCTTCGTGTTTTCTTTTCCAGGCATTCAAAGGGTTGTCAGAAGCAGCTCAAGTTGTTAGCCACCTATCAAAAACGAGTGCAGAAAAGGGCACTGACTCCATAATGCCAAGAGAGCTATGGGGAGGCCTACTCAAATATGCTGAAATATCAAATGAAACAAGCCCTCTTGGGACTGCCCATCTCCAGACATCAAGTGGGGAGCGTATATTTCAATGCTTCCCAATGCACAAGCCTTTCCCTCTGTACACAGAAAGCCAGGAACATGCCTGAAATCCTAGAGAGTCACTGCCAGTTACTGTAGACAATACCAAGCTAGATGGACAAATGGTCTAACTCAGTAAAAGGCAGCTTCCTATGTCCAGTTTACTTTAAATTACGCCTGAGATTCAAACCAAACATGGCATTAGCACACCACTTCCATACTTCTCTTTTTCTGGGGTGGCAAGAAATGTGAGAACATGTGTGGCGACTTCTGTGTGACTTCAGGAACTAAAGGTAGAGTTTCCAATAGGCAGACGTGGTGCAGGAGGGTGCAAGATCTGCAGCCACCTTATTTACATTGTTCACGGGGTGCCTTCCCTAGTCTTTGTTATCTCTCTCTCCCCCCCTACTCAGTAAATGCTTCCTTCTTCTCTTTCCCAAATATTTTTAACACCTGAAAATCTGATGCTAAAATCACAATGGCATCGTACGGATCACACACACTGCTCATTATCAACCTCATTTCTGCACTGTCAATTTGAGAGCTTGTTGTATAGAGGAAAGGCATTCTTGCTGGCTGCTCAGACTTATCAAACCCCCTTCCCTTTAAACATAGGGATGGGGGAAACCTGCAGCCTGCCAGACCTCGAGGGCCTCCAAATCTCCATCACCCCTAGACAGCATAGCAAATGGTGAGGGATGATGAGAGTTGTAGTCCTACCACATCTGCAGAGCTGCAGGCTTTAGGTCTTCCGGCACTTCTGATTCCAGGGGCATGCCCAGTTCTGAATACAGCTGGGGCATTTTCTACTTAGGTTGTCATGCACAAGAGGAAGTCACATGAAGACAAAATGCTGCCGTATGGAGTGCTCCCATTCAATTGGTCCAGCTAGCCCATGGGTAGGCAAACTAAGGCCCGGGGGACCAGATCCGGCCCAATCGCCTTCAAAATCCGACCCGTGGACGGTCTGGGAATCAGCATGTTTTTACATGAGTAGAATGTGTGCTTTTATTTATAATGCATCTCTGGGTTATTTGTGGGACACAAGGTCTGAGGGACAGTGGACCGGCCCCCTGCTGAAAAAGTTTGCTGACCCCTGAGCTAGCCAGCCAGCCAGAGCCTGCCGATTTCTCCTTCTTGAGAGTGCATCCATAAGAACTGCTGCTCAGATAAGGAGTTCACTATTTAGTCACTCTCCAAAAAAGGGGTTCTAACCTCACCACTGCATGAAGGGAAGGTGGCACTTACCTCTGCTCTGTATGGAAGGAAGATGGCACTCGCCAGATTGCCTGTGATGCCACTGAGTATGTAAATGATGGAGATTCTATGCCAGCCTGCCAGCTTCTCCAAATCCCTGAGGACTGTCATCTGAAAGATCACCGACACCAGGCAGTGGATAACCCTACAGGGCAAAGACAGACGGATGCTTTGCAATGAGCTCCTAGTTGGCATCACAACAGCATTCCTTCCTCCCTTCTTATCTGAGTAAACTCACAAGTAATGTCCATCATGCTAAATGGGCCTTTGGCAATCCAGAAACAGTGGTTCATGTTCTCCTGTCCTGCCCCCTTTATAAAAATCTGAGGAATGAGATCATTACCCCACTCTTACTTACCATCCTAGGCCGCCCATCTGAGGCCACATTGTTCTTTCTTTTATCAGATCAAAATGATCAGACAACAGCAAAGGTTGCTAGGTTTATCGAGGGTGCAATGAGATTAAGGGCCACTATCTGAACGATAGTCTTGGTCATTTGATTGCCCTTTTTACCCATTGCTGTCTTTTTATTTGTATATATTCCTTGTTTTATGTTGCCATGGCCATTGGCTAATGCGAATAAAGTTTATCTACCTATCTATGGGCCTTTGGCAATTTGAGAAACATCTCTGGATTTGCGCAAGTGGTTGTGAAGTCGATATTCAAAAAGGGACAGTTTGTCAGGGCACGTTGCCAGGACTCAGTCACAGAATCAAAGGTCAAATTTAGAGGGTCGGGAAGGGGGCAAAGGCCCAAGGATAGGTTAGGCATCCTTGCAAGATAAAGTCCTGAGCAATAAACCCAAGACCATAAATCCAGGCCACAACCAGAAGAGTCCCATTTAAACTGTCTGGGTCAGACTGACAGAAACAGGTGTGTCAGTTATAATAACAAAATAGGAATCCAGGAAGGAAGGGGTGTCACAGAAACAAAGTTAGAAGGTGGAATGTCTCTAGAGCCTGAGATTCCTAATGCAAAAGAAATTCGGGCAGATTTCAATCTGTTCCTTGCAGCTTGACAGGCAAGGCGGGGCCAAAGGCACCTGAAACCAGTGATCAGCTGGAGTGGTACACTGGGCAGAGTGTCTAACAAGGACTGGGGAGACCAGGGTTCAAATTCTTAATCATCCACAGCCACCATCTCTCTGCCTGACTGACCAACGCAGCACAGTGCTGGGGAGGAAATAACTGCACAAGGTCTTGAAAAATGTGTGGAATATAAAAGCTTCAATGAAAAGGCTTTGACAGGCAAAACAAAAAACCAGCCACAGAGCCCAAAAGGCTCAGACCCAAGGCACTGCACTCCCCACAATCTTCTCACCTACCCTGCATGAAGAAATAAGGACAACCAGAGTCTATAAATCTGATCAGGACTCTCTGGGTTCCTAAATGGCAGGAGGCCACACACCTCATCCATGCAGTGTACCTGGGGGGAGGGGGGAGGGGAGGGGAGAGAGAGAGAAAACATTAAAGCATGTAGACAAATGGAACCCTCTGAACCCAGTTTTGCTGTGATGGAATTGATGCTCGTTCACCTTCTTACTGGACTTTCCTAGCATGTAAGTGGTCATATTAACTTCAAGCAGGGGCTGAACTTTAAGAGGATTTCCCACTTACAAACCCTGGGACATTACTTGCCTGTGAACAGAGAGTTGCTTCTTCATGAAAGTAGCCATGCATGAATTCGCAGTACTCTCGAGTAGTGATCTGACAACTAGTACAAAGAGAGAGAAATGTCGTTATAGGGGTTTAGTTCCTGTGGAAAGTCTCAGTTAATATCCCCTTAACAATCCAAAGTAGACTGTTTGCTTTCCCTGCTCAGTCTCTCCTACACAGGCCATTATGCCACCCCCCCCCACAGCAGCCTTTTTGGATTTACCACACCCCATGGCAGCCATTTTGTGACTGGTGCCCATGCCACTTCCTCAAAATTCCAAATCTACTCACTGGCCAAAAAACATTGGTGACTCCTAAGTTGAAATTATTTCTTCTTTTACCTACCTAAACCTAAGGAGCTAGATCTCAGGATTCTGACGATACAAGCTTTCTAAAAGCTCAGCTCTGGTGTTGCTGAGTGTCCTTTGTAATTCAGCATGTTAAGAAAGGATAATTTCCCTTAACTGACCTAGGATTGCTAAGGAAGCTGGATCAAAGGCAAGTTCCTACCTAAATAAGAGAAGCAGGCAGGTCTGTGGCTGCTAACACCATCACTTAGAGCTGCATGAGACATGAGTACTTACCTGCCTTTGGTTCCAAGACAGCATGGCCTTCCTTTAATGTCACAGTCTATATGTAACAACCCAGTGTGGTTACTTTTGGCCTGATCAGTACATATCTGTAAATAAAAGGTTTACAATTAGAAGAAAAGGTTTTAAGTAAATCCATGTGTAATTTGCCTTCAGCATACTTGCCAGTTTTATCATTTAACCACTACTGTCAGTTACTACAATGACCTACCAGGCGACAGACAGACTGGAACACAACCAAGGGGATATCCTAAACCAGAGATTAGGAGCCCATAATGCAACCAATGGTGCAGGGTCACACCGACAACTGGCTAGGTTGTCTGGGGCTGATGGGAGTTGGAGACTAACAACATTTGGTAGGGGGCAGAGGTTCCCCTGTCCCTGTCCTAAACCAACAGTCCTCTTAAAATTGTTTGCACATAAACTCAGGTTCAGGGATTCCAAGACCCCTAGCTATGTTCTCATGACTAGTGCTCCAGCCAGATCACATTATTTTCCAACAGGCAATCACCAAGCGGAAAGATTTGCTAGGAGAAATTTGCTTATTTATTTATTAAATTGCTATGCCTCCCTTCGTCCGAGGATCACAGGACGGTTTAAAATAGAAAACACACACCAAAAAAAATGCATAACATAGCAACAAACAATACCGTCTACCAACAGTATTTAGTTTGGTGTGGGTTACAACAGAGAGGAATAAAAGAGGTTTGAGTAGTACCATTTCATCATCAACCAAACCAGGATTCAGCCATCATGAGTCATTAGTCAAGTGTGGGTGGCAACATGAGAACATTGCAGTTTATCCTTCCAGCAGGTACTACCTAACTACGGTGAGTGTTTGTGCCTTATCTTCTGTCCAAAATTTAATTGACAGCAACTAGGTGGAACATGTCCATGTATTTCAGGGTCTGAATCATGATATCACCAAGTCCTAGGCCGTGATTTTTTAAAAAAGCTTACTAGAGTCTATAATCCTACACACAGAAAGATTTAGGATCCATTTCACTGGAAGGCAGGAAGAAAATGGAAGAAGGGATTGGGGTTTGAGCGTGTGCATTTGCGTGTACAGTGGTACCTCGGGTTACAAAAACCTCAGGTTACAGACTCCGCTAACCCGGAAGTAGTACCTCAGGTTAAGAACTTTACCTCAGGATGAGAACAGAAATTGTGTGCCAGCAGCGTGGCAGCAATGGGAGGCCCTATTAGCTGAAGTGGTACCTCAGGTTAAGAACAGTTTCAGGTTAAAAATGGACTTCTGGAACAAATTAAGTTCGTAACCAGAGGTACCACTGTATGTGCACATGTAAATACATTCCTTAAAACACACACACACACACACACACACACACACACACACACTGCACAGCTACAGCCTTCTTCCCTCTTCATCCACCTCTGCATGCATCTGGAATTAAAGGGGGAATCTCAAACCTCAAACCTTTGTCTTTCAGTAAGACCATCTCTGTTAAATTTCAGCCTTGCATGCCATGCAAAAGACTAGCGTACCCAAGTCTTTCCTTGCTTGAGTTTGATGGACAGGGATGCATGCATGCAGCTGCATGCATTCAATGTCCAATGCCTTCCTCAGTGGACTGTCCCATTCGTAAGGCAGTCTCCATGAAGCAGCTTGGACTTTGCATTAGATAACATGGCAGTCATAAACAAATCACTTCTGTGTGTGTGTGTGTGCCCCCCTGCCCGCACTCAGCAAAAGTTTCTAAAAGGGCATCCACCTCTGTTTGCACCGTACAAATATTTTGCAAGATAAATTTGTGCCAAACAATTTAAGGAAGGAAGGAAGGAATATTTACCGGCCACTTGGTGATGTCATCAGGCCAGATGTGTGGCAGATTTGAAGCAGGTTCTTCACAAGTCCTGTTGGGGGACAGATAGCCAACAAGTAATGAGGGGTTACCATACACATTATCACCTCCCCCAGCTCCACTACAGCTCTAAACATATGTATCCCCTCTCTTCCCCCCCTCCACATGCCCCTTCTTACCTGGGATCCTGAGCGCACACAGCTCCTGAAATCCTCTTCCGACTGGAATTGTTGAGGTCAAAAGCTGGTGAATTATCTGGCCACTTTACAAAAGTAGCCAGTGTTTCCTATGCGCGAAACAAAGAAATGACTTTCTAAATTTCTCTCTCACTTGTACATACATAATTAGTGTTCATATCTCTCTCACACACTTTTATTTTTCAAAGGAGCAGAATCCCACCAGAGAGGCCTGCTCATACAAATGTTCTACTTGACACAGGAAATATTTTCTTAAGGGCCGGGGACATCACTGAGAATGTGTTACCTCAGGCCTGTCTCCGCCAAAGCATACCAATTATAAGACATAAAGGTAAAGGTAAAGGGACCCCTGACAGTTAGGTCCAGTCACGGACGATTCTGGGGTTGTGGCGCTCATCTCACTTTACTGACCGAGGGAGCCGGCGTACAGCTTCCGGGTCATGTGGCCAGCATGACTAAACCACTTCTGGCGAACCAGAGCAGCACACGGAAACACCATTTACCTTCCTGCCTGAGCGGTACCTATTTATCTACTTGCACTTCGTGCTTTTGAACTGCTAGGTTGGCAGGAGCAGGGACCGAGCAACAGGAGCATACCCCGTCGCGGGGATTTGAACCGCTGACCTTCTGATCGGCAAGCCCTAGGCTCTGTGGTTTAACCCACAGAGCCATTCTATGAATGGTTTTGTAAATCTGAAGCAATCATTAACTTCTCTGGGCTCTGGCTGGTCACATAAACTGCAATTTATCCAAAATGTGAGCAAACAATACTGATGGCAAAGGGGCATTTTCCTACTCAAGCAGTGCCCTTCTGCCTTATCATCCAGAGAACTGAGACCTCTCATGGCATGGCAGATAAAGGCACCATTAATGCAGGGCCATCAAGCCACAGATTGAAATATTATGCCAACGTTTAAAGGAGTTAGTTGCCACTACCAGAGAAACCCTGATGCAATTTCACTCACCGAGCAGTCCACCTGCAGAGTCTGAACACAACCGGAGTTGTCATTCTGGACGCAGCAACCTGACTCGCGTTCTTGATCCCTCTCTTTCTGGATCAACTTCTCAATCTGTTGGTCCTTCCTCATGCAGGGAGAGTACTTGGCTCCCAGGTGGATCAAGTCAATCTGAAACGAAAAGGGGTGGCAGGGAGAGTCACAATGAAAAATAAGTTTGGCAGACTAACTTCTCAACGCCAACGCCACCACCCCGGCATCATGTCGGCCTCATCCATATATCAAGGCAAGCCAAAGTTACTCTAGGTCACTTTGCTCCTCCTTAGTAGCGCACAGGAGAAACAATCCAACATCCCCGTTTTAGTGTTCTGTCCAAACCAGCAAATCATGCTTCATTTCACTCTAGTGTAAGGCACGTTTTATGGGGGTGTGGATGATTCAAGGCACTTTGAAGAGCCGTACACTGAATTTCCTTTAAACAGCATGATCTCAACAGGGCAAACGAAACAGAAGCACAACATTTACCGAGCTTGGGCCAATCCAGAAGTTCTCTTGCTGCATGTACTTCACACTCTCATAGACGCCTTTGTTTCGCAGCACCTGTAGACACAGCAGAGAAATTCCCTGGCTAAGAGATGGGGCAAGCACCCAGAGAGAAGGGCCAGATCGGACTCTCCTCACTCTGCCATCAGGTGGGATTCCATGCCAAGCTAAAGGAGGCCTAACCCAAAACTTTAGCTGAACTGCATTTGTGACCACAGTGTCACACATCTGTCAGGATACACTCAATCCTTGCTTGTTTAGTGTCAAGTTATTCTGTTTAGATATGCTGGCATTTCCAGTTGCAACTTTTTTGCAAAGCTTTTGACTCCCAGATAGCCAGTCCACTCTACAGCAGTGATTCCCACTCTATGGGGGCAACTTGAAAATTGCTGAGGATCTTGGCAGACCACTTAAAAGGCTTTTCCGCCTGTGGCAGCAACTGTAGTGCACAGTGCTAGGTGCTGTATGATTTCAATTGCTTCTTGTATTTCCTGCAGATCACATTTTATTGTGTTACAATTTGAATTCCATAGGGTTAAATCTGTAATACAATAAATTAAAAGAAGCAATGAAAACACAATTAAATATAAATAGGAATACTGAATGTGATGGATGTGCCGTCTCTTGTCTTCAACCACAAATCCGCAGACACTTAGCCAACCACCTTAATGAAGCTCACAGGCCATGGTTTGGGGGGGTGGAGTCCAGAGAGCACTGCTATTTGTTTCTGCCTGATAGAGGGCTGCCTTGGTAGACTCTGGAAATGCCAGTCACTCCAAAATGTGGCAGCACTTGGCCTGTCGTTTGCAGCTAGTTTTAGAAAAGCCGTAACATTTGTGCTGAAAGCCCTACACTGGGAGCCAGACAGTTTCGAGGTACAATCCACAGTGCTGTTTTTGACCTTTCAAGTTCTAAGAAGATTGGGTCCAGGGTATATTGCAGAATGCCACCAACTGCTCGTGTGCTTGTCTAATACTTGGCTGGTAAAAGAGGCAGAGCACTCTAAGTGGTGACTCCTTCATTATGAATATACTTCCTTAAGAGGTCAATGTTATCTCAGATCTCAGACTCTTTATGGCAGGGGTGAGGGCCTGGATCTGGCCAGTGGATCAAATTCTTAACTCTCCCAGCTGCCACAGGTCAACATTGGTTGACTGACAGCTGTCAATGTTCAACAAGGTCACTGTAACCACTACCGTATTTTTCGCCCCATAGGACGCACTTTTTCCCCTCCAAAAATGAAGGGGAAATGTGTGTGCGTCCTATGGGGCGAATGCAGGCTTTCGCTGAAGCCTGGAGAGCGAGAGGCATCGGTGCACACCGACCCCTCTCGCTCTCCAGGCTTCAGGAAGCTATCCGCAAGCCTTGCAAGCCCGGCGGGAGTTCCGCGGGCTCACAAGGCTTGCGGGCAGCAGCCTGCAGCCCCGGCGAGTGTCTGCAAGCCTTGCGCGCCCGGCAGGAGGTCCCGCCGAGCGCGCGAGGCTTGGGGCGGCAGCCTGTCGCCCGAAGCACGGGAAGCCCTCCGGAGGGTGCCCTGTGCTTTGAGCAGGTGTGCGCAAGGCTTGGGGTGGCAGCCGCGGTGGCAGGGGGGGGAATAAATTTTTTTTATTCATTTCCCCCCCAAAAAAACAAGGTGCGTCCAATGGGCCGGTGCGTCCTATAGGACGAAAAATACGGTAATTAGCTCATCAGTGATTGCAGCAGCCTCCTTTGAAGGCAGGCTGATGAGATAGCTGGCGGTTGCAGCAAAACATTTGGAGGAAGTGCTTCAGATGCAATTGGTTTCCTGCAAATGGAGAAAGTGAACCTCTTCAGCTGCACTAGGAACAGCCCTGCAGGATCACACCAGAGGCCCATCTAAATTATTTGTATTGTAGTGATCTGATGTTTTTAATTGTTATTAGCCACTCTGAGGCTTTTTAAAGGACACTACTGTAGAATGCCATTCACATAGTTAAGACTCACCAATGCTGTTGTCAGATGCTGGGCAAAGCCAATGGGAGCAATCCCATAGGTGCAAATGATCAGAAGGGTGATGATGATATGGACAAAGGTGATCCAGTAGGTGAAGTAGGGTCTATTCACGACATGGAAGAAAAGGTGGGAGAGGAGACAAGCACCACAGGCCATGGTTATTCCTAGAAGAGCTTTCATTAACAAAATACTCTTAGCAATGTACACCTCAAAGGACTTTGTCTGAGATATGCAAAGACACATCTAATCTGACATATAGAACTGAAGGAATGCACAGTAGCTAGGAACCAATGAGGTGATGCAGATATGTTCCTTGTCATTTTAAAAAAAAGAAAAAAGGAACCACTGTGGAACCAGGAGGCTTTTTGCAAGATGGTCAAATCCTTGCTCAGACTCCAGCAAGCAGATGATGGGTTATAGTGACGGCGGCAGCATGCTTTAAGTGAGCAAGTCATGCTCCCACCTGTGGCTGTCCGTGAGCTCCAGCTGGGAGCGCACCATGCTGCTGATGCTCCGCCGATACGTCCTGTTCAGCCACTTGCCCACCACTCCCAGCCCGTAGTATCGCTTCTTGCGGTCGAAGGCAAAGTGTTTCACCCGGGAAGCAATCCGCTTGCCCCGTTTTGGACCAGCCGCCGCCACCACTGGCAGACCCCGAGAAGGTCCTGCCCGCCTGAAAGAGAAGAAAGGGCTTATGTGATTTGAAGTACGGAAGCAGCACAGATGCCCAAACTGAACCATTCCCAGATACCAATGATTTAAAATGCTTCTGTCCCCACTGCCCACCATAAATATAGAGGGTTGGTTTCTTCTCCTGTATTTTAGGAGAGCACCCATTTGCTCATGCATCAAATGTGGTTTTGTTTTGCCTCCCCTACACTGCCCATTCCCATCCCCCAGATCTTTTTTTGGGTGGGGGGTTTGCTGTTTCTGATATGACAAAGCAGGATGGCAAGAGGATTCCACAATCAGGGGGGCCACCACCAAAGAGGCAGTTTCTTGGCTAGCCAACCATCGTACTGTAGGCATTGAGGATAAAGGTTTGCCTTCACTTCCATGCAATGCTGCTGGTGGCAATCTCTTAGATATGGCTACAGGCTGAAGAGACTTGCAGAAATGCATTGCTATGAAGATCTTGGTGCCGTTCTGAAGTGGAGCCCAAGACTTACTGAAATGGCTGCTCAGCCTCAGGTGACTTGCCATCCTCTGGCTGGGGAAGCCCTCGGAAGTAAGTGGCAGAGAGGGGTGGGGACTCAAACACATCATCTGGCATGGAGCACAACTCATCATGAGCGTCAACCTGCAAGAGAGAGAGACAGAAATGTTGGGTTATATCTAACACTGCTTCTATCAGAACAACAGACTTCTGCTTGCGCAATGGAACTTTCCCTCTCCCCTACTCCCCCCTGAAGCCCCCACTCCCCACACACCCTCAAAATCTGTTCCAGAGTGTTGGAGGAGCTTCCAGAGCAGATTTTGAGGGGAGATGGGGAAGTCTCACTGGATACAACCCTCTGCTTGTCATTGTCTAGTTGGCAAGAACAAGACTCAGTCTTGTTAAATGACTGACATAGTTGCCCAACTGTATGGAGCCACTGGAACAATGCTAGCTGCAGCACCATTGCAGGCAGTTACAGGAAACAACATGCTCACGTTCCAGACATTGGTCAATTAAGTCCATCTTAACAGACGATGGGAAGCTTTGTGGCTAACAACAAGACATGGATCAATTGTTTAAATGTTACATTATTTCTGTTGGCTGGTTCCAGTGAATGCACTGTGGCTGCTCCATGGGGAAAAAGCAGTACGTGAAAATGAAAGAAGAAAACAGCTTCGGCATCCCATTAGGCAAGAGGGGAGGGATGGGAGCAGGGATTCAGTAAAGATAAGATCCTCCTACAGCCAACAGAGGGGCTTCATTGAGAAATGGTCGCAGTTCTTTCCCCATGAGAGATTATGGTGGTGGTGGTAGTCCTGATACATCATCAAAGTTGGGGGGGGGGAGATCTTGGGAAGGGGTGGAGCAGGGAGGCCATGGAACCATGCTTGCCTTACTGAAGAACGAGGAGTCAAACGTATCCATGCCATCTACCACATCCTCATCCATGAAGCTGGGATACATAAAGCTCTGCTTGTTGCACCTCCGCTTCGGTGCTGAGGGCTCCAGAACCGAACGTCCCTTTTCAGAGAAATCAAATTGGAACAGTGAGTGAGCAAGTTCGAAACACTTTCTATTAATAGTTGAGAGGTCCTGGTGTTCGTTACTGGGGTGCTGCCCTTTCGAAGATGGAAGGAGCAAGGTGAAGAGTTCATGTCGAGACTCTTGAACCTACAAATATGGGTTAACTGAAAACGACACACAAGAGCAACACAAGCTACACCAGCATCCTGTTCAGCCAGACTGTTGGAATACAAGCCCATTGCACAAATATCAGGAGGGTAGCTTTGCACAGAAAAAAAACCAAGCACTAATATTGAATGGCTTCCAAATTGGTTGTTCTCAGTCCTAGCCTGCCTCACTTCCTCTAAGCCATGCAACAGCATCACCTGGTGGTTCTTCTGAATTATTATTTTCTTATGGATGGTTTGTAAACTGCTTTTTCAATGTTTGCGTATGGGGGGGGGGGAGGGGAAATGCGTCAAATAAGCAAATAAAATTAATTAATTAATAGCTCGGGTCAGCAGATCACAGGATTATGTCCCAATCCATAGATGTGTGTCTGTCAGGATTTCCAATGCTTCTAAAAGTTTGATTGGAAGCAAGAGTGTTTGAAAAGATCCACCAGTTTGACACTAAAAACAGCACAGAAGAGCAGCAGCAGCAGCAACCAACTTACTTTTGAAAGTTCAGAATCGAAAAGCATTAGCATCCCATGCCATCTGGAGAAGTCTATTTAAGTTCTGAATTTAAAAGTTGAAAAAAGGGCTTGGAGATGCCAAGCAATGCGGCCACCCCAAGGACTAACAGTGCAATCCTAATCATGTCTACTCAGAAGTAAGTCAAACTGAATTTAATTGGGCTTACTTCTAGGGAAGCAGGGTTAATTCCAGCCTTAGAGTCTAATGCTTCTCTGTGCACAAGCAGAATGGATTTATGCTTGCACTTCGGGCTTCCCCTCATGCTCTCAAAAATCTGCTCTGGAGGGTTGAAATTATAACAACTATTTAAAAAGAAAAAGGGAGCTCCATTGCCTGAGTGGAAGTGCAGTTGCGCAACACTAGATTCTGCCCAACGATCACTGGCTCTTGGGGTCTCACTGAAATTAGGATTTGGTATCAATTTAGCACGTTTTACCAGCTAAATGTACAGTATTATCAATGACCTTGTTTGTGAAGTAGGAGCTTGTGTTGATCCTACAAAACAAGTTTTTCTTTTCTGCTCACGGTGATTACACTGATACCATTCCACCCTTTAAAAAGCATGTGTTGGGGTGGGCCTATGACATACTTTCATATTGACATATATCATATTTTATTCCACACCACCCACAAAAAACCCCAACCCACTCAAAAAACTTTATCCCGCATGGAGCTTCACAGCCATGATATGAGAAGGAATAAGATTACTTGGAAAGAACCGGAGAATACTAGGATTTCTCTTTCTTTCATTTTTCACCCAATCTGAAACTTCTGAAGAAGGACAACACAAGTTCCCCGTGTTTTCAGAGATCTGGTTGTACTGTTGCTGAGAAGAGGGGTAAGGAAGCAGCACCCACACACACAAAAAGCATCTTCTACAGCAGTAAAGAAAGAGGAGCGGAACAAAACAAAACAACTCACTCTGATTATAGCTGCAGCTGCCTTGAAACTCATATGGGCCACCGATTCCCTCTTCCTGCGGGGAAGGCGGCCGTAGCCGGACCGTACACTGCCAAACGATGTCAAGGACATGACGCCAGGGGTCACTGGGGCCAGGGCAGGGTGTGGAGTGCGTGGGCGATCCATCTCATCCGGGTGCCGGAAGGGACGGCCTCGGGCCAGGGGATCAACAATCTGAAAGACCAAACAAGAGCCCAAATGGCTGCCATTATCCATTACCCTCCATGGAAATTAAAGCCACGTAGCAGCCTTCTGACTTGCCTCACCTCGGTCCAGTATTATCTGAAGGAGCATCTCCACCCCCATCGTTCTTCCCGGACACTGAGGTCCAGCGCCGAGGGCCTTCTGGCAGTTCCCTCACTGCGAGAAGCCAAGTTACAGGGAACCAGGCAGAGGGCCTTCTCGGCAGTGGCGCCCACCCTGTGGAACGCCCTCCCACCAGATGTCAAAGAGAACAACAACTACCAGACTTTTAGAAGACATCTGAAGGCAGCCCTGTTTAGGGAAGCTTTTAATGTTTGATGCATTACTGTATTTTAATATTTTGTTGGAAGCCACCCAGAGTGGCTGGGGAAGCCCAGCCAGATGGGTGGGGTATTATTATTATTAATAATAATAATAATAATAATAATAATAATAATCACCTATCTCCACAACTAATATACAACTAAACAAACAAAGGAAGGAAGGCTGCTGGAGAACTTAGCCTTGTATTTCTGTCTCCTCTGATGGGCAGTGGCATTGCAGCATCTCAGGCAGAGGTCTTTCAATATCACCTCTTACTTGGTCCTTTCAACTGGACATGCCATGCATGGAACCTGGGACCTCCAGGCACATGCTCTACCAGCCCTCCTCCAGCAAGCTCTATATCCAAATTGGGATCTAAATCCAGTCCCCCCCCACGAGCAAATCCAGGAGTAGCTGATCCACTCGTGCTCTGAAGTACAAGGCAACCACCTCCACCACCAAGGGGTGACCAACCTTGGGCATTTTCTGTGGCTTTGGAGACTCTGTGCCTTGGAAGGAAGGCACTTCCTGGCTGGGCAGCTCCATTTCTCGGTAGGCAGGTTTGAGCTTCCCATACCGCAGGCTGCAGTGCTGCAGGCTTTTGCGCTGCCAATGCTGCCGCTTTCCGTCACAGTCGCTGCTGACTCCAAACCACTGAGCTGCTCCCCTGGGTGTAGGAAACAGAAAAAGGACAACACACATGAAGAAGCCCAGCAAAGTAACCCAGGTTAACATTGCCTGGAAGATGCCAACAGCTTGCACCCAGTCTACCAAGATCTTTCCTCCAGAAACTCTCCACCCTTGCCTTCCAAAATGGCTGCCCCCTGGGAGGGTTTCCGCATGGCAGCGACTCTGGGGGAGAGATAGCTTCTTATTCCTCGGAAACCAAACCAGCTAACCTGTGGCTTGACACATAAATATCCACGTTGCCATGCCCCATGAACCTGCACTGCTTTTGTCCCCTTCCCCAATGACATGCTCCAGTGCAGGGTTTCCCAAACTTGGGTCTCCAGCTGTTTTTGGACTACATTTCCCATCATCCCTGACCACTGGTCCTGCTAGCTACGGATGATGGGAGTTGTAGTCCAAAAACATCAGGAAACCCAAGTTTAGGAAACATTGCCTGAGTGGCAATCCTCCCCACTTCTGCAAAAGCTTTCAGCATACACACACTGCCTCATTTAAAAAGTCTACTGTGAGAAGAGCATCAGTTGTATTATCAGCAACCTGTCTTTTTCTAGCAAGTGCACACCACAGGAACATACATACACTGCAGGGAGTCATAACTGATTCCCAACACATAGGCTTATATTTATGGCTTGTACATAAGATGGAAAGAGCGGGGAAATGACATTTGTCTGTCTCATTTTATGCAGTACAGTGGTACCTCGGGTTAAGTACTTAATTCGTTCCGGAGGTCTGTTCTTAACCTGAAACTGTTCTTAACCTGAAGCACCACTTTAGCTAATGGGGCCTGCTGCTGTCGCCGCGCCGCCGGAGCACGATTTCTGTTCTCATCCTGAAGCAAAGTTCTTAACCCGAGGTACTATTTCTGGGTTGGTGGAGACTGTAACCTCAAGCGAACGTAACCTGAAGCGTATGTAACCCAAGGTACCACTGTATAAGAAGGTATGGACAAAATACTTAAAATGCATCTGCTTCCACTTTCCTTGTGTGAAGCAGATCTCAAGTCTTCTGAACAAAGCAAGGCCCAAAAGCAACACCTTATTTTTAAGCATTCTTCTTGTCAAAATAATTATCACCATGAGCAAAATTTTGGAGTCCACAACATGGCCTGTTGTGAAAACTCATGATTATCTCAGTACAGACTCTGCCTTCAAGGTAAGGGACAAGAGAACCAAGAACGCCAAGCAGTAACGCTGCTCAATGCCTTCAAAGGTAAGGAAAAAACCACCTTTCATGGCCATCACCCCCACCCAACCCAAAATGGCGGCCTAAGCATCTCCTTACTTGCGAATACTGTGGGACAGTGAAGTTTGCCTGTGCAAGCCAGGATGTCTTTCAAAGTTGCTGTCCTGCCTTTTCATCCCGGACTCTTGGAGGCTCACACTCTTCTGATAAACTGGGTTTTTCTTCAGAGGCTAGAAGAAATGTTAAAGTCGAAGAAAGATTGTAAGGAAGATATGATTCAGACACAGAACACCCAACTGACGAATGGGCAATATCCTTAGGTCTGTCCTTGTTATGCAGCTCCCATAACTACAAATCACACTCCTCAACCAGGGAGGGAGAAAACCAGAAGAATCTTCTTGACTACAATTGTACCTTGGAAGCCAAACACTTTGGCACTCAAAACATTTTGGCTCCTGAGCGCCGCAAACCCGGAAGTGAGTGTTCTGGTTTGCGAACGTTCTTTTGGAACCCGAATGTCCGGCGCAGCTTCCGAACGTTTTGGAAGTTGAACAGCCTTCTGGAACGGATTCTGTTCAGCTTCCAAAGTACCACTGTACTTGGATAGGGAGCCTGGATAGGTGGCCAGGATAGTGCTAGATGCATACAGGTATGTAGGTATGGAGGCAGGGCGTTATGTGAAATCACACATCTATGTGGAGCATCATGCATGTTTGATTACAAAGCTTCACTTTTTATGCAGTTTACAACTGGGGGGGGGCTGTGGAGGAGAGAGAAAGAAATGGACTTAAGGTATGGCTGAAGGTTCTACACTATTAGTAACATTCAGGAAGTGTCTTGATTGAATATTTGGAGTAAAAAAGAAATTTGCTGGAACTTAGGGCAAAGCAGGGTTCATGAAGGATGCCTGCTTCTCACTGATTCAGGAAGGGACTCTTATTTTCCCCTACCTCAAAGGTGCTGTGAGTGTAAGCGAGACTATCTGGGGCTCAAACACAGCATGGTGTGAAGGTGCATTTTTAAGAAAACTCAACTGGAAAGTAATCTCTGACAGTTATTTGTTTTGGGGAAGGATGTTCCTCCCCAAGTCATAATGTGTATCCATAAAATGCAAGAGCTATACCTGAACCCCATGGGTCCAGTTTAGTCCCAGTCCCCAAAAGAGAGGGGTCTTTCCACATGCCTGAGGTGGCACACAATCTTTGGTGAGCTTCCAGAAAAGGCTGTCTAGATTTCTACATAGAAGCCACAAAGGATGCTTCTCTAAGTGCCAATGCACTGGTTAAATATCCATGGTCACATTGCAGATTGTGACAGCACATGGGCAAAAGCAATTTGGCAGGTGTGGCGGAATCAGATTTAACTTCAAGATCCTGACAGCAACTAACAGACACCTCTCCATCTCAAGTAACCATAGACATGAAACAGGCCCGTAAGCATTTAGGGAAAACTGTAGTCAGTCATACCACTGTTTGGCTGTTCACATCCTCGGCTGCTTCCACAGGTGGAATTGTGATGGACAGGTTTGGGGGCTTCTTGCTCTGTAGGCGACTGCTGCTGGTACTGGAGCGCCTGGTCCCATTCTTGTCACTGTCCGCCATGTTGAATTGGATTATTTAGTCAGCCTGATAGGAGGGGAAAGAAACAGGAGTCAGGGTCCTACAGAGCTCCTGGGCTGAAGCCCAAAAGAAGAAGCACAAGAAGCTGCCTTATACAGAGTCCGACCTTTCTCAATATTGTCTGCAGTAACTAGCAGTGGCTCTCCAGTGCTTCAGGCAGGATCCTTCCCGGCTCTCACTGGAGATGCCAGGGATTAAACCTGTGAGGACCTTCTGCAAGCAAAGTGGAAAAACTGCTTCCTCTAAAGTAATTTTTTCTTTTAAAGGCGGATTAAATATTGAGGCTATCAGGGGGACCACTCTGTCTTATGTCTACTTTCACGGTTTATCAGAACCTCTAAAGAGCTGCATACTATTGTTGCTTAAGAAGGGACAGAAAACTTGGAACGCATCCAGGACCAATGCAGGAACACATGAGTCAGTGGGAGAACTCCAGCTCAGCTGCATATCAATATTTATTATCAATTCATTGGTACCATGCCTTCATAAACCCCCAGTAATACAACAACAAAGAGGCAACAAATAGGGATAGTGTCCATGTTGGATACAGTGCCACAGCTGGTAGGTAAAGGTAAAGGGACCCCTGACCATTAGGTCCAATTGTGACCGATTCTGGGGTTGCGGCGCTCATCTCGCTGTATTGGCCGAGGGAGCCAGCGTACAGCTTCCGGGTCATGTGGTCAGCATGACTAAGCCACTTCTGGCGAACCGGAGCAGCACATGGAAACGCCGTTTACCTTCCCACCAGAGTGGTACCTACTTATCTACTTGCACTTTGACGTGCTTTCGAACTGCTAGGTTGGCAGGAGCAGGGACCGAGCAACGGGAGCTCACCCCGTCGCGGGGATTTGAACTGCCGACCTTCTGATTGGCAAGTCCTAGGCTCTGTGGTTTAAGCCACAGCACCAGGCTGAATTCCATTTTCAGGAAAACTGTTTCTATCATGATGGGAACAAGTAGGCCATGTCCTCTCTTACTGGCTTTGTAGTGCCACCCCCTTGACACACACATACACTCTCTCTTATGACTAGCAAAATTAGACCCATGCACAATAAATGTTGCAGGATAACTTATGTGAAACAAGAAAAGGCATGTGAAGTTCATCAGTCAGTGGCATGCATTTGCAGAAGAGGCTTTGCAGATTTGTTTCTCTTATAAAATTTAATTGCCTGGATGTAGAATTTTCCCAGGTTTTTTTTGGGAGGGTGATGTTAGCATGGAGGATACACGTGGCCCTAGCCACAATAATACACAAGACGTAGCCATAATGTTTGGTGTTAGTATGCGCCGTGTTTCTTTTTTATTAGTGCTTTTGGGCTTGAAAGCCACGCCTCCAGGTTCCCCTCTGCCCCTGTAGGGATTAGAACTTCATTTGTACAGAGTACATTGGAATTCCCCCCAGCTTCCAAGCCAGATGGAACTGCATTGCATCACCACATGAAACCCCATGGGCAAAAACAATCAACATTCTTCCTGTCGCCAAGCCCAGGGTAGGCACCATTTGCTTGAATACCTTAAGAACTGGTGCTTTTTCCCAATCAGCCTAAGTGTGCTTACACAAGGGAGCCCCTAGCGCCTTCTTTAATAATCCTGGCTTTATTCGGGATGGCCAATGATCTCATCCTCTGCAGGTGCAAGGCAGAACATACAGCCAATGCTGGGAGTCACATTAATAAGGGGCTTCCCACACAACGGGATGGGAAGACTCTGGATGGGATTAATGCTGCAGAGTGGGTCAAGCCAGGGTTAACGATCCAGCTCAGTGGTCTCACCCACTCTGTGATTGAAGCTATGTAGGTTAGGCTGTCTAAGCCCAGAGATCGGTCAACACTAGCATGAGAAGGGTTAACGCCTCCAGACAGGTAGCAAAAGGAGGCAACACACAAAAGTGACAACATCTTATTGGTACAGAGTAGATGGTGATCCAGCTATTGTAGGTTTCGGGTCAGTGATCTCTCTCTAAAGCTCCATTCCATTCAAACATCCTAACCAAATCAACTATTGTTTGGAGTTAACCAGAATTTAAAAACACACACCATGCCATGGTTTGAGCTACCAAATATACAAGCAAGCAAACCATGCTTTAGAGATGTTTGGTTTGCTTTATATTTGCTATGACCACCATCCCTCAACCAGCAAATGCCCTGCTATTTCAGAAGCATTCTAAAAAAACCAATTTCTCACTGGTCAGTGTGCTGTTCCTTTCTCCAGGATTAACCTCCCCAAAATTCACAGATGCCTCCAGCTGTCTGCATTTGTGCCTTCAATATTTCACCTTTATGAAACTCCCATGCATCTTGGATGTTCAATTCCTGACACTAGGGGTAAGGTTTTTCAGATATGCCATATGGACACAGCAAGCAGGAGGCAAGGCAGAGGAGATCTCTTGAGTTGAAAGCTTAAGCAATAGGAAAACATACTCTAAAAGTCCCTTTCACACTCCACAGTCGAAAGTACCGTATTTTTTGCTCTATAAGACTCACTTTTTCCCTCCTAAAAAGTAAGGGGGTGGGTGTGTGCGTCTTATGGAGCGAATGCAGGCTGCGCAGCTATCCCAGAAGCCAGAACAGCAAGAGGGATTGCTGCTTTCACTGCGCAGCGATCCCTCTTGCTGTTTTGGCTTCTGAGATTCAGAATATTTTTTTTCTTGTTTTCCTCCTCCAAAAACTAGGTGCGTCTTGTGGTCTGGTGCGTCTTATAAAGCGAAAAATACGGTATATTATATTTCCTCCAGACATGGAAAGTTCATCTCAAATGCATTGATAATGAAATAAATAGCCACAAGGTGGCGGCAGCACACTTTCAAAGCTTTCTCAGCTAGCCTACAAACAAACCGCAGTCTTTACTGTGTGGGTATAGAAGGAAAAAAATGGTAAACAGTGAAGCTAAAAGGCCACAGAATACAAGACATACAGTCTGTGACATTTCTACTCAAAGTTCAAAAGCACACTGACCATTCACAACAGCCATAATGGTCACTGCACTTCTCTTGTATACAGCTAAACGTTACATGGAAATGTCACAGGCATTTCATGACCTTTTGGCCCAACTCTGTACCCTTTTCTCCTCCACGTTCATACTCATGGGAAGCCATCTCTCTCTGCCAACCCAGGATATAGCCAACTTCACACATCTCACAAGGTGAGCCCACAAAACCTCATGACACCAATAAATCTGCTAAGTGTTTTTTAAGATGCCGTACAACTCTCCTGACAGTTTTTTGTTTCTTGCTGCAAGAGGCTATTTATTCCATTGTTACTTATTAAATTTCTATACCACCCTTCAACCAAAGTTTGCAGGCTGGTTTGCAATATAAAAAGCATAAGCCTACCCCATATTTCATGCTCCCTCTTCCACTACATCCCATCCTCAAATTAATTCCGCTTCAGGCTAAAACAACTCTGAAAGTCCAGTCTACATCCAGTAGCAATGTCACACAGGAACCAGTGTTAGATAGTGAGATAGGGAAGCTAGGAGCTAAATGGCACCTTTAAAACAGGCTATGGTCGCAACAATGGAAAGTCTATAACAAGAATACAAAGGTGGAAATGAACTGCAGCTAAAATGTTATGCTCATTTTTCACATGGTCCTTCCCTTGTTCATCCCCCCCCCCAATATTCTTAAGAGAGTCTCTTCTCCAGTCTTCAGAGTAGCTGGAAGTGGGGAGGCAGAAAAAAGTCCTCCTTTCCTTCCTCTCTGCAGTTTTAATCTTGAAATCTTAGGCGAACTACTGCGCCCAGAGCTCAGAAACTGCTCATGCTAATGAAATTCCCTGTCGCAAAATATGCCTAGAACAATGAGAGTTTTGAACACGGACAGGAACGGCCTTCCCTCCAGAAACTGCACCAGAGACTTCTTGTCCCTTGAACCAGCTCTTTAGCAGCAGTGGAGGAACCACCGGCCAAATAGCCAAATGTGGTTGCTCCAGCCAACCCTTGGGACTCTCTCTAGACCACACTCCTTATCCCAGGCCACACTCCTCACCATCCCTTGCCCATGTCTCCCTTAAGTGCGTTTACCAGGCTGGAAGGTATCTGAGCTGTAATGATGTTTCTAGCTCACTTGGATGGAGGTATGTGTGTACAAACCTATGGCACTTGTACAGCTGGAATGTAACCACCTGCACAAAAGGGAAGAGTCACATCCATTGCTCCAGCCATGGAGGAATGTTGCCCTCAGGGTGGAAAGGATTCCCAGCTGTTGATTCACAGTATGCAGGAGGCAGGTGGTTACTCAGGCTTTAAAACTATTCTTTTACCCGGGCGCTGCTGTTTTCAGTTAATTCTAACATAATTGTTATTTAACAAATTTCTGAATATTTTACTTTACGCTGCCCTAACAACTTATTCGAAGGGTGGGGTATAAATACAGACAGAAAGAAAATAAAAGAAAGACTGTGGCTATCTTGCAATAAGATTCCCCTTATGTTCCGAAGCTTGGAAAGAGCAGCAGCTTCTGTAGCAAAGTATCCCACCGGGAGCGCATTACAGATACCCCCATATATTTCAAGGGAGATGATGAGACGATAAATGTTTAAGGAGGTCCCTCTCAGCAAGAAGAGCACCGTAATCAATAACCCAGGACCAGAAGCATCCAGGGGGATTGAGCATCCTATCCGGCAATTCTCAAAAGTGCTTGAGTGGGCAAGCAAAGAGAGCTCATGTCAATGGTGCACCGAGGGAACTGGCGCCTCAAGCTGCTTATGTCATCCATAATATGCTTTATAGCCAGAGCCATCTCCGAACTTCAAGGGGAAAGGAAATGTTTATAGTCCATTCAACCCACATAACGGGAAAGCAGAATCAGCAAACAACAGAGGTCTTTGGGGCTGATGGAAGAGGCACAACTGCCATACAAACAGCCATGCAGACAGTCTTTCCAGGAGTTTTGTGTCAACAACCCCGCGTACAGTCATGCTTTACCTTCCACCTTCATCATCTCCCCGAACAGAAATGCAGTACAGACAAAACTCCAACAATGCTCAAGTTGGCTCTAAGGGCCACTTCTGCATGCAGCGCTTATTCTGAGGATTGGAAGTGCTCCTGCAGCATTTCAAATGCACCGTACTCCAGCTCCTACTAGTTATCTACATTCACCTGGTTGATGCCGCTGAACAAGTGCAGAGAACCAGGTGCAAGTCTACGTGGCTGGCAGAGGAGGAGTGTTGTTTTCCCAGGGTTTTCCCTGTCTTTTGAGTGTTAACAGCTGGTTGTTGGAAGCATCCCTTTCCATATAGGAGCCCCTCAGGTGGCACAATGGGTCAGTGCATCTGGCTGTTAACCAAAAGGTTGGTGGTTCGAGCCCACCCAAAGAGGGCTGTGGGCAGGATTCCTGCATTGCAGGGGGTCGGACTAGAGGACCCTCAGGGTACCTTCCAACTCTACACTTCTATATGATTCTATAACCATACATGCTCTTGTACACATCTGTTCATGTCATATGAAACGCATGATGTTAGATAGGTCATCAATCTTAGAGACTTTGGTATTAAAGCAAAAAAAGCTAAACCAAGAATTTCTATGCATCACTTTCATGAGTTAACTCTTAATTTCCTTCATGGCACATGAGGCTTTAGGTCTGGCTGAGCAAAGCGGCATAGTTTACTCTTTCATTCTCTCAGAAAGTGTATGACACCAAAAGACAGAGAGTAAGAAATAAAGAGAGACTGGCTGAGATTGAGCAAGAACAACTCCAAACCCAGCTCTCAGCATTGCCTTAGAGATTTTCCATGATGCAACTGAGTCATCAGGAGAGGATCAACTTCCCTTTCCACTTCAATCCAACCTCCTACCTAGCACTACTAGCAAATTAGCAAGAGTCCTCACTTCCAAAGGCACAATCCCCTGACTCATAAGCTACTGGGAAAAGGCAGTCGAGATCCTAGATGGACCCAAACTTTCTTATTAAAACAATAACAATGCACCACCAAACAGCAACAATATTTGTATAACCAAGGCATATGTGTGTAACAAAGGAAGTATCATTAGCAATAGTGGCAGGTGCTATTTAGCTATAATGGTGGTCGCTTACATACTTTTTCAACCGATGACTGCAACTATGTGGAGAGCCTGTTATCTATTGTATCCACACAGTCAGCAATGTACCATATCTAGGCAAGCAACCAATCAGGAATGTGTGAGGAGGTATTTTATGAGATAGAATTTGTCTCAGGGTACAGTGAGATGCCTGCAGAAGAGATAGACAAACTGATTCTGAAGTTGTCCTTTGATGAGACCACCGCATGGCCTATGCAGTCCACTGTGGTCACAGAAACAGGAGAGCAGGAAATGTCTACAGCTGCATGCACAGGGACATAAAGAAACAGAACTTAATGCCCCAACAATATTTCCCAGGGCTTGAGAGTACCAATACCTGTTGGAATTAGAAGTCCTTCATCCTACTCACCCTCCAAATGAAACCCATAGGGATCTCAGGACATGTCATGCATTTATCTCTGCATCTAATCTTCATATGTGCAAATGTGCACCCTATTTTTCTTTATGACACAATGTTTTTAGGAACATAAAGCCACCGGCATAGTGTAGGACCGGGGTGTGTGTGTGTCACAGGGTGAGCACAAAATTGTTAGGGGTGAAAAATTTCAAACACCTAGTACTGCCTCAATACAGCTGCGCACTCCCGTCACTGGACTCCACTGAAAACGGCATCTCCAGGGGCCACTAGGGGGCGCATTGGAAGATGGCCGACAATACCATCTCTCCGATCCACACGGGGTAATTAAGAGGCTGTTATGGGAGTAGGCAGCCTCCCTTGTTGCCCCAAGGAAATGGGGAACACTGCCCTTGCCTGCTGTGCCCATAAATCACCCCCTAATTCGAAAGGGGGTGAGGGCCCTAGGCAGAATGCCCCCGTGTGGACATCGGCCCTCCTGGACGCTGTCTCTGATCGCGCACTAGTTGCAGCAATTTGGAATAATTAATTACAAAAGAAGCAAATGCACATATTTCAAGTGAAGAAGTGGAGTGAAGTCTGCTAATTTAAGTGACCTCTGCGAAAGAAGACGACGGGCTGGAGAAACAGGAATATTTTACGATGAAGATACACTAAAGGCGGGGTATGTTGACAATGGGGCTGAATGAGGGGGGGGGGGAAACCTTTTTTACTTTCCTTCTATGTGATTTACAAGAACCCCTCCTCATTAGAACCGTCGGTTGAACTGACCCAAGCAGGATGATTAAGGTCTGTGTGGAGATAAACTTTAACCAAAAGTATGCTTTATGGAGACTGAGAAGCAATAAGAGCTTTTGGGAATGGCGCAGCAATTAATTCGGAGTCGCCATCTTGCCAAAGGATTTACAGCCGGGAGGAAGAACGGATTTGTTTTCAGACTGCATTCCTAGTGAATCTCCTCAGAGGTTTTGAGAAAGGAGGCAGATTGGTGAAGATTAATGATGCTAAGACTGTTTTGATGTATGGAAGTGATGTTATATGGAAAACGTCTGGATATGGCTACTGGATAAAAAAAATAATATCCACGCAGGATTACAAACTGTTCTAACCAGCTTGCGGAGACTATCAGAGGTCACAAAGAGAAAGGAAAAATATATGAAAATAACAACAAGAGATGTGGAAAAATAATAAGAAAGGACTGGATAGTACTGTGAACATCATAAGGTTAGATTTGTGGACATTAAAACAGCAGTAAGAAGCAAGAAGTTGATTGGATCCCTTCGGAACTTGAAATATGGGTACCCCCAACAAAAATTTAAAATTCGGCTCTGTAATTTGGAATTTATGTAATTTGGTTTGATTTGATGTGATTGGTCGGTTAATAAAAAATTATTCTTAAAAAAAAAAGAAAACGGCATCTCCATGCGAACCAGGAAGTGGCCTCTCCAGACAACAGAATGACTCTTCTTTTCTCATCCCTGTATCTGCAATCTCCTGAGTGACGCGGATGCTGTTAGGCAGTTGAATGCGCATGCGTACTCTGTCCATCTGTCCTCCACCTCCACGTGGCCCCTGGGCACTGACAACCCACACTATGCCACTTCAGAAAGCATTAGAGTGAAAAAACTATGAGCAGGAACTCATGTGCAATTGTTATGGAAAGAGACTGTCATGCTCAGAAACTAGAGGGTCTTTTAGAATGTGACATCACCCCCCTCTTGGGTTACTGAGGCCATCCTGCCATCTGTAATACTCTATTTAACATGGTTGCCCGACACCGATCTGCACCTAATGCTAAGGCATATTTTATTAACCAGTGGTTTACTATGTGTGAACTCCATCCTGTGACTTATCCAGACTTTGCTTACTGCCAACAAAATACAGTCTGAAACTATGGTTTCTTATAAACCTTGGTTTGTTTTATCTATGGCTAGCATTACATGTGAATCCAGGACCCTTCCTTAATCATGGTTTCTTTGGTCACTAACTTGCCCACGTGAGCCTAAAGGTCACCGAGCCTAAAGGACATATTGCAAGAATAGATGGAAAACACCAGCCAAACTTTGGAGAAACAAGTCATGGTTTGTTTGAAAGTGTGTGGGACAGCTTGTGGTTAACTTTAACGAATCATGGCTTAGCATTCTGAGCGCTCTGCCACATAGGAAGTGGTTGGCCCTGAAAGTTTCAGTCACTAATACGTAAGCCTGGCCTGTGGCCTGTAAACAAAGACCACATAAAGGAATAGTTTACCAGGCAAAAGTGTTTTTTATAACCCACTGTTGATTATGCCACTGAATATTATTTAGTCACTGCAAGGACAAATCAGGAAGGAATGTTTTTTCAGGTTACATTTGAATTTAAATTCAACTTAAATTACATTATGCACTCCCAAACAACTTTTTTATTAAAAATATTCCATTTCCCAAACTTCTTTCTGCCAAGACTTGGCAGCCAATGGAAAATTCATAAGCTTTGCACATCAAGCAAAGCCATTTGGCTTGGCTCTATAATCTGAAAACTTAGATCATTACTGCACTTTGGTAGCAGAAATCCTTCAAAGCTGCCTGATCATGTAACACACACACACACAAGAGAAACACTGGTGCTCTTTATTCAGTTTGCTTACATGTTTATAGCTAACACCTTGGAATGAATCCATCAGGCAAAAGAGAGGCTTAAGCTGGATGGAAAGTTTCCCCTTCAAAGTCTCTGTGGGGAGTTCGGGGAGAGATTTATTTTCCCTCAGGAAGGGAGACAGCACACCAGCCAGACGTGTCAGTCGCAATAGTCAACACCTTGGAGCAGCAGAGGGGGAAGGAGGAGGAGAGGAGGCACTGAAAGCAGAACAAGTAAGAGATCGTGCAATGGTTTATCAGAACAAGGTCAGCAACAGCGGAACAGATGTCCGAGATGCCTTTTGCCATGTTACCAACATTGCTGACATATCTCAGCTGGTTTCCATAACAATGCAAGGTCCTGCCCGGCTCGTTGTGCCAAACCAAGACGGCTTTCACAATGCCAGCTTATAGAGATGCCACAGATGAGTGGCTGGGCTGGCGGGAGAGAAGCAGACATGACTCACTGGCAAGCCTAAGGACAATGAGTGCCTGAGATTTTTATTTTCTTTACCTACAGGAGGAACGAAAGCTTCAAAAGAAGAAGAGGAGGACATTGAAAGTGGAAAACGAGAAGAACGCAGCCAGTGACCAGCCATTTCATGACACAACATGCACATGCAGTCAGGTAAAATGGGAGGGAGACTGCAAGCCTTGAAAATCCAGAAAGCACAAAGTTACCCGTAAGGTTTGGTAGTAGCAAGTGGAAAGGAGAGGTGGAGACACTTGGAGGCGGCACAGAGGTGGCTCTCCAAATTCTTAACTATACTTGGGATACAACCTCCCCTTCCCTCCTCCTTTCACATTAAATGAATCTCCTGTATCCTTCACCAAGCAATAGCTCGTGAAGAGGCAACTGACAACAGTGATGCCTTTTGGTGGAACAGTTGTCGGGATGGGGGATAATATAATAATATAAATTTATTATTTATAACCTGCCCATCTGGCTGGGTTTCCCCAGCCACTCTGGGCGGCTCCCAACAGAAAATTAAAAGCATGATAAAACATCAAATATTAAAAACTTCCCTAAACAGGGTTGCCTTCAGATATCTTCTAAAATTCAAGTAGTTGTTTATTTCCTTGACATCTGATGAGAAGGGTTCCACAGGGCGGGTGCCACTACTGAGAAGGCCCTTGTTCCTTGTAACTTTGCTTCTTGCAGTGAGGGAACCGCCAGAAGGCCCTTGGAGCTGGACCTCAGTGTCTGGTGTCCGATGGGGGTGGAGACGCTCCTTCAGGTAATGCTGGACTACAACTCCCATCATCCCACACCACTGGCCATGATGGGATTTTGAGACCAACAACATCTGGAAGGCTTTATGTGTAACCCAACTGTAAGGGGTGGCTCCTCAAACCAAAGACACTGCAGAGGGATATGTGTGTGTAAAAATCCCCGACAGTTGCCTCAGAACTGTCAGAGACAGTGTCAGAAAATGAGTGGGCTGAGAGTTTCTAGTTTGGAACTAACTGAAGCTGAGCCTTGGGGTGGGGTCAGATTAAGTGGCTATCTGAGGATCTGCTGCCAGTCATAGGAGTGACTGTATGCTTCTACAGTGCTTTACTTGTACATTTGCAACTAAAAAAGAGAGATCATCCAAAGAGAAAACTAAACCCTTTAGCGCTGTCCCCGGAACTTCTCGTTGCAGGGAGCAGGGAGCATATTATTAAAGAGTTCAGTTGCTATCTAAGAAAAACCGAGTTAAACATATACTTTGTCTCTAAGGTTTTTTGGTTCAAGGCCCCCAACCATCTCTGTGTATTTGAGAGAACCCAAAAGCCCCAGCTGACACTCTTTGAGGGTATATAGCAGCGGTCAGCAACCTTTTTCAGCCATGGGCCGGTCCACCGTCCCTCAGACCATGTGGTGGGCCGGACTATATTTTTTGGGGGGGAAATGAACAAATTCCCATGCCCCACAAATAACCCAGAGATGCATTTTAAATAAAAGAACACATTCTACTCATGTAAAAATACGCTGATTCCCGGACCGTCCGTGGGCCGGACTGAGAAGGCGATTGGGCCGCATCCAGCCCACGGGCCCTAGGTTGCCTACCCCGGTATACAGCAAAGGCCCAGTTCTCCCCCCACCTCACCCTTTCTCTCTATAATGCAACAGGGACATGGCTAAAACCATTCTTCCTGACATCTAGTTTTGTTCCGTTTTTGTCTGGAGAGGAGGCTTTTTAAGATGGTGGAATATACTACTGCATGAGCCCCTTTCCATAGCCTGAAGTGGTACAGCCCAGATGAAGGTTTGTCACAGTTTTATCACTGGCATCAACTTCCCAGTTTTTGTTCTAATTACCAGCTTTATTCCTCCCTGTCCAACAGCATTCAGGGTTACAGCGACATGCCACAGCTAGCAGCCACTTCCCACCCTTCTCAAATATATTCTGTCAAGCAGGTGCCAAGCCAAGAATTGAATCAGCTCCAAAAACAATAACAGGACAAGGGCCAATCCTAGGAATGGGAAGCAGGCGAATTCTAAAGAAAAATCCTACCTACCCTCCTAGCCTCGCCCCAAGGAATACATGGGGAATCCCTGCCTACTGGAGAAGTTTCATTCAACAAGTCCCAACACAGCTCTCTCCGAAGCCTACCCAGGCAGCACCTGTTTGCACTGTTTGGTAGCCAGAAGGCTTAAGGGCAATTACAGGGTGACATTCCTTACTCATGCTGGCCCAAGGACAAGGTTGTTTCAGAGCATCATATTACTAGAAGCAGCGAGGGGAGAGTATATTATTTTGAGCTGGAAACACATAATAAGAGGGAACAAAACCAAGACACAAACCAACAATTCTAGGAAACAGGCAGGGTGTCACCCCGATTCCCAGTGAAAGCTGCCGTTGAACAGAGCCCACTTAAATTATGGAGCTAAATTAGCTGGTAGATTTACATTACACGGACGCGGGTGGCGCTGTGGGTTAAACCACAGAGCCAAGGACGTGCCGATCAGAAGGTCGGCAGTTCGAATCCCCACGACGGGGTGAGCTCCCGTTGCTCGGTCCCTGCTCCTGCCAACCTAGCAGTTCGAAAGCACATCAAAGTGCAAGTAGATAAATAGGTACGGCTCCGGCAGGAAGGTAAACGGCGTTTCCATGTGCTGCTCTGGTTCGCCAGAAGCGGCTTAGTCATGCTGGCCACATGACCCGGAAGCTGTACGCTGGCTCCCTTGGCCAATAAAGCGAGATGAACGCCGCAACCCCAGAGTCGGCCATGACTGGACCAAATGGTCAGGTGTCCCTTTACCTTTTACATTACACCTGTGTGCATGTGCACATAACATGTATGCATGTGCAATAAAAATATTACACATATGTATTCAGTGAAGCTAAAGGGCCATACAGTGCAAGAGACTTAGTCTCAAACATGTCTGGGCAAAACTCAAAGTGTGTATACAAGTACGACGAGCCCCACCCTCACAAATGCAGTAACAGGCAATGAAATAAATTAGCAGAACAGAGATAGGATGATTATCACGAGTTATTGCCATTGTGAATAATCTCTGTGCTTTTATACATTTGGGCTTTATGCAGATGTGGCACAATGTTATTGAAGGATTCAAAAGAAGAAGCCCAGGACCTTGACATTTGATACTATTGTTTTTAAATAAATAAAAACTGAACAAGGCAAACGCTCCAGAATTAAAACAAAGACTGTGCTGCTGCAAACCTGACGGTGATCACAAAATTTCACTGTGTAATTAAATGAAAGTTTTTGTTTTCAATATCCTTCTCCATTTTTTGGTACAGTACTCCAACTGCACTTTCCAATGGAGTACTGTACCAGGGCAGAACAGGGGTGGGTGTGAGTGTGAGGGGGCGTGGGGTAGGAACACTCTCTTGATTTCCAGCATAAAGAAAAAATAGAGATAGGAATTAGTGACTTCCTTGTCTTGAAAAAAGGGACAGCACAAACTAGGGGAGACAGCATTTCATTCTCTGCTATCAAAAAGACAAAATATGTACCATATTAAAAATACACACAGCAGGTGGCATTTCAAAAGAGATTTAGCAAAGCTCCTTTAAACAGGAAGAGGTGACCAAGTAAAAATAATAAATATCATATATTCCTCATTTGGTTAGTACTAGAAAGCCTTGCCCTTCAAAACTCCCAAGAGAAATGCCAGACACTGAAGTAACTTTTGGGCTGGGTGCTTCACAACTGCCTCACAACAGAACTCTAAGCAGCCTTGCCCCAACAAGATACTGTGCTTAATTCCATAAAGCAGCCCAAGACATCAAGGCTAAAGCACAGGTTGCCACTATCCAATACTGGGCCCTCTGCCCAGGAGAGACGTGTGGCTCAGGCGCACTGCAGGCCCCATGGTGAGTGCCACCCAGCATTTTGTCACACACACCCCAGTGGTGACACCCGGGGCGGCCCGCACCTACTGCACCCCCTTCCTCTGCCACTGCCTCTGCCCAGACCACTTAACTTGGATCTCCTTCATCTTCTTACCTCAATACCTTCCTCCAAACTCTGCTTTTCAAGAATATGCTCCTTGATCAGATACAGTTTCTACAGTGAAGATCTCACGAAATGGCTCAGATGTCAAAGTGTGATAGGGAAGCATAAGGGTTAAAAGGCATGAAAATAAGGCCAGAAAAACAACAACCCTGGTTTTGCATGACTGGGGACTTTCCTTGAGAGATTGATTGATTTATTTTGATGGAGTACACCTGGTAAGTTTCGGTGCACTTTAAGAAAGGCAGTTTCTAAAATCCTCTGGGGGAAAGGACACTGGGTGACTGCCAACTTTAGTTGTACTCTGAGTCCCAGCGCTGAAATTAATGGACATGACTTAGGTCCATTAGTTTTAATGCATTTGCAACCAAAACGAGCAGCTAGCATCAATAACTTGGGGAAAAGCTTTAAGACGCTTTTGACAACTTATTTGGAACATATTTGAATACTTCTTTTATTTCCAAGCCCAATAGCAAAGTGGCTATTGTCTAGGCCCAATCACCAGGAGGTCTAAGTTTGCATATGAAACCAACACCTGAGAGTCACACACACCAAGTTCTGTAACAGTTGTTTGCAGCCAAGTGGAACATGCACGATCTAATCTGCTTTTTCTTACGCACATAAAAATGAAGTTCAAAACTGGCGGCCACCTGTGGGACACATCACTGAGAGCTGTGCCACAGAATAAAAGTAATAATAACACGGCTCTTAGAAATTTGTCAGCAACAGAATATTAAGGCCTCAACCTAGAAGTCTCTCTAATGAGCTAGGAAAGTGTGTGGAAGTGAGTACACTATGAACCAGAAGAGAGAGGTGAGGGAGGCTAGACTAGCAGCGATGAAGGTGAGTTTTATAGATAAGTTTTCAGCTAACCAATTTACACCAGGTATCTAATAAGACAGACACCATAGAAACAATAAAAATATATCAAATCAAATCAGTCATTGTTTTAGAACCAGCTGCACAGAGTTGAATGTAGGGTCCCAAAATAAATTGTATGATCCCAGCAGACTCCAATTGGAGAGACTAGGATCCCAATGCCACAATAAAACAAGATAAAGAAGTTCAGCTTACTATTGCTGTCAAAACCTGATGTTTTGATGGAGACCAGTGCCACTTGCCAACAGAGGCAATAAATTTTAATCCTAGCTTGCTACTCCTGGTGCCCAGATATAATAATATTAGTAATAATAAAACTCTGCCTGTCTTGTCAGTTTTAAATGGATGGCCATGCCTGCTCATTGCTGGTACTGAGGTCCAAATGGTGGAGTTCCCATTTGGCACCAGGAGACTGAAGACTTGTTTGAACACATTGAGGCAGATTGTATTGTCCCCCTTCAGCAACAGACATTCTTTCTTTGACAACTGGCAGGCTGCAAAACCATCTCCACAAAGAGGAAGAGCCAAGTTTATTTTTTTTAACTCAGTGTATGTTTTGCATACAACCAACCCTTGCCTCAGTTTGCCTGCATGAATGTATGACAAATGCTGGAAAAGAGTTCACACTTTTTTAAGCTGACCAAATGAGAATGCCTCATTGTGGCTTCTCAGTATATGTTCTTTCTAGCTTCTAAAACTAAAAAGAAAAAACCACTGAACTTAAAAACCCAAATGAAAAAGTAGGCAAGGTAATAAAGATATCCTTCAGAAAATAAGGTTTTTGGTGAGGACTTTGAGGAAAGAACTGGGTTTTAAACATTCAGGGTTTAAACTGGAATATTTGGAACAAATATTTCACTTAAATCACATTAACCATGGGAGGTTGGGAAACTTTGACTGAAGAAGGTAGGATTCCTTCCAGGACTGCCATCCCAAGTGTTGAAAATGAGGCAGAATTGTCACATGTTATTGAAAAGCTGTTAGCATTTTGCTACCTGAAGTGGAGCAGCAAAAGTGTCCCTTCCCTGAAAGCCAAGGTGTGCATTATCTGAAACCAAGCCAAGTTATTTTGGTACCCCAGACAGAAAATCCCACAAGTGTTTCTCCCCCGCCCTGACATTAAAAATACAACACCACCACAACAGACTAGCCAACCATTTACTATTGCCTTTTCATGGCACCCAAAATCAGCGCCTGAAGCAGCCACCTTCTTCTGTCTAATGCCCCATCAAAGCTCCTTCCCTCCCCAACATAGGTCATCGTAAAGCACAGTTAAATACAGTCAGCACAAAGAACTGACCTTTTAAAAAAAAATGTCACTGACAACAGCTATTTCTGGATGAATGAAATGTAGGAAGTGAACTCACATACATTCATCACTGTTGTGCAATACGCCCGCAGCTGGTTTCAAAGAACTGCTTCTTGCCCAGTCTCCTTTCCTATCAAGCGTCTCCTTGTCACCCAGGCGTCATCACCAAGGTCCTATTCCCGATGATAACAGACTATCTGGGCGGCAGCAAGGCAGGCTCATCAAAGAAGGCTTTCAAATGCATATAGAGGTTTCTTCTTTTTTTTCCAGGAAAGGGGGTGGGGTGGAACCCATTCATTTGCAAGTTTCAGTGTGGTTAAATTTGTGGTAGTGATGTCAGTGCTAGTGTTTCAACACACTCCTCCCAAGACTGTGTATGTACACATTTCTGGAAACAGCAGACCTCCACAGCCAGCTTTCCCCATCATCTTACTGCTACTGCCTTGTGCTGTCAAACACTGGAGTTGCGAGGAAAATATTTCAGGGGGACAGCTAACTGTGACTTGTGGACCAGAGCGAGCTCCCAAATGCACCGGGCAAATAAGGGTATGGTTTAGCAATGCCTTTTAAGGCCCCTGTGTATAATCAGCAATGAAAGGATTTTCTACCAGGAATAAGTATAATTAATTTGAATGCTAACACAGTGGTACCTCGGGTTACAGACGCTTCAGGTTACAGACTCCGCTAACCCAGAAATAGTACCTTGGGTTAAGAACTTTGCTTCAGGATGAGAACCGAAATTGTGTGGCGGCTGCGCAGCAGCAGCGGGAGGCCCCATTAGCTAAAGTGGTACCTCAGGTTAAGAACAGTTTCAGGTTAAGAACGGACCTCCAGAATGAATTAAGTTCCTAACCCGAGGTACCACTGTATATGCTGCTGGGCTTCAGATAAATGTTTCTCCAGCCAGTGTGGTCAATGGGCAGGGATGATGCGAGTTCTGGCAGCAAAATATCTTTGGGCAGCGGTGAATGACTGCCAAAATTTAAGAATTAAAAGGGAAATGTTACAGAGCAGTAAAACATACTAGAGCCAACCGGGTGGTTTAGAAAACACACAGGTGGGCAGGAACTATCCAATAAGAGAGAGAAGCTTCCTGCCACAGTGTGACAAAAGAAATTGGCAAGACTGAGTGACATAAGCCAGTCTTTCTGGGCTCATGGAAAGGCCAACAAGGAGGAATGGTGGTGAGAACACCAGTTTCCAAGCAGACCTGCCTGTTCTCCTTGGACTGAAGCAAGAAGCAGAATTCCATAAACTATTCCATGGCAAGCACAAGAATATGCCATGCCTGCATTGATGGTAGTGGCTCAAAGACTGCCAGCCATGGCAATTCCATTGTTGCCCCAGTCTGCAGTGCAGCCACACTCCCGTTTTAAGAGGACCATTTCTTACTTCAGGGGGAAGAGAGAAACCAAGTACAAGAGGGGTGGGTTCTGAAAAATAGGAAATCTTTTAATAATGTATTAAATTGCTCAGAGGAACCTTCCTCAGAAACACAAGAATTCAGTTTGTTGTTATTCTGGTGAGGCAAAATTGCTCAGCTAATTGAATTCTTATGCCCCCAATGAAGGTTTGCACCGAAACATTAAGGTTCTCTTTATTATTTTTCAGTGCCATTTTGAGGCTTGCCACCCCCAGCTCTTACTAAAGAACATTAAAGCCAAAAACTTTTAATGGGGCCACAAAGAGGACTCTATTCTCAGTGAACTCAAATCCGATACTCCCAAGACAGGGGTGGTTTTATGCTTCTGAAGAGAATCTTGTGACAATGTCAAGGTCTCACTAATTCCCCCTCATCAGTAGGTAATTATCGGTATATTTTAAACACACAGAGTTTTAACTCGTATCAACATTTAATTGTTTTAAAATGATTTTCCTCTCTGTTTTCAGCTGTTCCTATTTTTATCTGTAAGCCGCCTTGAGTCCCAGTTAGGGAAATATAAATATCTAATAATGTTAATGTTAATGCCCTACTAGAATGCTGTCTGTTCCAAAATGCAGCTGGCAGCAACATGTTTGCTTAGCCACTACCATCGCCTCGCCCCCCTGCTTCTGCTTCCTGCGAAAACAAGACACAGCAGGAAATAGCCAAGAGATAGGATGAGAAAGATGACAGAGACATGGGAGTGGGAAGAAAGAGGTCTGAAACAACCCAGGCAAGGCCCGAATACAGCAGAAGGCTCATGGGTGGGTCGGTGGGGGGGCAAGAAATGAGACTGGCTTACGTCTAACTTTGCCCTCATCAACAGAAGCCATGCCCCAAAGGACAGCACATAAATGGAAGCAAGAGGGAGCAAGAGGGAACCACACCAGGACAGAAGCGCCATCAAAGTAATGGACTCTTCGATGGAATCCCAAACAGCAAGCACTAAATAGAGACCATCCAGCACTGAGGTGGGGAACCTTTTTCAGACTAAGGACCACATGGCGGCAGTGAAGGCATATGCCAGTGATTTATGGGCTGTGGCTGCTGAGGAGGCCACAGACCATCTTGGCTGTGAGTCCTGGAAGACTTTGCAGGCCTTTTCCCACTGGCCTTGGAGGGTAGGGCCCTGACTGACTGCAGCTACAACAGCTGAGCCTGGGGTGCTGTTTGGGGGTCTTTTAGGGGGGGGTCAGGGCAGAGGAGATGATTGCTGTTGTCTTTTTGTATCTTTATTTTAGACCTTGTTTTGATTCATGTGGAAATTGTTCACAGTTTGGTTGTGTATATTTAAAAGTTTAATTTACTGTTTACAGCTACTTTCGTTATGTTGTGGTCACGTATTTGTTTCATGTTGTAAGCCGCTTTGAGCATGGTTTGAACTGTGGCAAGGCAGCATGCAAATAAAAATTATGTGTGTGGGACCAGAGGCAGAAGAGGTCAGAGCTATAAACGCGAGCTTTACCTGTGCACTCAGTGGGGTAGTTCCTTAACACACGCTCTCTCATAGCCCTCCATCCTCCACCCGGGAAAGCAAACAGCTTTCTCCGATTCCAAGGACCCATTCTAGCCAAGGAGAATGAAAAGAAGGGCTGGAGAGGGGGCATGGCTCAGAGGGGTTTATCACTTGACTCCTAAGAGCCACAGAGAGAGGCCTGGAGGAAAGCAATTGCCCTCTTTACCTGAGGCTCCCCATTGCTGATAAGAACCATAAAATTGTAGCGTTGGAAGGGACCACCAAAGTCATCTAATCCAAATTCCTGCAATACAGGAATCTTTTGCCCAGTGTGAGGCTTGAACTCACAACCCTGAGGTTAAGAGTTTCATGCTCTACTGACTGAGCTATCCAGCAGCTGCAGAACAAAAACCATCTTTTCTCCCTGGACTCCAACTATTTGTAACCTGGAAGGTTATACCGGCCTACCTACTAACATTTAATGCGGGGCTGGGGGCGGGGAGAGAACAAGCTCATGTCTTTGCTTCACATTAAGAAAAGGAACAGATCATGGAGGTGGTGAGTGAATCAGCCGAGGAAGAAATTTTAATGAGGCCCAGTGGTGTGCGATACAAGGAAATGTTTTCATGGGAATCTGCTGCCCCGCCAGAATATTTTCACAAGTCTTCTCTTACTGGACAGGCAGCACATTTTCAAGTTCAGACATACCTGCCTGTTTTCAATGTCAATTCTCAAGTTATTATCAAAGGGTCAAGTTCAAAATAATAAAAAAAGACTAGTAAAGCTACAGGATACAATGAAAAATTGATACAGTTAACTGAAGTTCTAGATAAAAAATACACAACACCAGTGTTTTCTTCTTGCTGCAGCTTCAAACATCTCGGCACAAGTTACAAACATAACACAAAGATCACTGGAAACGGTTTCTGAAGAATGATTTGCGCCACCAACAGCCAAAGCATGCAATCTAGAACGATGGCTATTAGCTATGATGGCTCTGCTCTGCTTTCACAACCACAGGCAATAATGCTTCTGCCTTCCAATTGCTGGAAACGGCCAGAAGGGAGACTGCTCTTGTTCTTGAATCCTGCTTGCAGGTTTCTCACAGGCAACTGGCCATTGTGAGAGCATGGTGCTGGACTAGGTGAACCCCTGTGGCCTGATCCAATAGGCTCTTATGATGTTCTAAACGAGGAGTTCCATCAGCAGATGTAGTTCAATAACACCAGATGGAGTTCCATAACTCCTGGAGGGCACCACGTTGGCTACCCCTGCTCTACCAGCATTCCTGTGGTGATTAGGGGCGAGAAACTCACTGGAGGAGCTCACGTCTTATGACTGCAGCAAGGCTAAACTGCTCCTCACAGCTTATGCTCAATACCCGCCTGTTCTGCACTCTGACTACAAAACTAGGCAGTTGCAGAGTGCGGTGCATATGTGTCAAGAGACCTTAGCAAGGCATTTGCTTTTTAAATGTCCCGTCATAACCTACAGGGCAAAGAAGTCAGGAAGAATGACATCACTACTAACCCCAGCCTAGGCAGAAAAGGGAAATAGGGGGCTGCCTGTGCAGACACAAAACCAAGTGTGTTTGCGTTAGTAAGATGACCCATGTTTGAGCCATGTGAATTCCCACCAGTGTTGGACTCAGCTGCAGCAGGTGACCCTTCCCTAGGGTAGCCTCATGCTAAGAGGTCGTTTGCTGCACAGCAAGCAGTTTCACCCCATACAGCCCAGTCAGGCTGGGAAATGCAGAAGTCAGAGTGCTCGGTCTTAGGACATCAAAGTCTTACCAGGAAACTGCCTTCCTCTTCTCACTGTTAAGGGTGGTGCAGGGAAGAAGAAAAAACAGGTCACAACTAGTATGAGAAGCATTGCAAGATGACCACTCTCCACTTTCTGAGCTAAGTGTAAGAAAGATGCAGCATACGGTATTTAGACAAAAATAGCACTCACGCCCTGTGTTTCGTAGTGACATGTTGGTTCCATTTAACAGCATTTTCTAGGACAGAAGAATTCCATACACATTCAGCAGCCACATTGGAATTAGCATACACATGCTCAACAGAATGATATAGCTGAAAACACAGCAATTTTTTACCCTTCACCCACCCAAAGCAGGACAAGGCAGTATCATTCCGCACCAATTCCCAGGATACAACTGATAAAACAACTATTAATGTCATAGTTCTTTTTTGCTTTCCTTTAGTTTGCATTTTGTTCCACATATATTCACAGGATGGGGAAGTTCTCCCCATTGCTTCCTCACAGCAGAAAAACCTCTGGGAGAGTTCCATGCATTTTTTTTTTTTTAAAGGGAGGGAGGTTTCACAGAAAATTAATTTAAAATCAGTGTTAGGGGTCTGGCATATTTTTAGATTTCTAAAAGAAGATACACACGCAACACTCCTGAAAGAGAGGGGAATGAAAGCTCCCTCTGCACCTATGTAGAATTTTGACTATGTTATGGCCTCAGACTGGCCAAGAGCTCCTCTTTTAAAAATGAACACACATAACTCTAGAAGGGCTTTCAGCATATGTATCTTTGTGAGCTACAAGAGCAATTCCTCTTTATAAATCCTCATCACTTCTCATTGAAATGTGCACCCTTTGTAATGAATGAATTCATGTTCCATTAAAATTTCCTACAAGGAGATCCATCTCAACATATGGGGGTGAGGCGTAAAAGCACGTACACCAAAGTTCAAACACTGTGCAAGACATCCCTTCGTCATGCAACTCGGGCAACAAAGAGATTCTTCTGCACTGGGCATCTATCTCTGAAGAGCATCCCTGGGCTGAAGGCAAGGCTACTAACAGTGCGTTTGTGTCACGTCCCAGGGAACAGTCTCCCTTCAAGTTCACCATCCACCCTACTACCACTGATATGTATTGGTACAGCCAGAATGTGATATGGTGTGATAATCCCTTTTGCCTTATCCAGCAGCAGCTCAAAGTCAAGTGAGAAACATCAGGTCCTGGTTGAGGAAATCTCACCTGCTCTTTTACACAAAGAGTACCACCTTTCCTTTTGTCAAGAAGCCCAGCTTCTCAATCTTACATCATGTAGACAACTCACTAGGCCGCAAAGAGACAAAATAAAACTGGCCATTCTTACTTCCATGACTTCGTGGCACAGTGTGCCACTTGTCAGAATCACCTCTACTACATTTCCTTCCACCCCAACGCAACAAGTGGCCACTTTTATTTTTTAATTACGTTTATATCCCACTTTCCCTCCAAGGAGCTCAAGATGGCACCAATGGTTCTCCTTCTCCCCCTTCTTGTTTTCCTCACAACCACCCAATGAGTTATCTGAGGCTAAGGAACAATGACTGGCCCAAGGTCATCTAGTGAGCTTTGTGGCCAAGCAGAGATTTGGACCCAGTCTCCCTAGCCCAACACTCGAACCACTATTTCCCAAAATTCTAGTCCTCCAGAAGAAGTGAATGAGCTTCAGAAAGACTGCTCAGAACATTCTGGGATGTCACACTGGAGCTGGGGGAGGGAGCTGGGGTTGGAGAAAGAGGTAGGGGGAGAAGGAGCCTGTGTGGCAAGCTTTAACCATTACAGAAAAAGAGTGGGTGCAGAGAAAAATGGGTCTGACAATGCTATTCTTCAAAGGGCATATTTTCCATGAAAACTGCACAACTTCATACTGTAGAGCAGCTTTCACTTCCTGCCCAGATTTAAAAAGCAGGCTGTTCCAGCAGAGGCAAGCAAATCAGAGCTGGTCAGATTTACAGATAGCACATGACAATGCTTAGCCCAGAGCTAATAAAATAAGGTCACACTCATGTCAGAGCCAATATAATAAGGTCACACTTATGCCAGCCTATGAATTACAGAGATAATCTCAAATAATCCCCCAGCACCAACAACCACATAATAAAAAAAATGTGTTTGACAAGAGCTCAGCTGCCAACTGCCAGAGGCAGTACAGGAACATAGGGGTCCTCCAGATATCCTTTCTATTGTGCATTTGTGATGGTTTGCGGTCTTGTCGGTATAGGGGAGGTTAGACGCAATCCCACTTCCAATACTGTTTGCACCTGCAAATGCTTTGGGGCGGACATACTGATTTGTTTCCAATCAGTGCACATCCCAACAATTTCAACACAATCCCACAGCTCAACCTACACTTGCCACACCGGTGCAAAGCTGGCCAAAGTGCTGGAGCATTAAAAACAGTCCCAGCAGTGACCTATTGAACTCCCTCAAAGGGGCACCCAAACCACAAACTCCGAAGAGCCCAATCAGATTGCAGACATAGGCTGTTGTTGGATACCAAACCAGACCGGCAATCTGTCTAGTTTGGGGTTTCCCAAACTTGGGTCTCCAGCTGTTTTTGGGCTACAATTCTCATAATCCCTGACCAGTGAGTCCTTCTAGCTAGGGATGGTGGGAGTTGTAGACCACCAACAGCTGGAGACCCAACTTTGGGAAACCCTGAATTAGCTCAATATTGTCTACACTGACTGGCAATGGCTCCAGTCCTGACTGGAAATGCTAGGGACCTTTTGCACGGAAAGGGCAGGTTCTCTATCCACCAAGTTACTGGCCTTCATCACGGGCACTTTCCTCTAGTGAACTAGGGTTGGTTCTGCAGCCAACTTTTACTTTTCTACACATCCAATAAGGAAGAGCAGCAAGGCCAGTCCCTTTGGCTTCAGGCTGCACCTGAACTCCAGCCACAACAGCAGAAATCTAATATGTCAAAAGTATCCAATATCACACTTGTTTCCGGGCCACCTGCCAATGCTTCTGGTTTGACAATTATGTTTCCCTCGCACAACATGTGTTCCCATTCTTGCTGCGTGTCTCAGAACGGGACGGAATCAATAAAATTCAATGGCACGCTTTTGACCAGAGAAACACTTGTCACTGTTGTTTACAGAGCAGTCCTATATGCATCCACTGAGAAGTCAATCCTATTGATTTCAATGGGTCTTACTCCCAGCTAAGTGTGCACAGGACTGCCATCTTAAATCTGGCACGTTCTCTCAAACCAGTACAGTACAAAAACCAGACAGAGACCAAGGTTCTCTTTGTCCCGCTCTTTGCAACGAAGAAGAAGCTGGTAGGCTTCAAGGCATACAACCATTCATACCACAGCTCATGCTGTGAGAAGATCTGTGCTGACCAGCTGCTCAGCAGCTGCAGTCTCAGAAGTCAGGCCAAGCCTGCAGCCAGAACTTTTGTGGCTTGGGAGCATATACATACTTCTTTTTTGGGGGGGGGGGTCACCGAGTACTTCTTCATGGAGTTTAACTATGGAACTCGTTACTGCAAAGGCTGTGGTGGCCGCCAACTTTAAAAAAGGATTCAACAAAGACTATCAGCAGCTGCTAGCCAGGATGGCTGTGGTCTACCTAAACTTTTGGAGCTCTTTGAATACCAGTTTCTGGGAACTGCAGGTGGGCAGTGCTGCTGCGCTTAAGTCCTGCTTGCATGCACACCACAGACACCTGGTTTGCCCCTGTGAAAACAGGATGCTGGACTAGATGGGCCATTCACCTGATCCAGCAGGGTTCTTCTTATGCTCTTATGGACATAGTGTGTGGGTGGGTGGGTGGGTGTGAACCCATGCAAAACAGCCAGAACCTTTCTAAGGATAGATTAACAGGTTTATATATTTGAAAAAGCTGATTGTACTGAATATTAATACAGTAGTACCTCGGGTTACAGATGCTTCAGGTTACAGACGTTTCAGGTTACAGACTCCGCTAACCCAGAAATAGTACCTCAGGTTAAGAATTTTGCTTCAGGATGAGAAGAGAAATCACGTGGCGGCAGCAGGAGGCCCCATTAGCTAAAGTGGTACCTCAGGTTAAGAACAGTTTCAGGTTAAGAACGGACCTCCGGAACGAATTAAGTTCTTAACCCGAGGTACCACTGTACAGTCAAACCTCAGCTGTCGAAGGCAATCTGTTCTGGAAGACAGTTTGATTTCCGAAACATTCGACAACCGAGACGCGGCTTCCGATTGGTTGCAAGAGCTTCCTGCACTCAAGCAGAAGCCACGTCAGACGTTCGGGGTCTGAAAAATGTTCGGAAACTGGAGCATTTACTTCCAGGTTTTCGGCATTCAGGAGTCGAAACGTACAGTAACAGAGGCGTTCAGGAACCAAGGTTTAACTGTAAGATAAAAATATCACATTTTACCCACTGGCTTGAAGACTGGGGGGGGGGGGGGAGATGTAGGATATCGACTACCGCTTTTCCTTCAGTTACCACACAAGTAAACAGGCTGAATGCTTGCATTTTAAAAAAAATCCCTCAAAGTTCAAGAAAGGACCCTGAAATCTCCCTGAGAGGGCCAAGTCCCCACAAATCCCTCTGGGGTACAGTATTAGTTCAAAGTTGTTATGAACGCAGAACAAGACCGTGCATATCAACCATTAAACATGGAGGTGTTCTAAACTTTCCTAATAACAAAGCCTGCAGTCCTAAGATTACTTACCTGGGAATAAGTCCCATTGTATTCAGCAGGACTTGTTTCTGAGCAGACCATGGTTAGGTTTGCACTGGAAGGTGTCTTGATGTCTATTGGAGAATCTCAGTCATTATGAATCTACACCTCTCCTGTGTCCCTCCCTCCACCCAAGCCAACATCATTCAGTTAGTGAGGCCTAAAAAGAAAAGTTGGACACTTTCAGGTCAGAACAGGAGCCTCTCCTTTTTCAGGCTTTCAGATGCTAGCAGTAGAAGCAGGTACACATGGAAAGCTGGGACTAAGTTAGCTCTGCACATGTAGGATGAATATGCTGCCGGTTGTGGTGGCGAGTTTCTCTTGGACAGGAAAAGGGGAAGCTTACAGGAAGCATGGCGGAAGAGAGGCCAAGAATTCTCTGAACACAGTCAAGTAGATTTATGTGCAAGTTTCATGTGAATTTTAGTCAGATGCATTTCAACTGCAATAACAGCTCTCAGAAAGAAATATAACTGAATATTTAACAGAAGCTTTTCAAATTCGGAATTCTCAGTACTTGTGCTTATTTAAGTTTTAGGTTTGGAGGAACCCTTAAAATACTAAATACAGTCATACCTCATGTTACATCCGCTTCATGTTATGTTCTTTCAGGCTACGTCCCACAGCAACCCGGAAGTACCAGAAAGGGTTACTTCCGGATTTCACTGCTCGCGCATGCACAGACGCGCAAAATCACATCCCGTGCATGCACAGAAGCGGCAAATCGCAACCCGTGTATGCATAGACACAGGTTGCATTCTTTTCATGTTGTGAACAGGCCTCCGGAACGGATTCCGTTCGCAACCAGAGGTAGCACTGTACATTGTATATAAAACGGAAGCACATTCATAGTTTCTTCATAGCTACAGCACTTTACATCCTTCTACCACTAACCCAACAGTATACATAACCAGGAATAATGTACCAAAAAAAATATTTTAGGAGAACCTTGCTGGGACATTTTTCTCCATTATGGAGCAACATGCCTTCCTTTGCTCTCCATCCCCCACCAAAGCTAGTTTCACTTCTAGAAACAGAATACAGTTGTCACTGCCCCCCACCTGCAATGTTTGGGGGGGGGTCAGGTTACACTGTGGATCGTTTGCTTCCAGATATGAGACCAGCCATACATTATGGAAAAGCCATTACAAACATGTCCGCTGTAATTATTCACACTCTTCTAAGCTGAGAGCGGAAGCAAACAAAGAGCATTTTCCCCAAAACGCATCTGAACATACCATACCCTCTGTACCACTTGCTTACAAAGTTCGCAGGATTCTTCCACCAGCCGCTGAACACAATTTAAAAACACAGCTGTGTAGGGGGAAAGTTCCTGATCTGACAGGAGAATGTCAGCGAACACCCACCCTCTGGAAAGCAAGAAGGCAGATGCAAGAGCCTGCCGGGGATTCAGGGTGGGAGTCCAGCAGCTGTTGCATGGCTCTGGGAAGAAGAAGAGGAAAAAGAAAGAGGGCAACCACATCCAAAACTTCCATTAGTACATGTTGTTCACAGAGTCGCAAGGCTGTGAAACAGCTGGCAAAGCTAAGCAAGCACCAAGGCAATTTCCCACATTTTTGCCTCCTAACAGAATGGCCCGTAGAAGACATCTTTCCCATGCCTGCTTTGTAGCTCGAAGCTCAAGAAGTTAGAAACTCAAGATATACAGTGGTACCTCGGGTTAAGTACTTAATTCGTTCCGGAGGTCTGTACTTAACCTGAAACTGTTCTTAACCTGAGGCACCACTTTAGCTAATGGGGCCTCCTGCTGCTGCCGCGCCACCGGAGCACGATTTCTGTTCTCAACCTGAAGCAAAGTTCTTAATCCGAGGTACTATTTCTGGGTTAGCGGAGTCTGTAACCTGAAGCGTATGTAACCTGAAGCGTATGTAACCCAAGCTACCACTGTATACGCTAGGTGCCAAACATCACACAAGAATGCATATTGTAATAAGCAAACACTAGACTTCTGCCCCCACTCTGCTCATGCATTTTTCTGAAAGAAAAACATCCACGGATATCTTATGCTCTATTTTTTTACATGCGTATTCTTCCAGGGCAGGCAGTTTGTGTTGAAACTGGTCTACTGACGAGCCAGTCTTACAAACTTTAAGCTGGTGTAGATTCCCTCTCATCTCCTAAGAAATTTCCTGCTAACTGCTTTTCTACTGTTAAGACGCAGATTTGATCACCAGATAGGCATTGTTTCCTTGCCAAGAACGTAGACCCGAATGCACAGATGTCCACAGCATTGCTGGAAATGGGCATTTTGTCTCTGCCTGCTCCCAGGATATTCAGCTTGCACAATGACAGGTCTGTGCAGAGTCAGCTTCCTGTCACTAACAAGATGAGGCTGCCAGCACAGTGCCTGACTTCCCAGGAAGGGAGGCGTTTTTGCGCTGACAGACTTTCAGAAAAGCTGCAAAAACCAGTTAGGAAAGCAACATTGCAACACACATTAAACGGGTAGAATTCTATTGCACGATCAAGATTGGTTCTATCATGCTGGGTGTCTGGCAAACTGGGCTCTCCCTCTGGTCATCTCCTCATTTGTTTCAGCTCCTTTGTTGGGACCACAGATTCTGGCCAGACTGGAAAAGGTGGCATAACTGACCGAGTGCTGAAGGAAACACAGCAAGTCATCTTTGAAGCCCACTTATCAGACTGCGTTTAGCTGGGGACCTTTTCATTAAAAAAAAAACTTCTGAGTTGTTTTCAATAGTCAGTGTTTTGTGAAGTTTTAATGTTATGGTGTAGTGGTTAAGAGTGGTAGACTTGTAATCTGGTGAACCGGGTTCGCGTCCCCACTCCTCCACATGCAGCTGCTGGGTGACCTTGGGCTAGACACACTTCTTTGAAGTCTCCCCAGGGCGGGAAAGAACCATGAATGGTAATCTTACCCAACTATGGGCCCTCCAGATGTTCCAATACAATTGCCATAATCTCTGATTATTGACCATGCTGCCTGGAACTGATGGGAGATAGAGTCATCGGGGGCAGGGAGGAACTGGAGCCTGACTGATCATGTCCTGAGCATTCTAGAGAAAGGGTGGGACAAAAATGTAATATATTTTTTGTTTTTGTTTTAATAAACAGTGTCTGCTACTAAGCTGGGGCTACAAAAAAACAAGGATATGTGCATTTTTGGAGAGTTTTCTATATTTGCTCCTTTACAGAACCTTGTCAGCTTCATTCTTTCTTTGAGCTTTTGTGCACAAGATACTGAACTCATCTGAGCAAACAGGAAAATGGAGGAATCATTTGGCACCAACAAGGAAGTTTTTCTTCATTGGCCTTCTCCGAGCTACAAGGTATTCACATCATTTATAGGTAACATGCAAACACTACAGAGTAACTTAGGACATTTCTCTGAAAACAGTGGCAAACCCTGCCACTTTCCTAATTAGATCCAAAAGCCTTTAAGACACAGGTGGTGAACATCTGTGGCCTTCCAGATGTTGCTGGACTATAACTTCCCTTGTCCCTGAACATAAGCTGGGGCTGGTGGGGGTTCTCTACCCCTGCTTTAAGATATAAGCGTTGCATTGTCTTCCCTCTTTGGTAAATACCCTACACACAACTTCTTCCTCAATGCAATCACATCATTAGATCCTTTAGATCTATCCAATTACCGCCCGGTTTCGAATCTTCCGTTCCTGGGTAAGGTGATTGAGAGAGCGGTTGCTGAACAGCTTGGTGGTTTTCTGGATGAAACATTGGCTCTGGATCCATTCCAGTCCGGCTTCCCTCCCTCGGCAATCTTCGCGGAGCTCTGGCCCAATGGTTGCCAGTGGCTTGAATTAATTAATTTTATAATGAATGATTTTAGAATGTTGTTTATGCTGTACTTTTGTACTGTTTTTATTGTTGTTAGCCGCCCTGAGCCCGGCTTCGGCTGGGGAGGGCGGGATATAAATAAAATTTATTATTATTATTATTATTATTATTATTATTATAGAATGGGAAAATAGAGAACTAGCTGGCATGTTCATGTTTTTAATACAAAGTGGGAAGTTAGACTTTGCAAGAAAAGGGGCGACATGGTTTGCTCTTCCTAGGGTATGTGGTGCAACAGAAAAAGTTATTAAAACCCTCTCTAATAACTCAGAATCAGTGGGCAAGGAAAACGCTGCAGAATTAAAAAAAGACATTTTTGTGGCACACTGAGCACATCTTTCATACATTAAACTTAGGGTCCACTTTGTCAGATGTAACAATTCTGCAGAATGTTGTTTGGGCCATTTAAAAATTAATATGGCAAACAGACCAACGATGTCTAAGTTACAAGGGAAAATTAAAAGGGGAGTGGTTTTCTAAAAATGAAGTAAAAGCATTACAGTATTATTCCCAGAACGCTCAAGACAAATGAGATCTCAAAGACAAGATGACTTTTCTACCAGTTTCACAACATGCCCAAGTAAACCGAAAGCAACAGTTTCCTCCACAGCTCTGGAAAAAACAGAAAGGGCTTGGGCTGATGAGTAGGTCAAAGCCTTGCCAAGGAGAAGCACTTATGATTCAGCATCATTTAATAGCCTAATATTAATTGCTCATTATAGGTTTCTATTTATATGGAACCCAATGGAAGCCTTTTGGTCATTAAGCAGTGGGTGTAAGCCACAAGCCTTATAATCAATGGAATTCACAGATAGCACCCCTCAAAAGTGCTGTTTGACCAAATGGAAGAAACCACTGTAGCTGCTATACACAGCTTAGGCCCTGAAGCATTACTTTTAGTAAGAGCTCATGGATGATGGAAGTCACTGTTCTGCACTCTTCCTGGTCCTCGTTCTTAGAGTCATTTCTCAATTTTTTTTGAGAGCTAAGGACCATTTTGTATGTGAGAGCTAGCAGGTAGTAAGCATTTATAGAGAACTTTAAAACTGTCCATATCACTTTTGAACAGCATTCTCTCAATCTTGCCAACAATCCAGTATTTTTTATTTACAGTGATACCTCAGGTTACATACGCTTCAGGTTACATACGCTTCAGCTTACACACTCCACTAAGCCAGAAATAGTGCTTCAGGTTAAGAACTTTGCTTCAGGATAAGAACAGAAATCGGGCTCCAGCGGCGCGGCAGCAGCAGGAGGCCCCATTAGCTTAAGTGGTGCTTCAGGTTAAGAACAGTTTCAGGTTAAGAACGGACCTCCGGAACAAACTGAGTACTTAACCCGAGGTACCACTGTATTGCATTTCTATACCACCTTTTTCTCCAAGGAGCTCAAGATAGCATACAGAGTTTTCTCCCTCCTAATTTAATCCCCACACAACAACCCTGTGAGGGAAGTTAGGCTGACTGGCTGAAGGTCATCCAGTGAGCTTCGTGACTGGATGAATGTTTGAACCCTGGTCTCCCGCAAGGCCTAGCCCAGTGTTTCCCAAACTTGGGTCTCCAGCTTTTTTTCGACTTCAATTCCCATCACCCCTGAACACTAGTCCTGCTAGCTAGAGATGATGGGAGTTGTAGTCCAAAAACAGCTGGAGACCTATGTTTTGGAAACACAGGCCTAGTCCAACACATAGAATCGTGAACATTCAGGACTTACATCTCCAGAGTAAATACAGTCTATCCATCTAGGTTTCAGCTTCTACCAGGCACATCCCAGATATAGGCGAATGATCTGTTAAACACACATATACACAAAACAGCAAGGCAGAGTTCCTGGCCAGATGGCAGGAAGGGAGTTTTCCGCTGCATCACAACCCACACTTTACTGCTATGAGTTCATTTTCCAGGCACTGTAGAATGCGAAAGCCATAATATCAAATCAGATGTAGTCATCTCACCGAGTTTCATTTAGTGATCTCGGGCATGACTCTCTCATCACACAAAAATGAACATTTAGAGCCTTACAGCATCTCAGTACAAGATACTTCAGCAACAAGATGTTACAGCAGCATCTTAATAATATATTTTAGGTTAATACTGGTTTTAATGCTAAAGATCAATGGTTCAAAGGCAGATTTTATTTAAGTTCACAGGCCTTGTCCAAAGGCTAAGAAATATTATTAGGTGACATTGAAGATCAATGATCATATGGCAGGAAAGACTCTAGTAAGCGCTTTCTTGGGATATTTAAGTGAAACTGCAATAAACAACAAGGATAAATGGTGTATTTTGGAACTCACAGACTTGCACCATTTGCCAAACTGCAGTTTCTGCTTTCAATAACACATTTAGGAAATTCCCTGTAAGAGTTCTTGAAGCCCCCATTAAAAAGCTGTTAAAAACCCCAAGTCTACAAGCTCACATAAAGGAAGATGTAAACAACACAAGTAATTTAACAAGCTAAAGTAGCTGTATCTCTAATCTCTGTAACTCGGGCTGATATTCCAGCTGTGGCCATTCCTGAAGCACAAAAGCCTGACCACAGTGCTACATGTATTGCTAACCTACTGTAATGTGCTTCATGTGGAGCTGCCCTTGTATAGGGTCTAGAAGCTGCAGCTAGTGCAGAACGCAGCAGCCAGGCTGCTCACAGGAGCAAGAAGTACAGTGGGCAGGATTCAGTGCCTTGTTAGTGGAAGACTCAGATTTCTACAATTTCTTCAGGACAGGAGGTAGCCAACCTTTTTGGACCAGGGGGACTATTTTGAATTTTGAGAGACCGTGAGGGTGCAAGTCACGAAATAGGGTATGGGTGTGACATAACACAAAATCAGAGAGACAGCCACCTGCAACAACCTTGTGCATGCTGTGGGAAGTAAGCTATGTCTTACCACAGTCCTAGCTGTGGAAATCACAAAATATTGATTTTACACTTCCAACCACACACACGTACTGTTGCTGTCTCATAGCATCAGAGAGCGTTCCTCCGTACCAGGAAAAATATACAAGGTGGTCACAACACTCTCATTTCACAGAAATCACTGAGAAGGTACCTGCACATTTTGTTCCCCAGCTTCCTTTCTAGGAGGGCTAGAGACTGACTTCTGTAAATAAATGAAAGCTCAGATTGTGGGGCACCAGTGAAAGCCAGTACAGTGGTACGTCTAGTTACGAACTCAATTCGTTCCGGAGGTCCGTTCTTAACCTGAAACTGTTCTTAAGTAGAGGCGTGCTTTCGCTAATGGGGCCTCTTGCTGCTGCTGGCACACGATTTCCGTTCTCATCCTGGGGCAAAGTTCTTAACTCAAGGTAACTCTTTCAGGTTAGCAGAGTTTGTAACCTGAAGTGTTTGTAACCTGAGGTGTTTGTAACTCGAGGTACCACTGTATCTGCAGACACTGGGCTGGTGATACCTGTTTTAGAAAAGAAGACAGTATTATACCACCTGAAAGGCAAGAGCAATTTTTTGCGATAACCTTCCAGGGACCAGAGTCCACTTCAAATGCATGAAGCATAATTCTAACTTGTCAGGCATGTGTGATACACATACACCCACAGTTGGGTGGGATGGGAACAGAGAGGAATGAGGTCAAACCAAATGCTAAAAGATCAGATATAATTATGTATAAGAAAATCAATTGCAGTGACCATTGACAAGGCAGTGTTTGCAGTAGCACATACGGTCTTGGCACTGACAACAGTGGTATGCAGCATGATAAACATCTGTAATCTTCAAGCAGCAGATAACATAACAGATGAGTTGTAATTCACAGTCATTCCACCCTAGTGCAAAAACACACATTCACCACAAAGCAAGATATGCCTAACCCCAACTGGGTACAGTTTAGAATGCACCATCATTACAGAGGTATTTCTTGTGATATCAGCCTAATGTACTAAGTTGTGCAATATTTGCAATAGCATTATAACGTCTAACCACTAGATATAATGGATGCAGATTTGTGCCAACATAAAGAATGCCAATATAAAGGACGCAGATTTGCACACTCATTTCTCTACCATGACTGCCCTTTTCCACAAAAGACTTTCCCATGAGGTTGTAAATAATGCATCTGACAATCATGGCTATACATCTTCAGCTGCATACATGCCATACATATAAAGCACATTATCCCCAACTCCAAGAATCCCTGGAACTGTAGTTAGTGGGAGCTGTAGCTCTGTATGTGGGGTAAACTATAATTCCCAGGATTCTTTGAGTATCTACTTTAAATGGATGCTTCAAGGACTCAACCTCTACTTTGCAGTGCAATAGCACCAACCCACTCTACTTAATAGGCTGTAATCCTATGCAGTTATCTGGCACTGAATGCTCTGCCATAAAATGGGAACCACTGGCTAATCAAGGCCCCCAACTGCAAGGAAAGGAACATACAGACATATAACTGGATGTGTCCATGACCTACAACTTTGGGATTTTTGATAGGCCATGAGACTCTAATTTCAGGGTCATGGGTTCGAGCCCCACATTGGAGAAAAGATTCCTGCATTGCAGACTTTTTAAAAAATCTGTACTTGAAAAAACTGATCTTCTGCAGGTAAGTAAATGCTATTCCTATTTATCTCCATCTCGGTTCTGGTCTTTTGAATTGCTGCTTTTGCTGGAATCGGTAGCTCCTTGTGTTATGCATCTGATGACGTGGACCCTAGTTCACAGAAACATGCTTCATAAAAAGTTGCAATCATAAGCACACATATCTGGAATAAGCCCCACTGCAGTCAATAGTGTTTACTTCTGAGGAGGCATGGCTAGGATTGTAGAAGCAATGAGCCTTTAAAGCTCCACAAGACTCTGCTTAGGATTGCCTTGCTGTTCTCCCCCCTCCAAAATTAGGCCACAGATCTTTTTGCTGTGTCTGCTGCAATGGACTAACATAGTTACCGCTTGCGTTTTATCATGATGGCGGCCTAATGTATGTTGTGCTTCTGTTTTTATTTATTTTTTACTGCTAAAGGCCACCTTGACTTATTTTCCCTTTCTGCATGGCAATAGAAAACAGGATATTTGACTTATAAAAAAAATACTTTAACCAATCAGAAATAAAACGAATGAGGACACAACCAACACTGCAAACCCTCCGTACACTTACTTGGAAGTAAACCAGGCAGATATCAAGCCTATTTCTGAGTAAATAAATATGGCATACATTTTCATTGTGAACTATTTTCACCTTCTGAGTAAATAAACATGGCATACATGTGTTATCCATAGCTAGAGGTTTCCTACTGCTCGAACGTACAGAAAAGTTGGGGGAAAGAAAGAATTGGAGGAGAGATCTGCTGGTTTGTCAGTGGAATAAAACTTCGGGGCGGGTGGGCGGAAAGAGAAGCCAAGTGACAAGGAAGAGAGAAGGCCCAAGGCAAGTGCATGATGAAATGAGGGAAGTTCCAAGCTGCATCCCTGCTCCCTTAGTAGCACCTCATCCCCGGCGGGGAAACAGGCAGGCTGAGGAAGGAGACGCAGCCTTGCAACACGGCCAGAAATACACACTGTCGGAACAGGGGCGGGTTGCGTGGTGAGAGAGAAAGGGGAGGAAGCGCGGGAACAAAAAAGGCGAAGGAGGACCCAGGCAAGAAACCATTCACACCTACTCAAGAAACTATTTCAGGGGAGGAAGCAAGTGACACAGGCGAGCGGAAAGGAGAAAGAGAAAGGAGCAGGCGGTGGTGGAAGAAGCAGCCCCAGCAGCAACAGACGGGGCAAAGAGAAAGCGAGCAAGCCGCGCAGACACTTACTTAGCGGCGACCCCGCGGAAGTTGCGCTGCCTTCGGCCGCCTCAGCGCCGTCGGTGCGAGTCGCCAGGCCGTTCCCGCGCGCCCGCCTTCCTTCCACTCATCTGTTTCCGACCCTCCACCTCCAGCGCTCAGGCGGCGCGTCGCCGTTGGGAAAAGGGCGCAGGCAGGCGGGCGGGCGGGTAGGTGGGTGGGGCGGAGAGCGGCGGGAGGGACCGGATTGCCCCGCTCGACTGTCAAACAAGGAAGCCGGCGGAAAGGAAGCGAGGCGTGCTCGCCCAACACGAGGGCAAAACCACCTCCCGGCCGGGTCGCTGGAGCGCCTCCCTCTGCTGCCTTCCCTCCCCGCCCCGGAGCCGCCGGAGAGGAAGCGCCCGAGCCTGCGCGCCGCCCTCGACGACGCTCTACCTGGGGAAGGAGAGGGGCGGAGGCGCCGAGGGGGCGGGGAGAAGGGGAAGGGCGCCACCCCCCTTCGGCAGGTGAAAGGGCCCTGGGGCCTCGGGGAGCCGCCGCCGCCGCTTTCCCAAAGGCCCCTCGCAGCCAGTTCGGTTTGCCCCGCTCCCCAGACGCGCCGCAGCTTCGGAACGCCGCCCTGCGCTTCCATGCGCTTTTGCGCGCCAAACTCAGGACTGAATCGGGGCGTGGCTGCCGCGCTCCCGCCCGGTTACCTCCGAGTTTTCGGTGGAAAATCGGGTGCAGCTTTTCATTCCAGATGTTATGGACTCCGTCTCCCAGTCCCCACCCTCATCCCTTCCTGCCGGGGAGCTGTTCTCCAAGCTATATCAAGGGAGTCTCGCGTAAAGCTACACTTTAATTCTGATTAATTTATCCACACACACACACCACTTCCCCCGCACACCTGTTTTATGAATAGGCTTGTGGACCGGATTTGCACACACGAAGTGTGTCAGATCAGGTGTCGTCAACCTTTTCAGACCCAAGACATACTTTTAACTCAAACATGCATTTAGGGGATCCATTTCTTAATCCTTTACCACATAAGTGCACGGTGGTACTGCTTCTGTCGTGACCCGCCTTGGATCAGGTTGCAACCCACTAGTAGGTCCCACCCGTTGAAAACCACTGAGTTAGACCCAGTTGCGTAAATCATGCAGCCCTTGAAAGTAAAGTAATGATAACTGGCTTGATTTCAGCTGGTCCCTTCTGAACTGTGATGGCGGATCCACACCATAGATTCAAAGTACATCTAATGCACATTTAAAGTACATGCCTTCCCCCAAAGAATTCTGGGAGCTGGTTTTCCCTGTCACAAACTACAGTTCCCGGTATCCTTAAACTACACTTCCCAGGATTCTTTGGTGAGAAATCACGGGCTTTATATGTATGGTGTGGGATCTAGCCAGAAAATACACAGCGGGAAATGCTTCTAATAAGCTTGCATAGGGTGGTAGCTGTCTATCCAGGGAAGCAGAAGAAACAAAAGGGTGATGACTTGAGTTTATGAGTGCCATGGCACTAGAAATGTGCAAAATTCCTGCCTGACCTCAGATACTCAAGTGACACCAGATGGCGCTGTGGAGTTCTGTTTGTGCTTTTACTCAATACAAAATTTGCTACGCGTTTAACTGAAACATGTCTTTGACGTATCTAGATCCAGTCAAAGACCCAGTTTGGCACACACTCACACCCACGGATTTGCGTACACACACCCACACAGGCTAGGATCCTCAATGGATGCTTTGGATACCTTCTGCATGCTTCACCTGGGACAAAAATGTTTACAAGGTTGAAAACCCATAAACAGGACAAGCAAATAGCAGAAAGTATGAGAGAAAGGAAAGTTTACCATTAGAATGTAACAACAGCCCCCATGCACTCCCTTTTTGTTTATGTCTAAAGAGGACGCACAAAACTCAGAAGACAGACTTGCATTAAGGAGGAAACATAAGAGTAAAAAATAAGACACTTATGATTTACAGTGGTACTTCAGTTTTTGAATGTCTCGGAAGCTGAACGTTCCAGTTTTCGAATGCCAAAAACCCGGAAATAATTGCTTCCATTTTTGAACGTGCCTCAGAAGTCGAACGGCTTGCACTGCGTGTATTTCCATTTTTCCAGTTGAACTTGCAGCCAGCCCTTTGCGCCTCGGTTTTCAAACATTTCGGAAGTCGAACTGTCTTCCAGAATGGATTACATTTGTGAACTGAGGTACTACTGTATTTGATACCTTGTGTTTTCTGAGACAAGATGACTTCCTTACCCCCCATCTCTGTGCGTAAACGAGTGGGGGGGGGGGTGAAACGGACAATTAAATTAATAGAATTTGGAAATTATTTGTGTGCAAGCAGGACAAAAAAAAAACTTTGTAAAAAAAGAGAGAGACAGTAAATGGAATCTGCAAATAGTTGATAAACTGGACTTTAAAAGAACAATAATTTAATAAGGACCAGTATCAATTATGTTTGAGCATTCCCAAATTCTACCTAAGGAGAAAGTTAGAAATAATCTATAATAACTTAGACAAAACAACAGCTGCACTCAAGGACAAGGGAGAGTAACCATTGCAACAGAACTGGAAGAGAGCAAAGGAATAAGCTGACAAAAAGCAAAGATGACTGATGACACATGCCCAGGGCTGGATTTAGGTTTGATGAGGTCCTAAGCTACTGGAGGTAATGGGGCCCTTTATATGTCCAGCTGTCCTTTGTCAACAACAAATTGTTGCTGTTTTTTTGTGTTGAATATATGCTATATGGTAATTTATGGACCTAATAGGTATCTAAAGCCACTTGTACATGTTGCCATGCAACCAATCCATGCAGAATGTTGGCACCCTATATATATAGAAATGAGCAAACCAGTGATATTTTAGGGAGCAGGCTAGCAGGAGGGTCCCATTACTTACATCCTAGGAGCCTACACAACACGAAACCCTGTTGCTGTATGTACATTTTATTTTATTTGTTTTTTATCTTATATTTTGGAAATGTACATCCAGTTTTTTTCTTTTAATTTTTTTGGGGGCCCCCCAAGAGAGTGGGGTCCTAAGCTATAGCTTGTTCAGCTTATATGTAAATCCAGTACTGCACATGCCAGAGCATCCAAATGAAGAAATCAGAAATTGTTATACATTATCTAGCAAATTTACTGGAAAGTGAAGAGGAAGAGGCCAACAGAGCAGTGGATAGAATTTACAGAGTGAAATCACCTTGTGCAAAAAATAAGAGATTACCAGTCGACTGCCTAGTGCTATCCAATTCCAGAAATTTCAAGGATAATGTACTGCAAGCCCACTTTCGGAAAGGACTGGTAATTCAGGAACAAAGAATCACCATCTTAAAGGAAATCCCAATACAGTAAGACTTTTTTTAAAAAAGGAATGAATACAAATTCTTGACAGAAGAAGAAATAGGTTTCATTCCAGTGGGTATACCCAGAGGCAGTGTCAGATTTACGTATAAGCTGAACAAGCTATAGCTTAGGGCCCTACTCTCTTGGAGGCCCCCCAAAAAATTAAAGGAAAAAAACACACCTGGATGTACATTTCCAAAATATAAGTTAAAAAACAAATAAAATAAAACCTACGTGCAGCAACAGTGTTTTGTGTTGTGTAGGCTCCTATGATGAAAGTAAAGGAAATAAACAAGGATGTGTGAAAGTAATGAAAGCCAGATCATTTGTGAGACAATATAAAAAAGACTTTGGACAATTAGCAGGACGTCAACAAGAGGAGGTGGAAGAAGGGGAAAGAGGAAATGCAGTTTCTGCAGGTGAGGCAGTGGCAGTGCTGGACCAGTGTTTTGCCTCCGTAATGGATGAGAGCCAACAACCTGAAACTCAATCCAGAAAAGTATGAGGCACTGTTAGTGGGTGGCTCCCTAGACCAGATGGGTGGGAGATTACCTGCTCTTGATGGGGTTACACTTCCCCTGAAGGAGCATGTTTGTCGCTTGGGGGGGTTCCTGACTCTTTTGCTGTCGCTCAAGGTTCAGGTGGCCTCAGTGGCCCAGAGTGCCTTCCATCAGCTTCGGCTGGTGGCCCAGCTACGTCCCTATCTGGACAGGGATAGCCTAACTAGTGTTGTCTGTGCTCTGGTAAGCTTGAGGTTAGATTACTGCAATGTGTTATACGTTGGGCTGCCTCTGAAGACGGTTTGGAAACTTCAGCTAGTGCAGAATTCAGTAGCCCAGTTGCTCACTGGAGCAAGACAATGAGCATATTACACCAATCCTGATCCGACTGCACTGGCTACCAATTAGTTTCTGGGCCCAATTCAAAGTGCTGGTTTTGACCCATAAAGCCTTAAACGGCTCAGGACCACAATACTTCAAGAACCGCCTCTTTCCATATGAACCTACCCGGACCCTGAGATCATCTTCTGAGGCCCTCTTGTGCCTCCTCCTTTAGAGGTCCGGAGGATGGCAACACGAGAACAGGCCTTCTCTGCAGTGGCTCCCCGTCTGTGGAATGCTCTCCCCAGGGAAGCTCAGCTGGTGCCTTTTGGCACCAGGCAAAAATGTTCCTTTTTAAGCAGGCCTTCGGTGGATCTGATTAACATCCTACACCGTTTTAAAATGTGGCTTTTTTGGGGGGGGTGTTATTGCGTTGCTTTTATTTTGATTCTATATATATTGTGGTTTTTATGTTGATCTTTTCTGTGAACCGCCCTGAGACCTCCGAGGATAGGGCGGTATATAAATTTAATAAAATAATAATAATAATAATAATAATAATAAATAAGTGAAGAAGGAGAGTAGGTAAGTAGAGACGGAGAGGAGTAAGGAGGAAAGGAGGAGGTGGGAGGGAAGAATTAGGGTCAAGAGTAAAACAAAAAATAATCACCAAGGACTTTATCAGATCACAATAATGGTAATCCTACATGGGGAGGTGAGATCACAATGTCGGTGGAGATTGAACGAAGAAATATTAAGCAATATAGAATTGAAGAGGAAGTTAAAAAAAAAAGAATGTTTTGATTTCAATCTCAATCGAGGGGTGGGTGAGAAAGTGGTCTGGGACACAAGGCAGTTCTCAGGGGCAGTGGTGGTGAGTGTCCCTCTGGTGGTGGTGTGGCAGAGCACGGTGGCACCTCCTGTTTTGCCTCAAGTGGAAAAATGGGACGTATCACCCCGGAACTTACAGCTGTCAGTTTTGAGGGAAGACAGGCAAGAATCCAAAGTCCAGGTGGGGCTTGCTAGCTCAGGGAGGAGGTGCGTGATTCCTCAGCTAGAGAAGGCTCAGGTGAGGGTCCCATGTCTTGTTAAACCCAGAATATACACAGTGGTACCTTGGGTTACAGACGCTTCAGGTTACAGACGCTTCAGGTTACAGACTCCGCTAACCCAGAAATAGTACCTTGGGGTTAAGAACTTTACCTCAGGATGAGAACAGAAATCGTGCTCCAGCGGCGTAGCAGCAGCGGGAGGCCCCATTAGCTAAAGTGGTGCTTCAGGTTAAGAACAGTTTCAGGTTAAGAACGGACCTCCAGAACAAATTAAGTTCTTAACCCAAGGTACCTGTAATAGGAAAGCCTTCCTGGGTCCTGGCCAGGCTTGCATCCTGGCCACCGGGCTATAGCTCTCCTGACACATGATTTGGACTGGAGCCGCAATGTGGAGATACAGCCACGGAAGAGACCATGAAAACCACACTCAGCCTCCCAGTTTGGGATACCCCACCCTTGATCTACAACCTGCTGCTTAACCAGCCTTATCAGGACCCGAAAGAGGCTTACAGTAATTCAGTCAACACTACAAAACAAACATCCTAGAATGAACAACTGTAAACAGATTCTGAAAGCAAAGAATCAGCCAAACATGAGGTCCAATAAAAGTTGTTTCATCTACTCCTTCTCCAGGAACCAAAATGTCTTCCGAAGCTGAAAGTTCTTCATTGCTGGAAGAGAATCAGCCAGGCACCAAATCTTAGGAAGGGAGTCTAGAAGGTGGGTAGACAGCCCTAAATTTCACTGCTCAGGGAAGATCACAGAGCACAACCCTAGATGTGCATCTGATGAACATTGTTTGGGAGACATCCTAATAATATTCCCCACAAATTCGGGGGAAGGGGAGTTCTCTCCCATTTCGAGATTTGGTTTGATACTAAATGTGGTGCTGTACTGATAATGGGATCTCAGTAAGGCAAAAGTCTTAACAGCTTGATAGGAGGTTGAATGAAAAAGTCAAGAGGGAGCAGATAGTTTTGATATCACCTCTGAACTTGTTTGAACTGTTTGCCGTGCCTCGTCCCTGCACTTTGAGATATGACAGCTTGGATGGCATCCTCTTCTCCATGAGTTTAGATTTATACTTTACCCTCAACGCACCATTCTGCTTTGTTAGATGTCCTGCGGTGCTTTCCCAATGCTATTGCATTATTGCAATCTGAAGGGGCTCTCTTGCACTTTAGTGCTATAGAAGAAGAGCCAGTGTGGCCCAATGGTTAGAGTGTCAGGCAAGGATCTGGGAGACCAGGGTTCAAATTCCTACTTGGTGGTGACCTGGGGCCAAATGCACCCTCTCAGACTAACCTACCTCACAGGGTTGTTGTGGGGATTCAATGAGGAGGGGGGAGAAAACTATGTACACCACCTGGAGCAGCTTGGGGGGGGGAGGTGGGATGTAAATGCAATAAATAAATAAAGTGGGACAAGAAAACAACCCCAGAATATTTGTAGCATGAAAGGATTTGTAGTACGCAGGATTTCAGCAGGGACCTAAGGGAAATAAGCCCCCCCCCCCAAAAAAAAACCTTTGCAGCTGCAAATAATGACAGCAGGATTGCGTGTAACTGCCCCAATATTATCATGAACAAAAATCATGTCTAGAGGAACTCTGAATAAAATACAGTGGTACCTCGGGTTACAGATGCTTCAGGTTACAGACGCTTCTGGTTACAGACTTCACTAACCCAGAAATAGTACCTCAGGTTAAGAACTTTGCTTCAGGATGAGAACAGAAATCGCGCGGCGGCAGCGGGAGGCCCCATTAGCTAAAGTGGTACCTCAGGTTAAGAACAGTTTCAGGTTAAGAACGGACCTCCAGAACGAATTAAGTTCTTAACCTGAGGTAGCACTGTATCTGCTAAGAGGATTATTTAATTTTTCACTTATCCCTGTTTTGAACACCGGAGGGCAGTCTGAGTCCACTGTTGCTCTGGCTGAAGCCTTTGCAAATGTTGTTTTCCTCCCCTCTCCAGCTATAATGACAGATGTTACATAAAGGCCCCATAGTAGATAAACCATTTCTCGCTGATGTTTTGGTACAAAAATGAAAGTTCATTTTTTCTGGAACATTTCTGCAAAATGTTTTCAGAATAAAAAGAGCCTGACGAGTCAGGAAACTATTTTCAGTGTCGGGTCACATTTACTCAGATCTCTGATTCTCTCCTTCCAGGTTAGAAAAAAGACAATTCATCAATATCTGGAGCTCATCAACTTTGCTGTCTATGGCATTACCGTAGCACCCAGGCACTTGATAAGATTGCTAGGGCTCTGAGAGTCCCAGGGACCTTTCTCCTGCCAACAGCATGGCGGTGTGGGGACTGCAACAAGACTTTCTCCTGAGCCTTACAAGCTTGGATTGGCAGGCTGCGATGCAGGAGGCGCAGGAAGAGGAAGAAATGGAGGAGGGGACTGAATGGCAGGGAGCTGGGTTGGAGGAGCGAGGCTCTACACTTTCCACCCTGAGTTCAGTCACTTTAGAAGGGGGACCAGAGATGCCAGCTCTGCCTTCTGACCTGCTCAGGAGCAGAGAGACATAGAAGTGACTGGAGAAGGCTTTGATCAGCTGGGGGGGGGGGAGACTGAAAAGGAGGAGGCAGGGGCCGGACAGGAAAGTGTAGCCTTGTCCATAACGTAGATGGGAGCAGACCCACCCAATGTTGGTGGAGTGCACCCTTGCAAGCTTGACATTCCCGTAAGGTGAGAGGGTCTTGGGAGTGAGAACCCCACCTCTCACCCTTCAAAGCTGGCCCAGTGGAGTGGGAAGCTTATTTGGGCATCTTTATCATTTCTTGCCCTTCTCTGGACCTCCTGAACTATGACTCCTGAGCATCATATTTGCTGCCAAGCCTATGACAACTTCCAGCATCTACTGAAGACTCTTTGTTCCAGCAGGCATAATAAATGAATTCTGATTTAATGGTTTAAACCAATTTATATTTTATTCCGTTCCTCGTACACTGCTTAGGGGCCACTGCAATGAAGCAACATGTAAATTGTCTAAATAAATGGTAAGTTTGAGAGAAAGTAAGAGAATGAGAAAGAGTTATTTAAAATGTCGGACAATGTTTGTTTTCGCTTTAATATGTACATAAGCAGCAGTTCTTTCCCGTTGCTCTGTCCCAGCTTCTGCCAACCTAGCAGTTCGAATGCTGCGGTGGGAAGGTAAACGGCATTTCCATGCGCTCTGGTTTCCGTCACGGTGTTCTGTTGCGCCAGTAGCGGTTTAGTCATGCTGGCCACATGACCTGGAAAACTGACTGGACAAACGCCAGCTCCATTGGCCTGAAAGCAAGATGAGCGCCACAACCCCATAGTCGCCTATGACTGGACTTAACCATCTAGGGGTCCTTTGCCTTTTTACCTTTTACAATCAAGCAGCATATAAATTTAAATAAACTGTATTGGTTACAGATTATCTTGTTGGCACCATGTGCTTTAGAAGAAGCCCTGAAAGCAAAGAGACAGAGTTTGTGTTTCCCCCCTCTGAAAGTTGGCCTAAATTTGTATCTAAGCATAAACATTTGCCTGTGCAAATTTGTGTTACGAGCCTGTGCCCTAACTCTTTGAAGTACGTAGCAATGCCCATGAATGGGGACTTTCTGCATGCAACACACTGAGCTATGGATCCTTCCCTAAAGTGAAGTGTTGGACATTTGGTGAAGCTAACTTCTCCTTCGCTGAACTCTGCACAAACCTATTCAAAAACTGGTCTCATGCTCTACAGCCTTTCACGAAAGGCACCGGAGCAGCACAGAGGAGTGTTTGTCTTTGCCGCTCTCAAGCACACGCACACACTGCGGTAAGGAAGCATTAGTGATTACATTTGACTGCCCAGTGGGATATTTTTGTTTTACTGCTTTCCCAAAGCATAAACATGTGCCAGGGACTATGGGAGTACAGTACTTTAGTTAAACAGGAAGACAACACGCTTCCCCCTGGCACATTTTGCTGGAGCATGGTTTAGATGTTCTGATCTTTATTCCCACATAAATGTCCACCCAGTGAGACATCGTGGCTATAAATAGATCCCCTGGTCTGGTCCCAGAAATGGGCCCCATAGGGATTTCAAAAGCAGGAGGCACGTTCTCAAGATCCAGGTTGCACTGGGAGATGCAAGTCGAGAGGTCAACGGAGAAGAACTTGGGCCGCTCAAACAGATAAACAGATGGGCTGTGTTTAAGACCATGTGCAAGCACACCCTAGTGGGCAGAAGGAAGACCTGCTGTAAAAAATGGGGCTTGCTCCCAGGGAAGTGCATAGTAACTTTGGAGCCGTGAGAGTACTTAAAGCTGTACCATTGGACTGCCCTTCGATCACAAAATACAAAAGCAGTAACAGCAACCGGGCAAACCCATTTGAGAACATAAGAGCCTGCAGGATCAGGCCAGTGGTCCATCTAGTCCAGCATCCTGTTCTTGCAGTGGTCAACCAGATGCCTATGGAAAACCCACAAGCAGGATTCAAGCCAAAGAGCATTCTTCCCTCCTGTGGTTTCCAGCAACTGGCATTCAGAAGCATTGCTGCCTCCAACTGTGGAGATAGAGCATAGTCGTAATGGTTGGTATCCAGCAACTGCCCTTTCCTTAATGAATTTGTCTAATCCTCTTTTAAAGCCATCCACGTTGGTGGCCACGACTGTTATGCATTCAGTGGCCTGTGTTTGCCTGAGCTTGAGTCTGGACTAAGGATTCTGAGCTCCTGTGTTCTGATTCGATACGTGTTGTCCAATCACAGAACATTTCAGGATTTGGGCCTCTGCCATTGGCCCTTAAACTCTGACTTATGATTCGTAGCTTAGAAGTTTGGCCAGCCAATCACGTTGGGAGTGGGAGTGGCCCAGGCCTTCAGAAATGTATGTAAGCAGTAGTTGTCCAGTTCTGTTTGTTCAATAAAGGTTCTTGCTGTTATCACTGTGTCTTGCCTTGTGGGAACCCACCTACACTTCAATGACTGCCTCCTGGGGGAGCAGGTTCCATAGTTTCACTATGCACTGCGTGAAGAAGGATTTTCTTTCATCGGTTTTGAATCTTCCAACATTCCGCTTCACTGATGTCCATGAGTTCTGGTTTTATGAGGAAGGGAGAAACCTTTATCCACTTTCTCCATGATGCACATGATTTCATACACCTCTGCCATGGCTCCTCTTACTTGCCTTTTTCTCAAAACTAAAAAGCCCCAAATGGTGCCACCTTTCTTCCTAGAGGGAGTTGCTCCATCCCCTTGATTATTTTGGTTGCCCTGAACCCTGACTAGGAAGCAGAGAGCAAGAGGAAGGGAAAACCACATAAAAGAGGAGTAGAATAGTAGCAAGTAGTGGATGATGGAGGGTGTGTGTGTGTGCTCTTTGAAACAAACAATTTTAGACTTCAAAAGGCCAACCGATTTCCAGTCACATCAGATGCACATTAGAAAGCACATGGGGACGTGTGTTCAATGAACCAGGCTGGAAACCTTCCATATGGCTTTGGCGCCACCGAGTCCATGCAGCTGCTACAGGTTCTGCAGAGGCATCTCTCCCACTTCAGATCATGGTGTCAGCGTTCCCGTTCCCCAAGCAGGCATCCTGGGAAGACATCTGCCAACGTCTGCTCTGTGTAAGTGAAAGTATGAAACGGTCCTTGGAGGCGCTTTCATTTTTCAGGTGGCCAGTCTGCAAGTGATGCGTGTCTTCGGCTGCCGTTTAAATATGCTTCCTAGGGGCAGTGGGACTTGCCTGGGAGCCAGCTTGCAATTCAGACTTGCGCTGTCAGCATTGGTTTCCAGCGCTTCTCAGTCACTGGTCCGCAAAGTGGTCTAGTTTATGGAGCAAGGATAAATCCTCCTCTTGGAATTCCCTCCATTAGTGTCTGGACTATGCAAAAAAACTACCTCGAAGACTAGCTGCCTCATTTGAAGTTTCCCTCCTCCTTCTTTTGGATATGTTTATTGGCCCTTGTCACCTGCAAGAGGGCAAGGGCTACAAGAGAATCATAGAGTTGGAAGGGGCCCTGAGGATCATCGATAAAGTTTGATGTGTTTTTAATATTCCATTGGGAAACCCAGCCAGATTAATCAATCAATTTTTTAATTTACCCAACCCCCTGTAATGCAGGAATATGCTGTCATCTCATACAGTGGTACCTCAGGTTAAGAACTTAATTCATTCTGGAGGTCTGTACTTAACCTGAAACTGTTCTTAAGGTACCACTTTAGCTAATGTCCTGAGGTACCACTTTAGCTAATGGGGCCTCCCGCTGCCGCCGCACGATTTCTGTTCTTGTCCTGAGGTAAAGTTCTTAACCCGAGGTACTATTTCTGGGTTAGTGGAGTCTGTAACCTGAAGCGTCTGTAACCCGAGATACCACTGTACAGGGATCGAACCTGTAACCTTGGCGTTATCAGCACCCCGCTCTAACCAACTGAGCTATCCAGGCTGACGATAAGATAGCAACAGACAGAAGTCTTCAACCCGCCGATTCTGCAGCTCCTGACCTTGTGTATGAACAGCAACGCAACACATCTGGGTGGAGCTTCCAATTTCCCTTGGAATATGTTCAGTTGGGAAGAATGCACGTAGCTTCAGAGGCCAGGTGCTCGCTACAAGAGCCAATGCTAGAGAAGGAACAGAGAGAGGAGTTTGCCCAAGATTAACAGAGTGCTGCTGGTTTTTACGTACAAGCAAGTTTCCAGAGAAAACGGTCCTTTGGAAGCAGCCAAAGGGAATGCCCCCCCCCCGCCTGATGAGCTTAAAATCGTGAATATTATCCCCCAGCCAGACCCCCCCTCCACTTGATTGCTTGGGAGATGTTCACTCTGGTGCACAGCCAGAACCTCAGCTGTGTTTTGTCAGCGAAGATTAAGATATTATTTATAACCAGCACAGTAGCTGAGCGAAGCACCAATCCAGCTGCTTGGAAGGCTTCTTACAGAGGGAGCCAGTGGGCTGGTGTGTGGGGAGACTGCTGCAGGAGAGAGGGGGATGTGCAGTGAGCCCTTTTCATAAGGGCAGGGATGGCTTCTGTTGTAGACACAGGAGTAGGAGGAGCCTATCCTTGTCTTGTGAGTCTCTGCTTTATGGAATGGTTGGAAGTTTCTGGAGGAAGAAGCAGAAGGCAGGGACCCAAACAAGGCGTAGCTTATTTGTAATGCATGTAGCACCAGTTCCCTAAAAGTACTTCCAGATTATGATTCTATGACCTGTTCGAGGAGAGTCACAAATGACCTGTTTATTGAGCCTCCGAGCCTTCATCCTGATTTGCCCTCTGGGAGGTTAGCTGAGAGTTGGCTATTTAATGAGCGTTTGTTCTGATTTGTTTGTGGGGAGAGTAGACAATGTCAGATTTTTCATTAGCATTAATCAGATTTGTTTGTGGGGAGGCTAGATAACATGGTGTTGAGGCCTGTGTTATCTCACCCTTCCCTGTGCGTTTTCCTGTCACTTTCCTTATTGCAAAAAGTCTGATCTTTTGGGAAAGCAGGGTTGGTGCCTAAGACTTCCCAATTACATACCCTTCAACTTTTCTCTGATGAAAATAGGGACGTCATAAATAATAATAATAATAAATACCCCGCCCATCTGACTGGGTTGCCCCAGTCACTCTGGGTGGCCTTCCAACAAATGTAAAAGCATAATAAAACATTAAACATTTTAAAAAATCTTTGTCCTGGGGGGCCTCCAGATGTCTTCTAAAGGCTATCTACTTACCGTACTTATCTCCTTGACACAGGGGTCACATAACTCCATACCCTCCAACATTTCTCTGATGAAAATATGGATGCCCTAAGGAAAAGCGGGGCATTCTGGGATCAAATCAGAAACCAGGATGGTTTCTGTAAATCTGGGACTGTCCCTGGAAAATAAGGGCACATGGAGGGTCTGCAATCAACTTCAATTATGCAGCCAGAATTTGCCAGTACGTGATTGAATCTCACTCAACAATAGCAATAGTCTGGAAGTATCCTATATTCAG